CAAAAATTAGAAGGACACAAAAATGGAAATTGAATAAAGCAGACTGGCAAGTGTTTTATAATAGCTGAGACATAGAAGACACATGGCTATTGGAAAAGGATGAAACAGATGTTGATGAATTTAATGTGAGGTTTTGAGTTTAGGCACCAGTTGGGTTTCCTGTGTTCCTCTCCTCTGTGTGTTCTTCCCATAGACTGTATATACTATGGACAACCTGGTTCCGCCTACCGCCTGTATACGGATTTGAAGCCAAAAAGCTCTCGGTATTTCTGGGATTTTTCTTCATTTCCTGAAACCAGCGCTGTGCAGTTGCGTTGTGCGCATTCGGCCGCGCAGACGCAGAGAGTCACTGTGATGACGCTCGGCTCAAACAGCGTATCCCCCGGGAGAGCTACTCAATCCCTGAACGCCCATATGCTGTATCAGGTGTCAATCATAGCAAACATGAACCCCCTAATAACTTTTAAAAACTGAGCTTCACAGAAAAAAGACGACTTGAGCACAAACCAGTCTTACAATAACTACATGTCAACATCGCAAGCAGGGGGGAGAAACAATTATGTTCTGTGTAATAAATTTCTAAAGTTGGTCCGCAGCCCCATAAGCTTTGCTGGCGGAGGCGGGATTTATGACCTATACTGCAGCCCATCAACAGAGGGTGCTGTTCTCAGAGTGGCTTCACCCACGAGGAGGCAGACGGCGTCCATTCTATATACAGTCTATGGTTCTCCCTCGCTCTCTCTCTCTCTCTCTGCAGCGCTGGAGGCACAGCGGGAGGCGGGGCTGGCCCGGACTGATTGCACGCACCTGATTCTCATTGTTGTCAATTACCTGGCTTTGTATGCCAGCTCCTCTGTCGACTCAGTGCTGGATGATTTCTCAGTCATGCAACACGTGTCTTGTCACGCCGAGCTCCCTGATCTCCAGCCTGCCTCTCAGTGTTTGTTAGTGAGTTCTTTTGTTACTTTCCAGAGAATTTTTCCCTTGAACAAAGGTGATTTTGTGTTCGTGTTTTTTCCTCTAGTTGAGAAGATTTTTTGGTTCACTATTGCTGTTGTACTTTGTCTTTTACCTCCTTAGTTGATACTTGCCCCACGTGGCACTATCGCTTGAACTTTTTTTTCACCAGTTATGTGCCTTGCTGCAGTGAATCTCTTCTAACTCTGGTTGTGTTTTTGTTTTTTTTAGTGGCAGTCCGAGCTGACCGTGCCTTTTCCCGGAAACGGCGATTTTCTGTTGTTACTTTGTTCTATTGTTTATTGTTAATAAATTTGGGCATTTGCCTCTGCATTTTTGGATCCTGGCCTTTGTTCGTTTCCTAACATTAATCAAAAAATTGGTTCAAGCTATTATCCATATAGCAAATGGGACGATACCAAAAAACAGAGGGTAGGAAGTGTGTACTGTGGTGGAACAAAAGCTTTAAAGAAGCAGTTAAAAGAAGAAACAATGCGTTTAGGAAATTAAATTTGAAGCATAATAATGAAACCTTAGTTAAATGTAAAAAAAGCGCAAGCAGTAGTCCAGAAAACAAAAAAAAATGTCAAAATGGGAATGCTAGAGGCAATACTGTGATAGTATCGGGAGAAAAACACCCATATCAGATGTTTGGGGAATGATCAAGAAAATTAATAGAGTGAAAAGTAATTTTTAAGTCCCAGTGTTGATAAGCAATGACAAGACAACAATAAACAATTTGGAAAAAGCTGAACTCCTGGCAAAGTCATTTGTAAAGGTACATAGTTCTGAAAAATTGCCTTTAACATCTACTCAACTTAGAGATCAGACTATTAAGATGCAGTGGCGATTGCTCTAAGACTGCAAGGGAAGCTCGGCTTCCCTTAAAATGTCACCCCTCAAAAAAAAGGAAAAGTGGTGAAATATGTACTGCTGTGTGTACATTTCATTAACTAAATACGCACTAGAAAGCCTTCATCTTTTGTTCAGACACTGTGATAAGAAGCTGATAATCACAGGTAACCGGCATAACTTCGTTCTCATTCATCCTCGCAGCGCCTCAGCGCTTTAAACAGCCGGACGCTGGGCTTCTGCTGACTTCAATGTGGAAGCTTAAAGTGGGTTGTTCCAGCAGCGAAACTAGACGCTCATTGGATAAATGCTGGGCTTTGTCCCTACCATCGGAAGCCCAGCTTCACTGGAGTTCTATGGCGAGAGGGCGGTCCCGACTTTCTCCCGGACTCCAAGCTTCTGCATCCATGATTGGATGAGCTGTCTGAGGCGAAATCCTTTTTTGATTGACAGCTAAACAAGCGAATCAGCGATCTTGAAGAATAAAACATCTACCAGAGCATTTTCCAAGTTATTCATTCCGTTGTTCTTAACTGCTCCGGAGACCTTACCGATCCTCAGCGACTCTTGTCTTTGTTAAAAATGACTGCCGTTGTGTTTGGCGACTCTGTTCTGTTACATACTAATAAACAAATACAATTATGATGTAGGCCAGAAAAATGAGCTTCCCCTCCTTGAAAGACCAGCAGCCGCCACTGTTAAGATGTATCCAGGAGTGAGACAACAGTTAGTTAAAGAGAGCAGTTTCAAGTGCAGGACAAACAGCACCAGGAATTGATGTTTGCTTGCTATAGAATTTTGTAACATATGAAAGACAGTGCTCTTGAAATTGTACTGAAGCTTTTTAATTTGATATGGGAAACTGGAAATATTTAATCTGCATGAAAACAGTCAATCATTATGCTACTGCTTAAACCAGGGAAAAAGTACCCTTCAAGTTATAGATCAATTGCATTAACATCTCAGTTAGGAAAGACCACGGAAAGGATGGTAACTGAGAGACTTGCGTACTATCTTGAAAATAGTAACCTGTTTTCCGCTCACCAAAGCGGCTTCTGTAAAGGCAGGAGTGCTATGGACTCAGTACTTTGTTTAGAATCAGAGATCAGAAAAGCACAAAGGAATGTTATGAAAGGAGGGACTACTCATCAAACTCACTAGGTGTAAATGGAAAACTGTACAACTGGATATTAGATTTCATGTTTTGAAGAACAATAGAAGTTAAAGTGGGTACAGAATATTCTAAAATATATCAAGTTGAGAATGGAATACCACAGGGAAGTGTCTGCAGTCCAATCTTGTTTAACATCATGATCAATGACATTCTTGAGCATGTTGAACGAGGTGTAGGAAAGTCATTGTATGCTGATGATGGGGCATTATGGATAAGGGGGCGGAATCTTGCATATATACAGAAGAAACTGCAGGCAGCAGTTATGACGATGGAACAATGGGCAGATGAATAGGGCTTTAAGTTTTCTGTCGCAAAAACTCAAGGGATATGTTTTTCTCAACGTCACAAAGAGATCTCCCTGAAATAATATAGTCAAAAAATCGAGCAGGTCAGTGTCGTTAGACTGCTTGGAATGTGATTGGATGAAAAGCTGACTCGGAGGCAACACATTGACAAAGTGAGGGATAAGTGTAAAAGAGTCAATAATCTCTTAAGATGCCTCTCAGGAAGACACTGGGGTGCAACCAGAGCGTCACTGCTAAATATATATGGTGCCATTATGAGAGCAACACTGGACTATGGTTGTATAGGCTATTTAGCAGCAGCAGAAAGTCACCTGAAAAAGCTGGATGTGCAGCAGACACAGGGACTGAGGATATGTAGTGGAGCTTTTAAATCCTCTCCAGTAGCAGCCATACAAGTAGAAATGAGGGAACAACCATTACGGATCAGGAGAATGAAACTTGTGTTAACATACTGGGTCAATCTTCAAGGGCATAATACTTCACATCCCGCTAAAGCCGTCCTGGAGGACTGTTGGGAACATAATGAATCCAATATTAGGAGTTTCGGGTAGATAGGAAACATAAAAGCAGTACAAGCAGGATTAGGTCGCATACAATTCAGTCCGACGGTCCCTTATTCATATACTCCTCCCTGGTTATTCATAGAACCATCAGTAAACTTTGAATTGCAGCAACAATTGAAAAAAAGAAATAGGCAGGTCTCTGCAGGAAGGATAGCTGAAAGTTATCTAGAACAACATTTTTCAGATAAAACATTGATTTTCACTAATGAATCTAAAAACCCTGATACTGGAAAGACAGGAGCAGCAGTTTTCATTCTACACTACAAAACACATATCAAAAAAAGAACTACAGACCATTTATCAGTATATACAGTTGAACTATTAGCTATCATTTTAGGTTTGGAGTGGATCGAAGCAAACAATTATAACAATACACTAATAGCATCAGACAGTTGGGCAGCTCTTACAAGTAACAAAACCATGAAGTGATGTAGGCAAGAACTCATATATAAAATACATAATCTACTTTACACAATGCACAAGAGGGGTTTAACAGTTTTTTTTATTTGGGTTCCTGCCTATGTAGGTATAGAAGGTAATGAAGAAGTTGATTTTCTGGCCAAACAAACACTCAAATAACACACTGTAGATACAGAAATTCTGTTAAGTAAGGCAGAAGGTAAATCAATAATCAAGAAACATATGGAGAAAGTGTGGCAAGAATACTGGGACATCCAAGATACGAGAAGACACCTTTACAATATAGCTACAGGAAAAAGTTGGGTTGGGAAGAAGGAGGGGCAGGAACTGGAGGGAGGAAGCAGTCATCACACGACTGAGGATAGGACACACAGGACTAAACAACACACTGCATAAAATAGGAAAACACCCTGATGGCAAATGTGATAAATGTGGACAGGCTGAGACTGTCCAGCATGTGTTGTTAGATTGTGGAGGACATATGGAGGAAAGGACACTGGCAGCTGCAGCGCAGGAAACCTGGGTAGCACTTAACATAGGGAACCTACTAGGATCAGAATCAGAAATCATGCTCAAGCATTTAATGGCATATTTGAAGAAATAGGGGCTACTGGAGAGGATATAATCCCCCACCCCACCCCTTTTTTTTTAATATTGTCTGCCAATTTACTGATCCACACTCCAGTCCAGTAGTTGGCGGTAATACACCTTCACGTTGGTTTGCCAACCGCCAATAAACACCATTGACGAAGAAGAAGAAGACGAAGAAGAAGAAGAAGAAAGAGCAGCTGTTGATTTTTGCCTCAGACAAAATATAATTTACAGATATTTTATTCGCTTTTACCACGTGGTAGGCACAAAGTAAGACGTAACGACAGAAACCTTAAGGTAAATGTTTAAATAAATGTTCTATAATGAATTATAAATATATTAAAGATCGTGTAACATCTACGCTTACTGATTATTAGCCATCCAGTAAATATTGGATAATAACGTGCACTTCAGTAGGATCACTACAATAACAATTATATTAACAATTCAGTTGTGAAAGCCTCTTAATGCATTTCCAGGGTGAATTTAGTCCTTTCACCGAATAGGAGCTGAAAACAGCACATAAAGAGGAGAGGGCGGCCGCAGTAAAGACAATATTTGGGTCGGTAAAACACCAGCTTTAAGTTATATTCACACTTAAAAATGAGTATCTTTGTCTGTGCCGAATCAATCTCAAACACAGCTCAGCGAAATTCTGACCATATGGACCACAGGCACATTAAATAAATATGTAAGAGCTTATAAAACATGAACAAGATTTTTACATTGGATTTGGTCTGACCCAGAGGCTAACATACAGAGATTATTAATGACACAAGTTTGTGCCCGGACATGTTCATTCGCAGTTTGCTGCATGATAAAAATCAACATTCATTAATGCCTCAATAAGTGATGTTTTCAGTGATCATACAATGACAAGGAGAAATTACCCTTTTTGTTTGCTTTAAATATCGTGATCACCTGATTTACCGTTGCTTTTTCTGATGGACGGTCTCCAGTAATAAAGATTTGGGCAGCTGTTACATGGACCTGAATTTACTGTCTTGGCCTGAAAAACGACTGTCCATCAATAAAGAGGTGACATTTGGATTTCAAATGACTCAATCCTTGATACCGTTCACCTTGAATAAGAGATTACGTTTCTTTTGTTTTTCTGTGATGGCGTTTTCAGTCCATCATTTTTGTTATTTAGGACTCCTTTGCCATATCTTTGAATCACCTAAAATTCTGCAACATGTCTAAGTTTTTGGCTGGTTTTGAGTCTACTTCCATTCTAAAAGTAAAACCCTACATTAGGCTAAAACTTGGGTTTACTACTTTTTCATTGAACTGATACAGAGCAAATGATAATTATTTAAATCTATCAGTGAATGATAGATTATTGTCTAGTGGACTATGCCAACATGTTGAGTTGTGATCGATGCATATAAGATGTTACCAACAAGTTTCTTCTTCACATCATAAGAAATGACGCTTGTTTTGAACTTTTAAAGATGTGTGTGTGTGTGTGTGTGTGTATATATATATATATACATATGTATGTGTGTGTGTGTGTGTGTGTGTATACATCTTTAAAACTTGAAAACAAGCGTCATTTTTTATGATGTGAAGAAGAAACTTATTGGTAACATCTAACATGCATTTCATATGTGTTGGTGTGTTGTTGTCGTCAGGTTACCATGACGACCAAGAGTGGCCTGATAACCAGTTCATTCAAGAGGGTGAAGAAGGCTAGAGGAGGGGACAAACATCGAAAGAGGTCTCTTCCTCCTTCTCCTCCTTCTCCTCCACAGCAAGGTATAGAACGCCAGTCTGTGTTTATAATTTCTGGGTTTTATGTTTTCATTCAGGTCTTGCTTAAAATCACAAGTTTGAATCAACTCTTTTTTTAATACATTTTGTATCCCTCAAACTTTTATATGTAATTATTTAAGATAAGATAAAAAGAACTTTATTGACCCCAAAGAAAAATTCAAATGCAGATTATATCCTAGCTCCCTGAAAAATAACTGGTCTCCAGTTTAACTTGCAAGAAATAATTTTTTTCCAACTACATAATTTAGCCTTGATTGATATTGTGCGACTTTTAATGAGTGTTCACTTGGTTTTATCTCTCTGAAAAGTCCTGTTGATACCAGCAGTCATGTGATTTTTTTTCTTCTGAACATTTTGGTTGAAGCGAAAGAAGAAACCAAAGCAGTCCGAGAGGAGGAGCTGGAGCAGCTCCGACAGTTTGATCTGGACTGGAGATTTGGACCCTGCACCGGTAACATTTACCACCTTTAATACCACCTTTTTTAGTTATTTCACAGCCTGCGGGTGAGTTAGAGTTATTTTAATCATACTAACTGGTTTCATCCTGGTATGCACAACAACATTAATGAGTCTTTGTTGTCTGCTGATAAAGGATCTAAAGTTAATCCTTTTTGTTGTACGACAAATAAATAGATTTTGTTTTAGACGGTGCGTCAGTCAAAATCAATGAATGTTGACACTGAAAATACCATTCTACGTCCATCACATTATTTTGCCTTCGGAAGACATTTGGCAGTCTCAGCCATTCAGTGAATAAAATTTGTGCTTAAATCAGACAGAATCAGTCCAAAAGTACCTGCACACTTGACATGAGAGTATTATTTCTATCTTTATGGTGAAATTAATCAACATTTTAAAGGTTTCTCTAGACCCATTGAGAACTTTTTGAACCTGTTTCTGGTACTGTGTTACTTTGAGATCAGCACCTTATTGATATTTGTTTGTAAGTACTTTGTATTGCACTTATTCCACAACACCTTCCCCCAGGATAAATCATCTTATGTCATCAGTGTCTCTGCAGAAAACAGACGGTTTCTCTGTGAACAGGTATCAGCCGTCTGGACAGATGGGAGAGAGCAAAACTTCACGGCCTGAACCCACCAGAGGAGATCAGATACGTGTTGCTGCAGACAAAGGTTGACCCCGAGTACAGCCGGAGGTAATACACACACAAAATTTATTAATATGCTGTTCAAAAGAATCTATTTAATTTTTCAGTCTGACTCAAACTGTATTTTTAAATATGTGTAAACACCACAGTCTGACTGAAAACACTCTCAATCCAAGTTCTCATAGTGGAACTAGCATTCTTTGATAAGCATCAATTTTCTCTTCCATACCCTGTGATTAGACTGAAACCATCTTTTTAAGCAAGCCCTACAGTTTGCTAATCAGGTCTGCATGTCATACTGAACGATGAAAAAAGGCTTCAGGTGCAAACTCTGGACACAGGCAGAAAAGCAGTCTTTTTAATTGGAAGTAGAAGTCAGGACACAACTAATCCAAAAACACGGGCAGTGGTAACCATTTTAGAAGGCAAGAAGTGAAGTCTAAAATCACTGAAGTAAAAACAAGGAAGAAGGCTGGACCACTGACTCAAAGCACAAAATGAATAAGGGAGGAACACTAAGGCCCAATCCCAATCCAGCCCCTACACACTCTGTTTGCACGCTCCAGCTGAGTCTCCGTCATATTGAAGGCTGTCCCAAACCACGAAATGCAGAGGGCGAGTGGACCATACAGCCATTATATAGAGAGTCTGCACTGATGCACACTTGCGGTGGGATTTATAATGTCATTGAAACAGAAGATCATGTCATCGCTGTATGCAACATCTTCTCTGCACTGAGGGGCAGTATAACTGGGGGAGGTGTTTCACCCATAGACTGGAGCAGTTCTCAGGAGCAATCTCATGATCTTTGAATACATAAGACTATGAGATTTAAGATAACAATAGAGTCCCTTTAAGTTCAGTCAATTAAATGTTTAGTAACATTTACCTTGTTGAGATAATGGTTTGAATTTTTTTCTTTTACAGCCTGTGGAGTAAGTATCCACTGTGAAGAAGTCATCAGAAGAGAAAAACGGGCAAACTTCAGGAAAACACATGTCAAGTTAATTTATATCAACACAAACCACAAATATATTATGTTGAATTAGTAATGATTACCTTTTATATTTTAACCTTTTAAAGTGTATAATAATTAAAAGCAACAGGGATGAGGACTCTCCTTCAGGATGGAAACAGAAGCATGTTTAAAAAAAGTGTAGTTGTGTTTGTCAACTCTTTGTTGTTATAAAGGTTTTCATCAGAAATTAAATCCAAGAGAGTCTTGTGTGTTTATTGGATGTGTGGAAAGCACTCTGTCTCTCACACTCACACAATTCACTCCTCTGTGTACTGGACTGACATATATTTCCTTCAGTCTTATTATAACTGACCTAAATGGACACACTGAGGTGTATGAGAGGGAGGACGGGTGACAGCAAAATGAGCTAAAACCTAAAATATTTATTTGTAAAAGCCATTAAGGTTATATGACAAAAAACACCCAGATTTAAAACCCAAATTAAAAAATAACCAGGGGCCTCATTTATCAACCGTGCGTACGCACAGGTGTGTGCTTAAAGAGTGCGTCCGAACATTCCTGCGCAAAGTCTGGAATTTATCAACCTGTACTTGTGCTTAGGAACGTGCGTAAATTTAAGCACAACTCACACCATGCATACACACAAAACCTAGTGGTAGGACAGTAAAACTACGAATAGAACCCATTAAAGGAGTCACAGCGTTCCGCAATCTCAAACTCCACACATGTTCACGTTGCCTCTATACAAAATTTATGAATTAGTAATTTAGCAGACATTTTCAATGATTGGTGAGACAAACTATAAAAATCTGCTGTGACAGGACAACCTCACAAGAATTCTTACAAGTACAAATACAAGTATCACGGTTTATTTTGCGCTATTGGAGGACTTGGAGAAGCGTCTGCTCCTCCGCTGGGAGCGCGTTTTCAAAGAGCGTGCTGATCCGTTCAGTGAGAACTCAGAGTGGATTCTCAGGAGGTACCGCTTCCCCAAAACATTTTAATGGATTTACACCGTGATTTACTACCCGTGTCGGAGCGAGAAACAAAACGCACCAAAGCCATCCCAGCGCACATCCAGCTCCTGTCCACCCTAACCCGAACATTTCAGCATGAGATTTAAGACATATGCGATATTTCGCAGCCAACGCTTAACAGAATCATGCCGGCAGAGTTGGATGTAATAATTTCTCCGGCCTCAATTTACATCCAGTTCACAAACACACATCACCAACAAGCCGAAATAAAATGAGGATTTCACGCCATCGCCGGATTCCCAAACATAATTGGAGCCATATTGCACCCACATCGCAATAAAAGCACCTTCACACAATAAATTCAGATTCGTCAACAGGAAAAGATTTCATTCAATCGATGCACAAATAATCTGCGATGCACATTTGATTCTGTTAAACGTTGTTGCCCGGTGGCCTGGAGGAACGCACGACTCGTTCATTCTGCAGAATAGCGCTGTGAGTGTGCACCTCCAGGAGGAGGAAAAACATTCATACACGCATTTTTAAAGGGATTGTTGATGCCATATATGGTCAATTGGAGGCATTCCTGAATGCAAATGACTCTAACCATGCACGAGCACGGTAGTAAAGAACAGGTGGGATTTATCATCACCGATTACTTAGGTGTGTGCGTACGACCGGTGTCCGCACGTTTGATAAATATGGATGTTTTTGTACTTACGCACATTCTAAATTTCATTCCTACGCAAGAATATAGAACCTTTTCTACGCATGATTGATAAATAAGGCCCCTGGTCTCTTTTTAAATATGTTCCCCATAATTTCCACTAAGGGTTAGATCAAACAGATTTTGATGAAGACATGCTGCAAATAATCACAACTTCATGACTTCTTTGTTGTACCAGTGCTTCTGTGCAATAAATCTGACACTGTTGGAAAGCCATTTAGTAAAACTATTTGCATTTTAATATAATGGAAAGACATTTTACCCAGCATCCAAATTTTTTTTGGAGCTGTGGTTCTGAACCCACTATGTATTTCACTTCCTTCCTGCCAAAGAAAGAGCCATCATCTAAAATAAGCAACCATGTCTTTTATTTATTCCTATTTTTGAATTGATGTATCTTGTTAACTACTTTGGTCTGACTGATGTTACAGCATCTTATGTTGTGCAATACTAGGAGACCGATGAGATTGTTTTATGCTGATTTGTTAAGAGATGATATGTTAGGAATGATGTGTTGTGCCCACTGACTTGCAAAATTCTTGCCATACCTGGGATGCAAATTGTCGTCCATGATCTGACACAATATCAGAGAGAATTCCATGAAGCTTGAAAACATAATTAGCAGATCTGCTGTCTCTAGGGCAGAGGGGAGTTTGGGTAAGGGCACATAATGAACACACTTAGAGAATCTGTCAATAATGGTGAGTATGACTGTATTACCTTTGGAGGGAGGAAGTCCATTGACAAAATCCATGGCTATGTGAGACCAAGGATGGGTGGGTATGGGCAGTGGATGCGACAGACCAGCGGGGGGCTGATGTGAAGATTTGCCCCTGGCACAGACAGAGCAGGCAGCCACAAATTCTTTGACGTCTTTGGCCATACTGGGCCACCAGAAAGTTGTTATTGTCGTTTTCTTCCGCTTCATCCGGGTCCGGGTCGCGGGGGCAGCAGCTTCAGGAGGGAAGCCCAGACGGCCCTCACCCCAGCCACTTCCACCAGCTCCTCCGGGGGTATTCCCAGGCGCTCCCAGGCCAGGCGAGCGATGTAATCCCTCCACCTGGTCCTGGGCCGGCCACGAGGTCTCCTCCCGATGGGACATGTCTGGAACAACTCTAACGGGAGGTGTCCAGAAGGCATCCTAACCAGATGCCCGAGCCACCTCAGCTGACTCCTCTCAACGTGGAGGAGCAGCGGTTCTACTCTGAGTGCCTCCCGAGTGCCACCCTGCGAAGGAAACCCATTTCGGCCGCTTGTATCCGCGATCTTGTTCTTTCGGTCACTACCCACAGTTCATGGCCATAGGTGAGAGTCAGCACGTAGATTGACCGGTAAATCGGAGTTTTGCCTTACGGCTCAGCTCTTTCTTCACCACGACTGATCAGTTAAGCGTCCGCATCACTGCTGACGCCACTCCAATCCGCCTGTCAATCTCCCGTTCCATCCTACCCTCACTCGTGAACAAGATCCCGAGATACTTGAACTCCTCCACTTAAGGCAGGACCACTCCTCCAACCTGGAGAAGGCAATCTACCTTTTTTCGACTGAGGACCATGGCCTCAGACTTGGAGGTGCTGATTCGCATCCCAGCCGCTTCACATTTGGCCGCGAACCACCCCAAAAAGAGCTGAAGATCCCTGCTCGGCGAAGCTAGAAGCACCACATCATCCGCAAAAAGCAGCGACACGATCCTCTGCCTGCCAAACTGGACACCCTCCAACCCCCGGCTGCGCCTAGAAATTCTGTCCATAAAGGTTATGAACAGAAGCAGTGACAAAGGGCAGCCCTGGCGGAGTCCAACCCTTACTGGAAACGAGTACCTTACCAAACTCCTCCCACGCCCGAGTTTTTGCCTCTGCAACTGCCCCGGCTGCGGACCGCTTAGTCAACCCATACCGTTCAGCTGATTCCGGAGACCCACAGGCCATCCATGACCTGTAGGCCTCCTTCTTCAGCCTGATGGCTCCCCTCACCTCTGGTGTCCACCACCGAGTTCGGGGATTACCGCCACGACGGGCACCAGCGACCTTGCAGCTGCAGCTTGCAACTGCTGCTTCAACAAGGGCAGAGCGGAACAAAGCCCATTCGAACTTAATGTCCCCCTCCACCCCCGAGATGCAGTTGAAGCTCTGTCGGAGGTGGGATTTGAAAGCCAACCTGACGGGTTCTTCCACCAGGCGTTCCCAACAGACCCTCACTATACGTTTGGGCCTGCTAGGTCTACATGGTGGCTTCCCCCGCCGCCTGACCCAACTCACCACCAGGTAGTGATCAGTTGACAGCTCTGCACCTCTCTTCACCTGAGTGTCCAAAACATGCGGCCGCAGGTCAGCTGATACGACTACAAAGTCGATCATTGACCATGGCCTAGACCGTCATGGTGCCAGGAGCACCGATGAGCAACCTTATGCTCGAACATGGTGTTAGTTATGGACAAACTGCGACTTGCACAGAAGTCCAACAACTGAACACCACTCAAGTTCAGATCAGGCAGACCGTTCCTCCCAATCACGCCCCTCCAGGTCTTGCTGTCATTACCCACGTGAGCGTTGAAGTCTCCCAGCAGAACAATGGAGTCCCCAGTCAGGGCGCTGTCAAGCATCCGTCCTAGGACCTCCAAAAAGGGTGGGTACTCTGAACTGTTATTAGGTGCATACGCACAGACAACAGTCAGGACCTGTTCCCCTACCCGGAGGCGCAGGGAAGCAACCCTTTTGTCTAGCTGAGAAAACCCCAGCGTCCCCGCAGTGAGCTTTGGGGCGAGCAAGAATCCCACCCCCGCTCTCCGCCTCTCACCCTGAGCGTGGAAGAGTGTCCAACCCCTCTCAAGGACTTGGGTTCCAGAACTAACGCTATGCGCAGAGGTGAGCCCGACTATATCTAGACGGTAGCGCTCAACCTCCCACACAGGCTCCAGCTCCTGGTTCGCCGCCCAATCCGTCAAGCACCGGACCCTTCAAGTTCCTCCTGTGGGTGGTGGATCCACAGGAGGCGGTGCCCATGCGGCTCATTCGGGCTGAGCCTGGCCAGGCCCAATGGGTGCAGGCCCGACCAACAGGCGCTCACTGGCGAGCCCCAACCCTGGGCCTGGCTCCAGGGTGGGGCCCCGGTGTCCCTCCAGGCCGAGTACACTGTTCCCCTTTGATGTATTCCATTAGGGTCTTCTGAACCGTTTTTAGTCTGACCCTTCGCCTAGGACCAATCTGCCTTGGGAGACACTACCAGGGGCAAAAGCCCCGGACAGCATAACCCCTAGGTTCATTAGAGCACGCAAACTCCTCTACCACGGTAAGGTGACGGTTCACCAGAAAGTATGACGAAGGAATTGGAGGGTCGTATGAGTTTCAGGATGGCAGGTCAATTTCAAGAAATGCCCCCACTGGAGTACCCGAGAGCAGGCGGCATCTGGAAAAAAAAAAAACTGTTGGGGGGGGTCCAGTCTTGGGGTCCGGTTGTTGCTTTCGTGCCTCCCGAAGGGAGGCAGTGGAGACTAGAGAGTGCATCTGGTTTTGTGCAAGGGATCCAGGGTGATATGACAGGCAGAAGTTGAACCGGCTTAGGAACAGTGCCCAACAGGCTTGACAGGGGTTGAGACGTTGGGCAGAATGTAGGTAGGCAAGGTTTTTGTGGTCTGTCCAAATAATAAAAGGATGCTGAGAGCCCTCGAGCCTGAAGCGTTCAAACCACAGCAAGTAACTCTTCATTACCCACATCATAGTTCTTTTCTGCAGGGGACAGACAGCATGAAAAGAGAGCACACTTCTGTGTCTGTGGGTCCCTTTTAGAGAGTACAGCCCCTGCTCCCGAGTCAGAAGCATCAACTTCCACCACAAATTGAAGAGAGGGATCCGGATGTCTTAACACTGGTGCTTAAGTGAATAGGGACTTTTAACTGTTAAAGGCAGAGGCAGCTTCCGGGGACCACTTAAAGGGGATGATGGAGGAGGTTAGCTGAGTGAGAGGGGATGCTACTTTGCTATAAACTCTGATGAATCTCCTGTAGAAGTTTGCAAATCTGAGGAATCTTTGGAGGTCTTTGCGGGAGGTAGGGATGGGCTACTCAGTTACAGCCTGTATTTTGGCGGGATCAGGTTGTAATTGTCCTTGGGCTATGATGTAACCGAGGAAGCTGACTGAGGAAGAGTGGAAATCACATTTCTCAGGTTTCACATAGAGTCAATTCTCTAGGAGTCGCTAGAGGACAGGGCGGTCGTGTTGTCTGTGCTCCTCAAGGGAGTGGGAGAAGATGAGGATGTCATCGAGGTAAACAAAGATAAACCTGTTTAACATGTCCCGCAGAACATCGTTGATGAAAGCCTGGAAGATGGCTGGGGCATTGGTGAGTCCGAAAGTCATGACGAGGTACTCAAAGTGTCCCAAGGGGGTATTAAAAGCTGTCTTCCACTCATCTCCTTCCTTGATTCTGATGAGATGGTAAGTGTTTCTGAGGTCCAGTTTGATGAAAATCTTGGCATTGCACAGGGGTTCAAAACGACGGGTCGATGAGAGCAAGAGGGTATTTGTTTTTGACTGTGATGTCATTCAGGCCTCGGAAATCAATACAGGGGTGTAGGGAGGAAAAATCCTGCTCCGAGAGGGGAGGAGGAAGGACGTACGAGGCCTGTGGCTAAGGAGTCTTGGATGTAAGTTTTCATTGCTTCTTTCTCTGGGTGTGACAAGTTGAACAGACAGTTACTGGGGCGGCAGTAGCTCAGGAGGTAGAGTGGTCATCCAATGACTGGAAGGTTGGCGGTTCGATTCCCCCCTATCCCAAGTCTGTCTGTTGTGTCCTTGGGCAAGACACTTAACCCCCCTTGCTCCCAGTGTGTGTCCTCCACAGATGTATGATTGTGAGTGTTGTGTGGTGGTGGTCGGAGAGGCCGTAGGCGCAAAATGGCAGCCACGTTTCCGTCAGTCTGCCCTAGGGCAACTGTGACTACTAAGGTAGTTTACCACCACCAATCCACCAAAGAGAGCGTGCCAATTCCTTGCTGAAGACAGTAGCAATGTCATGATAGTCCTTGGGGACTGAGGTAAGGTCAGGTGGTGAAGGGCAAACAAGGGACAGCGGGAGAAGGGATATGCTGAGCGAAGGCAGTGTGAGTGACAGTGGACACTCCAATAGTGAGATAGTGGCAGTTTTCCAGTTCATTTGAGGATTGTGAAGTTGAAGCCAGGGGAGACCAAGAACTATGGGTGAGTTTAGGGAAGGAATGACATAAAGTCTTCTCTATGGTTTCCAGATATGATAAGTGTCAAGGGGATGGTACGGTGAGTGACTTCAGCTATTAATCTGCCGTCTAAGGCAGTGATAATCTTGGGACTGGGCAGGGTCTCTAGGGGAAGGTTTGGCTGTTTCACCAGTTTGTCATGAATGAAATCGTCATCGGCTCCGGAATCTATGAGGACTTGCAGAGGAAAGGAATCCTTCTCCCAGAGGATGCAGGACGGAACAGAGATCTGTTTAGGAGAGCTGGGGGTAGAGGTGGTTTGACTCATCATTTGCACTCTCACTTACTAATGAACTTGATTTGGTCAACAGGCAGAAGGCAAGGAAATGGCCAGCTTGACCACAATACAGAGTTTTTGATGGATTCTTCTTTGCCGTTCCCTGGGGAGCAGCTTCACCCTACCCAGCTGCTTGGGTTTCTCTTGGGGAGTCGAGGGGCTGACCTGGGAACCGGGCTTGTGTGAGGGATTCTCCAGGCCAGCAGAGGGAGCCAAACTATGGGGCCTGACTACCCTGTGTTGACCATTCTCCCTGCGTCTCTCCCTGAGGCGATTGTCTATACGAATGGCCAACAAAATAAATTCCTTGAGTGAGCCGGGCTCATCCGGAGATGCCAGTTTATCTTTCAGTTCATCTGATAAACTCCTCAGGAAAACTCCCCTGAGTTCTAGTTCAACCCAACCATTCTCTGAGGCTACAATACGGAAATCTATAGAAAAATCAGCATCTGACTGAGGTCCCTGAGAGAGAGAGAGAGAGAGAGAGAGAGAGAGAGAGAGAGAGAGAGAGAGAGAGAGAGAGAGAGAGAGAGAGAGAGAGAGAGAGAGAGAGAGAGAGAGAGAGAGAGAGAGAGAGAGAGAGAGAGAGAGAGAGAGAGAGAGAGAGAGAGAGAGAGAGAGAGAGAGAGAGAGAGAGTGAGAGAGAGAGAGAGAGAGAGAGAGAGAGAGAGAGTGAGTAAGTAAGCGTTTACCTGCCTCTTGACCCTGTAGGAGGTGATCAGACACTTTGCATAACTCATCAGAAAAATTAGGTCAAGGCAGGAGACCCCTGTTCCCAAACTGCTGTAGCCCATTTAGCTGCCTTGCCTCTTAATCACAAATTAATCACGAGGGCTTTTTAGCTCTATCAGAAGGATAGCTATGAGGCTGCTGATCAAACACTGAAGAACATTGCAACAAAAATCTACTACAATTACCTATCTCCCCTGCGTAAGGCTCAGGAGGGGAAACAAAAGGCTCTTTATGATGGAGAGGGAGTTGAGAGGAAGCCGCAATATCAGGTGAGGGAGCTGTACTCACAGAGGGGTCATTAGTCGAGGTGCTGGGAAATAGATTGGGAGTCTGAAGTTGATCTGACAGGAGGGAGATCTGGGTGCTGAGATTCAGTAATGTTTCCATGATTCCTTGAAGCATGTTTTCATGCTGTCCAAGATGGATTCCCTGGTTGGTGAGGGCCATTCTGATTGAGTCTGGGTTTGCTGGGTCCATGGTTGGCCAGAGTACTCTGTTAGGAATGATGTGGAGGGTTTGTACCCAAAATGTAAAACCAGACTGAGAAAAGCTAAAACAGGTTTATTTCTGAGATAATATGGGTGAGGGTTGTGTGCAATAATACTCTGGCACTGAGGCTTGTGACTGCAGCGGTCTTAAAGCTGGCTTGATTGCAGAATGGATACAGGTGAGTCTCCTCAGCACCTCAGGTGGGGGAAGGGAGCAGCCTCTGGAAAAGGTGAAGTGAGAAGCACAACCCACACAGGAAACAGGATCTCTAACCCAAATAAAATGTGAAAATTTCATGTTCACCACATTATGTCAGTATGACATCTCAGCCTCTGATTGTTTTTTTTTTTAGTTGTAATAGGAAAGGTCTCAGTGAAGTGAGCTTATCAGCAGGGCAGCAGCAGCATGAAACTGGTCAAATTCAGTAGCAGAGATGTCACAGACAAAACAACAATAAGGAGTCAAATGAATAAAGAGGTAAACTAAAATCTATAATAAATATGGGGTTTTGGCAGACTGACAGGACTTCATAGAAATACTGAACAAGAAAAACTCTTGAAAAACCATAAAAGGCTGGAAAGAGTAGATGAAACCCAAGAAACACAGGTATGAGGAGAAGATGAACCATTTCAATAAAGCTTGTAAATAAATATGTTTTACAATAAAGGCATGTCCAGAGGAAGCTCAAACATTTGTAGCTGTATGGTGACTAAAGGATGTCAATTCAAATGTCTTTGTTTCACAGCAATGACATAATAATGATGATGATAATAATAATAATAATAATAATAATAATAATCAGAAACCCCCGTTTCTGTTTTTAGGCTATGTTTAAAAAACTCTTAAGAAATGCAGTTTTTAAAGAAACATTACACATGGGTAGTTATAAAACAATCAGTTAACAAACAAGACCCCAGCCTATTATAATCTCAAGAAAACAAAAGATGTTTCGCCCACTGACCTAAAAATCAGTGGGCTGATCCCCACATTCCCCCTCTAAAGGGAGAGTCAAACATACAGCTCTGTTTCTTTAATTAATTATATCTGGATGGATCTGATTTCTTGAGACGTATCTAAGTAGCAATAGAAATATATCAAAATCTTTAATAAAAAAACAAATGAAGCTGTTACAGCGGGAAAAGAGATCAAGTAAATACACTGATACCTATACTGGGTTTCCGTTAAATCATACTCCAAGAAGAAGCAATTACTTTGATAGGTCAAACCGGAAGCTACGTAGGATTATCTGGTCTGTAGCAGATCGTGGATGCTGAAGCCTATAAACAGGATATTACTGACCCATAAACTCTGCGATTAGTAATAATTAGAGCATAGTGTCTTAATTAGATACCTTTCAGTACAGTTTAAAGGGTTACTTGCCTTAAATTAGCCTTGTTTTTTTATTTATTTTTTTTTATCGCGGGAATCACAGACTGGCTCGATGGGAATCTCGCCCTGATGGTTTTTCACTCGAGCTGCTGTCACTGGATAACTCCTCTCGGATAGCCTGGAGGAACAAGTATTGTTTCATCGCATATTTTGCTGCTGTGATATCGTTGGTGTGGAGATAAACCTTAGTCGCATGGTGCTGTGATACGTCCTCTTGTTAAATTGTAGGGATAGTGAAACCAACGTCACACGGGCACGGCGACCGCTCTGGTAAGATACCTGTTCATCTCCGGTGTTCTGTCCAGTTTAGCTGCCCTGTAAAAATGCTACTGTAGCGTTAATCGATAGATGAGACTCTCACATAATGCGCAAAGTGCATCATCGCATTCGTACTACACAAATGTGTAATTTAGTTGACCTGTAATTAATGCATTCTGACTTGAAACAAATCCTTTATTAGATTATCTTTGGTCGTGATGACAAGTGCCCAGGATTGTGTCTCTGCGCAGGCGCTTGTCTGCGCAGAGCCGTTTAGCAGCAGGGGTAGCACTGTGCGTCAGAACACCGAGGGATTAACCGTTAGCTCGTCGCGCCTCAAGCTAGCAGTCACCTACACATGCATATGACATACTAGCAAAGTCTGTGCGAACCTGTGGCTGGATGGGAAGCTGCTATGATTTTATGACCGGACGTTTGTCTTAATTACTTTATAAGGGGTTAAGTAAGCCTCCAAATTGAATTGTTCTGAACCTTTGTCAGTCTGTTGGCAATTACGCACAGGGGCGTGTCCAGAGAGATGGCCAGGGGTGGCAAGAGCCCACTATTTAAATTTGACTGAAATCTATGTAATATATCCTACATAATCTGAGGGGATTTAACATCCACATTTTTTGAGTACATGGATTTGGACTCCTGTTTTCCATCTCAGGGGGATATTTTTGGGCACTATGACAGGTTAATCTTATCAGAAAACCATCTTTATAGTATAAACTAGTATGCAGCTTACACTTAGACACCAGCTGAGCAGAGATATTACTGTACTGAAAGTACTGAAAAGGAAACTACATACAGGAAAAGGCACTACATACCACAAGAGCTAATGTTTCCAGCACCCAGATATTATTTAATAACCAATACAGTGTACCTGCTCCAAATGTGATCCATTACAGCTTTTTGGTTTAACAACAAAAATCCACTGGGACTTCAATAAAGGTCCGCCCAAAAAACTAGATTTCCAAACAGTATCCCTGGACATCATTGGCCTGATTTGCATGATTTGCCCAGGACTTCCTTACGCCGATCTTATAAGCTACATCAAATCGGCTTTTATTTTGCATTTTATGCAATTTGTATGATCAGCCATAATGTCTTAATTCACTGATCCAATCAATGACGTCCTTATCTTTTAGGGACTTTTTTTGCAGATGCTCCCATTGCATACATTGCAGATGGCATATGTTTTATCACTCTCATTTACTGTGCAGAAGTTTAATTGAACCGACATTTGTTTGCTTGTGATGATTCAAGTTTAAAAAAACCTTATTGCCAGTCACATAGTGACAGGCTCAAAACAATCGCCACAAAGATGTAAGCACATAAGACTAATGATAGATGGTTGGTTTTGCTTTAAACAAACAAAGCAAAACAGATATGTCTCATCCATTTAAATGTTTTTATATGTTTTTGTGGACTTTACGTTTTGAGCTTTATTACTATGTTATGGACAGTAATAGTGGATTACAAACAGACGTTGGCGGTGTGGAAATTCTTTACCGTGAACCAGAAAGATAAAACACAAGCTGTATGCAACCTCTGCAACATTTCAGTACCCCGGGGTGGAACATCTACAAATAGGTTGAACACGACTGATAAAATCAGGCACTTAGACAAGGAACTCAATGAATAGCATGCTGAGTTAATAAAAAAAAAAAAAACGACACTGAAACGACTACAGCAAATGACTTAAGACCATGCCTGGTCATACAGAAGGCGAAGGAGTGGGAGTACAAGCAAACTAATGGAATTTACTGTGCTGGCCACCCTACTGTTCAGTATAATTGAGAACCTGTATTCCAATGCTTGCTGGCGTACTTTAATTCCGCACTATGTCCTCCCAGGACACATACTGGGGCGATACTGGTCTCGCTATCTTGCCTGTGCAAGTCCAGCCAAAACAATCTATGCATGCTCTGTAGGCCTGTCACGATAACAAATTTTGCTGGACGATAATTGTGCTACAAATTATCGCCGATAAACGATATTATTGACACCGTTTTTTAAATTATAGATAATGATATTATATGGCATAATAATGCGAGTACACCATGTCAAAAGTGATAAACTTTAATTTCCACACGAGAACAACACTGGTTGTTTTCGTTGACTAAAATATTTCCCTTTTCTCCCACGACGAAGACGTAACGTTGACGAGCTAAACATAAGTCGGAGATGACTAAAATGTGACGAGACAAAAGTGCGTTTACGTTGATGGGACGAGACGAAAATGACGAACAGAGTTGCAAAACTCAGTCAGTTAAACGCTAAACATATAGGAGCAGCTTCAGTCCACTCTGACAGCTCTCATCATCCTGCTGTGCTCCTCCAACACACAGACGCACGCGCGCGCGCGCACACACACACAAGTTTTGTGGTTGACGAAAGCAGAAATATTCCCACACTTGGGCTGTTGCGTTCGGTTAAGACACCAAAGCTGTCGTGTTCATTCTGTTTGCTTGCTTTTCACTCACGACGCTCACTTGCAGCACTGTATCCAAAAGTCTGTGTCTGTGTGCCTGTGCGCGCCAGCCCCCTCGTGACAAAGACACTGAATGACTGACAGGAGGGTTCACTAACTCCGTTCATTCCGCTATAGAGCCAACGCCCCCAGGTGCCGAGAACAATGCGCAGAGTGAGACCTCTTCTCTAATCCAGCATGTTTGGTAGCGAGAGAGGAGGAAAACAAACGCACGTTAATTATCGAGGCTGGCAAAATGACCGACCTCGTTTTTATTTATCGAGCGATAAGGTGATTTATTGATTATCGCGACAGGCCTAATGCTCTGTACTCTTCTGTCTTTTGATGCATTTCCAAGGCAGCGTTACAGTGCATCTTACTGACTTGGCACATTGTTTTTAGTGGTTTTGTGTTTACGCAAATATTTCCTGGAACGATTTCGTATTTATGGAAAACTTTTAAAGCGAAACAGCAATATATCATTTTTGTCACCGTTTGGACAAGGTCTGAGCTAAACTGCGATGTGTATTATCATGTCGAGAGCCGTGGATGCCCTCTAGTGGTTACTGATGTTTAACCTTTCAGTCAGTTTGGGGTAAAAATTGTCAAACATAGTTAAAAAATATTTAGGGATATGTTTTTTTTAAAACTCAGTGAACAGTACAGAAGTGTATACAGTCAATAAACAAGTTATAAATAGACATATTGCTACTTCATGTGATCAGTGTGTGATTGGTCATTGGTATACAAACTGATCAATCAGTGATCGGTCCCAAAAATCTTGATTGTGTAAGGCCTAGATGTAACCAACTCTTTGAGGTGTGTTGTGGCAGGCTGCTGGTAGCATTCTTTGTATGAAGATGTGGCACTTTGTTTCTTTGATACTTGACTCTGACATCCTTGCTAGAAAGATATTCTGGTTCCCCAGACTGCCCTGAAAATTAAAAAAAAAAAAAAAGACCTATATTATGGTTGTGCATTACTTTGGTGAGGATGTACATGGCTTTTTACACCGGGAGCGTGGCCTTGAAAAATTCAAAAGAAAGGTCTGTAGATCTCAGAGGGTTAATGAGAGAAAATCAGATTCACTGGACAGATGTTGAGGGGATGTTCAGTTCATCAACTGTGTGAGTTTGCATGGAATTTCTACAAGACTTTTTCCTTTAAATGATGATTCTCTATATAAATCCTTCATGAATAAAAGGTTAGGAGATAATATGTCACCACTCTTTTGTTACTCAGGGTTCAGAACTGCAAACATAAGTTTAACATCTATGTGATAGCGACCAGTAAATGTTATTAGTCAGGGTCCAGGGAAGGTTTAAGTAGTAGTAACTTGAGTTATAAATAAATGATATGTTTTGTGTTACGTGTAAAAAAAGGCCAGGACCCAATATTGCGGAGACAAAATCACCAAAAGTTTAACAAAAATATCAGCAAGAAAAAAACAAAAAAACATAAAATCACCACACAGGGTAAAAAGGCTCGGGGGGGCACGGAGCGCTACTGAAACAGAAGAAAAACAAGTGTCAGGAAAAATTACAGAAAAGCTCAAACAACCTCTGACACTAAAAGTACAACTTAAATAGACCGTGTGGGGCAAGTAACAAAGGAATATAAAGTCAACTCGAAAGTTCAACAGAAAACAAAAGACAAACTGAAAATCACCTAAGAAAAATGAGAGGGAAAAAACTAGACCTATAAAAGTACAAAACAACTGAGACAAAGTGACAAACAAACTTACAAAAGACACAAAGGCAGACTGGAGGTCACGAGAGGTACAGAGTGATTCGGCTCGAGAGGAAGACTAAGATAATCATCCGGCAAAGAGCAGGACAGGGATCTGGCTTTTAAAGGCCAGCTGATGAGCACAATGAGGTGCAGGTGTGTTCCTGATCAGCCGAGCCAGCTCCGCCTCCTGCCATGCTCCAGTGCTGCAGGAAGAGAAAGAGAGAGCACACAGACAACCAAAACATAAAGAAACAGCCCTGGACATTTTGCTGTGTGTTAGACAGGCTGTACTACAGCAAAAGATTCCTATTTACTAGTATGGAAATATAAATTGTGACTAACTGATTCTAAAGGGAAGAACAGTCGCAGAAAAAAAGCCCAAGCCAGCTCATGGATTCCAATTCCTAATGACTCCTTATTTCGATTCCAAACAGGTGAACGGAAGCTAAATGAAAATTTAGGAGACTGTTGCAAACTAAACAGCAACATCAACATCATGTAAATACATATAATAGATGAGAATGTAAAATTAAGTACATAAGGTAAGAGATGCTTCTGATAAAATGCTTCTAATGCTTCTCTTCTATCGTTTGGCCACTGTTAGGGAAAGCCACAGCGGTGCTTGCTCTGGGGCTTGATGTCTCACACCGCAAGACATCAAACACTGCACAGTCCTGAAGTTCAATGCCATGAAGTCTTAAATGTCTTGTCAGGTTGGAAGTGCAACCTGTCTTGCAGCTTATTAACTTCCCACATGTGCTGCACTGTTGCACCAGACTGTGTGTTTACTCATAGCTTTGGTGGAGATGGAATAGCAGGAGAGTGATCCTTGACAGTTAAATTTATCTGGGGTGATTTAATGTGCTCTGAACTCTTGTTTTTGTTCCCACACCATTGTCAAAAGATTGAAAGATTTCTTGAGCATGTGCCTTCAGTAGTTAAAGGTGAAATTGTCTTTAACTTAGCATACAAATACTCTGTTTTGATGTAACATATGACCACATTTGTTTGTCAAGTCAACTCACACCCAGTGGATGGTGATTCCTCTCTCTCTGGCCTGTTTGTCTCGGTGGGTTTCAGTCTGTGTGGTTGCTTGGCTGTAGAGTCAATATAATTCCCAGATCAGATAATGCTGTAAGGGTGTGCAATTATTAAAGCAGGTACCAAGAAAGATATGTAGGAAGCAGAATTATTTTCTCATGCAGAAAATGCTTTAAGATCATCCTTTATTATTGAGGTTTAGACTCATCAGACAATCTGTCAGATATATTTAAAACCAAGAAAACAAAAATATGATGAAGTAAGCAAGAACACAACTTATTCTTCACATTGCTTGAACCACAAATAACACATATCATTTGACTAGTTGTTGTATTTGAAGATGGATGTTTTCAGACAGCACAAAGTGTTCACTCTGCTTTCCTTTCTGTTGTCTTGTATTAGCTTGAAACAAAGACATTTGAAGACTGTTAATGTGTTGTGAAAAGTGAGTAGGTGTTGGTGTTGACATTGCCCTGTTTTCTCCCTCTCTTTTTTTTAAGTGATGGATAATGCTCATACAAAGACAGTGGAGGAGGTTTTGGGCTTCTTCACCGTAAACGAGTCAACAGGTCTAAGCTGTGAGCAGCTGAAGAAGAACAGGGAGCGATGGGGACCCAACGGTACCAGACATCATTATCATTATATCTCTTTAGAATAATAAAATAGACTGAACTAAAAAGCCATCAAACTGCAAATATTCATATAAAAATAATACATATCTTTTGTAACTAACCATCGCACCCTGTGATGTTTGAATGATCACATTGCTATAACTCAGTTATTTCATGGATTAATAAAAAGAAACAAATTAATTACTCCATATACATTAAAGCCAAATAAACATTCTTTTCCCCACAAATAACATTTTTTTGAGGGACTTGAAATGAATTAATTCAAGGACACAGAAGTATCAGGTTATGCTAAACATGGCGATTCCACATTTAAAGCTAATGTGTGTAACTTCTATCGCCCCCTAGAGGATTTCTGCGTTATTACAACAATACAGCCAGCTCTTCAATATGACGTATGGCCTGGTGTAACCCGTACAAGGAGTAACACTCGCGACTCACTGCACACTGCTCATCACGTTACACGGACTATAACTGTCTACACATTGTTTAGGTCACTAAAGTTACTTGTCACAGCACACAGTTACACATAGCAACATGAACCAAACACCTTGTAAGTTATTACTTATTAGGCTAACAATTTGGCGAACACCAGGCTGCGAATAATACATGACATTTATAGCGCCATTTACGAGAAAATAATTTCCAGGGGCTGGGGGTAGATAGCCTGGGGCCGGGGTGGAGATACAGGGCTGGAGGTAAAGATCTAGGGGTTGGAGAGCCGGGGATAAGTATTCAATCCAGTACATGTAACAGCAACACATCCTGCTTGTGATAAACAAAGTCACTGACTTGGCCAGCAGGATCAAGGTAACATTGGTGTCGGACCTCAGTCCAATCTCCTCCTTCAGGGCTCTCCATAGAGGAAAAGCGAAGCTGATGCAAATCCGCATTCATCTTCTCCGTTTGTCACTCTCTTTCTTCGCCAACAGACTAGGATCCACTTCTAACCCTTTTGGTCGCTTCTTTGGGTTCTCCACCATGTTGCGTCTTGCAGCTTCATTTCCTGAGCGCAAGCACTGGAATTTCGCCACTGACACCAAATACAAGAAGAAGTACTGAAAAATACTGCAAGGTGTTAGAGGAGCCGAGTGGCTTAATTAGCATCGTATCATCTCTTGTAGTGGCTCGGGTGAAACGGATATTTACAAACACGCTAAAGTTACGCACTATAGCTTTGAACACTAGTTGATGAGTGATTGGATTTAACTTCCGATCAAAAAGGGGATAAGACAGACATGTTATCATTTAGATTAGATGTTTGTAACACTGGCCAAATTAATCAGAAAACCAGTGAATTGCTCTATCCCAACTTCTGGGTATTCTGTAATATAATTTGTTCAGATGTCAGCTGATGACATTTGTCTTCTTTTCTATCTGTTTTTTCTTTTGCCTGCAGAATTGCCAGCTGAAGAAGGTAAGCAATCGTCCTGTTTTACTATTTTCTACTCTGTCTCTCTTTGTCTTCTTTTTTCTCACTGCCAAAAGTTACAAAGGCTAAGAGTGTCCATAGAGAAAAAAGGAAGAACATCTACAGCAATATGTGACTGCTCTGTCTGCTCAGAATGATATGGTGTCAGATTGCTCATTGTGACTCATTATGAATGATGATTTCTTCAATTAAAAGTTACATATCATCATTGACTACTGAAAGGGAGCAATCCTGATCTCTGATCATCCAAGCCCTACATAAATGGTCAGTTTATGTGCAGGGAAGATATATTTGAAATATCTTGAAACAAATGTAAGCTACAGCAGTGGTCCCCAACCTTTTTTGTGCCACATACCACTTAGTTGTCAAACAATATTTTCATGGACTGGCCTTTAAGGTGTGGCGGATAAATACAACAAAATTAAAATTATTTGACCTGCATAAAAACTGTGATATTCTCACAATACAGTAATAAAACTGAATCCACTGTGTACTCCTTTGCAACCTGCTTAGCAGCATCCTTGTAACATTGCGCCGACAGCACAACATGAGTAACATCCTCTCTGCCCCCTGACACTCTCTGGTCTCTATCGTAACATCTAAACATACCTTCAAAATAACATACACAACAAAAACAAATGTTAAGTGCATGAAAAATACAACTTATCATAACGCTGAACCAGTGGAAGCCCTGAGCTTGTCGCTTTGCCACAAGACAGTCCCATCTAAGAGTAATTGAGGACAATGACTCCTGAAGTGTTTTGCTTATGTAAGGTCTACTCAGTATTTTTTTTTTTTACAAACCCCACTTCACATGGATAGGACTCATGGTATTGTCTCCTTTTTTCTTTAAAGTTGTAGGCTCTTCTTCTGTCTCCTCACTGGGCCTTTTCCTCTTTGCAAAGAACCTCTCCAAAAACATTTGTTTATTACTCATTTTGCTAGCTTGTAGGTTTAATTTTCACGGTAATGTAAAAACGTGACCGACACAATCATCTTGACTCTTGACGCACCAAGAATGAGTCATAGACAGATGTAACGGAGAGAATCTGGTCTTTTTTCAAGATTGAATATTATTGAAACTGAAATAACAAATAAAACAGAAATTATGTTATTGATATTTTCTGTGCGGCCGGGTACTAAATGACCCGCTGAACAGTACCGGTCTGCAGCCCAGGGGTTAAGGACAGGTGATGCATCCAACTGACCTGTTTTAAGAGAACATCTGAAAAATGTCACCCATGAAAAAGGGTGTCAACTGTCCAAAAGAAAACCTTATCCTAACATCACCTTAATGGACTGCACTGTATATATACTGAGTACATTTGTGGTACTGAGCATCTTAGCGCTGTCCAAGGTGCTGAGCCTGCTGCTGGGAGCTGCCAGGAAGCTTCTCAGAGAGCTCTCTTCTTCCCGAGTCAACAAGACAGACAGACAGCTCCTCTTAAGCACAACTTGCTAACAGGTGCCTGTTCTAACCCAGTTCCTTTCTGTGCAGGGAATTACAACTCATACAGCTACATCTCCACATCTGACAATTTATATCCCATGGAATCACATAGAATCTGCTATAACACTGTTCAGAGAGCCAACACTGGCATGTTACTGCCCGACTGTGTGATTTTACATGGCACCATCTGAAAGCAATTTGAAGACATGTAACACAACAAAGGGGACAACATATGGACACGTAACAAATATGTCTTGCATCTTTATGAGGGGTTTGCTATCTGCTCTGAAGGTAAGAAGCTGCAGGACTTCACAGTCATTATAAGAACTGGTGGATATTTGTAGAGTCCGCGAGATAACCCTCTGTCTTTTTTTTTTTTTCAATTCGTTTGTAAAAACACTGCACAAAACATCACACCCCTGTCCCATCCTGCCTGTTCCAAGATTTGAACCTTTGGTAATTGCCATAAGTACCTCCCAGCTTCAACCTTAGGAGTGAATGATTGAGCCCCTATTTGATATTTTTATCCTCCATCCAGAACAGAGTAATTTAGCCACAGCTCCATCTTACTCAGGCTAACAGAGGCTGCAGAATACAAGAAACAGTCATGCTCATGATGTTTGTATGAGCATGTCTGGATACCTCTGCAAGTATGTTGGGTCATCCAAGATAGTTTTTTAGCTCATGTAACTCAAGAGAAATGTTATCTTGCCCACCATACTATAGTACATTAGGTGCTCTTGATGTTCACAATAGGGGTTTGACAACTTCTTATTTTTACTAGTGGCCAAGTTTTCCAAAATATTCACTGGGTGGCTATGGAAGAAAGAGCAGAAATAATGGTACAATTAAAACTGTCTTCTATGATGCTAACAACTCAAGCATTCACAGTAAGGTATCTGCATTAAAACACAAGAAAGAAAAAATCACAATGAAAAGTATTATAGTCATACAGCTTTAGGGCTGCTGCTAGCCCCCTTACTTGTGGCTATAACTGTTGGATTTACCCAGAATTTCCACCGTATATGTATAAACATCTGCCAATTCCTACCGGATCTGATTGTGAGGCGAATTTCGTGGCGGATTACAGCAGTAACGCGAGAAGTCACACGAACCTGTGACGTGATTCACGTGCAATCGTGCGATAACAAGTTGTCTCTATAAAGACAGCCATATAACCATGTAAGCTGTAGATTGTGTCCTTCCAGAGGAGGAAATCTACTTCTAGACTTTTAGAATTAGCATCTGCTCATCCATGGTGTCATCGAGGTGAGCGGCACAGCCCGGCGTAAGTATCCCCCCTCCCTAACTCAACTCCTCCCAGCAGTGTAAGTCGTAGGAAGGGAGCAGAGAGGGGGTGGAGTGGGTTTAACACAGCCGAGACCTGTATTGACCAATAACATCAGCTCCTTTCTTCACCTTTAAATCCGCCACCGGTGAGATGTATTACTATTTTCGTGACGTAGTCAAAGAGATCAAGAGATGTCTGCAAACAGCAATGCCACACAATGGCGACAGAAGGCAGCCCCTCAACAAGTGTCGGTGTAAACGCTGCATTGGGCGTCCTCCACACTGTCTCAAATAAGCACAGATGGATTTGGTGTGTGTAATGTTGGACCCACTAGTAAGACAAACACCCTTTTCCACAAATAAAGACACTCACATAAAGTTGCATATATTTAAACCTCACGTGACAAAGGTGGGTTGTGTGCAGAGATCACATCATAAATTCCAATAATGGCATTAAAATCAGAACCATCTGTGCGTAAATGAAGCATCGCACTCCGTGGACTGGCTGTTTCTTTCATAGATGTTGGCATATAAAATAAATTTGGCTCACAAAACTGAATATTATAATATTCGTATGTAGGCTTAAAGTAAATAACTCATCTGATCACTGAAACAAATCATCTGTTCAGCCGCTGCAGCAGCAGCTGCAGCAGGACGGGGAGAGGACACAGAGACATGTCCAGGTTGAGCTGCGCGAGAAATAAGAGGAAGAGGAATAAAGAAAAGGAGGGAGACGAATTACATATCTTGTTCACTTCATCATGTGTGTTTATTTACTAGATATTTCATTTAAATTAATGCGGTTTCAGCTGTGTTGATTCGGTCAGGTTGTGTGTCCAAACGCGTGCCAAACGCGCTCATCAGATCAGATATAGATCACAATATATCTATATAGATCTAAATGTATGTGCTGACTCAGATTATTATTAGCGGGGTCTGCACCCTCCACCGCCTCACCGGCGGACACGAAAATAGAGCCCATTAACTCAAATGGTTACGATCAGTGGGTACAGCCTTTTCGTAGCCATTCTAGAGCCTTTATTTTCTCCCTCAGATTCAGGCTGATTTTGTTTGTTTCTTCTGTCTTTATCTGTTTCCTGTTGCCCCGTGCAGGAAAGTCACTCTGGGAGCTGGTCCTGGAACAGTTTGAGGATCTGTTGGTCAGGATCTTACTGCTCGCTGCGTGCATTTCCTTTGTAAGAAAAATACAAATTCATGCATGGCTACCAACAAACACACACAGATACACACTTGTGTGTGTTCTTATGAACTAAAACTGTCTCTTCTCCTGTCCTCTGGCTTATAGACCCTTGCGTGGTTTGAAGAAGGGGAGGGAACAATTACAGCCTTTGTTGAACCTTTTGTTATCCTCCTCATCCTCATTGCCAATGCTATTGTTGGAGTGTGGCAGGTAAAACAAGACTGTTCTGCACTTGTGTGTCTTTACAATGTTTTAAAATGATAATGATAGCACTCACTAAATAGCTCCAACTCAAATCATCCTTGAGTGGGCTTTTACAGAGTGTCAAATTTCCTGTGTTGATAGCCCTTAAGAAGAGTTGATGTATGGTATATTTGGTATTTGTATCAGATTATGTAACTGGCTTTCGTACACCTATGTGCTACATTGTTCTTTTTGTTGAATTCACTAACTCTTTGTTTTGGTGTCTTTCAGGAACGTAACGCAGAAAATGCCATTGAGGCGCTGAAAGAGTATGAGCCAGAAATGGGAAAAGTTTACAGGCAGGACAAAAAGAGCGTCCAGAGAGTCAGAGCCAGAGACATCGTCCCTGGAGACATTGTCGAAGTCGCTGGTAGGCAGAAAAAGAGCTTCACTGTTATCTTTTGAAGTCTGTGCTTTCGGTGATGGATGAGATTTTTGTGCTTGGTGTAAAAGTTTTTAGTGAAACTATTGATATTAGTGCAGACTGCAGCTGTGAGTGAAAAGGCAGTTGAGCAATGCAGGTGAAATCCAGAGAAATCCGAGAGGCATGATCCTAATCCACTGTGTCAGGATAACCTCACAACATGAACCCAAACACACAACATCCTAATGGCACAGAAAGACTCCAGACTTCACAGACACTGAGCAGAGGGAAAACCATGCAGCCACGTCATAATCTCAGCTCTGACTCACGTATAATCTAGGATATTACTCATACATAATCTGAGCAATGACTCATGGTACAAAAACAACTCAACCAAAATTGAAGGCAGAGAGATTAAAGTGCATTGAATTGATTTCACAGATGCAGAAAAATCAGACATAGTCAGCAACCAAACATTTATAACAGCAGCCACAAAAATCTTTATCAGACACCTGAGTTTGTTTCTTGATGACCGCCTTCTGAATGAACCACATCATCAGGTCACACAAACAAGCACGTTAGAAAAACACCTCGCTTTTTTTGCTCACTAATCAAACAGGATGCATGACTCAGCTACAAACAGGATGTGAGCTTGATTTGTTGCTGCTAGCTGCTATTGTTGACTATTGACTGTATATGAAGGTCTTTTTCTTCCCATTTTTAAAAGTGATGCTGACATACTTCCCCACTGATGGTAGGTATGATGTGCTGGTGATGTATTTTGGATTAGCAGAGAAGCAATCTGGCTGGTAGAGCCACAGAGGTCACAGCTCATCAGCTCATCAAAGGCTGTTTGTGCAGGATTAGAATATCCTGAGGACCTCTGCTAAATTACTCTCCTGACCTGCGTGTCTTTTGTTTGGCTCTTTCACAAACAATAAGTGACATCTGTTATTTTTTACCTTTCTGACTGAAAATGCTGAGGCACTGTTTAAAATAAGATCATCAGATTATATAGATGATATATTTTTTTTCTTTCTTTTTTTCCTAGACTTTATCCAACTGCCGTTAAGAACCAGAAAGAGAGTAAAAAATAAAAAAGAAAGAAAAGAAAATTTCACAGGAATCACATGCACATATGCACTAGGGGTGTGAATCTCAGCACTGAGGACGATTCGATACGCATCTCGATGCACTGCCAGCGATACGATACTTTAACGATACATGGAATTTTCTGGCGATACGATGCGATACGATTCACCCTCTTTATGATGCGATATGATACGATAATGATTTAGTTCAAATCAATGCGATCCGATACGATAAGATGCAATTTGTTGCGATATGATACAATTCAACATGATGCAAATAAGCAAAGAAAAAAAAGAAATAAAAATAAAAGATGGAATTCAGTATGGTACTACAAAAATGATTTGGCTTTATTCCTTAAAGGCACTTAGCAGTAAATTCAACAAAAGTGCTTTTTGTCTTTTTTCTATGCTCCTTTGGGTTCCATTTTGTACAGTTACACAGATTAGACAGACCTTCTGCAACTGTTAAGGAATCTGAATCAATAAAATCAAAAAAAAAAAAAAAAGGATTCCAATCCCAACCCCACATCACACAAGTGCTCTATACTTGTTGGGTAATATTACAGTACACATTATTAAACAACTAATGCACTGCCTAACATGGTGCAAATAAACCATTCAATGGCCATACTACTGTCTGCCAAACCAGTGTGCTAGAGTTGACTTTCTAACTGGCCACTGAAAATCAGTGATTTGAGTGAGTTCTGCAATAATAAAAGAGTGAAACAATTACACAATAATAACTGCTGTAAAAAGTACAGTAAACAGCAACAACAAAACACTCTCAATGAGTAACCTAAAGTGACACTTTCAATAGTGCAATCAATGTTAAGGGAGGGGAGGTGGCGTTAGACTTGTCGGTGATGTGGTGTACTCTTTTTAAGTGGGTCTGCATGTTTGTCGTGCTGCCGTTGTACGGCTTCTTAACGCGGCATTCTTTGCAAATGACGGACGTTTTGTCGAGCTTTCCATCTTTCTTTGCAAATCCGGAGTGTTTCCAAACATATGATTTAAACGTAGCGGGTGCATTACATATAAACTCTTCCTCTCTGCTGCTCACTTGTACGTGGTCCATGCTGTTTTACTAGTAGTGCATTGTATGTCCCTCACGGCTTCCGTCCATATTCAATACAAAACGCGAAATAATGATGGTGCATTCATTGCGCCTGGGGAACAGCAGATGGGGTGAAGTTTAACATGAATAAAACGGCGCTTGCATCGGATTTTACTGATACCCACCAACGCATCTAGATGAATCTAGATTTAACCCATCAATTGCATCGATATCCAGTGAATGAGCCGACGCAGTGGCATCGCGCACATGCGCATCAATGCATCGATTAATTTAGATTATTTTCCACACCCTTAATATGCACACAGTAGGGCTGCTCTATTATGGCAAAAATCATCCGTTTTCAGCTCTTTTACTGTTTACATCTGATCATTGGCTGCAGATCCAAAAAATCCTTCTTTAAAACCTCAAGACTTTTTTGCCTGGAAGTCATGAGCTCACAGGGCTTATCAGTGCGACTGTTTCACTCGCATTTGCGACTAAAAATAGATGTGTGCGAATTGAAAAATGTATTTAGGGGCACATGTGCGCTTAAAAAATCAGCAGGGGTAACAAATGTTTTTTCATGTTAATACTGCGGTGAAGTTAGTTTTAGGAGAAGAAAAAAATTGGTTAGATAGCACCCCCCCCCACCCACTCCTTCATCCAATTGTGTTAGGCATGATTATTTTGTCTGTATAAAAGATACTTCATCAAACCAGACTTTATAACATTTCTTAAGAGGATCAAAGTTAAAGAGATTGAAGAGTCTAGAGAGTTGCGGAGTTGGGGAACATGGATTTTGATGACATTTTTATGAAATGAAGAAATTGAAAGTTCTTCTGACTTCTTGTTGAACAGTAATGACTATTTGATGACACCAGAAGGAAAGTTTTAAAAAATGACTGGAATTTTTTGTTTGTGATGAATAGATTCAAACACAAATAAACATGTTTGAAGCTTGTTAATTTAAAAACTGTTCCCTAAATAAAGGCGCAGGAGGTGCTTGATTGGTAGTTTGAATCTTTTTTTAATGGAGGTTATCTTTGTAAGATGAGAGGAATATGAGGCAGCCCATACAATGTGACAGTATGACAAATATGGATGGATGAGGCTGTAATACAATATCATAAGACAGGGCAGATGAGCTAAGAGAGAGATCTTACTGATGATACAAAAGGACTTAATAATTTTCTTTGCTTTCTTACTCAATATGGTTTTGCCAGGATATCCTTCATTGACTAATATACCAATAAAAATTGATGCAAGGGACTTGTTTGATTTCAATGTTGCTGGTAAGCAGTTTTGAGTGTTGTTTAGGACAAGCTGTATTTTTGTTTCTAAAGAGTATATACAGTAGTTTGATTTGTTGGCATTCAAGAAGAGCTTGTTCATCTGAAACCATCTAGAGGCATATACCAGGGTCTAATTGGCATTTTTTATTAGACACCCAAAGTCTGAGTGGGATATGGCAGTATTTGTTTCAATCTGCAAATAAAATGAGCAGAGAAGGCTCATTCAAGACCATAGACTGTATATACTACGGACAACTTTGTTCCACCTACCGCCTGTATGCGGATTTGAAGCCAAATAGCTCTCGGTATTTCCGGGATTTTTCTTCATTTCCTGAAACCAGTGCTGTGCAGTAGCGATCAGCGCAGTCGCCAAGAGTCGCTATGATACTGCTCGGCTCAAACAGCGTATCCCCCTGGTGAGCTGCGCAGTCCCTGAATGCCCATAGGCTGTATCAAGTGTCAATCATAGAAAACATGAACCCCCTAATAACTTTTAAAAATGGAGCCATAAAGAAAGAAGAGGACTTGAGCACAAACCAGTCTGACAGTAACTACATGTCAACACCGCAAGCAAGGGGGAGAAAAATTTATATTCTGTGTAATAAATTTCTAAAGTTTGTCCACAGCCCCGTAAGCTTTGCTGGCGGAGGCAGGATTTATGACCTATACTGCAGCCCATCAACAGAGGGTGCTGTTCTTGGTGGCTTCACCCAGCAAGGGGGCAGACTCTGTCTATTCTTTATACAGTCTATGGTGAAGACAGCAGAATCATTAGTAAAGATTAGAGACAGAAGGGGCCCAAGAATAGCACCATGAATACAGACATATTGTTCTCTGTTGCTAAGATAAACACTCAATCATGTGAATACAACATCCTTAAGTCCACACCGGTGGGGTTCTGACAGAAGAATATTGTGGTCTACTGTGTCATATGCTTTAGAGAGATCCAAGAATATGCCAATAGCAAACACATTTTGATCTAGTCCAGTAGAAATTTGATCCATTTGTTGCAAATGTGCCGTATATGTAGGGGGCTTTTTTGAGAAAGCTATATTGGTGTTTGTACAGAATGTTGTTATCATGAAGGTGTATAATGACTGAAGAGTGATAGGACTGAAATTAGTCTGTAGTTGTGGAAAACACCCGGATCACCTTTAAAGACAAACAAGACCTTTGCCACTTTTAGGTCACTAGGAATAACCCCGGTTTGTAGTGATACATCCAGGAAAACCAGACAGCTTCCCTTTGGTATCTCCACATACCACTCAGTCTATTGTTAGTTAACCTCTGCATCAGTGCTACCCTCTCTTGGCACCTTATTTGTTGCTTTGAACAGAAAGTGAAAGTAGTCCACCCCAAGTCAGTGGAAATTGAAACAAGGTTACTTTTCTTTAAACCAATCAAGTTCATTTTTGTACAAACTTGTACTTTGGTTTGTTTTTGATTCCATCCGTTCAGGCTTGAATAAATCATTAGTAAATGGGTCAGTCAGTAAAATTGTCTATTCCTGAGAAATGTTTTTTTTTTTCACTCAGATTTTTGTCAGTGCTGAACCCTGAATACAAATTTGGTTGCCCTTTAAAGACATCAGATACAGAGACCCACTAAAGGTGTGTACCCTCCAAAAGCAGTTAAGCATTTTCAGGCTGTGTCTCATTTCAGAGACTGCACCGTCGAACGGCGCATTTGAAGTGTGCATGAGTTCATCACGCGGCGCAAACTGTGTCCCATTTGGCACGAAATGCTGAGCGTGCTTCAAATTCGGTCTTAAAACCACACTACCCCCGCCCCTTTTTTAAGCGAGCAAACCAAACATTATAGTCTTCAGAAAAGAACTGATCCGCTCTGCAACGACAATCAAAAACATTAGAAATAAGAAAGCTGACAAAACTACAGCAGAGTATCAGTGACACATTGAGTTTTTTTTCTTTTTTTTTTTTTTTAAGACTTAGAGATTAAAGTTGTAAACTTAGGAGAATAAAGTCATAAAGTAAATAAAGTCATAAAGCTGCTCTTGTGGAGGGGAAATGTCTGGAGCTGGTCATCTGCAGGGTTATCAGTATATACTGTATATCTATATATACTGTGATTGTTCAACAGCCGCACCAGTGCATCATCCCATAGATCTGTATGGAGGAGAAACCACTTAGAGATCCAGTTTCCTGTTCTAAAGCTGCTATCTGTGGTGTAACAGTGTTTTTGTCTTTGTTAATATACACTACAGGCCAGAAGTTTCGAAGCAACGCCGAACAGTTGGGAGTAACTTCAAGTTTTTGTTCACAACTCCAGCATGAGTTTTATGTATTTCGGGATGTATTTACTCCATGATCAGATGTTGCTTTCATTTACCTTTAGATATACATTGATGTTAACAGACCATTGCTTAATATATGTCAGCAATAGATAATAAGGGCTTAGTTTTAGGGTTGAAAACAAGAAAAGAGTCACAACTTCAGTGCAAAAGCAAAAAAACTAATCAAAGTTGGATTATTCACTTCAACTTTTTGGCTTTTGAGAGTCTGCATACAAAAATCCTAATAAATCTCAACTGCGTTCAAACTATGGCAAAAATGGCTAGAAAGAAGCAACTGAGTAAAGAAACAGAAGTACAGATTTTTACATTGAGGAAAGAAGGATAGACAGAAAGAGAAATTGCAAAACGCCTAAAGGTGTTTAACAAAGGAGTCCACTACACTCTGAAGAGACTCGAGGAACCTGGAAGTTATGATGATAGAAAAAGACCTGGACAAAAGAGAGTTACTACAAAAGCAAAAGGGACAAACATAGCATTGTCATCAGTAAGAGAGATTGGCGAAAGACAGCACCACAAATAAGGGAGGAAATCAACATGACAAGATCGAAACCCATATCTCTGACAACCGTGAAATGACGTTTGAGAAAGGCTGGTCTGAAGGGTTGTGTATCTGCAAAAAAAACACTACTTCGTCCACAGAACAAGAAAAAGGGATATGAGTAGGCAAAAGCCAAAAAAAAATTGGGCTTATGATGACTAGAAACAAGTTTGCACTGTTGTGTTACACCTACAATTCAGCATGGAGGTGGTAGTTCCATGGTATGGGGATGTTTTGCAAGTGATAGAGTAAAAGATTTGTTTGACGTAAAGGGTATCATGAAGAAGGAACAGTATCACTCCATCCTCCAGCACCATGCTGCTCCATCTGGACTCAGACTTGTGGCTCATAAGTTTGTTTTGCAGCAAGACAATGACCCTAAGCACTCTGCCAAGCTCTGTCAGGGTTACCTTGACAAAAAAAGAAGAGGAAGGTGTTCTTCAAAATGATGGTTTGGCCCCCTCAGTCTCCAGATCTTTCTCGAATTGAGCTTGTGCGGGATGAATTGGATCGATCAGAAAAACGCTTCCCACGAATCAGCAGTCTCTTTTTAATGAACTTAAGAAAGCTTGGAATGCAATCCCTGAAACATACCTTAAAAAACTTGTGGAATGAATGCCTGGTATATGCCAAATTGTTGTTAAAGCCAGAGGAGGTTACTTTAAAGAAAGCAAAGCCTAAGCAACAATAACTCAAATACCTAATAATTATAGTCAAAATGTCTTCTGATAAGTTACTCTTACAAAATAGTCATGTTTATTGTGTTGCAAATTATATATATGAAACTATGATCTTTTTTTGTACAAATCTGATCTTGCTTCCAAACTTTTTGCCTGTCGTGTATGAATATTTTGTTCATGAAATGTCACTGAAATATGAGGCAAACAGAGCATTTGAAACAGACTTTACAGTCACAGAACAGAAATAAGTATGCAGCTAGTAGACACAGGCCCTAACTACCACAATGTTGGGGTTATAAAGTCATTTTCTACACTCATGAGCCACTTCCTGTTTGAGCTATCTTCAATCATATCTTATCAACAAACTTAAGAGAGTACTTTTTGGGTCTGCAAACAAAAACAGTTATCACAAGCATTTGTCATCTTGTAGTAATGATGAAACTACTTGCAACCCTTTTTCGAAACAGTATGTACCAAAAGAGTTGCTGGAATCCCTTGTGATGTTTTCCCCCATTGTGGGAGAGAAATCACAATAAGTTACATAGAAAGCCTCCAGCTCTGATCAATGTCACTGAGTTCCCATGCTCTGGAAGCTGAATGCTTTTACTACAGACAGAGGGGCTCCAGATCACACAGAAAGAAACACACACACACACACACACACACACACACACACACACACACACTCACTCCTAACCCTGTTTCCTCTCTCTGAGCAGCCTGAAATAGCAGCAGCTATCTGGGGGATTCAACATTTTTCTTATTGGGTCAAGCTTGTGTATGTTTCCTTGTGTTAGTGTTTTTGTTTTTGTTTTTTGGATACAACTGACCTCAACATTAAAAAAAAGTGAAGTCCCATGTGTATGAATGAATACTAGTAAAAAATGATGCAGACTGGGCTAAATGGCCTCCTAAATTATTTGTCTCATTGCTAAACCAGTGACGTCTGAACACATGTAATCTCTGTATGGACTGTCTCACTGTACTGAACCATCTGACTTCAATCACTATGCAAGACTCTCTTCTGATCTTTCATATCTTTTCTTTAAACTCTAATAAAAAATCTTTTAGATGCACTCAAACCAAATATTTTCCACAAGGCCTCTTTGAGTAGCTTCTTATTGCGTTTCTATAACAATAGCAGCAGGAGAGGAGGGCAGTGAGGGAACAGCAGGCATGCACATGAAGATATTTGCCAGAAATGGCTAAACAGAGATGCCACAGTGTTATTTCAGCTATGTTTAAACAAGCCTGCAGTGGATGTGCACTGTGCTAAAATACAACAGTCTACAGAAAGCTGGCTGTACTCAAGTATTTTATGTGTAGAAGAGAGGCAGTGTGAGTGGAAAAGATGAGGAATGCAAGATTTTGATTTCTTGAAGTCAAAGTTTATTCAAGCTGGCCACAAAAGACAAAAAGCTGACACTTTTGAAAGCTTTGACTGACCCCTTCCTCTCTGCTTGCCCAGCATTGTTGTGTGTTTTTTATTATAATTGACCTAAAGTAAGTTGGTTTTACTGAAGTAAAATGGAGTACTTGTTGTTACTATTATTACTCAAGTAATGTTACACTCAGGCCAGTTTTCACAAGGTGATTCAAGAAGCCTCTCCAACCCTCCTCAGATTATCATAAGCCTTTTTATGGTTTTGACTTTTAGACTTACCTACTCCCTACTCTGCACACTTTGGGCCTGATCTACTAAGATCCAAAATAGCGAGCACTAAATTGTGTGTGCAAACTAAAAAATTGCACATGCTTTTAGTTAAGGCTGCACGATACTGGAATAAACTAACATTGTGATTTTTTTCAACCCTGCGATATATATTGCGATATTAAAAAATACAGGAATTTTCACCAGATGACCTGAATAGCACTTAATGTTACGCTGCACTGCTGAAATCTTGAGGACAGTTAACCTGCACTGATCTTACCTCTTTTTTGTAAATGTTAGTAGAATGGTTTCTGTCTGTCTCAGAGATATTTTTAGCTTTTATTGTGCTGGGACGTTCTTGTGGCAACAGATGAACACAGAACATGTGTTTTGGTCGACATCATCCTTCTTTAAACCGAAATAATTCCAGATAACTGACTTTCCTTTTCTTTTTGGCAACAAGTCTTTATCTTTGGTGGTTTTCTCTGTTTGTTGCTCAGTTTGCGATCATTGTTGTTGTTGATACCGGGGTTGAGTTGAGAAACGCATGTCCGAGAATTGCATGCACCTCACAAAACGCGCGCTGCTTATAGTAGAGTGGTCCGGGGAAATGTGCAATTTAAAACCCATACACTTCTTACTTGTTGGGCTAAACAGTGATGAGTAATGTTCCGAAAGTAATTCTCAGCGGACACGCGTTTCTCGGCTCAACTCTGGTAGCGCCAGAGACTCACTCCATGTGCAGAACATGTGCAGGAGTGGGTTTCCTCCTCTCTGATTTTGATTGACAGCTGGCAGTGTAGTCTGATTGGCAACTGAGTAAAGAACAAAGGTGATTGGTGGATCACTGCACAGCACATGCAGAGTCACATGTAGTGTATCTCGGTCAGCTACCCTTGAAATTAGATGAGTTCATTCACCTCCGACATCGCAGGCTCTGCTATGTGACTATTGCACACACGTACATTGCGATGACGATGCTCAAACGATATATCGTGCAGGCCTACTTTTAGTGGGCGTGTTGCGGGTGATCTACTATAATTGCGTGTGTAATTGATAGCAGGAGGAAAAGTGGTGTGGACCGCCCTCTTTAAACAGGGATTTTGCGTGCGCTATTGGCTGTCACCATGGAAAGTTTGTGAGAGCCGGGTGTTTGAAGCCACAGAGTTGTACATATCGTTTTGAGGAACTGCATAAAAGGCAAGGGAAGTTTATTTGTACAGCACCATTCATACACAAGGCAATTCAAAGTGCTTCTGCCAGATGCAAGAAGATACTAGAAATCAAAAAGGGGATTAAAACATTTTAAAATCGATAGGACAAACAGATACACGTTTTCGTCTGTTTCGTGTTTGACCGTATTATTTATGGAAATCGTCATTTACCGGAAAAAATGAAATAAATCACAAGGTTTTGTACAAGGATCATGGTGTGTATCATGGCACTTCTACATCCTTCTCTCCACAATGATTGTGCGTAATGCTGCTCCAGTTTGCACGTGCCTTTAAACGTGCTAAATATAGACGCAAAATAGCGATCACAATCGGTTTCAGGGTTTGATAAAGCGTCTTCCGACCCAACAGAAGACTTGATGTGACCAGATCAGCGCTGAAAAAATGTCATCATAAGCACCGCTGCACACAGCAGTCGTTGTCCTGAAATTTAAGTGTCTCTGGGCAAGACACTTGATCCCATCTGCCCCCAGTGGGGGTAAATAGGATCAGTCAAAAGCTGATGGGCTCTATATACACTCAGCAGCCTCTGGTATCAGTGAGTGAATGTGACATGATGTAAAAAGCTCTATTTTAGTGCCCGCCGGCGGCACGGCGGAGGGTGGTGCACCCTGCGCAGTGGTATTTTCGTCTGGCGAAGTCCAGCACACAGCCAGTCTGGTATTTTTGTAGACTGAGGGGGGAGGTGTCGACAGAATCAGCTGGCGCAGTGACATTTTCATGCTCGACGGCAGTGTAGAAAGTGCGCTGAAAGCTCGCCGATTCAAACCTGGTTAGCGTTCAGCGCAGGCAGAGCACAGTTGGTCTTGTGGTATTTTGGTAGACAGGCGGCGTAATGCGCATACGCCACCGATGCCTCACAGGCAGGTTTCCACAGTGTCAGGCACGTTTGTGCAATAAACAACCAATATTCTGAGTCAGCAAATACATTTAGATCTATAGATATATTCTGATCTATATCTGATCTGATGAGCGTGTTTGGACTGCGTTTAGACACTCAACCTGACCGAATTAACACAGCCGACACTGTGCCGTATCCCCTCTCTCTCTATAATGACTTACACTGCTGGGAGGAGCTGAGTTAGGGAGGGGGGATACTCACGCCAGGCTGCGCCACTCACCAAAATACCAAAATGTGCTTGGGCACACCTTGTCAGCGCGGTGGACCTGTCTTAAGCCGTGCCTGTGCCACGCCGCCAGTGAGGCACCAAAATAGAGCCTATAGAGAGAGAAACACATGGACCTGTGTGAAATAAGACCTTCTTCTCTATGTGCCGATGAAGTTTAAAGGTGCATGATGTGTACTGACCGCCCAATCAGATACCAAGACTTTGTTTCTATAATGAGACTCTTTTTTTTCCCTCTCAGTTGGTGACAAGGTCCCAGCAGACATCAGGCTGACATCCATTCGCTCCACCACCCTGAGGGTGGACCAGTCCATTCTGACAGGGGAGTCAGTGTCGGTGCTTAAACACACAGATCCTGTACCTGATCCACGAGCTGTCAACCAGGACAAGAAGAACATGCTGTTCTCTGTAAGTCTGACTAAACCACAGCGTTACCTCATACATATGAGACAAGAAAAAAGACACCATCGAGAAAAAGGTCAGGGGATAGGGACCAGTAGAGGAACTATAAAGTGTTCAAATGTTTAGAGCAGTTGAAGTGCCCTGACCTAATAAGACTGTAGTTCTCATTGCAGTGGTTAATGGTTCGAGTACCGGCCCAGACCCTTTGCTGCAAGTCTTCCCCACTTTCTAATCCCTGTGCTTCCTGCCTCTCTTTAGCAGTCCATCCAAATATATATGAAAATATCTTTCAAAAGATGATGACAAAAATATTAAAGTGCATTACCACATACACCGTAGGGTTAGGTCTTTAAGAGGAAGAAAATGAAGCGTAAAGTCAAAGTGATGTATAAAAGTTCTAAAGGTGAAACCAATGACAAGAATATGTAAAAGATGGGAGCAGGAACACATGACACTGATCAGAGCATCAGGTGAGCTCCTGTTTGATGTCCTGCTCAAGCTGTTTGTTGTGTTTTCTTTGTGTAACTTCAAAAGCCTCATGAGTCAGCAGGTGGTCTGACGCTCAGTGAACCTACATTGATGCTTTATTCAGCAGGGTCACTTGGATAGACTGCAGACCTGCAGGATGGTCTCTAGACCCCTCAGAGAGTGCCTAACATACCTGCTAATATCAGTAATCGTAGACATTAGAGTTTTATTGTGACTGTTTGACATGAGAGCATGCATGATGACTTACAATAAAGAACACACAGGTAAGTAAGTGTGTGTCTCTCTAAAATGCTATCTGCTGAGCTCTAAAGCTGAGCTGGAAATAAATATACACAGTGAAAGTAAAGTATTATAAGTTGCACACCTTGTTTAGGGCACCAACATCGCAGCAGGACGAGCCATCGGGGTTGTTGTGGCAACAGGCGTACAGACAGAGATCGGGAAAATCAGAGATGAGATGGCCTCAACTGACCCTGAACGGACCCCACTGCAACAGAAACTGGATCAGTTTGGAGAGCAGCTGTCAAAGGTCAATGTTGTTTTTTTTTCTGTTGAATGCTTGAATTGGATGAAGCATTTGTGTTACTTTTAAAGATAGAATTGCTTTACCCCTCTATCATCCTGAAATCTGTTGTGACCTGCAGGTGATCAGTGTGATTTGTGTGGCGGTGTGGGCGATCAATGTTGGACATTTTAATGATCCCGTGCACGGAGGCAGCTGGCTTAGAGGAGCTGTTTACTACTTCAAGATTGCAGTGGCCCTGGCTGTCGCTGCCATACCAGAAGGTCAAGCATACTGAGGCTGTGAATTCTCTTTATTACTGCATGACAAACATAAGAGCTCTTATATTGACATGAAACACCTGAACTTTTTCTGACTATCTGGGTGAGATTCATGTGTGAGTGCAGACAGCCAAATGTTCTAGCCAAAATGACATTTAGCAGAAAGTCTGATGCGTCTGCAGTAATTTTCACAAAGCTTCTGCTCCACAGAGACAGATAGGCTGCCTCTTCATAATCATCCCATTGTCCTGCCTCTTTCCTTCAGGTCTCCCTGCAGTCATCACCACCTGTCTGGCTCTGGGCACGAGGAGGATGGCGAGGAAGAATGCCATCGTCCGCAGCCTGCCGTCTGTGGAGACACTGGGTTGCACATCAGTTATCTGCTCAGACAAGACGGGAACGCTGACCACCAACCAGATGTCTGTTTGCAGGGTGAGATGTGGAAGGAGTTTTAACATGAGTGCAATAAGAGGATGAAATGGTCAAGTGGTAAACACTGGCTGCGAAGAGCAGTTTAAGTCAGCCAAGTCAGCAAACAATCAACTCCCCACACTTACATTACTGTGGCAGATAACTAGAGGTAGGACTGAAGAGAGAGCTGAAGTTGGTATAACTAGAGGGTAGGGCTGGGACTAGGGATGTGCCGATAGACAATTTAATTGCGATGTGTGATACTAAACGGCAGCAATGATGAGATTGTAAGGTACTGTAATAAACGTTCCACAATTATAATTTAAAGACGAGTGGCAGCGTCACTCAGTGGAGGTGAGTGAAGCCAAGTACTTACCAACCTAACCCGCTTGTAGTCTTACCCATGGTGTCAAAGCCTCGGTAGCAAAATGTACAAACAATCCACCACAAAAGTAGTCCCAAATCCAAAAAAACTTGAATTAACCCTTGTGTAACCGTCGCAATTTACACCCTTTGGTAACGCTCAGTGGCTAAAAAAACTGCTGTAAAAACATATTGGATTCATATTTTTTCCAGATTTTTTTTCATATATCTCTTAAGTAACTTCTGCTCTATTCAAAAATGGTAAATTTTTCATGAAGCATCAAAATTTTAACCCTTTAAGGGCCAATTAAAAAAAAAAGTCACCAAAATTGGGAAAAAATAGGAGAAAATGACTGATATTTAATAGAAAACATCATCCTAAACTGGAAATCTCTTGCAGGGTAATAAAGTCTTGAATATGTAAAGGATTAGTAATATCATTGACTTTGATGCCCTTTAAGTTTTTTATGTAGGATCAGATTTCCAAAAAACATCCTATCTTAACGCTCAGTGGCTAAAAAAAGCCACTCCAGCCACTCCAGTCAATTTTGGTGACTTTTTTTTTTAAATTGGCCCTTAAAGGGTTAAAATTTTGATGCTTCATGAAAAATTTACCATTTTTGAATAGAGCAGAAGTTACTTAAGAGATATATGAAAAAAAATCTGGAAAAAATCTGAATCCAATATGTTTTTACAGCAGTCAAAAAAAGTGGCTTTTTTAGCCACTGAGCGTTACCAAAGGGTGTAAAATTTGCCAAGCGCCTATTTTTGACCTGGTGAAAATTTTGAAGTAATATTTTCAAAGTGTCCATCAATATAAGCATCCACAAAAAAAAATCATCCCATTTGGTGCAGTAAAAAAAAAGTTACGTGGAAATTGGTGGCTAAATTCTGCCCCAAGTGGCTCTTTTTAGCCACACCGTTACATAAGGGTTAAGTACATTAATGCCAGCCTAACAAAAACGGGAACATTAAAAGACAAAATGAAGAAATTTTACAACAAATTGCGTGGTCTTCCAAAATGCATTGCGGCCACTCAAAGCACTGTTGGCGTGTGTCCACAATGCATCCCATCCACTCATTAGCTTCTTAAAGTGGAGGAGATATGATCTGATATTTAAAAAAAACACGAATATTGGATCATAACAACATGTCGAATGGAGCAGCATAAACTGTACAGTAAGCTGTCGAGGTAGAGAGCATTATATATTTTCGGGACAGCAAACATGACAAGGTCGAAACCCATATCTCTGACAACCGTGAAATGACGTTTGAGAAAGGCTGGTCTGAAGGGTTGTGTATCTGCAAAAAAAAACACTACTTCGTCCACAGAACAAGAAAAAGAGATAAGAGTGGGCAAAAGCTTAAAAAAAATTGGGCTTATGATGACTAGAAACAAGTTTGCACTGTTTGCTTCAAAACGCAGAGTCTATGTCCGCAGACAAACTGGTGAACGTCTGAAGCACCATGTGTTACACCCACAATTCAGCATGGAGGTGGTAGTTCCATGGTATGGGGATGTTTTGCAAGTGATAGAGTAAAAGATTTGTTTGACGTAAAGGGTATCATGAAGAAGGAACAGTATCACTCCATCCTCCAGCACCATGCTGCTCCATCTGGACTCAGACTTGTGGCTCATAAGTTTGTTTTGCAGCAAGAAAATGACCCTAAGCACTCTGCCAAGCTCTGTCAGGGTTACCTAGACAAAAAAGAAGAGGAAGGTGATCTTCAAAAGATGGTTTGGCCCCCTCAGTCTCCAGATCTTTCTCGAATTGAGCTTGTGCGGGATGAATTGGATCGATCAGAAAAACGCTTCCCACGAATCAGCAGTCTCTTTTTAATGATCTGATATTTTAAAAAAACACGAATATTGGATCATGACAACATGTCAAATGGAGCAGCATAAACTGTACAGTAAGCTGTCGAGGTAGAGAGCATTATATATTTTCGGGACAGCAAATATTCCGATTCAGAGGGCTTTTGTTTTCGGCTTATCTGAATAGTCTGAATGAAATCATTAAAGGCACACGTTTTTAAATTCACCCAACGGTAAGGAAAAATTGAATTGTTTTGCCTTCATATGTACTTTCAACCGCGCTCCCGTCAGGGGTGCATTCTATGGCAGGGGTGCATTCTACGGCAGAACATGGGACCAAGAACAGTCAGAGACTGAGAATGACGAAACGCCTCGGCTGTATCCTCGTATTAAAAAGGTTTCATCACCAGTATGGACGTTTTAAGGCTTCACAAAACAGACGAAGCAGATAAACCTGACACCAATCTGCAGGTTATGCCGTAAGGAAGTTGCAGCGCTGTTGTCTAACACTTCAAACCTACGTGCCCACCTCCGTGAACACCATCCAGAATCGTTCGCCCAAATCAAGGTAAAAACAACATGAGCGCAACAAGTTTGGTCTACTCTACTGCTTATTATTGACAACGTTAGTGACTTTCTGCTAATTTTAGCTCCAAAAAGCTAATGCTCCCAACGTTGCGTTAGCTGCCTCTTGCTCATATTGTTTGTGCATGTCATGGTGTGCACAGAGAAGTGATTTCGCAGTTTTTTGCCATTTTAAATAATTTTAAAAGCAATGCGATAATATTGTGAATCGTGATATTTTTGGCCACCAATATCGTGATATCAAATTTTTCATATCGGCACATGCCTAGCTGGGACAATATGCTTTTCTCCTGATTCGATTCTTCTACATTTTTTGGGATGCCGATTCGATTTAAATTACAATTCTCCAATTCGGCTGTTAAGCATGACGTCATTTTGTGAGCGGAGCGGCTTCCGGGTCCATGGGGAATCAGCCTCCATTCACTCTCCATTCAAAACAACAATGGCGGAACCCGTGAATCTCTTTACAATAACCTCCTTTTTCAGAAGGGAACCACTCAGAGTTAAAAAGGGACTTAAAGCTTTCAACTCGGATAGAGTTATTAACGTAAATTTTAGTGATGGCGAGATGAAGCCTCATGAAGCATCGAAGCTTTCCATCCAATTACTAGCCTCCTGGGCCAAAGCTTCATGATCGTGCTTCATTTGCTCTATTGCGCCATCAAGTGGACAATAAATGTAAAACAGACAGAGTGATAAACCAAAGACACCCCGAGGCTTTGGTGCGCGAAGCTTTGAATTCAATGAATGAATGGATGTGAGGCCATGTGTTTGTGATACAATCATAGACTGTATACAGTCTATGGATACAATACAGAAATGATGTTTTTTTGTTGTCTTTGTTGTTGGGAGGAAATCTGTAGAATGATAGTTTAGTCGCTGTTTTTGTCTCTGATCAGTTTAAGCAGCAAGGGACATATCACTGAGGCATTATAACAACAACTCCGCTGCACCCGGAAGTGGAAAAGGAGAACGTGGTTACGTCACGGCTTAACAGCCGGATATTGTTGATTTTCTTGAATTTCATTCTGCATTTTTAACACCAGTGAAACAGTTGAATGATTATGATTATCTAATGACTATTCCAGAAACCATATTTCCCCAAAAAATACACATCACATGTAAGTAAGTTTTTAAGATTTATTTTTAAATTTGGGGAAAAAAGATTTTTAAACATAAAGATCGATTTAAAAATTGAAAAAAAAACTACGATACTTATGTAAATCATTTTTTCCTCCCACCCCTACCAAAGAGGAAAGCAGTCGGCAACAATCATCTCTGGAGGGAGTGACTAACTCGGTGTTACGATGTGTTTGACCATGACCTAAATACATGCCTGAATATCCTTTTAAGAGCTCTCTCTCAGGACTGGTGCTTACATCAGGTGGAAACAGCTACGTCATGATTCAGTAAAAAATCAAAACAGAATCCCATGCAGGACTCAGGGTGGACCTAACCTGAACATATTCCCTTAACATTCATAAACTAACCAACTTCTGCTGTTTCTCTCTCTCTCTCTCTCTCTCTGTGTGTGTGTGTGTGTGTGTGTGTGTGTGTGTGTGTGTGTGTGTGTGTGTGTGTGTGTGTGTGTGTGTGTGTGTGTGTGTGTGTGTGTGTGTGTGTGTGTGTGTGGGTCTAGATGTTTGTTGTGGACAGTGTGTCAGGAGAGCGCTGCAGACTAAGCGAGTTCTCTGTGACTGGATCTACTTACGCCCCTGAAGGGGAAGTGTGAGTGTTTCTAACCCTTAACCCATAACTCTGAAAACTTTCCAATCATCTCTGTGGATTTGTTTTTTACTCTTCTTGTCATTACTGGAACTATACATTCCACTTTTCCACCCTCCATTTTCCTCATCGCTCCATCTTGCCTGTCCTTCTGTCTCTGCAGATACAAGGACAGCTCAATGGTGAAGTGCAGCCAGTATGAAGGCCTGGTGGAGATGGCCTCCATCTGTGCACTGTGCAATGACTCATCGCTCGACTTCAACGAGGTAAGATTGACAAACATGGCTGAGGTCCTCAAATACGACCATATATGGTCAACAAGAACATTTATAGCTGAAATCTGAATCTGAATGCTGAAGAAACAACCTGGAACTGATATGGAAAGACTGTCTGCATTTCTTATCTCCTTTTCTTCTCTGTGTGCGTTTGCATGGATATGTGTGTGTGTGTGTCTGGTGTGTGTGTACGTGTGTTTTGCAGGCAAAGGGGGTGTACGAGAAGGTTGGAGAGGCCACAGAGACTGCCCTCTGCTGTCTGGTGGAGAAAATGAATGTGTTTGACACAGACTTAAGAGGACTGAGCCCAGCTGAGAGAGCTACAGCGTGCTGCTCTGTAAGTGTGTGTTTGTGTGTGTATGCTGTGAGTGGAAATGAGGGAGATGCTTTTTACTGCTGTAGTGAGTAACTCATTGATCTTCTGCATCCATTATTCAGGACGTCCTGAAACCTCTTCCCTTCTTCATTTTCTCTCTGATGTCTCATCACCATAAAGACTCTTGAACTGTTGGGTGACCCTAGACTGGATGAAGCATTGTCACTATGACTGACAATGACCCCAACTTTGTCATTTTACATATGGTTGTGTCCTAAAATACATAAAGAAAGATCTGTGGCACATGAGGCCCTCTATGAAGTCGTTCTCCATCGATCTTCTTGGCCTGTATCAGTAATACTTATTTATCAGTGTTGTAAAAGTACACGTGTTTGTTCTACACTGTTTCTGTACTGCAGTTTTGATACAGAATTTCAGGTCAATTGAAGGTGAAAGGAAAAAAAAGGCAAAACAGGAAAACAGGACCACACCCACAGCCCCTCTCAGCCTCACCACCAGCAGTGAAGAAACATGTGTCTTCACATGTGTGGCATTTCTTCGCTCTTCTTACCACGAATTTCCACCGCATCTGGAACGGCTCCAATTCCCACCGTATCCGTTTGTGAGGTGAATTTAGTAGCAGATTACATACTGCAGGAATCGTGGTAACTCACAAGAACCTGCGGATTCATGTGAAATCGCGTGATTATGAGTCGTCTCTATAAAGACAGCCACATAACCATGTAAGCAGTAGATTGTGTCCATCCAGAGGAGGAAATCCACTTCTAGACTTCCAGAATCAGCATCTCCTCATCCATGGTGTCATTGGGGTGAAATGCTGTCTAAAAACCTTTGACTTGTTTGTCCCTGCCCGTTTTTATGGTGCGAAATACGATCCGCCTGAAACACGGAGCCAGATGTTTTATTTTGTGTCTGTGCCTGATTTCTTTCCAGCATGGACATTGTGCTGAATTTATGCAGCATGCTCTGGCGTCCAGAAAAAATAGAACTTTTGCGATCAGGCGATCCACAGCGGAATAGAAAGTAGCCGGTGGAAATTGACACATTAACTTGAGTGGTTACAATCAGCTGCGATCAGCAGATACGGCCTTTTCGTAGCCGTTCTGGATGCAGTGGAAATTGGAGGTTAGTGCATTCTCAAACACAGCTGTGAGGATTTGAACTTGGGAAACTTTTGGATGACTTCATTGCAGTTTTTGATGATCATAGTTTGCCCTGACTTTGTAAAGTATGATGATGTGCTGACTACAGTTAATACTGTGAGTGTCTGTCATCTTTCCTTCCTGTGAGTGTTCTTATCCTCACTATTGAAGAGTTGGAGAAGTGTAAATGTCGTATTGGGACTAAAGTAGGAATTCTATCTTTAAAGCTGTGTTTGCCTCTAAAAAGAGTCTTTTTTTTGTTGATGTGCTCACAGCTCACCTTTTTTAGCTGCTTCCTCCTTGATTTTTGGACTTCTCAGCTTTTAACCACCTTCTTCTTCTAAACCTCTCTTAATTGTTTAGATGGCTCTGTCATTTCTCTTGCCATTTTATTTACATGCTGTGGTAAGCAGAGGAGTTGTCTCACAGGATTGTCAGAGTTGTTGTTCACAGGCTGGTCAAAAAACTGTCCACCAAAACAAGTTTGGTCAGGTTAAGGTTTTTTGATGTGGCTTTAATAAAAGGAGCAGCTGATTTCCCTGAAATATAACACGCAGCAAATAAATATATTATCAGAGCAAACATAAAGAATAACATCCCTGGTAAAGCTTGGACTCTACCTTTATTAGTGCACAGTATTAGCAATAGTAGCTTACATGATACATAAACCCTCTCCCTCCACCCAAGTATAAATGAGTCCCTGAAGTCTAGATAGTGAACTAGGTTCTTATTTTTGGGGTAGCTTTTGAGTTAACTCTGAATTTTCAGGACTAACTCTCCAATCTTTACAAATGAGCAGCTGCTCCGCTGTCCCCCAAAACTGGACCACTTTCAGACATTGTTCTCCCGGTCAGTCAAACACACAAACACATGAGAAAATATGGCCCAGGCTGAAACAAGACCAAAGTTCCCCTTTCATGTGGGCCTGCAGCTGAGAGAGCAGTTACACTCATATAAGCCACAGAAGATTCAGTAAACAGGGACTAATTATGACATAGGAGGTTCAAAAGGTCTAGATACAGACCTCCACACAGTGGGATTAGATTTCCCAACAGCTCCTCCTGTGTTTTAGAGATTTAGCTGTGTTGACTTTAGTCTGGACTCAAATGTTTAACTTTTGAATCACACACAAACCACAGCTCCAGTAAGGTTGGGATGTTGTGTGAAACATGAATAAAAACTGAATACAGTGATTTGTAAATGAGCAAAAGTTTCTCAGTTTGAACATGAAATATCTTTCAGGAATATTTAGGTGAATTTAGGAGGAAAAGGATTTAAAAGTCAAGGTACAAACAGACAAACAGAAGCTTCACATCATGCAATTTTGCACAACCACAGATGGACAGCACTTAACAGAGGATTCCATTCTGACACAGGAGGTTTTCAGAAGTTTGTGTTTTGGGCCAACTAAAGATAAGGTCCCATATAAAGGTCCATTCAAAAACACAACAGTGGGTTTTTTCCTGATTCACTGTTTACCTCAATGGTTCCCTCCATCACAGCCTGCTGGTGAATGTATATCAGCTGTGACTTGACTTGTTACCTAGCATTGATTCCTGACATAAGAGCAGCAGATTAAGAATCAGTCATCATGTTGTCTGTATGGTTGTTTTCAGGTGATAAAGCAGCTGATGAGGAAGGAGTTGACACTGGAGTTCTCCAGAGACAGGAAGTCCATGTCTGTCTTCTGCTCATCGAATAAACTGACCCGCTCAGCATCTGGAGCCAAAATGTTTGTCAAGGTGAGTCACAGTCACCATGATAGATAGATAGATAGATAGATAGATAGATAGATAGATAGATAGATAGATAGATAGATAGATAGATAGATAGATAGATAGATAGATAGATAGATAGATAGATAGATAGATAGATAGATAGATAGATAGATAGATAGATAGATAGATAGATAGATAGATAGATAGATAGATAGATAGATAGATAGATAGTTACTTACTTAGTTAGTTACTTAGTTAGTTAGTTAGTTAGTGGGTGGATGGATGGATGGATGGGCAGGCAGGCAGGGTGTCTAACTCCATTCCTGTTTCCTCATCTGTCCCCAGGGAGCTCCAGAGAGTGTCTTGGAGCGATGCAACTATGTCAGGATCAGTGGCTCTGCCCGTGTGCCTTTGAGCCCGACTGTTCGAGAACAACTCCTGTCCACAGTGAGGGAATGGGGATCAGGCCGAGACACACTGCGCTGCCTTGCCATGGCAACCAGGGACTCACCGCCAGATGTCAACTCCCTGAACCTGGAGAACTCAGCTGCATTTACTGACTATGAGGTGTTGATTTCTGTGTGAGATTTTAGAAGTTTAGAGGAAACTCTGTTGTTCTTGTAAAAACAGAGCACAGAGGTTAACCTTTCCTCCTCCTCCTCCTTTTCCTCCCCTCAGTCTGATCTAACCTTTGTGGGCTGTGTGGGCATGTTGGACCCCCCGAGGAAGGAGGTGCTGGGGGCTGTCCGAATGTGTCGACAGGCGGGCATACGGGTCATAATGATCACAGGTGAGTTTTCACCACAGATCTCATGAAAAGATGAACTCCCTAAAAGTGAAACCAGAACTTTTAAAACTCCCCCTACTGACTGCCTGAAGTACAAATCGCAAAGCTTACTAGGAAACTAAAGCAAAATTGGCGAATCGATTCACCTGTTGACAAGTGAAAGGGTTTATATCTTTATCCCTGACAGTCTTAGTAACTAGAAATCCATCAGTACCCCTCAAGGAAAGAGGACATTTTAAATATGTTGATCTGTTGAGGTTTGAATCTTGCAGAGGATGATCGTATTTTTTCCTGTTGATTAACTTCTCTGTGTGGTCACATTCAAACAAACCAATAAAACCACTTGTGAAACAACAACCTTTCTCTCCAGGTGACAACAAAGGCACCGCCCTGTCCATCTGCCGGAGGGTGGGGATCATCACGGAGCAGGAGGAGGAGCAGGAAGGTTCAGGGGTCAGTGGCGGCCTCACAGGGAGAGAGTTTGATGAGCTACCTCCTCACCTGCAGCGCCAGGCCTGCAGGACTGCCAGGTGCTTCGCCAGAGTGGAACCGGCACACAAAAGTCGCATCGTGGAGTACCTGCAAAGCCTGAGTGACATCACTGCCATGGTGAGAGTATCAGAAACATGTCTATACCCTGGATAGAAGCTTTTTTGTCCTTTCATAGACTAAACTATCCTCCTCTCACAATCTCAGACGGGTGACGGGGTGAACGACGCACCAGCACTGAAGAAAGCTGAGATCGGCATCGCCATGGGCAGTGGCACGGCGGTGGCGAAGTCAGCCTCAGAGATGATCCTAGCAGATGATAACTTCTCCACCATTGTGGCTGCAGTGGAAGAAGGCAGAGCAATTTACAACAATATGAAGCAGTTCATCAGATACCTAATCTCATCCAACATTGGAGAGGTGGTCTGGTCAGTATGAGAGCAAAGAGGTGTTGTCTGAAGCTGAACAAAGTCACCCCATAAAACCTCAGATTAGCAGGTTTGATGACGTGGTTTGAAATCAAGCAGGACACGCCTGTGGGCAACCCAAGTCAATGGAAAGTTAGTCCTGAATGTAAACTCAAGTCCAATAAAGTTTCAACAGTATGAAGATGCCTCTTAGGATGGCAGTGGCCAGAATACAGTATGTTTCCACCAGATTCACTTCATTTAAATGATTTTCAAAATATTAGACTCTGCTTTGGCAAACAACAAATTATCCAAACAGAACAAAAATAACACATGTATGAAATGTTGGACCAAATCGTGTGACTCACTGTCATAAAGTGATTCCTGCCCTATTCCATATTATCATGCTTTATATTTATGCTCAAATGTTTTGTAGTTGTAACCAAACCTTCAGGTTTTTTTTTTATGTTAGAGATTCTGTGTGTCTGAAATTGCACTCACTTACATGTGTACGTTTAGTCAGACCAACACGCCTTGATAATGGAAGTTGTATGGCATAAATGTGTTTCTATGATACCATGTGGTCAACAAAAACTTGACAGGTGAAAATGGGATCACGTACATAAAATGACAGCAACATGCTTATGCATTTTGTCAACAGTTTTGGTACATAACAGGATAAACAGGGAAGTTAAACTGGGAGAGGATCCAGTAGTTTCTAGCAGAAAGGGGCATGTTGCCCCCTACTGTATTGGAGGCAGACTTGCATCTGCTCCTAAACCAGGACAAGGACAGTAGTCCAATGAAAGCATAACTTGGCTGAACTGTGTAGATAAAGAATCACTTAAGTCAACTTGTGTGTTTGTAAGTATTTAAAACACGCAGAGGCAGAAGAGATGAGGAAGGTATCAGCTGGTTGTAGATTTTGTTCTCTGCGGAAGGTTGGGATCCTCATGTGAGTGGGTTTTCAGGAAAAATGGAGTGCAGTGAATGAACAAGGGTGTTGTGCCATGAAACCCAACCCACCTCTGAACTCCTGCAGATATCCCAGTTTTTTTAGGGTCAGTCATGGACCCTTTAAATAAGTATCCCCTGTTTTCTCAGTGCCCCAGAATAAGGCTTCATCTTTCTCCCTCTTCCTCCTCAGTATCTTCCTTACTGCTGCTCTGGGCATGCCCGAAGCTCTGATCCCTGTCCAGCTGCTGTGGGTTAACCTGGTGACAGACGGTTTTCCAGCTACAGCTCTGGGCTTCAACCCTCCTGACCTTGACATCATGTCCCGCCCACCTCGCTCCCCCAAAGAGCCGCTGATCTCCAGCTGGTTGTTCTGCCGCTACCTCATTATTGGCTGTGAGTCTGGGGCACAACAGATGATGATTTCTTTACTAGTAAAACCATCTCAATCCTACCAAACATAGATCAGCTGAGCCTCTCCAGATGACTCTCAGCGTCTCTTTCCTCAGGTTATGTTGGAGCAGCGACTGTCGGAGCCGCGGCCTGGTGGTTCATGGCTGCTCATGATGGACCCAAACTTTCCTTCTTTCAGCTGGTAAAAACACTGTTCACTGTTCACTGTGTTTTGACTCTTATTTCCCTCACTCTCTGTGGACCTTTGGTACTCACTGTACTAAATGCATGTACATAGACAAAAAAAAGTTCTCCAGCTGTGAAGTAGTATGGAAGTGGAAAAGTGTTTCCAGACTGTTGAGGCAGTTCAGTTGCTCTGGAGGTGAATCAAGGTTCTTTTGGCAGTATCCTAACCATAATAACAGGAAACACATAGTTGGCATAAATAACTTAAAAATGAAGCTCAGCTGTTTGAGCAGAAAATCATCCTCGGATCTGTCTCCTTTACAGTCTCATTACCTGCAGTGCAGTGAAGGCCATGCTGAGTTTGCTGGCGTTCAGTGTTCAGTCTTTGAGTCACCTTACCCCATGACGATGGCCCTGTCTGTCCTGGTTACCATAGAGATGTGTAATGCCTTAAACAGGTAAGTATTCTCCATCTTGTAAAGGTGCTTTCAGAATTTTTGTCATTTGTCACATTAAAGAAGCAAGAAAATGAAAAGCACATGCAGGTGGGGACACAGTAGTTCTTACAAGGTCTCTTCTTCTCACCTCCTGTTTAGTCTCTCAGAGAACCAGTCTCTGCTCAAAATGCCTCCTTGGTCCAACCCCTGGTTGGTGGGTGCCATCTGTCTGTCCATGGCTCTACACTTCCTCATTCTATATGTTGACCCACTGCCGGTAAGCATGAGCACAAATGTGATCAATAAACATCATCTAAATTAAAAGGGCTGTTTTTTAAAAACACCGAAGTTCTCTGTCAGTAAAAATTAGGGGATTTTTAACGTTTAATAAAGGGGATTAATAAAGTTCTTTTTATTCTCAAAAAGTTCATGGCCAATAAAAGAGGAGGAACTGACTTTTTCAATAGTTCCCCAGTTGTCCAGTACATTGGTTAGGTGTTTTCAGTATCCAACCTTAAGTGAAGTTTGTCTTTCGTCTGTGGCAGCTACAAGTATAGACTTCACTCATTTATCCTAACCTGTGAAATTCCAGCCGGCAGCCTCCAAACACCTGCTGAAAACACCTCAGATAAGCAGCTTCCTGTCCATGGTGACAAACACTAATAATGTATCAGCCTATCCTCATTTTTTTTACATGGTTAAAAAGGATCCATTAAACATTCAGAAACAAATGAAGACATAATCTAAACTCTTGGGAATTTTGAAAGGGCCATGGGGGGCTACTGCCAGGGTCTGTACGATATGATGAGATTCTTCATAGATTACAAATAATAAATACTAGTAGCACTGTGAAATCATATTCAAGGCTCACCACCTACAACAAACATTTCCTTTTTCAAGTATTTATTTATACAACAAAAAGAAAGTAAGCCGGAGCAGGAGACCTTTGAAAAACTCTAATAATTTTCTTTTTTTTTCTTTGGCTTATCCCCTCGACTTTGATGTAAACATTTTCCATAGTTTTTGCGCCTTACATCACATACAATAGAGAAAAGTCCTACAACTCTTCAAGCTGTAGGACCTGTAGTGAATTGAAATTTGTCCAGAAAAGGACTAAGAAAAAATCCACAATAGAGCAATAGTCCCCAAGGCCCTTATTATTATACACATGTGCTTGTCTCGTTTTTTTTACTTTTGCTGATGGTTGAAGCATGCAGCAAATTCTGGTATTAAAAATGAAGCTGATAGGATAGTCTAAAAACTGAACTGCTTTTACAGAGGGGTCCACTGGAGACCATGCCAAAGACTCCTCATTAAAGCCCAATTTAAAAAAGCAGTTAAAGTGGTCTATGCAGCAGATGTCTTTATTCATACACATGATACAGGGGTTACAAACTTTATCATAATAATAATAAAGTAGATATTGTACATCAAGACGCCCTTAGCTTAGATATCAAGCGTTTCTGTTTCAGGTGATATTTCAGATCCGCCCTCTGTCATGGCCTCAGTGGGTGGTGGTGCTGAAGATGTCAATCCCTGTCATCCTGATGGACGAGGTGCTCAAGTTCATGGCTCGACACTACATCGAGCCAGGAAGCCAGATCCAGGTCAGGAATCACCTTTGAGGCTGACTGCCTTAGTTTTGTGTGTTTTTAACCCTTTTCCTTTGTTGGTATCTGTCTCTCCAAAAGTCTTTAGAAGAGGAGGAGGAGCTGCAGAGAATGAGGGCCAGCACAGGATTGGCAGGTGTGTTTATGATGCGGCTACAGCAGTCCATGAAAGACGTGTCCTGGTCATTCGTTCTGATCTCTGCTCCGTTGGTGATCTGGATCTTCAGCCTGGACTCAGACATCACCAACATCTTCTGGGATTGATGGAGGGACAGAGAGGACAGGAAGGAGGACTGCAGGGCGGCAAGAAAAAAACAAGAGAATGAAGCAAAAGAGGACCAAAAGCAAATCTCAATCAATCAATCTTTATTTATACAGCACCAACTTACGACAAGATGCTTTTAGAAAGCTGGTCTAGACTAGACTCTGTTTACAAAGACCCAATGTAAACATGGGATCTGACTGAGCCCCATCTTGTAAGACCAGACCCACTCCCATTCCATCTTCAATCACATGAGTGAAACACTTTACTTCCTTTAGCAGGCAGAAACCTCAAGCAGAACCAGACTCATGTTAGACGATCATTTGCTGAGTCTGAACCGGGTTTAGAGAGGAGAGAGAGGGAGCTGAAGAAAAAGAGAGATGGACAGAGGAGAGACTGATAGAAGGAGATGGAGAAAGATACAAAGGATTGTTGGATGTAGTGGAGACGGGTTAGCAGAAGTGAGAATCAAGGTTGGATGGTTAACAGCTCTGCAGAGAAGCAACAATGTAAGAGAAGCAGCGTGAAATCTTTCACTACAGACAATCAGAAAACAGCAGAGACCTTCTGTCTCTGACCATAGAAAGGTGCTATGTGTTTGCAAAATCCAAATCAGGCTTAATTGAAATCTCAGACTATTCCGGTGTGAAGACAAAGATGTTGGGCTGTAGTGTGCTGATATCATAGACTGTATATACTATGGACAACTTGGTTCCACCTACCTCCTGTATACGTATTTGAAGCCAAAAAGCTCTTGATATTTCCAGGATTTTTCTTCATTTCCTGAAACCAGCGCTGCGCAGTAGCAATGTGCGCATTCGGCCGCGCAGTCGCTGTGATGACGCTCGGCTCAAACAGCGTATCCTCCCAGGTGAGCTACGCAATCCCTGAACACCCATAGGCTGTATCAGGTGTCAATCATAGAAAACATGAACCCCCTAATAATGTTTAAAAACTGAGCTTCACAGAAAAAAGAGGACTTGAGCACAAACCAGTCTTACAATAACTACATGTCAACATCACAAGCAGGGGGGAGAAAAATTTATGATCTGTGTAATAAATTTCTAAAGTTTGTCCACAGCCCCATAAGCTTTGCTGGCAGAGGCGGGATTTATGACCTATACTGCAGCCCATCACCAGAGGGGGCCGTTCTCGGGGTGGCTTCACCCAGCGAGGAGGCAGACTCTGTCCATTCTATATACAGTCTATGGCTGAAATCAGTCAGCTTATTCTGCAAAGACCCACCTGTGAAACTGCACCTCAGAGCTTTTCTTCTCAATCTGTAATCATATGGTTATATAATATTCATTAGCTTCAGAAAGGAAACGGAAAATCTCTGCATTAGGGTTTATCGTTTTCAACCAATAATGAGGAAAAACTTTAAAATGCCAAATTAATTAAAAATGATCTGTGAACATACAAAAAAGTAAAAAAGAAATAGGCCCTGTTTCTGTTGTTTGACACTCCAGATCAAAGTGTTGTAAGTTATCTTAAATTAGTTAATTCGTTCATTCAAATGTACAGTATACAGTATACAGACCTAATACAGACCTCACACTTCAAGCTACTCTTTTCAGTGTTCAGACTTAATTAATGAGATACTAAAACATCTGAATTCACTGTATATAACTGTCTTGTGCCTCTTAGACCAAGGTCAGTGCAGACAGCAGAACAGATGTGCCCCTTATCCTGGATTTAAGCAGAAAATGTGGGCCTATTTGATGACAAAGTGATACACTGAGAATTTTCTAAAGAGATGCTAAACTCAGTTCACGACTGTTAAGAAGCAACACGCTGCAGCAGCAGCCCAGTAATGACTAGATTTTGCTCTTACACCTAGAAACTGAGAAGTGATAAGACAGTATCTTGAATCCCCCAGTTAGAGCCTGCAGGTGAATGTTCAGGTGGTAGTACAGCTGAAAATATGAGAGCAGCAGTTATGCATAGCATTGAAGATGATGGAAATCAGGAGCAGAGTCTTTCAATCTGAAGTAGAGCCCAAAATTTGGACTGGGTTTGTTATGTACTTGTGAGAATGACCCATGTCAAAGATTAATAGTCTAGCTTCTCTTCAGCTGGATTCTCAACAGAGGGACCAGGATCACCTGTGGCTTATACACTCACTATTGACTAGAACTTAATTTACCCTCGGTCAAAAACACAGAACCAATCTCTCTAAAGCCCCTGTAAGGAACTTTTGGTTTGTGTCAGTTTTGGCACTCCCTTTGAACTAAGGAGTCTTTGCTTAGTCCAAAAATGTCATCCTGCTGATTGTTGACAGTCAAAACACTCAAACATTGTGACTATTTTAGGTGATTGTTGTCTCTACAGCTGCCAGACTTAGACCTACCCCCCTCTACACGGCTTTTAGACAATCAAATTAAGGATCGTAAAATCTTCAGTGTGGTCCATTGTAGTTTTGTTTGATTTATAGACCATAATAAGGCATCACCATGAATTGAAGTCAATTTCATAAACATCCAAAAATTCCTCATAGGCATTTTGACTTACTGTCAAGCGATCCAGCATAATGCACACTCTGTCTATTCCCTCTTGGATTATACAACTTAAAAACAGGTCATCTTTATTTTTCAAGTCTGTATTTTGCTCCTCTAAATTAATTCAGAATTAACAATTTTTTATACTCATCAAAAAATTCCACAACAAATACATTGATCTGTCTGGAAGCATACATCTCTCAGTACCTGCTCAACAAAAGCCTCTTTTGCACCAAAAGTTTGAAATGATATTGAATTAATCATCTTTTCATTCTGTCATCATACAGTTTGTCCAACAGAGGGTGCCCATACCTCCTAATTTTCACAGAGCATTACAGCTGAGTGGGCCCAACAATAATGGTCCAACATGGTATGAAACTTTAAAGCTATAGTTGAAAAAGTCCATGACTTACAGGAATGGGATGGAAACCCAGTAGTGTGTAAAGATCTTGTTCTGCATCATTAATACCCATAAAATCATAATCCTGCATGTATTGAGTCTCATGGGTCCTGATGTAACAGTAATGTGTGAGCTAAAGCAAATTTGTCATGTAATTTTAATAACCTGCACACACTGCTGTCCAATCAAGACTGTGAGTAAAACTTCATCTCCAGCTGACCTCTATTAAAACACACAGTGCTTCATATTGGTGGTCCATCTATTCAAGGATAGCCAAACAAGGTAAGAGGTGAAAAAAAATTTGGTTTCATTTTGCCAAAGCAAATTATTAACAGCCAAAATGTGCAGTCTGTGTCCTTACATGTCATGAAATGCAAAGAAATTACAAATTAAAGCAAAAAAGCAGGATCTTTGACCCTCTTTGGGTTTGAAAATTGAAAATTCTGTTAACTCAGTCCTCCTGCAAATCAGCCAAAGTTATCAAACCCAACTTCTGCAGCAAGCTAAGGAAGTCAAAAATGTCCAAATTCATGTCGAAAAAGCTGAATGGCAACCTGAAGGAAGTGTGTTTAAGGCGGGCTCAGAAAAATGCCTATGAGCAACAGCAGTTTTATCAGAGGCGTATCATCCACACGTCTTTCCACCAAAGATTTATGTCAATATGAAAGAAGCTTTATTATACGTTAAATGAATTAATTTAATTTGACAATCCCCATCTGTTACACTTTCTCTCATCAGTCAGTTTTAACGAGAAATTTCCCCACTGTGGGATGAATAAAGGTTAATCTTATCTGGACTGTAGCTACAATAAAAGCTTGTGCCAGGAGGCCACAAATAAAGAGTATTTAAGGCAAAAAAATAGCAGAAAGAAGCAGCCACACTGATGAGAAAATGCTGCACATGGCACCTTTAACACTGACTTGTCTGGTTCAAAACAAATGTTTCTGTTAGAGGACAGAGAAAAGCACTGAGCGGTCCAGAATCACTCACAGAAACACACAACCTGCTGTGACATCCTCCCTGTAATTTAGCAGTAATAATAAAAGTAAGAATAAGTGGTCCATGACATAAATGAGATGTGCAGTGGGATTATATTAGGACCACCGTAGCAGAAGAACCACGTAACTCTGCGAGCTTCCCTGTAGATACTGTAAAGGAACATTAAACCTGCAGAAACGACTGTTAGAAGACTGCAGCATGTCCACGCACGATACACTTTAGTAACTTGAAGACAATCAAACTTAGTCTGTTTGGTTGTTCAGAGACAGTCCTTTCTGCTCAGTCTGGGGGTTAAAGAAAAGGTCCAGGAGGTTCCTGGAGGTCAGGAACTCAGTTCACATATGTTGAGGGCCAGTCAGTCAGACAGTCCTCCAGATCAGTTTGGGATCAGTTCATCTGTTATCTTCAGTAATTGTGACTCTTTAGAAAGTGCTTTAGCCTTCAGTGCTTCAGGAGGCTCATTTGAGAGGGCTGCAGCTCTTTCCACTTAAGTTTCCACAACTTTTCTTAAAAAGAAGTCGTTTTCCAATCAAGAAACAGCAATTATTGTGGAGTCAGACATCACCTCCAAGAGCACTGGAGCTGCTGCACAGAAATTGTTTGATTTCTGTGTTCTTTTCAGTCAGTTGTTTGTTAGAGCCTAACAAGCACTAACAAGACCACAAACATTCACACAGAGGATCATTGATCAAAAAAGCAGCAAATCAGCAGCTCTTGTAATGAGTGATGTAGAGTCCTTGACTTCCTCAAGTAAAGCATATTGACTCACAGTCAGGCATGGAACTGCGTTCTTTTTTGTTTTGTTTTGTTTGGACTAGGTTTAGACACGAGTTCAATGTGCGATGGTGCAGAGAAACCTACAGAGCCCCTCCTCAAGTCAGATAGTCTTTTTTACACGATACATTTATCTTGTTGGAGCCTAATATGAACTTCTTCGAAAAGGTTATCTTGTTGTGTGCATAAGTAAACCCCTTGTTTGAACAAATTAATAGCTGTTGCACTTATTTTTTTCACTTGTATTAACATTATAATTATCTTATAGGAACAATAATGTCAGTAATCTTGAGTACATGTGCCCACAAGAGAACAGAGGGACTTTTTTACTTGTTCCCATGGGATAAATAAATTGATGGTGTGACTGTCCTGTTGGAGAATATGTAACTTGTATCCACATAAGGACTTGTGCCCACAATATACCTATCCTGTGCAAACAAGCTACTATCTTGTGTGCACAAGATGACTACTTTTTCCCTCAAGATTATTATGTTCCACAAGGTCACAAGACACTGAACTTTTTTCCATAAGGTCATAACTAATATGCACAAGATGATAATCTTGTGGGATCAAGTTGTCTTGTGCACAAAAGATAACTCTTTCCCCAAGATATTTTTAATAAGTGTAAAAATTAATGTCTTTCTGTTGCATCTTATTATTTTTGTCGTAATACTGTGCGCACAAGATAACTACGAACGACTAGTTTTCTTCCACCAGGTTATAGCTCCATGTGTAGTATAAATATCTTGTTGGAACAAGGTGTCTTGTGCTCTGATGTGTACAACATGATAACTTTTGGCTATTACACACAATATATGCACATAATAGGATTCAATCCCTGGGACGAGTAATCTTGTCCGTACAAAATAAGTATTTGCCACAAGATAATCAAACCATGTGTGAATATTTTGGAGTTATATCATTAGTCTGTGCACATAAGATTTTACAACAAATTATAATGTTATCTTGTGTGCACACTTAAGTTTGTTGTAAGTAATGTCCTCCCTGATCAGTCCTATAAAAAAGGATGGTTCTGGTTTCTTCAAGATTATAACTAATGTGCACAACAAAAAAAAACTTGACAAAAAAGTGACTTTGAGCTCACAAGAAAATCACTTTTCCTGCAAAATTTTCCTTGAGCACAGCTGGGTGCAGTTTTTAGAAACTCTGTGGATGTGGAATGAGTTCTGTGGCATGCAGTTGATTTCTGTTTGTTTGTTTTGCGTGTTTGCTTGTTTGTCTGAGTGTTTGCATCTTTGTTTGCTTGTTCATTTATTTGTTCATTTGTTGTTTCTTTGTTTATTTGCTCATTTGTTTGTTCACTTTTTTTGTTTGCTTGTTTGTCTGAGTGATTGCATCTTTGTTTGTTTGCTTGTTTGTTTGTTTATTTGTTCACTTGTTTGTTTGCTTGGTTTTTGTCTGTTTGTTTATTTGATTGATTGTGTTTTGTTTTTTCCTTGCTAGCTTGACTGTGTTAGCTGTCTTGTTTTGGAGTGGGGAGTATCAGGCCTATCTGCTGTTATCTCCAGTTATGTTAATTTGCCAGTGAAAGATTAATTTTGACCTTATGGATGGTGATTCATGTTATTTACACTGACTCTTGTCATGTTTTCAGTGATGGCAGTTTTAAGGTGTCACATTTATGGGAAATAAGAAATTAAGAATAAATGTTCATGTTACAAAAGTGAATGAACTAAATTATGACTTTGTTTAATTCTAACTTTGTGATCTTTTTTTTCTGATTGTTTCTCATAAAGTGGCCTCTGGAAGGTTTTCTGCTGCTTTAAACATCATGAAAACAAAAGCCAAAACTGAGATAGAATGAAAGAGAGACACAATCATTCCAGAGTGATTTTCCTTTGAACTGAATTATTTCCTTCCTCTTCTCCTTAATCATCCAAAACTAAAGACTTGATCTCTGTCATTGCTGACTGCTTCTCTGCCTCATTTCTGGTTGTTTCTGTTTTTTCTTTTTCTTTTTCTTTTTGTGGAGAATGTTTCTGATTCTCTTTCTTTCAGTTTTAAAAGGACATTTGTGAAATACTTGGTTGGTTCTGATCCGTTAAAGCATAAGGATGCACAGAGTAGTGTGTATTTAATTGTATGATTATTTATCTTATGACTTTTATTTCCTTCCATGATGGCACCATTCTGAAAACCCCCCAGCATTCCAACTGTGTTTACACTCTGAATTATTTCTATTATTATGTTGATTATCATCGATGTTATTATTGTATTTAGCTGTTGAATAGGAAAGTAAGGATTTCTTTGCTTTCTGAAGGTCATCTTTTTGTCATTATTATTATTATTATTATTGTTATTGTTCAATGATGATATTGCATCTGTTCCCTCTTTACTGAATCTTCAACATTTACACTGAATCTTAATGAGGGAGCTCTATACTGTAGATTTAAATTTATTTCTCATTTTCATTTTCCTTCCTGCTAAAGATCTTATTGTCAGGAAAACAATGTTGCAGGAAGAAAACAATAATAAAATTAAAGTGCTCCTGAAAAAAAAGGTTTCCTGTACTCCTTCTACACATTACAGAAATGTCAGTAGAAATAGAAGTTTAACACTTGAGTGTAAACATTTCTTTTAGACATTTCATACATTAGATATGTGTGTGTGTGTGTGTGTGTGTGTGTGTGTGTGTGTGTGTGTGTGTGTGTGTGTGTGTGTGTGTGTGTGTGTATGTGTGGATGACATATTTTAACTTCCAAGGAAATATATAGTTTTTCTTTTCTGAAATACACACCCCCTTGTTCCACATTTATTTTAAAAATAGTGCACATGAAACACACTTGGAAAATATAAATTGTTCAAAAAAATTGAAGGCAACTAAAAAGCTTTACACCTATTCTGTCTTATTAACTTTGTGAAAGAAAAAAAAAATAACAGGAATCACAAACAAAAATGCTTCAATTTCTTTTGAATTTAATTTCACTTGTCCTTATATTTAAATTCAGGACTTAAGTCTTGTTAATGGTTGAGTTGATCATCATTCTTTCCTATTTAACCGATTTACACCTTACAGTATATGCTAAATTATCTCATTTAAGACTAAAAGGGCTGCAGTTTTTATTATATCCACATGGAGGAGTCAAAGAGCATGCGAACCATAGACTGTATAAAGATTGGACAGAGTCTGCCTCCTTGCTGGGTGTTTTTATTTATATTAACGTGTGTGTGTGTGTGTGTGTGTGTGTGTGTGTGTGTGTGTGTGTGTGTGTGTGTGTGTGTGTGCGTGTGTGTGTGCGTGTGTGTGTGTGTGTGCATCCTTGCTGGTAAGGTCAGGAGGGCTGGGCTGGTGGGCGAGACTTTAGCTCCATTTATAGACAAAGTCTCCCTAGAAAGAGAGGGAGAGTCAATGAAGGAGCTCATGTGCCAGTAAAAACAGTTGATATACACAAAGAAGACCGACCCACCAGTGATATCACAGAAGTTTCTGTTTAAAAAAGAAAGAAAGGAGGAAAACAAGACAGAAAAGAAGAAAAGAAAAGTAAATTTACCAGAAAAGCTACAGAATTAAGTAAGTACATTTAAAAACCTCTAACATTTTGAATTTGTTGTTGATTGCACCTTTAATTAAGGGTTTTAAAACATGAAAGTTTTATTAATTTTTCATTACTTGTTGGCCTGAAGCTTATTGCACCAAAAATGTTTGATAAGTTTGTTTTTTGTGTCTTGTTTCCTTTAGAAACCATCATAAATTCTCAGATTTAAGTCAGAATTCTCAGATAAAAGTTGGAATCTCTTGAGCTAAATCCGCATCTTAGAATTCATGTCAGAATTTAGAGTATTGTTAGTGCTGAAGGACTTAAAAGGGAACTTTGGTCTTCTTCAATCTGGGCCCTGTTTTCCCATCTGTTTGACTGATGGAGGAACAGTTTCTGAAACTGGTCTAGTATTGAGGGAGAGCGAATCAGCCGCCAAACTATTTTAACCGTAGTTGGACCAGATGATTGAGCATTGCCAAACTGCGTTCTTTACTCAGACTGTTATTTCAAGTCCTCTTGTGTGTCAGAGGTATCAACACCACCGATGTTGGGCATCAACAGGTTCCACTCATCACAACACACACATTCTTCTTGTGGGCAGAGGATCACAGCACCCACAGGAACACCAACAGTCTCCTAAACTCTGTGGTCTTGCAGCAGCTGGTTTGCCCTCCTCTGCTTGTTGACCCTCTCTCTCTACATCTCTGTCACTCTCTTGCTCTCTCCCTCTCTTTAAACCAAGATTGGGAGATTGAAGCCTAGATTTGAACTTCAAAAGAGGATTTTAAGATTGAGGCCATAATTCTGAGACTCAAGTCCAATCTCAGATTTGAGTGTTCTTAGGTGTAACTTAGGGTTCCGACACTAGCTTTAATCTGAGGATTCTGGCTTTATTAATAGAATCTGGATTTTTTCTTAGACTTTTGGGATGAAGTCAGAATCCTAAGATTTATTCTCACCGTGATTGTTCTGTTTTTTTCTCTTTCTGAATATCATCTCGTACAATCCCAGATTTCTAAGAAAAAAGAAATACAAATCCAATTACTTATTTTCTCCCAGAATATTTTTTTTTTCAGACATTTTAATTAGATTTTTTCTAGATTCCTGGCTTTCAATATAAAGTTCAGAGAAAAAAATTCTTTACTGATCTTTATTCTTACTTGTTGTAAAGGAGAGTCAGTGGGGTTGTAAATTTTTAGTTGATTGTAACCACTAAATTTTCGTAGTTTAATATTATGATTTATTCTTCAGTCTTTGTTTACACAAACAGTCGAATCTTCTCTAGAATTTCATCAGAGTTACAGCCCACACACATTTCAATTATGGCTAAAAACACAAAAAAAGCAACAATGATTAGAATGTGTTTTCTTAAGAAGAATGTATCCAATTTTTAGTGTGTGTGTGTGTGTGTGTGTGTGTGTGTGTGTGTGTGTGTGTGTGTGTGTGTGTGTGTGTGTGTGTGTGTGTGTGTGTGTTTCAAAGAGAGGCCAGGTCTATGGTCTATTTCCACAGTCAGCAGGACTAGTGGTGTGCAAACATGTGCTGTACACGGGTTAAGTCACACTTTTGAAGCCCTGGATACACACACTAAAACACACACTAGAACACACACACACAAATACCAAATACGACTATCAAATATTGACACACTCAGCTGGGAAGAACACCATCTTTGTTAATTTTTGATCAACCTGTGTGTGTGTGTGTGTGTGTGTGTGTGTGTGTGTGTGTGTGTGTGTGTGTGTGTGTGTGTGTGTGTGTGTGTGTGTGTGTGTGTGTGTGTGTAACTGACACCTGATAGTTACAATAAAAGGTCACGTGGGGTCGATCTTCTCCCTGTTTTAGTTTTCATGACAACTCTCATTATAAACTTTGAGGTGGTGGAGCTTTAGAGTGGATCACTGCCAACTATGATGGTGTGTGACTGTGTGGTACAGACAGTTTCATGATTTCAACAAAGTTTAAAAAGAAATCCAAAAATAAACACAACTCTCTGTGGGCTTTTTTCCAGGTTTCATGCAGAGGGACATCCAGAAACTGTTTGCCAATTAAAAAAGAAACTTTTTCCCAACTTGAGTCTTAACTAAGACTGAAGCTCTTAGCAGTAAAACATGCCTTTAATAATAATGAGAATTAACCAAGGTAAAATGTAGGAATCTGAAGAACCTCATATTATGTTGATTTGTTGGCTAACATAAACTTTAGATCACCCAGTCCATCTATATTCCAACCTTATCATACCTATGATCACAAGCGTTCTGAAGTGACCTGAAGACTGAGACAGCTCACTGAAGGATGGAAACCAACCACTTCTTACTGTCTCCACACAACAAGCATGAGTAAAATCATTTGCACAAATTAATTACATGTTCAGTCAATGTCCGGATGCGATTAGATGCTCCTACTACTCTTCCGGCGCGAATGATGCGAATTGGGTGGAAGCTGGATGTCTCAACTCCAGCGGATAATTGCGTCGTGAAAACTAATAAGCACAAAGGTTTCCGGGTGACGTATGAAAATGGACGGTTGTTCACTGGTGTCAAAAATGGAGGACAAACTGATAGTGTCGGTGTGTGGGTACCCCGAATTATATGATACGAGTAGATGATTTTACTCATGCTTGGTGTGAGTGCCCCATCAGAGTTTGCTGAAAAGAACATAATGGGCCCAGCATAAGAGACAGGTTCAAGGCTCAGGTTCAGGGCTCAGACTCTAGGGGGAAGCTTGAAGTAGAAAAGATACTCCTTTACATCAAGACTTGGTGAAGCTTAAAGGCTTCTGACAAGGGTCCCTGCTGGGCATTTCCCTTTAGAGGTTTTCCAGGGACAAAAAACTGGGACGGGGACCAAAGCAAGGGGGATCCCAGCTGGTCTGGGAATGACAGAACCATTTGCAGGTGAAGCTGTGTTCTTGATGATACACAGATGGATAGATACTTGGATGGATGGATGGATAAACAAATGGTTGTGGTGATGGATGAATGGATGGATGGATGGATAGATGGATGGATGAATGGATGTATGGATGGACGAATAGATAAATGGATGGACAAGTAGATGGATGGATGGATGGATGGATGGATGGATGGAGATTTGTGCCACCACCAATAAAAGTTTGAAGACTTTAAAAAAGTCTCTGGCTAAAAGAAATGAAGAGACTTTAGGTCTAGAGGTCTAAAAATAGCAGGAACTGCACCAGCTGACCTTGACAAAACAAACAGGTTAGCTTTAGTACATACCCATTTCACCTGTAATGAAGGTGAGTACTAACGCTGAAGTTGAACTATTTTTGGAGCTATTCACCTTTTAAGTATCTCTAGCATTGTTGTGTATTTTATTGCTGTATATTGAGGTACACAGTTTAACACAGTAACCCTGGTGAGTGATGGTACATATAAAACATGAGTACAATTTTATGTTTAATCTCCAAACTAAGACTAAAAGCATGAATAAATATAAATTATCATGTGTTGTGAATGAAGTTACTCACCTACTTGGAGTATGAGACAGAGAAAAGACTAAACCTGAGGCTGACTCTACTCCAGTTTTCTCCTTGATGTACACTGTTTTGATCTCTCTCTCTCTCTCTCTCTCTCTCTCTCTCTCTCTCTCTCTCTCTCTCTTTCTCTCTTCTGTTGTTGTTGTCTGTCTCCAGCAATCATGGCCCCCAGTTTGGCTCATGCGTTCAATAGAAGGTGGTGGATGGCAATCACAGCCATCATAGAGAACCTCCTGTTCTCTGCTGTTCTGCTGGGCTGGGGCTCTCTGCTCATCATGCTGAAGGATGAAGGCTTTTACTCTCACCTCTGTGTCGGTAAGGTCAGCTTCCATTCAAGCAGTTCTGTTATAACATAACCTCCAACAGTGGGGCATGTTCGACATATTTCTCTCTCAAGCCATTTCATACCAGAGCAGTTGTGCTTTTACAAGGACTTTTTGAACACACTTTTGGTGATGTAAGAACAGGGAAAAGAGAACATGCTTGAATGTTTGGGGTTGGTGATGTGTTCAGTCTGTTTTACACTAATGAGACTCATAAACAAAAACCTCACTACTGTGCACAGATGACCTTTCTTTGACTTTTCTGTTACCAATATTTTTGTCTGAAAGCAAAACTTTCAAAACCCCAAACTTTTGAATGACCTTTAAAAGAGTATAGGCTAAGATACTCATCAACCAGTCAAACTAGGAGAGAGTAAATCCTTAGAATTAAGACTCTGTATCAGAGCAGACTTGAATTTTTCCTCTTGATGTCAGCATATTTCGACATCAGGAGCCAGTCAAAAACAGCAGGACGTGCCCTCTTTGCTTTATCAGCAGTACAGTTTTGAGGAACAAAAAACCTGTTTGATAAAAATCTGGGATTTGAAAAAATCAGTTTGTATTCACATATCCATATCGCCAAATTATGGGTAAGGTTATCTTCACATGTGTTACAAAAGAGAAGATCCAGACGCTTCAAACCTGACACAACCCCACTTAAAAAAGTGAACTACCCCTTTACCATCTCAACGTGTCTCTACAGAAAATGAGACCTTGAATGCCAACATTTCCTCCATGGAGAGGCACTGGCCAAGCTGTGTAGAACAGGAGGAAATGTTAAATCTTGGCTTCACCATCGGCTCCTTCCTCCTGAGTGCTGCCACCTTACCGCTCGGGATTTTGATGGACAAATATGGACCACGTCCGCTGAGGCTCGTCGGCAGGTGTGATTGACCGTCCCAGTGTGACTATTTTTACCTGATTGTGCTCACCCACTCATTATGAGTAGATTTGAAACCACGTCTGACATCCTGTGTCTGTTCATACTTCAGTGCCTGCTTTGCAGCCTCTTGTGCAATGATTGCTGCTGCTGCTTACAACCCTGAAGGTAAGAGGTCACATCAGTTTTTAAGCCTTAGTCCTGAAACTGCTAAAGAAAACATGATCCAACAGACTGAAAAAAGGGGGAGAGAACTGAGACATGCTTCAAGTTCAGAAATGAAAACAAATGGTCCTCTCAAGTTTCATTGTAATTCATGTGGCTCCTTCTTTCTATGTACCCCATCAGTGTTGTCTGCCCTCATCTTCCTTGCTGTCTCCTTCAACGGCTTTGGAGGAATCTGCCTGACCTTCACCTCACTTACAGTAGGCTCCCACCCACCCACCCACCCAAACACACTTAAGAGGAACACCAAAATGTATTTACAATCCAAGTGTCAGACAGGGTTTCACGGCCAAATCATAGTAGGAGGTGGCTGAAAATATCCTCTCCATAAAAGTAACCACATCAGTCCTATTTTTGGCTTCTGCAGCTGATGAAGCAGCCATAAAGAGCCTCCTACTCCTTTCTGGAATATATCCATGTCCAATATTTAATCCCAGCACCTGGCTCCTGGTCTACCGGGTCTCTCTCAGAAAAGTTAGTCACAGGACAAGGATTTCTACCATTTAAATCAAACAGACACTGGATGCCGAGCTTCTGTTTACAGCATTTCTCTGTCCTGGTCTTCCCTCGACAACATCATAAAAACAAGGATGTTGTGATTGGTCATCATAACTGACATTATCATAGGAATCAGAAAATGAAGTCAAACATACCAGACTTTCTTTTGGGAGGTCAGGAAGCATCCCAGATGTGGTCTCGATTGTATTCAAGTCTGACATATGACACCAGGTATATTGCCTAAGACAACTGAAACTGGACTTTAAAATTCATGTAAACACCTTCGCTCGACTGAAATTGCACTGAATCAAACAGTCAGACTAGCATACTGAGATAATGGGGTTGGGGATTGATTCTCTCTTTCTATTTTATGCCCCCATCAACTCAATCTGGCACAAGCATTTTTGCACAGTTTGCAGCCACAAAAATGCACAGATAGGGACCTGAGTAAGCAAAACCGCACCAGAAGAAAAAGGAATGTGAAAAAGGCTACGCTGTGAGACCAGTGGTTGACCCAATGGTAATAAGAGGGTGCCACCTACCACCACAGAGCCAGACATACATCTGCTTTTAAAACCACCCTCACGTGGTCCTTGTAAACTGGCACAAGGACAGTAGTCCAGCTGAATGGCTTCTACCTGAGCAATTACCAACGGTGGACTTATCTTTTTTTCTATGCAAACCTCTTGTTCGTCTGCTGGATCACATCATAATTATGCCTATTGTGTGTAGTCTGACCTCAGCAGCATCAATCACAACTCCAGAAGAATGACCTACCATGGATAATAAACTTAGTGTCCTATAATGTTCACTTGTCTCTGCAACATTCAGGATCACATAGAAGACTGGAGTTCTCTCAGAGCCTGTCTAGACCCACAGTCTAAAAAAACAATGGAAATATGTGATTATGTATTTATTGAGGTCAAATGATCTTATTTCTTCTGATGATGCCTTACAAAGACTGCTTAGCCAATCAGAGGCTGTATCTGTGTAAAGGCCCAGTTCATAGGCTGGATTAATGAGGACATGGTCTCAGGGATGCACCCCACTGGTTTTGTAGAGAAGTGCTTGAAGCCCATTGAAACGGTTTCCTTTAGTGGAAATGTTGCTTTAACCTGTCAACCTGTCAAAGTGGCAGAAGTCGAGAGGTTGAGTCAGGCCTTCAGACTGCAGGTTTAAGTCCCTCTCTGTTTAGGCACCTAGGAGAAGGTAAGAGGAGAATATCCAAGTATATCAGTTCATGTACGTGAACCAGTTTGGCTTTTATACCTCCTGTAGTCTCAGTCTAGAATGTTGTGATCTCATGCTTTGCAGACACAGAGGTTCAGCATACCATCAGCTAAGCTAACTGTCAGTCTAGGAGTCATGGAGTGCAGCCAGCAGTAAAGACTGATGGGAAACATGGGGACAGGTGTCACAGGAAATTGCAAACACTGCTGGATCACCAGGATGCCACGTAGTACCACTTTTCCATTTTCGCCGTGTATTCAAGTCCTGACATCACAGAGGGGGAGTGGCTGAAGGTAGAAAGAATGGAGGGAATTTGATGGGCTGTGGATTTATATGCATTTCAGTCTGATCTCCAAACTGAAAATCTCCCTCTCTGAGTTGTGTACCTGTGTACACGTGTGACTGTGCGTGACTGTGTGTGACTGTGTGTGTGTTTGGTTGGGTGAGGGTTGGGGTGTGTATTTTGAAGAACACGTGCTGTTCAACTCGTTCTAAATTCTGCTGCAGCCTCAACCAATGAAAAACCTGGGTGGTGAGCACACCCTCAGAATCCTGTTCCCCTCCCCTCCCCTCTCTCCCTCCAACTTCCTCACCCAGACCTTGTCCTGGACTTGACATGGTCACTTCGGCCTTGCTGCTGTCATTCTTGCCCTGCTGTGTGTGCATATGTGTGTGTGTGCCTGTGTGGGCGTGCATGTGTTGCAAGTGTGAGCGTTATCTTGTTGATAAGCGCTTACATAAAAAGCTGATGTAAACGCCTAGATTCCCAGCTAACCTTTGATAAGATAGTTTGCACAAAATTAATAATAAATAACTGACTCACCAGAGACACTATTTGAAACTTTCCAAAAACAGAAAAGGTTGAGCTTCAAGGTATTTTACGTTCATGGAGTGAAACATGATTCCAACATCCTTCTTTATTCATTTATTGTGTCCATTCAAATCAGTTTGAGCAGACGGCTGTGTAGGAAAGTTTTTCCAAACACTGTTACTGCCTGTATCTGCACTGATCCTTTTTTCCAATAGGACTGCAAAAACAGGCAGTTACCAGGTGAAATTGCAGTGCTTTTTCAGCAAGCACACATTTGACTTGTGTATCTTCATGAGATGTCGAATAGGCTATGCAAATATCAGTTTTCCAGTGTGTGAATTTGTATTGTGAGTCAGTGTCATGGCTGTGTAAAAGCTTCAGCTGTGGTATTCCCACAAAACAACTTGTCAGTCTGTCTGTCTGTCTGTTTTCTTGTTTTTTGTTTGTTTGTTTGTTTGTTTGTTTGTCGGTTATTTGTCTGTTTGCCTATTGTTTTTCTGTTGTTTGTTTGTATGTCTGTTTGTTTCTTTGTTTGGTTGTTTGTCTATTTATTTATTTGTTTGTCTCTGTTCTACAGTTTGTCTGTTCATCTGTTTGTTTGCTTGTCTGTTTGTCTGTATGCCTGTTTGTCTGGGTTTTTTGTTTTTGTTTTTGTTTTTTTGTCTGTTTGTCAGGTTTTTGTTCTTATGTTTGTCTGTTTGTTTCTTTGTTTTTCTCAACATTAGATCAGCTATGGATCACTTGTCATGCTGGGCATGTTTGTCGCTCTGTGTTTTGCATGCTGGAAAGTCATGAGACCAAACATACTGCATTTGGAACCCTAAGCACCAACTGTCCGAGCAGCTGATGAGAATGACCAAACAGACTTCAAACATTTAGAGGAGAGGTTGCAATGACAAACTGTTATGACCCAGGCCAGAGGTGGCCAGGACACAACATGAAAGAGGACCCATTTGATCTACCTCTCAAACAACCACACTAAAGATTTGATAGTTTTAGCAGTCATAAAAAACTTCAACTGGATAAATCAAAGATAACTAACAATAAGGAGCTAAATTAACAATAAGTAGCTAAACTTTCCAAACTACAGTGACCTGCATAGATATCATCATTACAAGATGCCTCACAACCCTGCTGCCATCTCGTGTTGGAAGTTTTGGAAGCCTGACAACAGAATTTGTTTACATTTAAAACTACACTTGCCAGCAGTCACCAGTACTGCCCCAAGATCGTAGCAGTTCTTGGCGTATGCACTGCACTGTCTTACATGAGTCATGAGGCAATTTGCTATATGACATCTGTGGTGACATGACTGTTTGGGACATGGATGTCAAGTGTTCCCCCCATGCCACGGTGACGTCATTTTTCCTCCTTAAATCAAAATCGAGCCCTGGAGCAGCTAATGAGGAGCAGGGGATAGCACACCTAGTCTAACTGAAAGATAAGCAGCAATCTCACCACACACACACACACACACACACACACACACACACACACACACACAAGACAAAATCAAACTGAAGAAAACACAATACAGTAATGGAACATTACAACTGCAGTCATTACACAGACATATTAACATGAATATACCTTTAAAATAAAGGGAATGATGTTTTGATTGGTTGATATTAAATGAACATGCAACCTTAAAGGGATATTCTGGCATAAAATCAAGTTAGGGTCAAACACACCATAACACTGAGTTAGACACCCCATCGAGAGATAAATGTTGCCGACTGCTTGCTTCTCTAGCTATACCAACTTTAGTTACAACCACAGATAGTAAAACAGAGAGCCACCCGCTCAACCAAAAAGCCACTCTATAGCCACAAATAATGCTCAGAACAGCCTATTGTGTGAGTTGTGTTTAGTCTCTTTGCTAAAGAAATCAGGCAAAGCTAAAAAGATGTTTGCTGTGACTGGGACCCTATATTAACTGTTGATGAAGTTAGGTGCTGTTCTGAGCATTATTTGTGGCTTCACTCTAAAAACCCCTGGGTTAAAAACAACCAAACATCAGCGTTAAAAAGGGACCAACTACGTATTGGGTTATTTTGACCCAGAATGTTGGATTATTCAAATTAACACAAATTTTGGGTTGAGTGAATAACTTTAAAGGTCAAGTTAACCCAGCCACCAAACATCGGATGTCGAAGAGATCTGCAGATCAAGTCAGTATTGGGTCGGTCCGTCAAAGACCACATCTAGTGCGACGTGCAAAATTTCAACGTCCAAATTGGACCTTTTTTAGACGTCAATCTGATGCTTAGAACACTGTTAAATGTTAAATAGATGTAATTTCAATGTCGCATTGCACAGTGGGCAATGTTTGAGTTAATTTGACTTGTGATCTTGGGTTAAATTGATATATGCATTTGGGGAGCTTTTTTTGGGAGCTTTCCTTTTACAACCTGTATCTTATTTTCCTATGTACTTTTATCTAACTGATAAATGCCATAGCATTAAGGGTCTTGCCCATAGACTGTATATACTATGGACAACTTGGTTCCACCGAAAAATAACCCATAATTTTTAACCAATTAAAAAAAAAAAACTTAAATTGGGTCACAATAGAATCCATATAACCCAAGAAATGAGTATGGATCTGAAAAATAACCCAGAAATGTAACTCAACACGTATAACCCAGGAATTGGGTTGAAGAAATAACCCAATAGTTTTTAGAGTGTATAGAGTAACTTTTTGGTTGAGCATGTGGCATTTTGTATTACTATCTGTGGTTGTAACTAAAGTTGGTATGATGAAAGAAGCAAGCGGTCTGCAACATTCATCTCTCTACAGGGTGTCTAACTCAGTGTTACGGTGTGTTTGACCCTAACTGTGTGTTTGGGAACTGAATGTAAATTGAGGTCAAAGAAATTATTGCATTTAACTCTGCCGGCATGATTCTGCTTAGCATTGGCAGCGAAATATCGCATATGTCTCCAATCTCATGCTGAAATGTTCTGGTGGCCAAAAATCCCATGGTGGACAGGAGCTGGATGGTCACTGGGATGATGGCTTTGGTGTGTTTTGTCTCTCGCTCCAACACGGGTTGTAAATCATGGCATAAATCCATTAAAATATTTTGGGGAAGCGGTACCTGCTGAGAATCCATTCTGTGTTCTCACTGAACAAATCAGCACGCTCTATAAAAACACGCTCCCTGCGAAGCATACGGTTGTCCAAGTCCTCCAGTAGCGCTAAATAAGACGTGATTCTTGTATCAGTACCTGTAAGACTTCTTTGAGGTTGTCCTGTCACAGCAGATTTTTATAGCTTGTCACACCAATCATTCAAAATGTCTGCTCGATAACTACTCAGTTGAATTTCATACAGAGGCAATGGGGGAACATGTGTGAAGTTTGAGATTGCTGAACACTGTGACTCCTTTAATGTGTTCTATTTGTAGTTTCACTGTTCTACCACTAGATTTTGTGTGTAAGCATGGTCAGAGTTGTGCTTAAATTTACGCACGTTCCACACAAGGTTGATAAATTCCATACTACACGCGCAGGAATGTTCGTACGCACTCACTACGCACACATCTTAGCGTACGCACAGTTGATAAATGAGGCTCCTGAAAAGGTTACCTCTTGCTTTGAACAAAGACTATGTTAGTACAAGAGTCCTTAATTTTTTGTTTTTCTGCAGGTCATTAATGCTGCTCAGAGGACTGACTTTCAATGCTCTTCTGAATAACCTGTGCATTTTCCACAGGAGAAAATCAGACTTCATTTCACAGACTTTCTCAAAATTCAACACTCAGATTTCTTTCACTAGTTGGTTGCCTCCATTTATTCATCTTCAGTTATTTCAAAGAACAGACAACACACCGTTTTCAGACTATGTAAGACATATGCTGTCATCAAGTTTTCTGTGTTTTCGACATGGCTGCAGCCCCTCTAATATTTTCTGTGTGAGCAGTGAGTATAAACTCAGCGTTATAAAAGCCTGCAGTGTGAGCAGACACGTGCAGCATGCTCTGTGACTGGCTTCACTCCAGCTGTGTCTGAAATCAGACAGGAAGTTTGCAGACGCACACATTAATCCACAAGTTACCATCTGAATCTCAGTTTGTGTTTTGGTGTGTGTATGTGTGTTTAGGTGTATGTGTGCTTGTGAAGGACAGATAGAGTGGGAACTGGCAGTTAAAGAACATACTTTGAGAGCTGAGGTTGTAAATAAAGACTGCACATGTTGCTGCAGGGCCATGCTGACATAGCGTGTGTGTTTGTGTGTGTCAGCTCGAATTTCATGTTATCTCGTTTGAAAGGGTTGTATTTATTAAGTACTGCAGTGCCCCCTGCTGTTTGAGTTTCAAAGTGCATGTTAATCACTCATCAAGTCCAAGTTTACTTCATTCCTTCACTGCAGTCACATAACACACTTCAGAAATCAGCTGGTTCTTTTTTGCAAATTCAAATTATTCTAATGTTTGTGTGGATTTACTCTCTCTCTCTCTCTCTCTCTCTCTCTCTCTCTCTCTCTCTCTCTCTCTCTCTCTTTCATCTAGTTGCCAAACCTGTTTGGGAACATCCGATCAACTATCCTCTCCCTGATGATTGGTTCCTATGCTTCTTCCGCTGTCACCTTCCCTGGAGTCAAGGTACATATTCACAGACTTAAGAACAAATAAACATCAATGGCCATCAAATATAAAAGCACATGCACTTTATTTGATTATTACATTATTCTCTGTCAAATGTCATGGAAACACTGGATTGATCTGAGACAACTGCTGATAAACTAAAGGAAGAGTTTGCTTGGAAACAGAAAAACTCTGAGAAAGGAAAAAGACAGAAATGAAAAAAAAAAAAAGGATTGCTCTGTCATCTATGGAGTTTGAAAAGCTCCTGCAGAGCTCCAGCACATTCACAGGAAGACTTGCAGGCTATTGTTAGTTTGTTAGTTGGTTGGTTAACTGTCCTCGAGGGAATTCATTTTCGCTGGAACCTGTTACAGTGGCAAGCAAGAATCACTTCAGGAAACCATCCCATGACACAGAACTTAAAGCATAAAAACAGAGTTTCTCTGGCAGTTTGTGTTTTAGGTAACCATGGCTAAGGGAATTAAGCTTTTTCTGGAGTAGTCCTGAGACAAACTGTGCTTGCATTTTAACATCTGTTTGTAGCATCAGCTGTCAGAAATAAATACAATGTAGAGGCAATATGCACATGAACAGTACAGGCAATTTACCGACTGTTACATGGCTGCAACATCTGGTCACTTACCTTCCTTTGTCTGGGGTAAGATTCTGGGTCATTTTTGAGTGTATGAGTATGGGAGGGCTGGCCATTTTTGTTATGGGGCATTTTTCTGCATCTTCATCAGTCTGCACCAGACTACGCCCCCCATATCGATAACCTATTTTATTATAGCATAGCTTTTTGTGCTGTTTTAGCAACCGACTCAAGACCTTGCTTGAAAAACACCTGTGCCATGTTGTCAACAAAACACATGCTGCATGGAACCTTAAAATTATCGATCCCTACTTTCTCTTGTACTAGAAAGGAGCGACAAAACTATACCCCAAACTAAGAGGATGGAGTCACAACCTTTTGGCACTTGGGATATTATGGCCAAGCCCTGTTTAACAGAGTATCAAATACTATGCAATTGTTTTCTGAACGACTGAAAAATACAGCAGAGGGAGGTTCCCTGCTTGATACCTGCAGGGAAAACTCATGACAGGGATGTTTTTGCTTCAACAGAAAACATTTGCAGTCAACACTTAGGACATCTGAATAAACATCCACATGTTCCCAAACAGAAAATAAGACAGAAAAGGGAAGGATAAAATGAATTCTGTCACCAAAGTTGGAGAAACAGGAATGAGTTCATTTTGAACACTAAAGGTCAGGTTTTATCTGTCAGCACATGCTCATCTCCTTCTCCTGTTACTCTATTTTTGTACGTCTGTGTACAAACTTGTCTCTTGTTTAACCCTTGTCTCTCTGCTGTGCAGGTGATTTATGACCTTGGCGTGTCATTCCGAGTCATCATGTGGACATGGTCTGGTATGGCGTGCATGGTCTTCCTCAACTGCTTCCTAAACTGGCCTGCTGAGTCCTTCCCTTCTCCTGAGGACATTAGATCTATGTCAGTACAACCACGACACAGCCTGTCCAAGAATATACTCTTTTATTGAATAATACTACTACTACTACTACTACTACTACTAATAATAATAATAATAATAATAATAATTATTATTATTATTATTATTATTATTATTATTATTATTATCATTATTATTTTCATTATTTTCATTATTATTATTTTCATTATTATTTATCCTTTATTGAATTTCCCTTCAGGATTGAAGGGAATTAATTTTATTTTATTCATACCACAAAGTTTTTCAACTTTTACCCCTAGAGAAAGTCAACTGAAGCAGTGCAGTTTTTTTTCCCTCCCATTAAGTGTTACTGTGCCAGATGACAGGGAACAATAAAAATCAATGACTGAGATGCAAAAACTATAAGAAAAGGTAAAAACCAGGACAGAAATAGACGGCGTAAATGTTTATCAATGGTCAAGGATGCTGTCAGCAATCATTAAAATGTCGCACCTCCATCACAACATGAGCTAAAGGCCCTTCATGTGGTCATGTATGCCAGTAATAACATCAATAATTGTATTTTTTTTTTTTGTGCACCACAGTAAGACATTAAAAATGTTTTTCTGATTAAATAAACCTTATTATCTTTTCCATGCAGTGAAATGGTGAAGCTCAGCGGGTTGACTGAGAAGGGTTATGCCGCTGTGAGTGTCATGGAGGACATGACGGGAAGCAAAAAGCCAGAACCCAAGAAAACAGACTCACAGAAAACAATCCAGGGTGAGAAATCTTATCTTTAACATCGCATCTTTGGCATCTGCGCAATTATGTAGTAGATTTACAACAAACACAGACCCTGGGTTACAGCTTGGGTAAAGCACAAAATCTTAATCAGAAGGCCCCGGCTGTGTTATTGCATGTCCTAAAGGAGAGCCACTGCATACATAAGAAGGCACCAAACCCTTTGGTCCCTGGCTGGTCTTAGAGCTCTCTTTTAAATGTCATTCGCAATCATCATGCCAAATACTTTTTTGGACCAGTGCTCTTTACTGTTCAGGAAGCTGCTTCCCACTGACCTATGAACCTATGAACTCACCTTTCTGATCTTGGATTTCACTGATCTTTCTGCCAGTTTGCAACTAAAGAAACAATTCTCCTTATCAATCTCATTTACAACAAACTCTGTAGATTTATTCTTGGCTGTCCTCCCATTACATCATGTATAAACAGCTTAATTTACCCTCTCTCTCAATAAGAAGGCAGCAACACTGGCAGCAGTTTACTTACAGATGCATATACTTGAATTATCCTCTGTATTGGTTCATGATACTTCTCGTTTTTCTTCTCATTTTTCTTCACCTTGATCCTGCGATCACTTGGGACTGCCCTCACCACTGTCCTCTTCTGCTGTTTATCCACCTCTATGTCAGATTAATTGCCGCCACCAGTTTGTCACTCTGAATCTGGAAGTCTCACTGTACCTGGGTTTGGTCATTCTTGAGTTTGCGAATGACGTGACTGTGGTGGGTCACATTTCCAACAATGATGAGACAAACTACAGGAAGGAGGTCAGCCATCTGTCCATGTGGCACAGCAATAACAAACTGCACAACCGCACATCACTGGTGAAGAAAGCCCAGCGGTGCCTCTACTTCCTCTGCAGACTAAAAAGAGTGACAGACCCCCTGCCCATCATGTGCACCTTTTACTGAGACACCACTGAGAGCATCCTGACCAGCTGTGTCACTGTGGGGTCCAGGAGCTGTACAGAGCAGAGCAGGGAATCTATGAAGTGAAGATCATTGGTGTCTCACTTCCCTCCCTCCTGGAGATCTACAACAACTGCCTCACCCACAAAGCAGTTGGCATTGTGAGGGACTCTAGCCACCCCTTGCACAGCCTGTTCAGCCTCCTGCCTTCTGGGAGAAGATAGGGGAGCTTAGGTATTGAATTGTATGTGCAGGTTCATGCTTCTGCTCTTATGGTCACCAGTCAACCAGGAGCTGGTGCTCAACTCTGCCAGTGCTACTGTGGATGGAACATCTCAACAGGCTATTCCTGATAAAGAATCCAATGAATAGATTTGGCACAAAAAGTATGAAACTTATGTTTGAGAGATGATGTCTTTGTTGCAACGATGCTTCATGGTTATGACTCATATCCTGCTGAAAGTCTGTTGATTTCTCTTTTAAATAAGGACACATTTGTGAGGAAGGTCTGCTAGATGAGCAACAGAGCTGAGTCTGTGGGTTGTGCCCATGAAAATGTCAATCTATCTACATTAAAACTCAACTTATGTTCAGTTTGGGTCTTTGAAACCAGAAGTAAACCTTCATAGGGACAAGATGCCACGAAGACTTCTTAATCAGAAGGCCCATGCCCTGAAACACATCCCATTTAAAAAGACCCTAAAAAAAGACTCAAATCAGAGATTGAGACCAAAAAACTTTTACGAAAGTAACAAATCTGACCCCATCCCAGAACTTCACATTCATATCTGCAGTTTATGGCCTTGGAATGAAAAATCTTGAATTTTCTAATCAGTCAATAATGCCTGTCAGTATGAGCACGGTTGTACGGTTGTGTTACCACACAGACACTAGTCATTTTTGAACACACTGTTCTGCTGTTTCTAACACATTTTCATTTGAATCTGCTTCTTTTACTGCCGTGAGAAACTCCCAGAGGCTGCAACTGTGTCACTCATCATTCATGTCAAGTTTTTGTTATTCTCATCTTATTCTCACCTTGTGCTGAGGGAGGCTTTCAGACTGGTTCCACTGTCTGCTGCTACTTAACCAATACAATGATAAAACATCAGAAAACCCAGTTATCCTCCAGTCACCTCTAAAGTTTGTAGATTGCAGAATAACATGAAAATAAAGGAAAAACTGTGAAACTTGCAGGAAAATGAACTGTAGGTGAACTCTGAGCATTCAACTCAGTCTGGGAACTTCCTACCTGAAATTAAAGCTGATTTCACACATTTTCTCTCTCTCTCTCTCTCTCTCTCTCTCTCTCTCTCTCTCCCTCCCTCCCTCTCTCGCTCTCTCCAGGCTCCCTGCCTCTCTGTAGCTCCATGTGCACACCAATCTTCATGTGGAGTGTCATCTCCATGGCCATGACCCAGCTGAGGCTTATCTTCTTCATGGGCGCAATGAACAAGATGTTGGAGTTTCTGGTCACACATGGCAACCCTCACCGTAAGACCTGAACAATGCCTAATCTTTCCGGAGCTGAACAATGTCAAGAGACATTTGTCAGCAATAGAGACAACAAAATAGTTGGCCCAATGAAAAAATAATACACTGGGTCAAAAGTTTGTGTTGCATGAAATCCTACATGGTGTTGATTTCTGATTTGTTACCTCTTTCAGCCTCAGAGGAGCTGCAGAGGGAGGTGGATAACCAAGGTGAGATCAACAGGTCTTTTATACTGGTATTTTACACAGAGCTCCTATCTATTTTCTTTTACTTTGGTGCAGAAATCATGTGCACAAACAACATTTTAATAAAGTGAATTAAAACAGATGAAAAGTTAAAAACATCTGATCATCTAATCCTCTAGCTATTTCGTCTTTATTTTATGCAGAAAGAAAAACATGATGCATCTTTATTCTTTATTTTTTCCAATTTTTCATGTTATAAATATATTAATTCATTTCATCTATCTCAAATCACATCTTAGTGTGTTGGTTTGTTTCATATCCTTCTTTGCACCACTATATTAGCGTGTACAGTCACTACGGTCCTTCATTGGATAATCAACCAAAACAGTAATTTATCTGAAGCTATATGACTTTATGCCTGGCCCACCTTGCAAATTCTCCTGTGGTTGACATATTTGTGGAAGCTTTTGATTTTATTTTTTTTCCCTCAATACTGTTTAAAATGTCATTTCTTTGTTGTGAAATGACCCAGATGAAGGCTTGGAGCTAAAAACCATTAGTCTATGAATGAAGATATTCTGTTTCTACAAGTGTCTTCTCTTTCTTCTTTATGCACCTTGGAGGCAGATAAAGCATGCGCCCAAATCCACCACTCCACTGTAGAGCCAGCAGATTCCACTGACAAAATCAGTCATTTTACCATGCAGAACAACATAGTCAAGGGTCTATCACTGTCTCAATTGTTTGGGTTGTTTGAGATGACTCAGTCTTTGATTGTCATACCTAGAAATTATTATCTTGAATAGTTGGGTCTTATAACCAGAATTGACAGCCACACACTGTCCTGTATTCCTTTAAACCCTTTTCTGCATTTTTCTCCCCAGTAAGCATCTATTCGGCCATCTTTGGTACATTGCAGCTGTTGTGCCTGCTGACATGTCCTCTGATTGGTTACATCATGGACTGGAGGATGAAGGAGTGTGAGGACGAAACTGCAGATGTAACAGCAGAAAAGAGGTGTGAGAAGCTTCAATCATTTAGGCCATTATTACAAGTGTGACATAGCAGTCATTAGGGATGTAATAGTACCTTGTAGAGACAGCTGAAAACCAGGCAACAGGGGGCATTCAAATCATTGAGATGAAAAATAAATTGCAATACCTTTTTCAAACAGCAGAGGATGCAAACTGCTTTTGACTTTGTTAGATGTCATAATGTCTCTTGCAGCTGTAGCTGATTTTAGGTCTACAGATATGACTGCAACAGGTGGTGACAGATGGTTATTTGCAGATAAAATGGCATCAGCAGTGTTCCCCTACATAGAGGACACCCAACTGACCAGACAAAGGATAGTTTACTACCATTGTAGCATTTTCATTTTTCATCCACATGATTGCTAAAAAGCAAAGTATCAAAAATATAATAATAATAATAATAATAATAATAATAATAATAAAACAAAAAAAAAACAACACATGGATCAACCAATCTATGCACTAATCTCTCCTCCGAGCTAGAACACAAACTGGGTTAATTACTCCATAAAGATGTTGAAAACTGTACTGTGAACCCAACATCATGAATCAGATTGTATCAAGGGTTAGTAAGATTGGTAAGTGAGTTGTTTCATCAGGTCCTGACGATCAGAGTAGACTTTTCTGGCCTTGGGACCAAAATTCATGGTATGCAATATGTACACTGAAAATGTATCCATATTGGCTCTGATCTATTGCTTGACCAACCTAAACTAATCTATCGAAACTCTAGCTAAGTTTCATCAACCTGTATTTAGTCCAATTTGCTCTTTCTTCTCTGATTTTAACATCTGTTGATATGTTACCTCCTGCAGCCAATCAGATCCTCCAAAGAGAGACAGAAAGATCCAGAAGCTGACCAATGCCATGAGAGCTTTCATCTTCACCAACCTCCTATTGGTGGCCTTTGGAATCATTTCTCTAATTGATAATCTGCCCCTACAGGTCTGAGTAATACGGTACAGAAAGACAGTACAGTCATGGCTCCTATTTCACAGGCTGCTGCAATAATCTGTTTGTATTCCGTATCTTTCTATTAGGTGCTATCCTTTGTTCTGCATACCATAGTGAGAGGGTTTATCCACTCCTGTTGTGGGGGTCTCTACGCTGCTGTGTAAGTAACAACACCAGTATTCTTAAAGTTCTACCAAAATAATTTATATCAACCATGAATCTGAGTTGTATGAGGCTGCTGGTGTTACTTCTTGGACAAAATTTGCACAAAACTTTGCAGTAAGGGACCAGACCATCTCAAAAGCCATTAGCCATTGCTAATCCATGTTGTGTACATCCAAGAATATGAGAACTGCTTCAAAAATATGGTCATGTTATCATCTCAGTTGTGCATCCGACATTTGTTTGTAAAATGTAAAGTCCTCACATACTCAACTTACTGTTTTCTAAACCAGAAAGCACTTTGTAGTTATCTATTCCAATGAATCAGGACATGTAGAGACCCCATCTGTTTTAGATGAGTTTCAGTTTAGTTTGACTCTAGTAAACGTGTGGTAAGTTCTACAACCTAGAGAAAAGCGCCCTGTAAATGAGCCTAACAAATAAATGGGTCTCATTGGCTGCACTCTTTACTTTTGGACCCCAATTGGACTCCATTGAATACCATTATTCAACCAATTTAGGCCCATTTATGAATATCATGTTGTTTAAATCTAAAAACTATTGAGATCTCGAACTCATGAGGAGAGTGTTAACCAACTACTACAATGTTGACTGGATCATATCATATTGCATCACATAGCATTGTATCGTACTACAGTATATCACAATGTATCCCATCATATCTTATCTATTGTATCATAGTGATATGGTTTCATGATTAATATTATTGACTGCTTTGTTCATAATAAATGAATTGATACTAAACACATATAAAGAAACAATAACAAACATTCTCATTATATTTTAAGTATCACATTGAACATGCTAAATGATAGAAACTGTGAACAAAAAAATAGTCAACACGTGCAAATGAACTTCACTGTGATTAATAATGGTTTCTATATAGTTGCATTCAGATCATTGAACAACATTATAACCACTTATTGGTTAAAAATACTATATCAATGATTAAAACCTAAGCTAAACCTTTCTAAATTATTTCTGTTACTTAGAGTAAAGTTGTGATTCATAGTCAATAAATGTAACTCTTAGAAGTTCATGAAACAGTCTGAAAAGCTGTTGGTCTAAAGAAACTAAAGAATAAATGATTTATTCAGTCAGGGTGATAACTTGGCTTCTGGAGCACATAACAGGACACATCTCATTTTAACACTAAGTTCATGATTAGACAGATTGGTACATTGCTGAGTGCATAAGATGTCATTATCAGTCATTTGTATTTTTTCACCATAGGGATGCAGTTATTGTCAGTATATGGTTGAGCAGAGTTTGTGACGGAGGTCTGGAGGTTAGAGTCCTGGTCCTCATACCTTTCATTGTTCACACACCTGAGATAGAAAATCTCACAATGAGACCTGGTTGAGATGTGAATGATTATTCATATAGACAGTAAAGGAGTCAGTTCCAGGAAGGTCATGAACAAGCCTGTCTCTGTTCTTCAAATCGACCCATCAGGAAAGGTGAACATTTGGGCCAACTAAACTTTAAGGGATATTCCAGCGTAAATTTAAGTTATGGTCAAACACACTGTAACACCGAGTTAGACACTCCCTCAAGAGATTAATTTTGCTGACTGCTTGCTTCTCTAGTTATACTAACTTTAGTAATGACTGCACGATAGATACACATCGGTCTATGGCTCCATGCACACCCCAACCAAAAAGCCACTCTATAGCCACAAATAATGCTCAGAACAGCACCTAACTTCATCAACAGTACATATAGGGTCCCGGCCATAGTACTAGCCACCAAACATCTTTTTAACTTTGCCTTATTTCTTTAGCAAAGAGACTGAACACAACTCACCTACTCTCCTCCAGCAGCCGCTTGTTTGTGGGGGGAGTCCTGACACGTCGATCACAAAAATTTATTATTATTACTTCATGGAAATGCAATCAGACCAAGACACTAAGGCAGAAGAACTACCATGTCTGCAATGGACATACAAGATGCATAAGAACTCTGATTGCATTTCTATGAAGAGATAATCATAAATGTTCTTCCCTGAGCTGCAAAACAACAAAAAGAGATCGTACAATGTTATCCTGTTTTTCAATTCCCCTCAGGTATCCTGCCAACCACTTTGGGACACTGACTGGTATGCAGTCAATGATCAGCGCTGCCTTTGCATTGCTCCAGCAGCCCCTGTTCATCCTGATGGTTGGACACCTGAATGGAGATCCTTACTGGGTATGAACTCACAAACAGGCACACCGCAAAAGGAGAGACACGCGTCAACAAATGAACGAAACTGGTTTTATTACAGGTATTATCACAAGCTCTAACATGTGTCTCTCTCTCCTGACAACAGATCAACATGGCACTCCTCATTTTCTCCTTGACTGGCTTCCTGTTGCCCGGCTATCTGTTCTATCACCGTAGAAACCTGATCTTGGCAAAGGCAGGGTACGATCAGTCGACATCCAGCCAATCAGATGAAGAGATGGTCCCGCTAAAGCACTCAGCAAATGGTATCTCAAATGGTGAAGCCAATGGGCATGTCGCTAATGGCAAAGCCAATGGTTATTTAGCCAATGATGAAGCCAATGGACACGTTGCTAATGGCAATGCCAACGGGCATGTACCAAATTGCGAAGCCAATGGTCATATCAGTAATGGTTACATACCAAATGGCCACGCTGTGTAGTCTTGTCTATGGGATAGAAATGAGGCATTTATTCTACTTATACTATGTTTTGTAGTTATAGGTCAGTGGTTCCACAACACTCTAAGGACTATAATAGAGCAGCCGTCTATATTATCAATGGCGATACGCAACAATCTTCTAAGAAAAAGTCAATCTATCTTTATCAAAATATATATGGGGTGGGGATGGGGGGGCACAGACTCAAATCAAAGCTTCTGTGAGGAGTTTTTAGCTGATTATGAAACTGACTGGCATTGTACAACTAATGACTTAAGGCAAACAAGATCTTCACCTAGGACAGATGCCATCTCTATCAGGTCAGGCCTAAAACCACTGGCAGTGGGGTAGCTGTCAGACCATCTGATGAGCTTTAAGCTGCTGCTGTAGCTTCATTATCACATGTTCCATGGTAAAAACATCTGGTGGAAGATATGTTAAACTGTGACAAAAGAGCAGGATGAGGAAATAATTGTTACACATGCACAGGACAAGACTGCAAAGACCACTTGTTTTCAAAGGGGGACCCAAAATCAACACAAATAGAAGGCTGTTCATGGGAGCTTAAACACCCAGGACTCAAAATTTCACAAGGGTTGGTGACTTGAACGCAGTAAAGAGTTTTTAAAAAGTGCAATATTCTCTGTCACGAATCATCCATCAGACAATATCTCATGCAAGATTTGTAAGATTTCTGATGATTGACTTGCTCATAGACACCAAGGCTCAATCCCAAACCTCCCCCTACACATTTACCCTTCACTACCGAGTGTCACTCATGATGAAGTTACAATCGCAGCTGCAGAGTGCGCCTCAATTAAAATGGGAGAGTATAAATAAGATGGGCAGGTATGGGACACCCTCCTCACTCCACCAGAAAATGGTGCCTGCAAAATCAAATCAAATCCCAGCACAGAGTATGATTTCTGAGTTTCGTGTGATCTTTCCAAACCACATTTTTGTAGGGTTTTTTCCTTTGTCAGTGAGACACAGGTGGACACATGCAGAACTTATATTTGTATGTTTTTTCCTCCTCCTCCATTTTTGCCGGCGCCGTAAGTGTGCACTGGTGCAGACTTGCTTTTTAAGGGCTGAACAGTTAACTCACCCTCCCCACCTTATGGTTTGGGACAGCCCTCAATATGGTGGAGGCTCTGCAGGGATGTGCAAATGGAGGAGGAGTGTGTAGGACGAGTGTGTAGAGGGGGGATTAGAACAGGCCTAAATTAGACCATAGAGGCTGGTAAGGAAATGAAAATGGCCATGAAAAACTCAAAGCCACCTCATGGTGATGTTGAAGTAATGCAATGGCTTGTGTGATTAAAAGCTAAAAGGTACTTTTTAAATTCCTGTGATTGCAGTTGGACTTCAACATTTGTTGAAGGTTTGCATTTAAGCACAGTTAAATTACTGACCCTATAATGTCAAATATTTGATTTAGATAAATAGAATGATTGTTCATAAATGACATGGTGCTCAGTGGTTACTACTGTCCTGAGTAGTGTCAAGGGTTTAACCTCTAAATTTTAGCTGGAGGTTTGCTTTTTTTTCAAACACCTTAAACTGCAGATTATTTAAAAATGTGACGCTGTAATGGACAAAAGCCCTCAAAATTAACGAATCGTATCAGCAGTGACAAACAGTAGCTCTACATGAGGAACTTCTGTCATTTTCAAGGCTTGACATTAGCTTTATTGCCTTATAGTCATGTTAGCTCAGCAGCTGAAGAAACAGCCTTTTCCACATGAATTATTCATATTAAGAGATATATTTGGAAGTCCAAAATCAGCAGGATGACATTTTTTTATTCCAAAAATCTACTTAAACACATAGAGAGCAAGATAAGAGAGGATTACTTTGTCCACAGGGGGGCACCAGAGTTGACAAAGAAAAAAATTCTTTAAAAGTTCCTCCCAGTAGCTTTAAGTGATCTGCATGTTAAACAACACAAAAACAACAAAGGTACGAAGGTGGATCCACAATATTTACATTCTGTTACTTGTCTTTGGAGGGCCATGAGATTTGTAAAAAAAAAAGAAAGTAACATTTTAATTAAGATACCAAGTTTTATCCCTGTGCTCAATTAAAACATTTCATTTATGACATTAAAAAGGCATTTGTAGTGCCAAAAAACTATATTATATGTTTTGCAAATCAACCGACATGTAAACAACCAACTTTCTTTAAGTTTAGATGTAAAGTTTGGTTTGATTGAATAAATAAAACCCTTTATTTTAGATATTATTCATCCATTTTGTAGAAATGTAGAAGTACATTGTGTTATATTTCTTTCAGTTTTGAAAGACTGTGGTATGTGTTAGTCGGTGTTTACTTTTGCTGCTCTTGATGATGCACTAACTGTGTAGGACATAAATCACAGATGAGGGATATTTGAGCCAATCGCAGCTCTGTTCAGGCCAGTGTTTCAAAAACCAGACAAAGGAGGAGTAGTTGTCACTCCTCTCGAAAAACTTTGCTGGCACAGGCACAGACTGCAGATTTGGAGCGTATATTAAATGTGATTATAAAATTCAGACTCTAAGGAAAATGGCAAAATGCGGTAAAGTGCAGTGTAAAGAAGAGGGGGAGAAACTCTCCAGCCATAACACACTGTTTCTTTGTGTGACTGAAGGTTAACAACATCCAAAGTTAACATCCAAAGTTAAATTGTACAGTGTTAATAGAAGATTGTAACAATAGTATGATTCAGTGATTGATGTAAAATAGTGAAAATGCATAATCTATTGTTTATGCTGTGAAAGAGCTTTGCACTATTCAAAATGAAATGTCAGTTGTATTGCAGCTTTGAGAGTGGGGATTGCACAAATAATAGAAGCACCTTCTTTATAACATGTTTTTTCATGCCCGCACCAGGTGCGCCTTAAAATGTAAAACAAAAAAGAAAGCAAAACAAATGCTGACTGTAAATAGCTTGGAGAAAAGCATATGTTTTGTATCGCATCTGTGTTGTTCCTGTCTTGATTTTTTAGTGTTACTCTGATTTGTTGTGCAGAAATGTAAAGAAATAAAATTGTGTCACTAGTGTGCATCCATCTTTTTTCCTCTAATTGCAATTTTTTTGATATTTACAAGAACCTCCAAATATTTGCCAAATTCAAACACCTGGGGCCTATTCTACGAAGCAGGATTACTGCTTAGCGAGGTAACTTCGAGGGTAAGTTTGCGGTTTCCTGTTCTACGACGTGGGTTCACTTCTCAGCGAGGCGAGTCTCCATGGCAATGTACGCTGAACGGCTAACCTGCTCCGGGGCAGGTGAGGTTCCAGATTGAACTCACCGGGTATAAAAACCCCGCCCACTGATCAGTAAGCTCTCTCGAAAAATGGCTTGTCCGTTCTTGGAGGATCCTGTAGACCTCGGTGCTCGCATTGTCCGCGGAGCACGTGAGAGTTTTCAGGGACCGCACTGACCCACTAACTTTTCCGGATGACCACCTTTATGAAAGGTACCGGTTTTCCAGGGAGGGGTTGGTGTACATCTGCCAGCTTTTAGAGCCATATGTGGCTCGCGACACTTGTAGAAGCTGTGCGCTAGCGGTCCCACAGAGTGTGTGTATCGCCCTTCGCTTTTATGCTTCGGGTACATATTTATATACTGTTGGCGACGCAGAAAATTTAAGCAAAGCTACGATGTGTGGCGCCATCCAGAGGGTGTCCGCAGCCCTCACCGAGCTCCTGGATGGGTTTGTGGCATTTCCAGGCCACTTGCCCATCCAGGAAATCAAAGAAGGCTTTTACACCATTGCAGGTAAGTCTGATCAATGAAACTATAAATTAAATAGGCCCAATAATGGATTACAGTGAAAAATAAAAAGCTTCAAGCGCACATTGTGTCATGACAGACACATTTTATTCAAAAAAGTGTTAAAACAGGGCGAGCACATGTTTCACATGTTGCCTCATCAGATTCAGTTTTAGAAATAAGGGATCACAATCATATATTGCTTTTCCAACCACATGCTGCTCACTCAAAGCGCTTTACCATGGTCCATTCATTTATACATTGCGAGATACTCTCTGTGGCATGTACACTGTTGTATTAAATGAAGTCAGCTCCTGTCACAGGATTCCCGAGGGTCATAGGTGCCATCGACTGCACTCACGTGCGCATCACTGGGCCTTTGGGGCCAAATGAGGGCGACTTTGTCAATCGCAGGTCATACCACAGCCTCAACATTCAGGTAACTTGCATATGACACACATGCCATCTGCACATTGAGACACACACACACACACGCAGTGTCCCCAAAAATCTCCCCTGTGCCTGTTAGGTTTGCACCGATTGATATTTTAAGACTCATTGTTCAGTCACACCAGCTAAGAGCCTGCATGGACACTAACTACTGAAATGTCTTTTGCATCGCTACTCACAGGACAGAGAGTGAGATTCTTTATCAAGGGAAGGCAAAAGCACATTGCTGCCTTTCATCTGCCGCTGTCATATTATGGTTCTTTTTGCTGTTGCAGATGACCTGCGATCACAATTGTGTGATCACCAGCCTGGATGCAAAGTGGAGTCTAGGCTCTACCGAACATTGGAGCAGGGTGTGGCATCTTCCTTCATTCACAGGACTTCTCCATGGAGTGCTGCTTGGGGACCGAGGCTATCCCTGCCTGCCCTACCTCATGACCCCCTATCCTGACCCTGGTGCAGGGCCACAAATACAATTCAATGTGGCTCTCTCCCGCACCAGGGTCAGGATAGAGATGACCTTTGGCATCCTGAAGGCTCGCTTCAGCTGCCTGCATGACCTGAGGGTAACCCCACGCCGGGCCAGCAGGATTATGACATCCTGTGCTGTGCTGCACAATATAGCCACCATTCGGAAACAGAGGGTCCCACCTGCTGACCCACTCCCCCCTGATGTCGTGGATCCCATCACCTTAAACCATCTCACTGGCAGGGCTGTGCGGCGGGCTTTAACAGAACAATTTTTCACATGATTTGGCACTTTTGGTTTAGAAAGAGAGGAGACAGAGACCTTTGACTTCCTTTTTTTTTTATTAATGATATTTGTTGACATTCTTAATCATTCAGGCCTCTTCTGTCTCGTTCCTGGAATGGAGAGGAAAATTTTAGTTGGAGTACATTTCAAGTTGTGATGAGGCAGCTCTCCACCAAACATTACCTTCTTTTCTTCAAGCAGTTTCTCCACCTCGAGCTTGGTCTTCTTGATGAGCAGCTGCTTTAACTCAATATCCAGCTCGAGGTTTGTAAAGTGCCCTTACTTTGTCTGTTACAGGCTGGGGACAAATAATGCTGTTGAGATCCTTTTACATTTACACATTGTCAGTGATCAAAGCTCAAAATCCAGGTTACGTCAATACCTCCCGTGCTCTCCTTGGCTTTGGGCTGGGGCTGGTGGGGAGGGTCACACGCTCCGGGGGGGACAGGGGGATCTCCTCATCCTGCACATCATAGCATGAGAAAAAAATGGGACAACCTGAAGCAACACGTGGTCCTGAGTACAGAATGACACTTTTTCAGCATGAAGCACCGTCTTCATTGTGGTTACACCCTAAGTGTGTTAAGGTTAAATAATAAAAATAGTTTTGAGTTTCACCTCTGTTTCATTTTGTATCTGCTTTAACCATAGGTCACTTAGATATTTTACTTCAAGGTCATGCGTGTAGGAATATACATTGGGTCTTATTATTCACTGCAGTGTACCATTTGTGGCCTTGTGGAGCAAACGGAGACCGTCTCTTCATCCACCTGGAAAAGGACGACAAGAAAATTCTCAAGGGGGTTAGTCATTTAATATCTTAATTGTGTCTTATCTGATCCAACTGTAAAACAATAAATTAATTTGAATTCAATTACCACTCTGGATGATGTTCTTGTATTTCGTGCTACTTTGATTGCTGCTGAAATGAGACTCAGATTTAGAGTCACAACACAGTACATGACACTTGCTACAGGTAGTTAAAGGGAATGAAGAACTCTCATTGCCGTAACAAAATCTCCAATGCCAACACTTGTTGGTTCCATGAAAATTTTTGATTACCTGTCTTAAAATTGTGACAGGAATTAATCTAGGGCTCATATGGCCTACATATCACACAAAAAAATGTAAACACGATAGGAATGAACAAATGAATGAATTCATCTTGGAAATGAATTAGACATGTCTGGTGCGTGTTAAAAGCACATGTTGAACAGTGCTATTTCAGGGTGATAACGGCATCAAAGATTTTTTGGGCACTATACTTACGCATTAAGAGTGTCTGCAATTTTCTGCCAGCATTCCTTCTGTGCTTTTGCAGCGGCGGCGGTGTTGCTTTTTAGGTTTATGACAGATTTGAATTCTTCAAACTTTCGCAGAATCGTTCCCTGCTCCTTGTTCATAACGTATGCAGTCCTCCGCTCTCCGGTTGACGCTCCAGACTGGTCCATGTTCGCGATTGGTCAGATGTGGCTTATCCACTTATGAAGTTGATAACCAGCATTGTAAGACCGTTTAGCGAGACCGCTGGCTACCGCGCTAAGTTGAGCGAGGTAGCTCCAAGGCTACCTCGCTAGGTCGAACTTGCTTCGTAGAACAGGCCCCAGATTGACGTGAAGAAAAACATTAGTTTCCCAAATATTTTGCATCTTTGAGGTCCCTTTTAATTTTTTGAGGCTGCTGGCTTTGCTGTCTTTCTTGCAGGGTTTTTAATTCAGTCGCAAAAAGCATCACAAATTGAGACTCTTGAAGAACTTTCAGTTTCTAACCTCTTTATATGTGCAGTGGTCTACATGGTAGGAGAAACTGTGATGCTGAGGTGTTGCACTGGTAGTTGGTTTGAATGTTATCCGAGGTTCCAATCCGACATGTGGGAGCAGGTGCAGAGGCAGAAAAACACCTACATTTAAATGGCAAGTGCTCCAGAAGAACCTTTGCCAGGACCAAGCCAAATGTTTCTCGCAGTACACTGTTAACATGTCACAAAATGGGAACACTTAGCTACTGTTTTTCTGCTGCTATTTATCAGCCACAAAGCAAGCCTAGCCTTCTACTGACCATTGTTGTTGAGGCCGACTGAGGTGAAATATTGGCACAATTAAGTGAGCATACTGTTGTAAAATATTAAATGGGCAATCACTCTTTTCTTTTCTTTTGGTAGTCCTCTGGTACTTGGACACTATTACTTACTTGTTGCAAATAACGACAGAGCAGTTAGTGTTTGGCTTTAAGGTCCTTACACACCGGGACCATCGCAAATATACGACAAGAAATTACGAAATATTCAGAGGCGAATTTTGATGAGCCTGACTATACACATCAAGCCTGATGTGATTTTGCGACTTTTCAGGGGGAAAAAAAAGACGCATCCCAGGTGGAAGCAAGAAGACTGACACAACACCAGACTGACTGTTTTTCAGTTCTTATTAGACACTAGAGTTGAGATGGCAGTCTGTCATGATAGCATGTTCTGAGTCAGGGCCAGTACCAGATAAGCACATTAAACTATAATCCATAAACGTAAGGTAACAACCTAATGGTGCTGTGATAGCAACGCTATTAAATTTGGCTTATGAGCTAAAGTTACTTAGCACAGATGAAAGTTAAAACAAAGTCATATGAGAGACTCAACGCTATGACTCTCCACAAGTTGTCCTTCAGGTCGTTATCTTTGTAATGTTTATGTCTTTCATTAAAAAGCACTCTGTTCTTCAACACGTAAACAATCAGCCAGTCAGCCATGTTGGATATACTGGTGAATCAGACGTCGCAACAACACATAATTTGATTGGTCAGAAGTGGACCTGCCGTATGCAAAACTTTAAAAAAATAGAATGTGATCCGAAGAAATGTCGCAATATTGCAGTGTGGCAACTTGAGGGTAAAATAAGGCAGATTTTGATTTGAATTATTAAGGAAAACCAACAACGCCACTTTGGGAATTTCGCCCAAAGAATTAGTTTTGCAGGGATTAATTTTTAAGGCACTCAGGTTCGTTTACTGTGAATAGAGAGCAGGATACGTGGTTCCAAGCTTACAAAATGCTGACTTTATTTAAACATTTTTAATAAATCAATAAAACCATGGGGCACACACACGCAGGGGAGGGGGAGCCCTTTTTCAGGTGCTGAGGCTTACAGAATGGAAAATGGATATAGGGACGGGGGATCCCAGAAAAGAAAAGACACCCCAATCACATGTGGCAATCATACAACAATCACTCGGTGAAAACAACAAAAGCCCAGGGGATAACTAGCTCACTATATGAGGGAAACCACCACCAGGACACCAGGAACCACCACTGCAAGCTCTCAGCAACTGAAAGGGGCAAAAGAAAAGGGGGTTAGTGTGTTACACTCAAAGAAAACCAAAAATACCTACACAAAATAATAATAAACTATACTAATAATATGGGTGGCAGCCACAAATTAGCTTAGGCAAGGCACATTTATGCTGCCAAAAACACCCAACTCCTGAAAAACCAAATTAGAACAGTATAAAACAAATTAGACAAGGAAGATATTCCTTAATTAATCAAAACATTCCAATGAACCAAAGGAGGATAATAAGCTCATAAACTAAATAAGAAAGGAAAACAAAAACGAAATATGAAATTATTCAATCCATGGAAACAAATGAAACCCAAAAAATGTTTCCCCATGAACTCAAAATAACCGACCAAAAATATAACCAGTATTAATAAAAGAAAACTAGGAAACCAAATAGACCAAAAAATGAAATGAATTAACCAAGAACAAGAGTGACCCCACAGTAACACTGTCACTCCTTTAGACTATTCCTTAAAATTGGGCTGATAACGTCAGCGTACCATGCATACACTGGTCCAGTCGAGCCGGCGTGCAGACCGACTACAGTTTATTTCGTGCTCACGTCCCTCTACACAGCGACCGGCTCCTCGCTGTCAGAGCCGGAACAGCAAAACAAAACAGCAAAGCAGCAAAGCACCTGAAGCCGTACAGCCGTAGGGGAGCAGAGGCAGGAAGCCGCAGGCAGGCACAGCAACAGGAGAACTACGGCAAAGCAGCCGCACAGCTAGGCAAGCAGCGGGGGAGCAGCACAGGTCGAGGCACAGCAGAGGAAGAGCTGCGGATTCTTAAGGGGTGTTCAGACCAAACGCGACCAGGTCACGTCGCGTCGGTTGGTCACGTCACGTGGCGCCCTGGTGTGTTCACAACGGGTCCAAAGCTGCGGTCGCAGGACGCGGCTGGTCGCCGCTGACCCGCTTCTCCCACCTTCCTTCTCCCTCATTTTCTCCCTCATATATACAGTACATCCCGCAGCCCTTTCCAGCGCTTGCGGCACACACACACACACGTTGAAACATGTAGCCTAGCAAGCAGGGGAAGTTTGCTATGTTTTCAGAAAATAGTCTGCTCACTGAAATAAATAAACAAACGACCAGAAAGCCCGAAATCATGGGCCACCTTCGCCCATGCCTCCTCCTTGGAGGTACGGTCCCAGTAAAACGCGCACACCACGTCGTACAGGACCGGGTGATAACTCACGGCAGTGATAAACTGCTCCTCCATTTTGATTCTTCTTCTCCTCCTCCTTGCTTCGCCGGTTTGTTGACGTCAGCAGAGCCCTGATTGGCTGTCGTGGGACGGAGTCGCGGATAGTCGCTCCCAAAGTTCAAATATTTGAACTTTGGGAGCGACGCGACTTGGCGTCCTGCGACCTCGGCGACACGACTTGGCGACCATGCGTGACCTGGTCGCCAAGTCGCATCAGGTTAGGGTTGTTCAGACCAAACGCAACCTTGGCGACCTCGGCAACGGCTCCCAATGCAAAGTCTATGGACAGCCGCGACCTGACGCGACTTGGCCACCGCCGGCTGCCTGCGCGTCACCGAGGTCGCATCGCCAAGGTCGCAGGACGCCAAGTCGCGTCGCTCCCAAAGTTCAAATATTTGAACTTTGGGAGCGACTATCCGCGACTCCGTCCCACGACAGCCAATCAGGGCTCTGCTGACGTCAACAAACCGGCGAAGCAAGGAGGAGGAGAAGAAGAATCAAAATGGAGGAGCAGTTTATCACTGCCGTGAGTTATCACCCAATCTTGCACCTATCTTGCAGTAATTCTTATGGTAATCTTATCACCGCTGGAGTTCCACAGGGAGACACCCCGACACACAGCCCCTGTCACAAACATAATAAACTCTAATTAATGTTGAAGAGTGAAAGTACAGACTCACCGTAAAGCATACATACCGACAGTAGCGGTTCTAGGCACAGGCGAACAGGGCAGCCGCCCGGAGCAGCATTTGTGTCATGACTCATGGGGGGGGGGGTGGCGGCACGAGCACTTCCAATAAAATAAAATAAAATAATAAATCTGCGCCGCAAAGCGGTTTTGTATTAACTCTTGTCAAATTGGTGCCCCCTGCTGCTGTAGGCGCCCCTGCTTGCTGCGAAGGTGCCGCACATAGGCTGACAGACTGTATGAGACGAGGCGGGGAGAGGGTCGCGGGGGACAGCTCTGCTCTCAGGGTTGCTCTCACTCTGCCGGTCACGGTGGCTCAAGCAGAGCAGAGCTTCTCAAAACCGAAGTTGATAAAGTCGTACCTAAGGTCAACCATGTCTCAGGAACGGCTCACTGGCCTTGCCGTCATCAATCACTTAACCCGTTTAAAACGGGACAGTATGTACGCATTTCAGCCTTCAAGCCGGGAGCGCAGATACATAATTTTGTGACATTCTGTAGTTTTTTAATCATTTCTCAAGTCGTGGCGAATCAAATCATCATACCTGTCTGCCTCTGATAGGCTAATAAAGCGATTGGATTCATGCATGGATCTTGCTACGTGCGTCGTGAGGAAAGTAAACAATGACAGAGGCAGAGAGCAGCTTCAGAGGAGAAACATCCAACAGTGTGAACAACTTCTTCATATGGAGTGCTTTGGCTCACACTATCACTATCTGTGAGTGTTGCATGACTTTGGATGTGCACAGAGATGAACACACTGTCAGACACTTCTTTTTAGTATTTAGTGCTGTTTTTGTACTGGCACTATACTAGTAGCCTGGCTGGGCCATCCTGTTGCGTGAATCACTTGCCGTTCCTTGTTCTTGTTGTGGGAAGGAACGGCAAGTGATTCACGCAACAGGATGGCCCAGCCAGGCTACTATACTAGGGCAGCTGTATACACTTTCAACACTTTATTTTTTATATTTACATTTGAATTAAATTGACACTTTATCATGACTGCCACTTCTTTTACAGAAAGCAAATAGTTTGTTATTCTCCAGTGCAGTCTTTACTTTTATTTATACAGTTTGTTTTTTCAAGGTTTTCAATAATGTGATGAAAGTTTGGACAAATAAAAGATAGTTGTATTAAAAGCCACACGTGTAAGCTCTCAAATACTTTTTTAATTTTGTTTCTATCTGCTACAGAGGCTGAGATATCAGCTTTTTTGTAAACCTAAACACTTCAGAAAACCTCAGGATCTGGGGGCCCTTCTTAATATGGCCCTCAGGACTTCAGCGGCGTGGCTCAGACAGGGTTCAGGTCTTAATGGGTTAATAGGGGAGCAGATTTCTTATAATAATAATAACAATAATTCATTTTATTTGTACAGCGCTTTTAAAAACACTCAAAGACGCTTTACATAGTACGTAAAATTCAAGATAATAAGACAAAGACATGAAAACAGTAAGATGGACAAAACAGTTAAATATTAAAAGCAATTTTAAATAAGTGGGTTTTTAAAAGGGATTTAAAAGTAGTGGGGTCAGGGCAGTGTCTGATGGAGGGAGGTAGGGAGTTCCAAAGGGTAGGGGCAGCTGAGGAGAATGCCCGATCCCCCCAAGTTCGGTGCTTGGGCCGTGACAGTGGGGTGAGAAGATGGGCAGAGGAGGAACGGAGGTTACGGGGGGGTACATGAGGCTGGAGTAGGTCGGTGAGATAAGAAGGGGCTTGATGATGAAGGGCTTTGTGGGTGAGAAGGAGGATCTTGAACATGATGCGTTGCTTGATGGGGAGCCAGTGTAGACGGAGGAGGATGGGGGTGATGTGATCTCGTGAACGGGTGTGGGTAAGGAGGCGGGCGGCAGAATTCTGGACTATCTGTAATTTGTTGAGGAGTTTAGAGGGTAGACCGTACAGGAGGCTGTTGCAGTAATCTAACCTTGAGGTGATGAAGGCGTGGACCAGGGTTTCTGCTGCAGGGAGGGAGAGAGATGGGCGAATACGGGCAATGTTTTTGAGGTGAAAAAAGGCTGATTTAGTGACCTGTTTGATGTGTTGTTCGAAAGTGAGGTGGGTATCAAAGATGAGTCCAAGGTTGCGGATGGAGGAGGAAGGAGATAGGGGTGAGTTATCAGCTGTGATGGAGAAGGGGGGGATGATTGGGTGATGGATTTGGGGCCAATGATTATCATGTCGGATTTGTCACAGTTCAGTAGAAGGTAGTTGTTGGTCATCCAGGTCTTTATTTCGGAGAGGCAGGTTGAGAGGGTGGATGGGGTGATGGATTCAGTGGAAATGTAAAGTTGGACATCGTCAGCGTAACAGTGAAATTGGAGGCCGTGACAACGGATGATATGTCCAAGAGGGAGGATGTAAATAATGAACAGGAGGGGGCCAAGCACCGAACCTTGGGGGACACCTTGGGTCAGGGGAGCAGTGGTGGAGGAGTTGCTGTTTATGTTAATGAATTGTTGGCGGTTTGTGAGGTATGACTTAAACCAGGAGAGGGCAGTGCCAGTTATGTAGATTGAGTCATGAAGACGGGAAAGGAGGATGGAGTGGTGGATGGTGTCAAAAGCAGCGGTGAGGTCCAGGAGAATCAGGATGCTAATGTGGCCGGAGTCAGCGCTGAGGAGGAGGTCATTGCAAATCTTGAGGAGGGCTGTTTCTGTACTATGTTTGGGACGGAAACCGGATTGGAAGACTTAAAAGAGGCTGTTGGAGTTGAGGTGGGTCTGAAGCTGAGAGGCGACGGCACGTTCTAATATTTTAGAAAGCAGAGGAAGGTTGGAAATTGGGCGGAAGTTAGAAATTATGTCAGGGTCGAGTCCGGGTTTTTTGAGGGTTGGGGTGATAGCAGCCAGTTTGAGGGAGTCGGGGACTGATCCGGTGTGGAGGGAGGAGTTGACTATGGAGAGGATTAGTGGAGAAAGGACTGGAAGGCAGGTCTTAACGAGTGCGGAGGGCATGGGGTCCAGGGTGCAGGTGGGAGTCTTCATGCTAGTTATTAACTGGGAGAGTTGGGCATGAGAGATGGGGGAAAACTGGGATAGGGGCTGAGCAGAGGTGTGGGGGGAGCACAAGGGGGGGGACTTGGGGTGGGGTGTGGGGGCGGAAGTTGCGGACTGGAGGCTGTTGTAGATGTTGTCTATTTTGGACTGGAAGAACTGGAGGAAAGTCTGGCATTTGTCTGGTGTGAAGGTTGAAGTGCTGTTGTCATGTGGTGCCAGAAGTGAGTTGATGGTGGAGAACAGGGTCCTGGGGTTGCTGGAGCCAGAGTGAATGATGTTGGAGTAGTATGCTGAGCGGGCGGAGTTGAGGGTGGCTTTGTACTGATGGAGGTGATCTCTATAGAGCTGGAGGTGAATTGTGAGTCCGGTTTTCCTGTAGAGTCTTTCAAGTTGGCGTTTTTTTTTTTTGTTTCAGCTGGTGGAGTGCTGGGGTGTACCAAGGAGCAGAGCGGGCGAATGTGACGGATTTGCTTTTTACAGGGGCAAGTAGGTTCAGACAGGAGGAGAGGGTCTGGTTGTAGTAGGTGACAAGATCAGAGGGGTTATCGGACGCTTGTGGGGGTGATGTGGTGAGGTTGAGAGAGAGAGAGAGCGGCGGTGAGGGCAGATGGGCTGATTGATTTGAGGTTCCGGAAGTTGATGGTTCGTTTCAGTCTGGTTGGTGGGTCGGGGAGGGTTATAACTGTTTTGATAAGTAAGTGATCAGAGATATGGAGATCGTGGCAGGAGGGGGGGGGGGGGGGGGGGTTCCAGGCCGGTTGAACAGATAAGGTCCAGGGTGTGGCCATGGTTATGGGTGAGGAAATGGCAGTGTTGGGTGAAGCTGAAGCATTGTAGGATGTCCAGAAATTCACGGGCTAGACTGCAACTGGGGTTGTCAATGTGGATGTTGAAGTCACCGAGGAGGAGAACGGATGGGGAGAGGGCACAAAGCTGTGTGAGGAGGTCAGAAAGGTCAGTCAGAAAATCTGGGCCTGGTTTAGGTGGGCGGTAGATAATAGCAATGATGAGTGGGGGGGAACCAGGGAGTTTGAGAGCAACATATTCAAAGGAGGAGACGGTTGGCATGGAAAGTGAAATGATTTTGAGATCCTTATTGTGAATTGTTGCAATGCCGCCACCTCTGCCTTCTAGGCGGGGTTTATCAATATAGGTGTAGCCTGTGGGGGTGGCCTGATTGAGGGAAAAGTAGTCCAGGGGTTTGTGCCAAGTTTCTGTTAAAAAGAGAAAGTCCAGTTTATTGTCCATGATGAAGTCTTGCAGGATGAGGCCTTTACTGGTGAGTGATCGGGTATTAAACAGGGCCAGGTTCAGGTGATGTGGGTGGGGCAGTTTCACTGATGATTCCTGTGAGGACCGGGGTAGTGTGCGAAGGTTGGCATGATGGCTACTCCTTAGAGCAGGGTGGTGGAGGGGCCTGTGGCTGATGATGGTGGGGATTTTAAAACTTGTTATTTCCCGTTGCAGTGGCTTGAGTGGTGGGTAGGGGGAGCCAGAGGGACGGGTAGGTCGGTGTGCAGGGAGCAGTTCCAGGGGGGTACGCTGGGGGTTGCTGTGATTGGTAACGGTGTCAGAGGAGGAGCATGAGGAAGAGGTGGATGTAAACACTAGTCAGTCGATCTGCGCGCTTGTGTGGACACTGTACTGGATGTTGGAAACTAAGATGGATCTGCCAGACCTGTTCAGGTGGATGCCATCACTGTTAAAATAATCAGGCCGGTTCCAAAAACTGTTAAAATTGTCAATAAAATGAACATTTTGGGCGTTGCAAAGCATGTTGGTCCAGCTGTTTAGGCTGAGGAGTCTGCTAAAACGCTCGCAGTTCTGCGTCATCGTCGGGAGCGGCCCACTAATAAAAACAGACTTGCCACAGTCTTTTAGGGAGTTAAGAAGCCTTTTAAAATCACATTTTGTCTGTTCAGACTGCCGACGCACTGTGTCGTTACAGCCGATGTGCACAATAATGCGGCGAATGGAGGAGGGAAGAGAGCGGAGGAGAGAGGGGATCTTATTAGCGATATAGGCAGCTGTGGCACCGGGGAAGGATAGTGTGGTGACATTGAAGAAACGAATACCTCTGGTGATGGAGTCTCCGATGATGACTGTCGTGGGGGCGAAGAGAGGGGCAATTGGCGGTGCAGTGCCGCTTCCAGGAGATATGGAGGTGACACAACGTAGACGCGGCTCCAGCTCGCGCTGCGGGATGCTGTCATTTTGGGACGCAGCTCTGGGGACGGATCCGACGGAGCGGCGACGGACCGCTTCCCGCAACAATTTGCGTCGGTTATGTTTTGCTGGACCTCGGGCTCACTGGTAAGGCTCCGTGTGCTGCCAGGCGCCACCGTGGGGATCTCTCCCTTGCTGGGCTGCGCCCGGGGTCCACCGTACGACAGCGCGGAGGTTTTCTTCACACGGGCGTCCAGCGGCATCCGGGAGTTGGCCAGCCCTGGTCCCGAGGCCGGGCGGTCAACTGCATTGGATGAGGCCAAGGCTTCGGCCGCAGGGCTGCCCATGGTTCCGGGAGATCCTCCGGTAGCCTGGGAAGGAGCTGCGGTGGTCCCGACGGTTGGCAGGTTGGAGGAGGAGGTCGCTTTGCTGCCGGTCGGCGTCTGGACTGGGCTGTCAGCTGCGTTGATGGCGGCCTGGACTGTGTTTGCGGGCCGGGGTATGGACAGCTGGAGAAGGGTCGTGGAGCTGCTGGGAAAGGCCGGTCGGGGCGGGGAAACACCACAGGCATTTTTCTTAGCGTTATTGCCACGGATTACTACCTCGGACCACGTTGGACGTGCAGGAGTTGAGGTGGATGAAGGCCGGGGGCTGTCGGGGTCCCAGGGTAACGTATCGTGGAGGGAAGCCTGGAGAGAGGCAAGGTGGCGGGTCTGCTTGAAGGCGACACCCATACAGGCGGTGAGTAGATCTGATTTGGCTTTCAGTTCAGCAGACAATCTGCAAATGTCCTCTTTGAGACGAGTGATTGTGGCGTTTGCCTTGTCCAGTTCAGATATATGGAGTGGGGACGTGGAGGTGGAAGAAGCCATGACGGCGGTAGAGTTTAAACAACTCCAAACAATTTCAGATAACTCCAAACATAAGCTCCTCAGCGAGAACTGTTGAGTAGGAAGAGTGTAACTCCAGGAGATGTTGACTGTCGATGTCACAGGAAATGTATATTCCACTCAGGGTCCAAGGATATCTACCACGAATTACCACATGCAGTCCCAGTCCCCCGACGATTATTGATGATTTTGCATCAAGGAAGGCAAGAAAGGTCAGGTTTTAGTTTGTGTTTCCTGTCATAGAACAATCACATTTTCTTTAGTGTGTTTTCAAATTTGTGTGATTTGCTATTCAAAATTATTAGTCTATATTTTATTTAATATTTTATATTATTCTTCTCTTCTCGTGCTGTCTTGTAACATTTTTTGTTAAATATTTGCCACTTTTATGTATATAGTGTATATTTATTATTTAAGCTCTGATAACCTGTTTTGAGCAGAACTGCCCCATCGTCTTTTGCAATGTTGGAGGTGGAGAATATGCACCTTAAAAAGAGTCTTTTTAACTTTTACTTTTCAAAAATGTATGAAGTAATTTACAGTGCCAAGGAAAAACTGTCTTGTGATATGGATGTTTGAGTGGTGCTCTACAAATAAACTTGCTTTCTTACAACACTAGTTTTTTGTTGCAATGGTATTACTCATTATAATCATATTGTACACACAGCAGGCACAAGGGTAGATGCAGTCACATAAACCACTCTCCCACTGTGCTTTACTTTTCTCTATTGTATGTTCTTGTGCACATGAAAAAATGCTGGGTTGTTTTTTTCAACCCAACCACTAGGTTAAGCCTGTTGGTCAATTTATTTATGTTTTTTTCAAGGAGTTGGGTATTCTGAGTACCCAAATCACAAGGTTATTTATGTTGGAAACAGAGTTATTAGATGTTGGGTTGTAATTTCTATACAGTTTTGTAGGTTTATTGTGGACTTCCCAACACATTGGGTAGATGTTTGGGCATTTGAAACCAAGCATCACCCACTCACCAGATTGATTCCACTACTGCTGAGGTGAGGGAACGTACAAAGCAAGGTTTGTTACATTCCCACTTTTGCTTTACCATATAGATGACTTGATATCATTATATAAACCCTCATTTTGTTGTTAAGATGTAAGTCTGTGAAGCACTGTTGTGTACCAGCTTCTGCCTTCAGGAATCAATAGGTAGGTGAGCAAGCTAATGGTTAACCAATGTTAGTAGCATAAAGTACATTGTCTCAAATGTAGCAAGCTAACACGTTAGCAGATGTGTGGTGTGGTGTGGTGTGGACAGAAATGTTGAGCTACTGCTTTAGTGGACTCACTGTCTTGATGTTTTTCGGGTTGATACAAACAATCAATGGATGACTTTGTGATGTGGAGTGGAATGGTGTGGATCCAAGATGCAACCTCCTGTTCTATATTGTTTATTTTGAAAAGATAAGAAAACCATATAAATAAAAAAAACTGCCAAATGTATACAAACTCTGAAGTTCATTCTCCGCCAGTAAAGTGGTAAAATGAAAAGGGAAACATAAAGGTACGGCAGTAGCTCAGGAGGAAGAGCAGTTGGCAGTTCGATTCCCCCCATCCCAAGTCTCTCAGTTGAGTCCTTGGGCAAGACACTTGACCTACCTTGTGTGTCCTCCACTGGTGTTTGATTGTGAGTATTGTATGGTGATGGTCAGAGAGGCTGTATGTGCAAAATGGCCCCAGTGCAGTGATTACTTAGATAGTTTACAATTACCAGGGTTTGACTGTGTGAGCAAATAAATGGTGTGTCCAATGTAAAGCGCTTTGAGGGTCTCTGATAAAGTGCTATATGAAATCTGATGCATTAATGTAATTTATCATGATTTTGAATATTAACAACCCAAATGCTGGGTTTAAAGAACACAGTTGTTGGGTTAAGTGAACCAACTCAATTAGTTGGGTAAAGTTAACCCAGCATGTGTTCTGTCCAATATTTAACCAGGTCTGGGTTGGGAAATCACCCAAATTGGGTTGTTTTTAATCCAATGTTTTTAAGAGTGTGTATGTGTGTATTTTTAATACACTTTTTGCATTTTTGCACCATGGGCTTGAGAGACGTGTCTATTTTGATTCCTGTGTATGTACTCACATATGGAAGAATTTGACAGTAAAAAGCTTGAATTTTGAATCAACAGAACTCTGCACAATTACCAAAGACAATAAGCTGATAAAAAGAAAGTGGAAACAGCCTTCAGATCTATAAAGAAGAGTAGGTGAAATGGTGCTCCTTTAAACCTGCATGCTTTAAGGTGGCCAGCAGGGGTCAAGAAAGAAGATCAAATGAATAAAATTCCACAGGAAAGTGAGTCCATAAACATGATCTCAATGAAATTATGTTATTAATCAATCATGATTGGAATTTTTAACACAGTGTGTGCTTATTCCATAATTTGAGGTAAGGCTACCCATAATTGATAAGGCACTTCAATCTGCCTGATAATGTTTGTTTGTGGTTTTAGTGAAACACAGACCTTTCTTACTGAACATAGGTTCCTTTTCAGCTGGTTGTCTCTTGTTCCAAAAGAAGGATTACAATATACAGAATATCCCTGTTATCATTAATTACAGATAAAAGCACAAGCTTACATGGCTGATAACCTTGGTTTGCCACATTCCTGATGACCCTGTTATTACTTTACTGAAAATTCTGAAATATAAAAACACATTTCAGTCAAAAGTAGAGTAAATTGTCTTTCCTGTTAGAAATAATAGTCAGACAGTGATGTTAGGAGGGGATTGAGTGCTAATGTTATCTTTTGTCTGACCAAAGTCAATGGGGAGTTTAACATGTTGTTAAGCCTTTAACAAGGCTTAGGGTCCCACTGGACTTTCTCTGTGCACACTTTCTTTTCAGATGTTAAATGAGGACCAACAGGTATGAAAAACAGGGTTAGTCATAATAAGTAATAACTATTCAATATAAAGAAAGACTACAGTTGAAATACCCAGCATCATGTAAAGACACAGACGGTGACAAACAGGGGCCTGTTGCATAAAAGTAGGATTTAGATATCCAGGATAAGTGACTGAGCTGAGCTCAACGAATCCAAAATAAGAGCATCCAGGCTTATTCGGTTGCATAAACGCTAATCCAGGATGAGAAGAAACGGATTCATCAAGCCAGCTGAAAGCAATCCTGGATAAGTGCACGCACCTGGCTCATTAAATAGACCCCCGTGATCGATCACAGATTCACCTATTCACCATGACAACCAGAGCCGCATACTTCTCCCCGTCGGAGCAGGATATACTTATGGAAGCGTATGAAGAGGTAAAAGATCAGATTTTTAAAAAAAAGGAAACACCGCCACTGCCATAAAACAGCGAGAAAAAGCGCGGCAAAGTATTGCAGACCGCCTGAATGCACAAATACACACTCACTACTCCTCTGAAACATCACAACTGCAATCCAAATAGTTGATTAACATCTCCAAAAACATAGTTGTAGCCTACTCTGATTATGAAACAGTTAAAATTACAAGTGAAAATGACTGCAGAGAGAAAGTATGTAAATCCATGTTTGCTCCTCCAGCTCCTCTTCTGTTTCATTCTTCATTAAAGCTGTCAAAATTAGTGACTTCATTTGAGTAAATTAATTTGTGGAATTAACTGAGTAGAATATCTAATCATAATTATTTTTTTGACCCATTAATGCAACAAAATCCCTAAAATTACCAACAAAAAAAATTCCCCCAAAACAGAAAGACAGCCCTAATGAGTAACATTTATATGAACATAATTAAAATAACAGTTTCACTGCTGTTTTTGTGACTGTAAACTGAGTACAGAATGATAAAAGCCTTCATAATTTTTTACTTTTGGACTTTTTCATTCACTTGACACATTATTTAACGGTGATTAATTGTTATTAATCTGGAGAAACCTCTGATTAATCAAATTTAAAATTCTAATCATTTGACAGCCCTATTCATTATATGTATGTATGTGTGTGTGCGTGCATTCTGATTGATCACAAGATAACCACAAAGCCAACTTTGCTTCCTCTGTCTGTCTGTAGATTAAACATGACTGGGCCTAAAAGAACTTGGCAGCAAGTCAAAATCAAATACAAAAACATCCTGGCGAACAGTAAATACCTTGACATGTACTATGCAGAAGTGTAAGTTGTACCCAGAAGGTGCCTGCTCACACATTGTCTGTACTTTCAGCAGTTAAAAAAAAAAAACCCACAGGCAAGGCACGGGTGGTGGGTCACCACCAGCTGACCTCACCCCAGCTGAGGGCAAAGTCTTGGCATTAAATAGAGACAGGCCTGTGATGGAGGGGATCCCTGGGGGAACAGAGTCAAATACAAGTTCCTCCCAAGATGTCACCCTCCTTATACAAGGTACATTCTTCCATATTTACATGGGACCTAACCAACCATTCACATTGAATCCATTTGGACTATCAGACATTAGTTTAACTCGCAGTGTCTGGCAACATCATCAATTTGTTAGAGCCACCAACGCCAGATGATGATCCAGTGAGTACTCCATCAAAGGCATACTGCAGGCCTGGCATGTCTAGTCTACTAACTTTAATATGAATCCCATTACATGTGATAGGATGAAGGCATCAGTGGAGCCGGAGGAGCCACAGCAGCGGCAGCAGGAGGAGCAGCAGCAGCAGCAGCAGCAGCAGCAGCAGAAGATGATGACGATGATGATAACTTTGATAAGGAGACTGTCTCTATTGATTCAAGAAGGCTTGAGGTATCATGTAAAACTTGTGGAAGTACTCATTCAGTCTATAATGATGAAAAGTCATCATGTGGTGCCCACACAAAGTGTCATTTCTGTAACAGGACCCAGATGCTGTACGAGGGGAAAGCCAGCCTGGCAAAATAGTGAGTATTAATGGAAGGATATTCTCATTATGCAAAATTCCCGCTGTGCTAATTGTCATTTGTTCACAGAGCTCACAGGCCATCAGACAGCTCTATGCAACACATCTAAAGAGGCAAATTCAACTATCAGAGGTCAACATTAAATATAAAAATAGACAGATGGCAGACCTCTCAGTGGAGTCTTAGATTAAAAGGACACTTCGAAAATTAAATCTTGAAATAAAAAAAACTTGAGCGTGAGGTGAGTTAAGCCCTCAATGCACACTGTATGCTGACTGTAACACAAACAATGTATCTATCATTGTTCTCCTTTCCTCCCCAGAAGATGAACAGTAAATAAAAGGTGACATGAGATTTTGGTGTCTGCTTGTTTAATGTATGCACAGTTAGGGCTACCATAGATATGAGACTTGCCATTAAATCAGACTGTAGAATTGCCATCTGCCATCCTACCTAAGTGCTATGATTGGTTGGAAGTCACACACTAATGATCAACTGTATTATTAAGACTAGAAGAAATGCACATAATGTACCTGAAATGCAATTTTCCAGACATATCAAAACACGTCATGACACAAATTGAGGAGTTGGAAGGTTGGCAGGAACATTTTAATCATTCTTTAAGGTAGTAGGTATCATGATTAAATAACCATCTGTAGCTTGTGAGGTGTGAGGCTGCAAAGGTGTTCCTCGTGAAGTCAAGGGATCCAATGGCCTATAAGAAGGCCCAAAATCATGTGTACCTTCCTGCTCTAACAATGGCGTGCCCATTCTGGAAGAGATAATTGATGAGGAAGCACTCGTGCTCAGGAGAGCCTTCAGGCGGGAGAGGGTCTTCAGGGACAGGTCAGACCCATTGGCCTTCACTGACGACTACCTGTACGAAAGGTATAGATTTTCAGCAGATGGCATCCAGTACCTTTGCAGACTGCTGGGTCCCAGGCTATGCCACCAAACGGCACGCAACCATGCGCTGAGTGTTACACAAATGGTGTGTGTTGCCTTGGGCTTTTTCGCAAGTGGGGGCTTCCTGTACTTTGTGGGGGATGCAGAAAATTTGAACAAGGCGACAATTTGCCGCACCGTGTGCAGTGTGTATGTGGCCATTCAGTTGTTGCTAGGTGTCTTCATTTCCTTCCCTGGCCACAGAAGACTCCAACATATCAAGGAGGATTTTTATAGGATTGCAGGTAAAAGAAATTTCAAATTACATGACAAGTGTTAACTGTCATAGTAGGATACTCATTGCTTTGTGTTACAGGTTTCCCCAATGTCATTGGCACAATTGACTGCCCCCACATAAAAATAAAATCCCCCTCAGGTGCCCATGAGAGAGATTTTATTAACAGGAAATCCTTTCACAGCATTAATGTTCAGGTAAACATAACTTTTCGATATTTTCAATTAATGAACACTGCTTGTGATGTGCATTGATGGTTTAATGTTCAACATCTTATACTTTCAGATGGTCTGCAATGCTGACTGCCTGATTAGTAATGTTGTGGCAAAGTGGCCTGGATCAGTCCATGACTACAGAATCTTTAGGTCCTCTGCCATCTATCAGCACCTGTCACAAGGTAAGCCACATCCTCTATAAATAACCACTTTTAACATCATGGCTGTGTCAAGCATGTCACACTATAAGATTGTGATTATGACATTTTGTATTCAAAGGGGAATTTTCTGGTGTACTGCTGGGGGACAGAGGTTATGCCTGCGAGCCGTTCTGCCTAACACCATTCACAGACGCACAGGAAGGACAGCAGGCCTACAACAATGCCCATGCCAGAACAAGGGCACTGATTGAAATGACCTTTGGCCTCCTGAAGGAACGATTCCAGTGTCTGCACCACCTGAGAGTCAGCCCAGACAGGGCATGTGGCATTATTGTTGCCTGTGCTATCCTCCACAATGTGGCCTGCCTAAGAAAGGAGAGGGCTCCCAGAGTGCCAACACACATTGACTGGGACAATCCCGCTATCTTTCCAGATGATGACAGCAGTCAACTGGTCAGAGAGCAATATGTGTTGAATTATTTAAGTTAAAATCTATTTTGTATGTTTAAGTAACATATTGCCTGCAATTGCAGAGTAATTTATGTTGTGTTTCATTGATTTGGCCTATTGTGTTGTATACTGTGTGTATACAGGCCTGCCATTTCTGTTCATTGAAAATGGATTTGTCCTGGAGCTATTTCAGTGTGCAGACATGCAGGGTGTATTATATAGACCTCTGTGAATGTGTATTTATTGTTTTTATATTATATGCTTTGACTATGTGCTTTCTATCTTGTAGAGCACGTTTTGAAAGGTGCTGATGGTTTACTTGCTTTGATTCATCCTTATTCAATGAAGGAACATCATGTTACTCTTTGTGTATTTTATTTATATACATATAGATTTAATAATAGCAAAATCATTTATCTAAAATGATTGCAATTAATGATCACAAATGTTTAAATAATGACAGCGGGTGTAGTTAAATGTGATAGAGTGTAGTGGGCAGTGGAATGAATACCGGTGTCCATTTGTGGTGACTGCTGACTGAGATAAGGGATAAGATTAAATGGACCCCGGAACTTAGCCTGGTCTGGAGCAGGCTTGCTCCACAGAATAACTCTCCATGGTAACTTCCGTCATGACAAAACCCACCTTCCCCTATCCTACTTTTATGCAACCGGATCGCGGATAAGTTGATCCAGGATAACCAACATATCCCGGCTTAATCCCTTATCCTACTTTTATGCAACAGGCCCCAGGTGTCTTTGTTCATCCATGTGTGGAGAAAATGGGTCATCATAAGATCATCCATTGTTTTTTTAAGGCCATGATTGACCCCTCAGCTTAAGAACTTTATGGGTCCTCGTGCCAACTGCCAAGGGGCTGCAGCACACACACACACACACACACACACACACACACACACACACACACACACACACACACACACACACACACACACATTGAATCAGCCACAATCAAATCCATGTAATTTTTCCTGGTGGGGGGGTTTGTTCTTATTTTGGAGATTTTCAGTGTGTGTGTGTGTGTGTGTGTGTGTGTGTGTGTGTGTGTGTGTGTGTGTGTGTGTGTGTGTGTGTATTTATCCCCTGAGGAGAAATTCATGTGTATGTGTTGATCAGAAGCTTGCTTATGTGGGTTTATCCTCCTGTCCTCTGCTGTCATTTTAATCTTCCTTTTGTGTACTAAGTGTGTTTCTGTGCATATGTGTGCACTCTCATTCGGTGGCCACTGAGGAACTCACAGGGCCATGAACTTTACACACACACACACACACACACACACACACACACACACACACACACACACACACACACACATAAGCATGCTTACTGTGTCAGTGTGTCACATGAGAGGATTAAAACCTCATGTTAGAGACAGCTTTTGTGCCAACCAAGCTTAGTGGTAATAAACATAACACCACCGTTTTGTCATCTGTTCCAACTCCAGTAACAAGCCCCATGCAGTTATTAAAGTGAGATTTACATTAGTGATTGGTATAAGGATTTGCAGAGGGGATGCACTTGCCTAAAATTCTGTTGTGGTGTTTATTTAGTTATTTTTTGGCTGTTATGCTGCAGCCATTAGGCAAAACATGTCCTATGCATAACTTGTTCATTTGGCACTTAGTGTAGATAGTGTATCAAAAACTACACTTAATGGTCATGCAAATATTAGAAAAACCAAAGGTCTTTTTTTTTTTCACAACAAACAGTTTTAAGAAGAAAACACGTTCGTGAGTGAGAGCCCATTAAAAAACTGCCTCTGCCAACTGCAGAGGGAGTTTGTCCACGCCAAATCACATTTCTCCATAAATGATGCAGTTTATTCAAAGATTAAATCAGGAAATGATTACAATGACTTGTCTTTGTCCTTGAGAACTGCTAAATGCAGTAATTTTTAAAAAATGTGTGGAAACCGAGCACGTCTAAGCCTTCTTGCTGTACAGGGAATAAATTTAATCATGATTTGGAGCAATAATGACGTTCACTCTCGAATGGGCGGGGTTCCAAAAGGACAGCTAATAGAATTTATTCTCAGCTTGATTGACACTCGTGTTGTCGAATCAGCCCCATTCTCATTGCGACAATTCTGCCGTTGGACCCTGCCATCGGAGTGTTGTAGTAGTGACAAATATGTCGGCCTCTGGGAATCTACCGCTGACCACTATTATGGATATATGAGAAGCACATGGTTATATGATTATGCTTCTCTTCATTCTTATCAACGGAGCAGCCTGCAGATAAATTTGAAGAGCCTAGCAGCTGTAGGTGAAGCTACCTGTGGTTAGCCAGCCTTCTTACGTTGTTTAAATGAGCCTGACGCTGGGATTGCTAACGTTAGCCACCAAAGCTAAACCAGCACAGCCGGAGGATCCGTTTGGATAAAAGAGGACGCGCCTGGTTGTGCCTGCTGATTGTAACCCCAGGTGGCATTAAAATAACAAAGACTGGAAAATCAAATTGACCGTTTTTGGACCCAGAACCACAGGTGAGAGGAATTGTTAGCCAGCTGCTAGCCAGGTTCGAACCTTATGTAGTAAGAGGCTTACAAATGTGAAGCTTTAACAATCACACTTAAATAATCACACTTGTGCCCACAGTTAGCTATAACTGAGGTCAGGTGCTTATCTGCTGTTAATATTCTGTATTGCTCAATACTTCCCGTTAAATTTCCACCGTTGTGACTCATTCAGGTCTCCACCCTACTTTCATTATTACGGGCTTTTGATGCTCAGCTCTGTAATCAAGAATAGCTGCTGTTAAGGTGATGATACATAATTGATGGTCGCGAAATATGCTTTTTATACAAGGTTTGCAGGTGTATAGTCGTCTTCCTTCTGCGTCCCCACCCCGGCTTCCTTGTCCAATGTGGGTTAGATCTCCTGCACACAACGTAGTGCCATATCCCGTTTCCTCAATTTGACTGGGAATGGTGTTCTGTCGAATGTTGCTACCCATAGTGACTCTTGACAAATTTGCGCATGCGCAGAGACCGTGTTCCGAGCACGACGGAGATTACTGCTCCCTTAAATTTTGTGTGATACTATTGAAATCTTACATTATGTTTTTTTTTTTTCGTTAAGTGCCCAAATATGCTTCTCTTTTTCTAACAGGACAAGCAGAGAGTAATGTAATATGGTGTAATATGTGTTTAATGTGGAGTGATTCTATCCCAGGCCCACTATTTGACGACGCTGAAGTCAGCATCTTATTCGTAGCGTACAAATTGCCCGTTTAGAGGAAACGGTCTTGATCCTAACCGCTGTACAAGGAGTTGTTATATTTGGATCAGATAATCAGAAAAAGTCTCTAGTGTCTTAAATTTCTGGTTTCAGCAAATACATGCTGCGTTTATTTATTAATTAATCTTTTACCTTGTGAAAATGCAACGAGGGGTAATGCCACAGTTCACTTTTTTTGTCTAGTCCCCATTGAGACCAGGCTCTGATCCAGAGACACCATATCTACAGTTTTTCTTTAAGTGTCTGAAGTTTTACTTGAGTTATTCGGGCCAGGTCCGGGAAGCTTAGGTTATAATGTAGCACTTGAGCTGGTTCAAAGTGGTCTTGTGGTGAAAACAAAGGCAGGTGAAATGGCCCCTTCTTGCACGTTGGCAAACAGAACCAAGGTTCTCCAGATACAAAAACTGTGATCTCAAGTGATGGTCACAACTTTAGAATGATCCAGCTGAGATATAGAGGTCTCTGTATTTCAGTTTTAATTCTGAACCTGATCTGATGTGGTCTGGAGGTTGAAAACACACAAAACCATAGATTTTCGTGTCAACAAATGGAACAAGGGATTAAAAAAACGGACGCAATATATGGAGAGACTGTAGCCACCCAAGAATAATGCAGTACAGATCTAAGAAGTCTGGGTGTTTTGTCTTTTCTGGATCAGCACCTGGTCTACTGTGGTTTAGCAGTGAGGGAAAAAAACAGTGACTTCGTCCATTTTTGTGTCGTTATTAATTGAATAAAGGGTTCTACAACTTATGATTATGTTTTAAGAAAGCCACAGAATCTCTTACACGATTAAGCCCCCATCTGACAAGTTTGGGTATTGTGGCTCTGGATAAAGACTTTCCTCTATCGTCAGATTGGAAGTGACGAATATGAATCCAACTTCGGCGTCAGTAATCGAGATACTCTTCTCTTAAAATGCGAAGAGAAGGCTTTGTGATAGAGATTTCAAACACGCTCCCTATACTTGGACTATGTAAATGGAGTTATTACTGGTGTAAAGTCATTTTTGACTAGGCAGCACATCTTTACAGAGCATCGGTTGTTTCGCTTCCTGACAATCAAACCCCAGGAGCCACTGCAGCATTATAGAGCCCTCCGATATACACATTAAACCCAGAAATGATGGTGATCATGTTAAGATAGCTCATTTAAACAATCACATGAGCATACTGTTCCCTTAACTGTGGGATTTTTGATCGGAGTTCGTACTGTCGTTCCGTATGCTTTGGGTAGAGAACGGCACACCTTTGCCGGCTGTTTAATGTCAACTGAGCTGTCAAACCTAGCGCTGCTGGGCCGTGACTGAATCAATTAGGGCTTGCGTGTAACCTGCCTCCGCTCTATCCATGAAGCATTTAATCCATGCATTTCAGACGCCCTCCCCTTCGAGCCATTTTATTTTTTATTTTTTTGCAACGCCACATTTCATTCAGAACTGGAGGCACATAATCTGGAAATTAGGTCGGTGACATTAATAGAGAAATAATTTGCCGATTTGGTGCATGTATCGAGGCTCCTGCCGCTGCCGTGACTGCAGCGGCCCATACACACCCAGACTCCGTGCTTGGAAGTGCTGGCAATGCTGGAAACTCCTTTAGATGTAAGACGGTGCCATTGTGTCTGTCGGGTGTTTGTAACGTTTACATTACTGGGTGTATCTGAAGGTAGAGATTCTGCGTGAAGGAGCAAGGATGCAGGGTGCTTAAGATCAGATCCGAATCAGGTTGATTTCTGCTCTTGCTTTGAGAGAACACAGTGACTGCTTCCTATTTCAGTGCATTACATTGAAATGGTAAGAGAATTAAAAGCACTAGGTTGTCAGGAACCCTCATTAAACAGAAAACCAGATTTAGTGAAAAATATGTTCTGAAATGAAAAAAATTTTGCTTTATGAATCACAAGAAATTAAGTTACAAATTATTTTAAGTAAATTAAGAGCATGCTCAAAGGTGAACCATCACACTCTCCTCTTCTATCTATATTTTTCGTGAATTTTCAGGGTGTAAGTGACCCAATTTATGTCTTTAGTACCAGAGAAATTAGTGCTTCAGTATTGCTGTGGGATGCCCCCCCAACTTCTACTGCCTTTTACCCCCGTAACTTTCTTTCCTTAAAAGGGTAGTAAAGTTATGAGAATAAAGAAAATAACTTACAGAATGAGCAACAGTAAAAGAAGTTGGACGTATTCACACGCCCTAAGAGACATGAGACTCTTTGGGGGAGCATTATCTGTTACAAATCCCTCACTGCAATTCTGCAACAGCCCCTGACCAAAGTTCTGCCATCACTATGTCTTTGCCCCCACCAGTGCTCTCTGAAACCACATAATAGAAGATTCTCTAGTGGTTTATTGAGGGCAAATGGAAGTTTTATATAAAAATCAAAGCTAAATTTAAGCTAATTTGCTCTGGGATAGTCCATGAGTGGGAAACACTGGGGGGGTATCTGAAGGTGCAACATCTCCACCTGCTGTTGCCACGTTATACCCCTCTACTCAGCAACAGACCTGAGAGACAAAATGATGGACCAGTAAGAGATTTTACACAAAGAAACAAAGATGAGAAATGGGCACGATTAATCAATGATTGATTAATTGGTCGATAAGAATTATGTCGATCACACAACATTTCGATTGATTTAACGTTATTAAAAAGGGCTGACAGCGTGCGTCCAGCTGCTTTCTGGCAAAGACCAACCTCTGCTGATCAGGAGGAATACCATCTTTGTCCAGTCAGTGTGTGTGTGTGTGTGTGTGTGTGTGTGTGTGTTGAAGCAATACAGTGACTATCACAGTGCAGAAGGATTTTGACATTTTACTAGGGAAGTATTAAAATGTCAGCGGGCTTCCGTACAAGTCAAGAAACAAACATCAAGAAAGTGTGGTGTGGGACTATTTCGAGCGGGAAAATGATGAGGTTTGCTGCAAGCACTGCGACGCTGTGTTCAAGAAAACACGACAACCACCCCAGTGATGTACCACTGAAACTAGGGCTGCAACGATTAGTCGACGTAATCGATTACGTCGACCTGACAAATTCATCGACACGAAAACGAAGCGTCGACGCGTCGTGTTATTGTTGTTAAGAATCAAATGCCGGCGCCTCATGCTCATCTATAACTGCAGTGCACTACAGGATGCGCTGGGGGCAGTAGCGCTCGCTGTTTACATCCCGCGAGCAAACACAGAAGAAGAGAGCACACATGGCAGAACAAACTGAAGAAGACGCTCCAAAACTCCGACCCAAAACTTCAAAAGTTTGGGAACATTTTACGGAGAACAAACCAAAAAAACACGTTGATCAAAGCTCAGCTTTCCTACCATGGCAGCACCACTGCGATGCATGAGCACCTGAAACGCCGACACCCCGGAAATAGGTGTTTATAAATAAAGAAGATAGTGATTAATCGGACGACCAGTCGGACGACTAGTCGACAAAAATAATCGTTAGTTGCAGCACTAACTGAAACCAAATATTTCAATTAAGAAAACATGTTTTTGGCATATTTTCTGCCATTCACATAAAAAAAGATTAAATCGATGATTGATCATTAATTTATATGATTAATCGATCGAGGGACATTCTTAAAATGCCCATTCCTAGCAGCTGTCACAAAGGGAAGTAGCCGCCCATTTATTTAAGATGGTCCCACTCAGAACAGAAAAAAGTTAACACAAAATGCATAGATGATCTTATTGATTTAAAAGGTTTTATGTTTACAGCTATGAAATTATTCTCTCAAGACCAGCCTGAGATGGACAGAAATGTTTTTACCACAGTGTCAACAGGCAGAGGTGATGTATGCTGGACTCCTTTCCATAGGTCGAGTTCCTATGATGTGTGTGATCAGGGGCCTGTTGCACTAGCTCTTTGTAAGTCGTGTCTTCATTAGGAGTGTAAATTCCACACCCGTACACTGAAACTAGTTAAAAGGTAACCGTAGTTGTATCATTGTTTGGTCCTTATGGTGTGACCGAAGTACGTGCACAAAACAACAAGTCATACTCTCTACTCTTTGTCCTCCTTAAAGTAATCCCATCTATAAAGAAGATGTGCCATGACAACTGGCATTTATAAAAGACAATATACCTGCTTAGAGCTGTGTAGGTCTAAGGTTGAGGTTATAACTTAGGCTTATGCTTATCAACTGGCTAGTGGACAGGGATCTGCTTCAATAAATGATGCCTAGGTTTTCTCAGCATGCCAAAGCAGATTTGTCTGTTTACCCTTCAGGAGTCTTTTGCCAGAATCAGGCGTCATGCTAGTCATGCTAGTCATGATCAGCAGCTCCATCATAGACATGGCTCACTGTGGTAGCCTGCCAAGCTGATATTGTGTAATGAAGAAGTAATATCCTTTATGGCAGGGTGTAATTAATGAGCAGTCTTTACACATGTTCCTAACATGTGGACATTGGAGGTACAAATTCAAGTTTTGATATTGACAGTGTACAGTGTTTTTGAAGAACCTTTGGTAAGACAAGGTTTCTGTTTCAGCCATGATACAATGTGAGTCAAGAACAAGAAATGACTCCTCCTTTTCGGGGTGGCACGCTCAAGATGGGTTTTTTTCTGCCATCACCGAATAGCAAACATTCAGCAATTACTTCAGTTTAATTCGTCAGTGTGAGCATCTCGAAATGAGCTCAGTTTTGTCATAAATACTGCACTTTAACTTGTGAAGGCTGCACCAGACATTTGCATGCACACTAAAATTAAAAAGTAATATCATTTTGATGTCCTGAAAACGACCTTTAAAGACATGTATGCTGAGCAGATACCCTTCTGATTTTAGCTTTATAACATCAGACATTTATGGAGCACATGAAGGATATTCACAGTGTTTTGTCATTGCAGTTAGTCACAGCTATCTCAGAATGTATACCTGCACGAAGAAGAATATCAGAGTGAGACTATTTTGCTAAATGGGGATGTCTTTTCAGATACAGTACTGAAACCTGAATGATTAGAGTGTGTAAATGAAGTCATGGTAATTTCATTGTGAGGTTGTTGACTCCCACAGGAAGTCTGAATGTGTCAAGCAAATTTTTTTCTGGGAGCCAGGAGACTTTCAGTTTTGTTAAATCTGTTTTTGTTAATTCCATTATCTCCAGCTTTGGCAGTGACCCTTGTGTTCCCTTAGTGCAGTTAAAGGTCACTAGTAAAATGCTCAGACCGATCTTTGAAGAGCTTATTTCCCTTTAGGATGCGCACAAATATGCACAGAAAGACAGAGAAGTTAGAGAATCAGTTGATATTGAATAAAACTGAAATTGTAATTATGTTGTTTACACCGATAACAGAGACACAGCCCTGTTAAGGAAAGCTGCAAATTTTTACCCACAGCCACACTGGACACATTTCAATGAGTTTGTCTCTTGTAGGCTGTATTGGGACAGAGGAAAAAGTGCCTAGAAAGTGAGTCTCGTTCCACTTCAGTGAGGCAACATAAACTGTGATTCATAAAATAGCTCTTTGGTCAGTAAATACTAAAAAAAAAAAAAAATCTACTCATGCCATCCGGTCGATTTTTAGTAATCAGTGTTTCGGTGTCGAACTATTTCCTTTCTGCGGCGTAGTGATACTTGCACACGCGCAATTGAATATGCAGAGGGGTGAAGTGATTTTTGTCACGTGGACCAATAGGAGCTGAGTCTCGTTGCCATAGTATCAGAAATACACAAACATGGCAACGAGTGCATCTAGCAGCGAGATAAGGGAAGAGGAAGAAAAGAAAAGGAAAAAAAGAAAACAGCCTTCAAGAGTGCATAAAAAAGGAACGAAACAATGCTATATGTACCTATCATCTGTCCAGAGTGAAGACGTTCTCGACTTTACAAGGACACGTTGGGAAACTTACAGAACTAGTATTAGAAAGTGGCTTTCTCTACAGGGTGAGACAAAGGACCAGCCAGAAATGTACATATATGTGAGTAACACAAAAAACAATATATGATGCTGCTGTTTTTGCTTGTAGAAACTGCTATGTTGATTCTGCCAAGACAAAATCTTTCTCAAATGTCATAAATACATCTACCTAACATCTGAAACAGTTATTGGTGCCTTATTAAACGCAAAAGTGAATTCATATTATGAAATGTAGCAAATTTCTTGAAGAAAACGTCTCAACTCAAGTGATGTGCACCCAGCACAATGAAATATATACAGTAAATTTAGCTAAAAGCTTATGTTTCATACATAAAAATGACACAAGCTACTGTGTAATAAAAGCAATAAAATATAAACAGCACATCATGGCCATAAATGGCTGAAAGTCAACCAAATTGCTACCACGCCCCCCAAAATTGGAATAATGGAAAAAATGTAACAAGACAAAAATAAATGCACAAAAGGTCTGAATTAATTCAAAATATGGTATAAAACATTTATTCAAGTATCACAGTGTTAAAACATCTGACATTTATCAATCTCTCCAGAAAATGGAAATAAAGATCAAAACACAAAGGCAGACAAATGTAGAACAAATATAAAAATAATAAAAATCTCAAATCTTGGTGTAGCAATCCTTTAAACAAAACAAATTGTACATGGTGACATGGTGCGTATATTATGCATCACTATCACTTTCATCAGAGTCATCATCCCATACAGCTCTTTCTTCTGTTTCCTTTAAAGCATTCTCACATGCTTGGCACCGACATAAATCTGGGCAAGATAGACACTGTGATACTTGAACAAATGTTTTATACCATATTTTGAATTAATTCAGACCTTTTGTGCATTTAATTTTGTCCTGTTACATTTTTTCCATTATTCCAATTTTGGGGGGCGTGGTAGCAATTTGATTGACTTTTAGCCATTTATGGCCATGATGTGCTGTTTATATTTTATTGCTTTTATTACACAGTAGGTTGTGTCATTTTTATGTATGAAACATAAGCTTTTAGCTAAATTTTCTGTATTTATTTCATTGTGCTGGGTGCAAATCACTTGAGTTGAGACGTTTTCTTCAAGAAATTTGCTACATTTCATAATCTGAATTCACTTATGCGTATACTAAGGCACCAATAACTGTAGATGTATTTATGACATTTGAGAAAGATTTTGTCTTGGCAGAATCAACATAGCAGTTTCTACAAGCAAAAACAGCAGCACCATATAATTGTTTTTTGTGTTCTCACATATATGTACATTTCTGGCTGGTCCTTTGTCTCACCCTGTAGAGAAAGCCACTTTCTAATACTAGTTCTGTAAGTTTCCCAACGTGTCCTTGTAAAGTCGAGAACGTCTTCACTCTGGACAGATGATAGGAGCTAGGCCTGTCGCGATAATCAATAAATTGCCTTATCGCTCGATAAATAAAAACGAGGTCGGTCATTTTGCCAGCCTCGATAATTGACGTGCGTTTGTTTTCCTCCTCTCTCGCTACCAAACACGGTGGATGAGAGAAGAGGTCTCACTCTGCGCATTTTTCTCGGCACCTGGGGGCGTTGGCTCTATAGCGGAATGAACGGAGTTAGTGAACCCTCCTGTCAGTCATTCAATGTCTTTGTTACGATGGGGCGCGCGCGCAGGTACACGTAGGCGCGCACAGGCACACAGACACAGACTTTTGGATACAGTGCTGCAAGTGAGCGTCGTGAGTGAGAAGCAAGCAAACAGAATGAACACGACAGCTTTGGTGTCTAAACCGAATGCAACAGCCCAAGTGTGGGAATATTTCGGCTTTAAACCAGTTTTGTTTTCGTCAGCCACAAAACTCCACGTGTGTGCGCGCGCGTGTGTGTCTGTGTGTTGGAGGAGCACAGCAGGCTGATGAGAGCTGTCAGAGCGGACTTAAGCTGCTCCTGTATGTTTAGCGTTTAACTGACTGAGTTTTGCAACTCTGTTCGTCATTTTCGTGTCGTCCCATCAACGTAAACGCACTTTCGTCTCGTCACATTTTAGTCATCTCCGACTTATGTTTAGCTCGTCAACGTTACGTCTTCGTCGTGGGTGAAATTAAAGTTTATCACTTTTGACACGGTGTACTCGCATTATTATGCCATTTCATATCATTATCTATAATTTAAAAAACGGTGTCAATAATATCGTTTATCGGCGATCATTTGCAGCACAATTATCGTCCAGCAAAATTTGTTATCGTGACAGGCCTAATAGGAGCATATAGCATTGTTTCGTTCCTTTTTTATGCACTTTTGAAGGCTGTTTTCTTTTTTTCTTTTCTTTTCTTCCTCTTCGCTTGTCTCACTGCTAGATGCGCTCGTCGCCATGTTTGTGTATTTCTGATACTATGGCAACGAGACTTGGCTCCTATTGGTCCACATGACAAAAATCGCTTCACCCCTCTGCATATTTGATTGCGCTTGTGCAAGTATCACTACGCCGCAGAAAGGAAATAGTTCGACACCGAAACACTGATTACTAAAAATCGACCGGATGGCATGAGTAGATATATTTTTTTAGTACTTACTAACAATAGAGCTATTTTATGAATCACAGTTTATGTTGCCCCACTGAAGTGGTAACGAACTAACACGATCTCGCTCAGCCAATACAGCCTATTGGGTGTAGGGCTGCACGATTTTGGCTAAAAATAAAATTCCAATTTAATCACTGAAAACTTGATTTTAGATTTCAATTTAGATTTTTAATTCAGTGACAACTTCACTTGGAATTTTTTAAAATTATTTTTAACTTTTATCATCTCTCAAATCACAAAGACTGAAAACAATGTAGTGCATATGCCAAGCCAGTAAGTGGCGCTTTAACGCTGCACAGTGAATGCACAAGAGACAGAAGAAGAGTACAGAATGTGTGTTATGGTTGTTTTGGCTGGACATAAGCAAGCACCATAAAATATTTACACTGTGTGTCGCATAGTTGTTTCCAGAGATGAAGATAGACATCCACACGGAGATAAAATGGTAGTCGTTTACAGATTTATGCACTCTCTGCCCAGTTTTCAAAAAAGACTGTTGACAGTCACCCGAAATGCTGTTTCCGTGTGGATGAAACGCCGATGGGACAAAAAACTTTTTTGTTTACTCCTGAATTCGTTTCTGTGTGGACGGGTTGATACCCTCAGACAGACTTTGCAGCAGGGAGTGGTTTGCTCTTGTCCGAAACTGCGAAGCCAATTCAACACGGCTGACTTGCTCTCACCCTATTTAGCCACGGAATAATTGCCTTCTTTTGCAAACACCATGTTTGTTTACACTGGTGTGTGTGGGAACTGGGGAGTGCTCCCATAGGAAGAGGGAGCCTACGGCGGCCTAGAGGCATGAAAAATGATAGAGGAAAATCGATGTGATGATTTAAATTTTCTTAACATCGTCATAATCAAATAATCAGATTACGATTTAAAATTGGTTAATTTTGCAGCTCTACTCGAATTAAGAGAAAACTGCTGTCAGAGATTTTCTTTATTTACTTTGATTTGGAGAGTGTGAACAGGTCAACATCCCTTTAAACATCAATACAGATTGTGTCAAAGGGAGGAGACGGGGTAGGGCAGTTGATGCTGAAGAACAGGGCAGCAGTAATAGATGAAGTGTGTTAAGACAGGCCATCAATCATGCCAGGTGCACTCATCTGCTTATTGATTGAAAGGTTGAAGCACTTGGTCCATAAAGTAAACAGCAGAATACAGGTTGTGAGTCTCTCTGCCTGTCTGAGTCTGTGACAGGGGGCAGAGAGGCACCACCCATGCATCTTTTCACAAACACTCCCCCGCCCCCTTCCTTCTGAATAAACAGCATGTCAAAACGGCTAATAGAGGCACCAGCTACATCTGCAGAAAAAACTTTGAAACTCGTCTTGTCTGTCTCCAAAGTACAGAACTGAGCGATATCCAAATGACTTTTGTGTCTGGTGACAAATTCTGTCAACATACCATCGTCTGAAAAGGCAATATTACATGTGACAAACCACTTGTCGTCTAAAATCGACGTAAAAAACAATGAAAAACTCTTTGACTCAACCATTTAAAACTGATTAAACTTTGTACTTAAAGCACTTTTTGGTACATTGTTATGTTACAACATTATGTTTTGACTTGAGATACTGGGCAATGATGTATTACAGCTATGAATCTAGGAATATTTGTATATAAATATTTAATTTTATTTACTGACACCACAAGCATACAGCCTATGGTAGTACATTAGTGTAAAAGGTAGAAAAGGGATTTCTAAAAAATTAAAACAGAAAAAAACAAATTTTGGGGAAGAAAAAACAGATTTCATAGGGCCCTTTTATAATGTTCTAATACCTGAATATAAACAAGCCCTGATGACAGGTGGCACCTTGTGGCAAGGTGCAGTTGTGAGGTACTTTTATCTTGAAAATAGAGAAAAAGTTATGTGCAGACTGCCTCTGGTTAATCTGACTTACAAATACTCGACCAAAGCGACGTGTAACCAGCACAAGCATGTGGACATCACCCTGCAAGAAAGACTCTGCTCTTCTTGTTTTGAAGCTTAGAGATGATGGTTGTAGCCTAAAATGGTGATTGACACGGTATGAAAACCTTCAATATTTTATGGAAACTTAAGCGTTATCATCGTACTGTGAAGAGATTTGTGGCTGATTCAGAGCACAAGTGGGTTTGTGCAGATGAAGGCACAATCAGAAAGGTTTCTCCCAGACAAATACATCAGATTAAGAGAACAGCTGCTAAAATACCATTACAAAGCAGCAAACAGATATTTGAAGCTGCTGATGCCACTTGAGTCCCATGAACTTAAAGGTGTAGGATCCTCTAGAGATTTGCAGTTGTGCATAAACCTTCTATTCGGCCACCCCTAAACAATGCTCACAAGCAGAAATGGTTGCAGTGGGTCCAGAAATACATGAAGACAAATTTTCAAACAGTCTTATTCACTGATGAGTGCCGTGCAACCCTTGATGGTCCAGATGGATGGAGTGGTGGATGGCCACTATGTCCCAACAAGGTTGCAACGTCAGCAAGGAGGTGGTGGAGTCATGTTTTGGGCTGGAATCATGGGGAGAGCTGGTTGGCCCTTTTAGAGTCCCTGGAGATGTGAAACGGACCTCTGAATAGTATGTGGAGTTTCTGACTGACTACTTTCTTCCATGGTACAAAAAGAAGAAACGTGTTCTCCGTAACGAATCATCTTCATGCATGACAATGCACCATGTGATGCTGCTAGGAATACCTTTGCAGCTATGGGCATAAAAGGAGAGAAACTCATGATGTGGCCCCCATCCTCTCCTGACCTCAACCCTATTGAGAACCCGTGGAGCATCCTGAAGCAAAAGATCTATGAGGGTGGGAGGCAGTTCACATCCAAACAAGCAGCTCTGGGAGGCTATTCTGACATCCTGCAAACATATCCGAGCAGAAACTCTCCAAAAACTCACAAGTTCGATGGATGCAAGAATTTTGAAGCTGCTATCAAATAGGGGGTCCTATGTTAAAATGTAACTTGACCTGTTAGGATGTTTTTAATCGAAATAGCTTTTGATTTCAGAAAATATGACCTCCTAATGCTGCAAATTCAACTAATGACCATTCTCAGTTCTTTAAGACCTATAGAGGTTTTACACACTGAAATTAGATGGGATTGAATTTCTAATGGGATTGAATACTTTGATTAACTGTAGTACTGGCCAACCCTGAGTTTTAAGGAGTACAAGAAGTCACAGCTGGAGAAAAACATCAGTTTTGATGACACACTTTGCCCAAACTTCAGAAAGGTCCACCAACTTTTTTTTCGTCCTAACAATGGTTTATTCTTCCAGACTTTTGGGCTGTTCAAAAAGTAGCAGTTCTGCTGGTGCTGCTGACCCTGTCAGATGTACTGAGCCTGTAGTTTTTAAGCCCAAATTCTCTTTTTGGTTTTGGGCCGATCTTTCGACAAAATTCATCAGCAGCAGCACACTTTAAAAAGACACAAATCTTGAGCCTTTCAGCCATTTTTCTTCATTTTAAAGGAACTCAATTTGGGCTAGGGACAAGTTCTGGTCTGTCTGGTAAATTCCTGCTGTTAAAATACCCCAAAATATTTGTGTTCAGGTCTCTCAGCAGTAAGCAGTAAGCCAACACTGTTAACAAGAGTTAAGGAAGTCCAAATTTCCCCTATAATTGTTATCAAGCACCGGTGATTGTGAGGGTTTGTGCAAGGCTCCAACTCTCAGTCTGCCGTGTACAGCAACAGCTCTGAAACAGGAAAATGCAGACCAATGCAATGCATGAAAAAAATCAGATATTCTTGACCTCCTGACTGTGTGGGATAACTCACTGGAAATAAATGTAAAGGAGTATGTGCTTTTTGACCAACATTTCTTTGCTTTGATTGCTTTTCAGGTGCAGACCTTGGCTCATCCAGAACAAGTTGAAGAAATATACGAGCTCAAGGTTAGCCCATCAGGCTTCTGATTGCCACTGGGTGAGGAAAATTCCTCAAAGCCTGGAAAACCTCTGGAAAACTCTGGCCTTAGAAGTCTTGGTCTCCATCATAAAAACACTGAAGTTGAAAACATTTTCTTGAGGTTATCATTCCTCCCGAGAGTCCGAATCCTACGAGAGATTGTTTTGAGAGGCGTTATCCAAGTCTCAGTGCTGTCCATTGGGGAAGGAAGCCAAGGGAAGGCCAGGAGTTATGTAACAGTGCACTAGTACAGCAAAACAAGGGCGCATGTGGAGAAGAAATAAGATACTCTGTGCTGCGATGACTGTAGGACCATTATCTACTCACAAGGATCAACATTGAAATCATAGCTCTGTCTCTCTGAAGATATTTGACTTACATGGAGACTAATGGATGTTCTCCTGGGTTTCCCCTCACATGCTCCGGAAAGAAGCCATCCATCTCTCTGTGCTTTTTGTTCGCCAATCACATCCCAGGTACAGCAGGCAGGTGAGCTGGTCTGAATCAGCCAACGACGGGGTTTAGGGATGCCCCGTCACAGGAAAACCAGGCTGCTTCACTGGCCCGCTTACAGACTCCTGTTTCTAATACGAGTTCTGGACTGAAACTGGAAGTAGACTGCTTCTTTCTTTGAAAGAAAACAGGAGAGACGGGGTTGTCTTTTTTTATTTTTAAGACTTTTTCTCACACTGTTTATCTCTTGGACTTGCAAATTTCCAGATGTTTCACAAGCACCTTTATCTGTGGGAAAAAAAGGGAGCCAAGTCGAATCATCCTTCTTTCTTTGATCTTTGTTTCACCTTTTCAGAGTTGCTTTAAAAGGATCTACCTCTGTTAACTCTTGTACCTCGATAAACTCCCAATATACAGCAAATCATGAAATCATGACAAACCGATCAGGCCAAGGTTCAGTAGTCCATCTGTCTACCAGATTTGGACTGTCACACAACTAAACCACTTTAGGATCAAGTTATTCTTTTGTAAACGGGGTATCAACGTCAGTCACCTTTTTTTTTTTTTTTTTTTTTTTTTCACTGAGCCTTTTGTTGATCACAAACAAAGTGTGTTTCTCAGCCCCGTAAAGATGAGAAAAATGTTGATATTTTCTTTTATATTCTATTGTTGAAACTATAGGTTTCAGTCTGTATTTAGCTGCAAGTCCTAAAAAGATTGCCCAGACACCTCCTCCTTACATCAGTGACTTATTTGTTCATCCTGCCTTCCTGCTTGTTTTTCTGGCTGACAGAAAAAAACAACAAGGCCTTTGCTGCAGAGCGACCTGTAAGCTTCTTCTTAATCTCCAAAGCACACCCTCAGAAGATCAGGATTGACCTAAGAACATAAGATAACAGGCTTCTCCACCCATCTCAGTGTTGTGTTTCTCTTATTCACTTAAAGACCAAGACGGAAGCAATCATCAACCATCTTTGAAAGTTTTTGCTGCCCCATCATTTCCACCCCAAACTCACTCAGAGCAACTCCAGAAACGAACTCTGAATTAGATACCCTTTGGGATAGCAGTTGCTCAGCAGGCACACACACTGCCACACACAGGAAGTGATGCCAGGTGGCAGCAGTAAGAGTGGAGGACGGGGTCCATCCTCCTCTCCCCTCCCCCACACTGTCGTCCCACCCAGCAGACCCCTGCGACCCTCCCGCTACGTCCCAGTGTCAGCCGCAACTTTCTTCCTTGTTGGCTCCACTACTCTCTTCTTCTGTTTCACGTGAGTTTCTGACATGCCGACACAAAAAAAAAACCCTGACCTCCTCAAAAATCAAGCAAACATATTATTATGAATAATAGAGACCGGAGCATTGACTGTCTTTACTCAAGTTGTGATGATATGACTGATTTTCTTTGCTGAAGGGTGTAGATTTCTACACCATTATGTAGCTGCAGCAGAGTCTTCCTGCTATGTTTTGCCTCTATGATAGTAAATAATGACACCACTGTTCTTCTAATTGGCACATTTCATTTTCCTGTTTATAGCCTGGTTCCATACATGGTTTTGGTCTGACCAGCTAACGTTTCATCCATACACTGTGTCATGGCTTTATGTCTTCAAAACGCGTAAAATATTTTGAATATATCAATGTTAGGAGTTTGGAAAATTAGTGGCTCGATAGGCGGGGACGCTGTAGCTACTGCTGTACGGAGGAGACTAAAGACTTTCCTCAACTCTACCTCTGTCTCTTGGAGGTGGACCTAATGTGAGTTTGAGTCAACTTTTTTGTTATGCCATCTGCTGTCAATAAGCTTGAAAAAAAACTGTGGGTGGTATCACCAAGGCTATGTCCATGTTTTGTACTGCCTGTGATCAAGGCACTTAGAGAAGGGCTTCTCTGCATTGATATGGACTTTAGATCTGTAGGTAATGTAAATTATCCTAATTCAAATAACTCTAATAATGTGATTAATCTTACTTGGAAAATTGTTCTCTTTGCACAGTTTTGCATAGTTTTGTTGGAGTTGGTTGTATTTAATCAAACATTTAACTCTGTCAACCATCAATCTGTTCTCAATAATATGAACTTTGGGAAGCGGAAATCCACTAATGCTTTTCAAAGTTGATATTAAAGTTAAACCCTACTTTCTCTATGAATGTCCACAGCAAGACACAAACCAGGCACATCACAGTTCCATTACAACAGAGCCTACCCACAGGATCATGTCACCTTTTAAGGAGCAGATATGTCTTGAAACAACTGTAACCAAGCCATGCTTGTCCTTACGTTGTTGAATAGTTGTGTTTCTTGTAAGAAATGGGGATTGAGGTGGACTTGCAGTCTGAGAGTTAGAGCTCCAATGTTGAAATAAAAAATTAAAAAAAAAAAAAAAAAAAAAAAAAGGAACTGAACTGAATTTACTTATGAACAGACTTTCTAGGCCTTCAGCCCCCCTGAGAGTCTCTGACTGAATGCTAAGTCAATAGTGTTATAGGCTGTCATCTCTAATCTTGCTGACACCTCATGCTAGAGTGTGTGTGCCTGTAAGTGTGTGAGAGATAAAGAAAAAATAGAGTGTGTGATGTCACTGAGGAAAAACATGCACAAGGGTTATTTTGAGGAAGTTGCATTGACAGGTGTGCATGTGCTGAACAGGGTGTGTGTAATTGCAAGTGGTAATGTTTGAAAGTATAATCTGTGTGTGTGTGTGTGTGTGGGGGGGGGGGGGTCAGCTCTGTGCTTCAGATTAGTGTGGAGAAAATAGGCCAACATCTGTCACACTGACAAAAGCCCATTATCCAGCCTCTCACTATTGGTTCTCCCTGAGTTGGTTCATCGCCGCCACTCTCACACTCCCTCTACTCACAACAAAGAAACCAACATGGATGCCATGAAGAAGTAATATGCTTAATCTTTATACAATATCTTAATAGGATCAACATATCACCAAAAGCTATTAAAAGGTAGTCAAGTATCATTTCAGTTCAAGGTCTGCAAGATTGATTCAGGACTATGTCTGCCTCCACCAACCAAAACAAACAAACAAACACGTTCTGGTCTAATCTTGTGACGGTATTTTTGTTGACTGTTTATAGACACGCAGACAAAAGTGTCCCACATAGGAACAAGCATATTGGAAAAGAGAGCTGTTAAGGATGAAAATTAGATATGGTTTTGAAAGACACAATTGTTGTTGTTAATAATTGTAAAAACAGTGAATACAATCACAAGTCAGTTATATGTAGAATTGACTTAAGATGTATGAAGCCGTTAAACCACAGTTCTTTTAAACCTTCAGTCAACTTCATTCATCAGGCAAAAGAAAGAACGACCCCTGATTCTAAGAGATAGTGGATGCTGTGTGAAATGTTGATGAAAGAAATGTGATGGCTTTCAAAACCAAATACTGCAAAAACAACACAGCACATGATGGAACTGTAAAACTGTACTCCTTTATATAAAATGTCTGCTCAATTTAAAGTTGATGCCAACACTGTGTTTCAGAAAAGTTAGGACAGAGACGTGCTTACATCAGCTCTTTAGACTGGTGGGCAGGCATCCATGATTACCATAAAGGCTGAGAAATTCTGTTTTATCGGCCCACAGGACAGTTTTCCTCTTACCCTCAGTCCACCTTAAATGGTCTCAGTTCCAGAGAAGTCTCTGGTGTTTCTGGAAATTTCTCTATATGAACTCCTCTTTGCATGGTTCAGTGTTAACCTCGTCTGTGGATGCAGTGATGAACTGTGTTCAGATAATGGTTTTTGAAATGACTTCAAGTCCATGCAGTGATTTCCACTCCAGAGTCCTGTCTGTTTTAACTGCAGTGCAGTCTGCAAGCCTGAAGATCAGGACCATCCAGTCTTGGTTTTGGTCCTCATCTCTTAAGTACAGAGAGTTCTCCAGATCCTCTGAATCTTTGAATGATATTATGTTCTGTAGATGATAAAATCCACTCATTCTTTTACATTCGACACTCAGGAACATTATTCTGAAACTGTTCAACGAATGGCTCATGCAGTCTTTCACAGAGTGGTGAACCTCTTCTCATCTTTCCCTCTGATAGACTCAGCCTCTCCGAATGTCCTTTTTATACCCGGTCATGTAACCTAACCTGAAATTCAACTCATTAGTTGGAGATGTTCCTGCAGCTGTTTTTCCTTTTTTTAAGCATTGCACAACTTTTAAATGTTTTGTCCACCCAATTTTTTGTCAACATTTGATAAATTTGGTTGTCCAACAGTAGACCACACAATGCACTCTCATTCTGCTCAGTAGTGTAGATAAAAAAACCAAGTTAAAAAAAAACATGTTTATTGTTTCTGAGACACTGTTTAAATGTCTGTTATTTTCAACCCTGAATTTGATTACAAATGAACAACACTTTGATACAGTCTAGTTCTCTTTTTACCTCTTACTGACATGCCTCATCTTGTGTGATTCTGTTTCAGGTGCCCTTGGCTCTCAGAGCGTTTCTCGGTTGCCGTGCCAATCTACAATGGGGTCATCTTCCTATTTGTTCTGGCTAACTTCTGTATGGCCACTTTCATGGACCCCGGTATCTTCCCAAGAGGTGAGTCTGGATTGGTGAATTTACAGCATGTGTGTGTCACTTTCTTTGCATTTATTATAAAAGTCCAGGCTACATTCTCAGGGTCTAAATTTCAGTGACGGATTGCAGGCAACCCACACAAATGTTCAAGTCCTGCAAGTCTGCCACTTCTTATGCTTTGAAATCTTTCACATAATCGATACACATTTTTTACAGTCACCTCAGATGACAGAGCAAATCTTTGCGTTTTTTTTTTTTAAAGACAGACTGATCGAAGAAGTCACATTACTCCCTATCAGCACTTTGGTTCGCTCCCTCTTCCATGCACACATTAGTGAACGTGTAGTGCAATTCAAAAAGGGAAGCAACTGTACGCATGATGTATAATGAGTTAGGGTAAGCAACTCCAACTGACTTTCAGTTATCATTACTTTAGAAACTTTCCACCATGGTGGTCACTTAAGACCAAAACATTTGCATAGGAACTTATACTGACGTACCAGTCAATCAGTCAGCCTGTTTATGTCATCATCCACAAGTTGTCCTTCTAACCAAGTCTGAGAGAAAACATGTTCTCTGTCCTTTGTTGACATCTCTGCAGCGGAGGAGGATGAAGACAAGGAGGATGATTTCCGTGCTCCACTGTACAAGACGGTGGAGATCAGAGGGATCCAGGTCAGGATGAAGTGGTGTTCAACCTGCCGCTTCTACAGACCGCCGCGATGCTCCCACTGCTCTGTCTGCGACAACTGTGTGGAGGTGAGCTCACCTCTCATGTTGACATACAATCAACATGAGACTGTTCTTCCCTGTTTTGTGGAACAGGGTGTTCTTGTGGTAAGAACTCGAGTTAGTATTAATGCTAGTTTAGTTTGGAGATGTCAGACAAATCGGCATCAGCAGCATGAGAGGGAAATACAGCTTTGCTAGTTGACTTGCCAGCAAAGAAGTGAGTGTCAGTGCCGATCAGATTTATTTGCAGTTTGTCTTGACTTATACATCCTTAATGAACACAGCACCCAAGCTAAGGTGTAACCAGCAGCAGAAGACTTTATAGTCAGCAACATGTTTCTATGAATGTACACAGAGTGGAGCAGGAAACCTTCTATCCTTGGAAGCCTTCTTCAAGGTTGCTACCAGGTTTATATAGCCTCACTCATTAACATGACATCAGTCCATCTAAAACAGGTTTCAGAGATCTTCAGATCTTTGTCTCTAAAGTGCATGAGTCTTAAACTTGATCTGGTTTATTTAACTTTAATGTGTTTTTTTATTCTCTATTGGTACTTTGTGCTGTTGTTCATGACTGAGCGCTACATGCTCCAGGCTCACTTGCGCTTTCTACCTGTCTGGCTACCACATTAACCGTTGTGTTTTTTTCTCATTCATGAAACGCCCAAATCAGGGACAATTCTGGGGACTGTCCCCTGAAATCTGCATCGTCTGTTTACCCTACAGTTTCTTCTTGCTAGCAAGAAACTAATGGTAGGTTGAGACTGAGAGGGCTCGTAGGATTCATTAACCTCAGTCGGATGTACGTGGTTCCAGTGGTACATCATTGGGGTTGTTGTTGTGTTGTAATTGCACACGGCATCACAGTGTTTGCAGCAAACCTCATAATTTTTCCGCTCGAAATAGTCCCACCCCACACTTTCTTCTTGTCTTTTTTTGACTTCTACAAAAGCCCGCTGATGCCGCTGGATCACTCCTCTTGAAAAATGTCAAAATCCTTCTGCACTGTGATAGTCACTGCATTGCTTCAACACACACACTGACTGGACAAAGAGGGTTTCCCTCCTGATCAGCAGAGGTTGATCTTTGCTGGAAATCAGCTGGAGGATGGACGCATGCCGTCGGCCCTTTTTTAATAACCTTAGATCGAATTTTGCGTAATCAAAGTAATTAGCTTAACAATTAGCTAATATATCAACGATTAATTGTGCCCATTCCTTGTCTAAAGGTTTCGGGACAGACAGAAAATCCTGCTCCCAGTTAATTCTGTCTTTTAGGGCCAGATTAGTTCAAACTCTAGCTGCAATGTTTTGGTTCTACTGCGCTAACTACTACATTCTCATCTAAGTACAGTGAATGGGTGGCAATGGTTTGGATCCCTTCAGAAAAGACTGGACGCTTGGCTACCAGCAAGAGAGTTAAGAGAGAATATTGATTTAAAGATGATTTTATTGATTTATTTATACAGCAGGGGGTTCTCATCAGCCCTTGCAGTACAAAAACCATTATACTGAAATTTCAATTCATGGTCAAGTGAAACCATTAGCCTGTTCATTTGTTCACATAATCTAAACTGAGCATGGCCACTGAAGGTAACATGTGTTCAGCAAAAGAGGGGAGCTGCTGCAATAGTATCGCTCCTCAGGCTGTTTTCACATTTGTCAGCCAGGTAAAAAGAGATTTTCTAAAACATCACAGATTCTTTCCTACTTAGCACTACAACAACTATGCCATAAATAATCTTGCTTAGAGGCAAGAAATAGTGCTCACTTAAAACAATTCAATCCTGTTGGTCCTCTCAACAGTTTTGGACCAAGTTGATTACATGTTGAAGTAAAAACAGGTCAGTTTGTGAGGCTCAGTGGAGATCATTGGTGGTTTTGGTTTGTTACAATGTAACCCCTAGATAAGTTATTAGAGATACCTCACTTCTCAGGATGTGTAAGTTCAAGGTAAATGTTCCACAGAGCAGGATGTGATGACCCTAACTGTATTCACATTTATTTTTCAACCTTCATTCTGCAGGACTTCGACCATCACTGCCCATGGGTCAACAACTGCATCGGCAGGAGGAACTATCGTTACTTCTTCCTCTTCCTCCTCTCTCTGACGGCTCACATCATGGCCGTGTTCGGCTTCGGCCTGCTCTTTATCCTCTACCATCGCCAGAGCATTGACCGCCTGCATGCCATCGTCACGTATCCTTCAGTGTGCCGTTGTGTTCGCTCCATTTTCGATTAGTGGCACGTTGTACTTACAGTGTTGCCTGAAGCTGTGAGCCCTACCTTTGCTTCATTGGTTGCTATATGGTAGACTTCATTCAGTGGAAGCAGGAAAGTTTAATTAAAAGTTTGAATAGACAACAAAGTTATTTAATGACAGCGAGGCAGTTTGTGTTTACAGTGTAATTTTGTAGTATACTTGTCCTCTAACTTATAGAACAACCACTTGCATTCATTCATAAAATTTGGTGGAAGGGTGAAGCATAGGCCTAAAGGTAATCCCATAGAGCTTTGGTACGGACGAGCCTCACATCAAGCAAGAACAATCAATCAATCAATTAATCAAATTTTATTTATATAGAGCCAATTCACAACAGTCATCATCCCAAGATGCTTTCCAAAGAAAAAGAGCAGGTCTAGACCACGCTCATTGTTTGATGAATTATCAAGACCCAACCTTAAGATGGGACAGATTTAACCCATCTCATCTAACATGAGTGACAGTGGCAAGGAAAAACTTCCTTTTAACAGGCAGAAACCTTGGGCAGGACCAGCCTCATGCCAGACAGGCACCTGCTGCTGCTGGGTTGGGGAGAAATACAAAGGGAGAGAGAGGGGGAGAGAGAGAGAGAGAGAGAGCTAGAGAGAGAGAGAGAGAGAGAGAGAGAGAGAGAGAGAGAGATAGGAGTGGGAGAGAGGGCAGGGGAAGAGAAAGCTTACTATAAGCTTTGGTCAAAGTCTGCCTTCTTCGACTGCCAGTATGGGTTGCCCAGTTTTTTCAAGCTTGTTTGTCCTCACATAGCAGAGGCTGTAGTTCATGTAGTGATCAGCCCTGAAAGTAAAGGAGGTAAAGCAAAGATGCGGAAGGATTAGGGTCTGGGATTCTTCCAGGTTTACTCTAAACTCTTGATATTACAAGCTGAAAAATTGTTACTCAAGACTTCCTATTATCTGTGGGGATGTTAGTTTTCAGTTTTACCTCCTGTCCATCACCTGCTGATTTTTGAAAGGAGGTGATGTGCTGTTCTACTGTTTGTGTTTGATTACCATGCTGGAAATCTACTTGAACTTAAGAGTGGTCCTTTGGCTGGCAGATGGATGATCAGAGTTGATAGACAGACTGTATGTAAACATGTATGAATGTATGAGAAATTGTGTGATCACAGATGATACGAGTTACACTGATGACAACTTTCATTAGTTTGTATGACACTCTAAATGCTGTGAACATTTTTCGTTTTTATGTGTCCTTAAATTAATATTTTGTATTTGTCCGCGTTTTGTCATGAGATTTGAAGAATTGGTGGTAATTTCAAACAATTCATGTAAAAATGTTTATTAGTGAAGAAGAAAAGTAACTCACTATTGTCTGTTTATGGATAGATGATGGGATTGAATAAGTTGTACTTCTTCTCGCTCCTTTTCACAGATGTGAAGCCACTCATGAAGTGTTCTTGTGTTTGTTTTGCCATTTCAACCTTTTAATTCAGTTCTTGGTCACTATCACGCATTACTCTACAGACAGGCTGGGCTGTCCTTTTATACTGAGGAAAATCAAAACTTTGATATGCACAGGCAGTCCCATGATATTTTGGAGTATTTGATACAGGCTCTCTTGTCTCTCTTATTTTGTGAAAAGCCTTAACCCTTGTGCTCCCAGGTTGGCTGTAATGTGCGTAGCAGGTTTGTTCTTTATCCCTGTAGCTGGTCTGACTGGTTTCCACATTGTGCTGGTGGCCAGAGGCAGGACAACCAATGAACAGGTATGAGAATTAGAAAAGGTTGAAAAGTGAAAGTATTCAGTCGGACTAATGAATGATAGAGTGAAGATTTGATTTAAAGTGGTGTATTATGAAGCAGTTAGCCTCACATCACTTCCTTTTTGAAGGGTTCATGTTTTTTACATTTCATCTGTTCTCTCTCATGTTTGTCATGAATGCTTGTGCCTATAAATCTTTGTGTTATGTCCTAACTCTTTTGTTCTTTGTCTCTGTCTCTCTCCAGGTCACAGGGAAGTTCAGAGGAGGGGTCAACCCATTTACCAATGGGTGTTGGAAGAATGTCTCTCATGTTCTCTGCAGCTCGCAGGCACCCAGGTGATCATCATATTTGAACACTTAAGTCTGTTATTCATAAGTCTTACATCCCTCTACAGAAGCACACTTCCACCTTTAACCCTTTAATGTAAGGCACAGGACCAGACAATTCACAAGCTTCTTCTAAGACCTAAGATAACAGGGGATGAACCGCAACATATGGTGCTGTAAAACAGTGTTAGAAATCCCTTCAACAGAAACTGTCGGACAACATGAGGTCAGCTAAAGATCTGAGCAAGCAACACATCATGTCCTGGTTGAAAAGAAATTCTAGAACAGATGAGAAAGAAAGTTATGGACTCCCATCAGTCTGGGAAGGGTTGGGCCATTTTTAAGACTTTGGGACTCCAGGGAACCACAGTGAGAGCCATTATCCAGCTTTCAGGTTTAGGGGGCGGTGACTTTTACAGACAGAGCCAGGTTAGATTGTTTTTTTTGTTTGTTTGTTTGTTTTTTTTAAAATGAAAATCATTGTTTAAAAACTTTTTGCATTCACTCAGATTATCTTTGTATGTGATTAAAATTTGTTTGATGATATGAAACATGTGAGTGAGACAAAAAGCCGAAACAGAAGAAAGAAAGACTTTTTCACAGCTCTGAATTTAGTGATTTCTTTAAGCAGAGACAGTTGACATGTTTTCTAATGGATAAACTCTGTTTCTTCCTGACAAGCTGTCTGACTGTCCATGTGCTCTTTGCAGGTATCTGGGCAGAAAGGAGTGTGTGCAGAGTGTGTGTGTACAGCCCCCTTTTCTGCGGCCACAGCTGACAGAGGCCCAGTTGGCTGCAAAGATCCTGGACAATGGCATCCAGGGAAACCTGCACCGGGTGAGACCTTCAAGACCAGGCACTCAGAAGACCCAGTTTTTCCTAGTGCCATAAATACAGCTTTGTCATCATGCTCATGTTTGATCAAGAATTGATCTTGCATGTTGGTAGACAGACGTTATGTAAGTGTGTGGTGCTTCTCATTCAAATCTCAGCCAGGTGAGTTTGCATATAGGCAGGCCCAGATGGCAGCAGGAGGTTTAACGGCGGTTAGAAATTCAAAAGCCAGAAATCCTGTAAGGTCACACGAGTAAATAAAACCACATCTATTGGCATAGTCAGTCTGTAACAACTCAAAACAAAAGTTACAGGAAAATGAAATCTGATATCAGCGTCCCAACAAATGGACTCTTTTTAATTTCAAGAGCAGCGTTTAGTTTGCTGTGTGTTTTTGGAAAAGCCATCCCCTATATTTTTTAGTGCAGTAGGATTCAAAGTTCCCAAAAGAGAGAAAAGAGTCTTTTTTGCAGAAGATATATCATACCATCCGGAGCCTGGCACTGACAAAAAGGTTTTTCAAATTCTTAACTGATGTTGAAAGTGTCAGAAAGCCCACATACACTCACCGGCCACTTTATTAGGTACACCATGCTAGTAACGGGTTGGACCCCCTTTTGCCTTCAGAACTGCCTCAATTCTTCGTGGCATCGATTCAACAAGGTGCTGGAAGCATTCCTCAGAGAGCTTGGTCCATATTGACATGATGGCATCACACAGTTGCCGTAGATTTGTCGGCTGCACATCCATGATGCGAATCTCCCATTCCACCACATCCCAAAGATGCTCTATTGGATTGAGATCTGGTGACTGTGGAGGCCATTTGAGTACAGTGAACTCATTGTCATGTTCAAGAAACCAGTCTGAGATGATTCCAGCTTTATGACATGGCGCATTATCCTGCTGAAAGTAGCCATCAGAAGTTGGGTACATTGTGGTCATAAAGGGATGGACATGGTCAGCAACAATACTAGGCTGTGGCGTTGCAACGATGCTCAATTGGTACCAAGGGGCCCAAAGAGTGCCAAGAAAATATTCCCCACACCATGACACCACCACCACCAGCCTGAACCGTTGATACAAGGCAGGATGGATCCATGCTTTCATGTTGTTGACGCCAAATTCTGACCCTACCATCCGAATGTCGCAGCAGAAATCGAGACTCATCAGACCAGGCAACGTTTTTCCAATCTTCTATTGTCCAATTTCGATGAGCTTGTGCAAATTGTAGCCTCAGTTTCCTGTTCTTAGCTGAAAGGAGTGGCACCCGGCGTGGTCTTCTGCTGCTGTAGCCCATCTGCCTCAAAGTTCGACGTACTGTGCGTTCAGAGATGCTCTTCTGCCTACCTTGGTTGTAACGGGTGGTTATTTGAGTCACTGCTGCCTTTCTATCAGCTCGAACCAGTCTGGCCTTTCTCCTCTGACCTCTGGCATCAACAAGGCATTTCCGCCCACAGAACTGCCGCTCACTGGATATTTTTTCTTTTTCGGACCATTCTCTGTAAACCCTACAGATGGTTGTGCGTGAAAATCCCAGTAGATCAGCAGTTTCTAAAATACTCAGACCAGCCCTTCTGGCACCAACAACCATGCCACGTTCAAAGTCACTCAAATCACCTTTCTTCCCCATACTGATGCTCGGTTTGAACTGCAGGAGATTGTCTTGACCATGTCTACATGCCTAAATGCACTAAGTTGCCGCCATGTGATTGGCTGATTAGAAATTAAGTGTTAACGAGCAGTTGGACAGGTGTACCTAATAAAGTGGCCGGTGAGTGTATGATGACAAATGATGACAGGTGTGATGAACATAAGTACACCACATACATGAAGACCTTTCTCAACAGCAGCTGGAGTCCAGACTCTTCAAATCTCTTGTGGTCAATGCGAATCTAGAGTGAACAAACATGGGAGACAACCAATGCTCACAGTTACTAGCTGTCTTGCTTCCTGGCGTTTGTACTGCAGTTCCAATATTTGTTCCAGTCCTCCCTTTGTCATTTCAGTTGTGGTATGTTTTGTGGGATGCTGGATGCATAAATGGCTGTCTTTAAGGCTCCTCCCATACCTAAAGATTCAGGACTGTAAAATACTGATAATGCTTTAATGTTTATGATCATCTTCAGCACAGACCAGAGGGTAAGAAAAATCATTCAGAAAGCACACTTTACACCACAGAATAATCCATCCAAACATCCATCTGTTGGGCCTCTGCTGACTTTTGGACCAAGGGGGAGACTCGGCCCCAAAATCTGTACAGTTATCTTGTGGTATGTGACCCGCCTAAGATCCTGTTTACACCTAGAACTGTCATTGCATCTGAATGATGTGTGATGTCAGCCTTAAGTCCAGGTGAACACACTCATCAACCGGTGCTGTGATCTGACCACTTGGTGTACATAAAGAGATGGTCTATGTGTACTCGGGCACATTAGGACAAAAAATACAGACTACCCATTCTCCCTGCAGCCTCAGCAACAATCACTCAGAGTTTACATCTTCATTTCAGATGCAGATTAACAGTGTTAAATGGATCTGTCTGTAGTTATAAACTCTGGCTCTGATTACTGGAGGCCCATGGTTAAGACAGGTGTGAAGGTTCACACTCCAAGTTGGTCACTTGTGTCCTGATAATAACAAAAAATAAAAAATAAATAAACCTTATGGACAGCCTTATACTAGAGTATCCACGAATCGACCTTCTTCTCTCAGCCAGCTGTGGGCTTCAGACTGACCGCTTGTTTTTGCTTTTTTTGCACTATTTTATGTCTTTTTGATTGATTCTTACTGAGAATTATTTTTAGAATTTGTAACTCTTCCTGTTTCCCTTTTCAGTCCAAATCCAGTCTGGAGATGATGGAAAGCCAGTCGTGTGACGCAGAGCCTCCTCCACCTCCAAAACCAGAGCTCCGCTACCCTGGAATTACCCGGGGGAACACAGAGGGTAACATTGCGCTCTGACTTTATTGTCAAACTCTTTGACTGCTGTGATCCATCTGCACATGAAGTTTGTCTTAACTTTACCTTCTCCCATCCTCCGGCAGAGTGCAGTCTACTCAACAAAGCCCCTCCCACTCCCACCATGTACAAATACAGGCCAACCTACAGCCCCGGCAAGAACCACACAGCACTCACACATGCTTACGCTAATCAGGTAATACACACACACACACACACACACACACACACACACACACACACACACACACACACTCAAATGAAATACAGACAGGAGATAACTGAGGTTATAAAGGAACAAAAATCACAACTCATGCTTTTGTGTTGTTTGTCTTTCTTTTGATTTCCTGTCGTCCATCTTGGTTTGGTTTCTCAGTGGTTTTCTGTTGATCAGTATCAGTAAGTGGATGTCCTGATGCTTTTTGTCCCCCCTTCTCCTATCACATCTTTTTGTCTGTTCTGTTTCCTCTAGATGTGGGTAAAATACAGTATGAATTAGATTATAGCAATATGTGATCTGCCACAGGGTACTGAGCAACAAAACAGGAGGTAAAAAGCTGATAAGAAAAGTATCATTATGTTTTTTAAAATCAAGGCATTGTTCCTGGTACAGGTCTTTGTGGCTCCAAGACCCTAAAACCATGGACTGAGCTTAACACTTGGGTTTGTTTTATACATGATCTGGTTAAAATGAATAAACACCATGGGCTCTATTTTCGTGCCTCGCTGGCGGCATGGCGCGGGTGCGGCGTCAGTCAGGTCCTCCTCGCCGACAAGACATGCCCAAGCACACTTTGGTATTTTGGTGAGCGGCGCAGCCTGGCGTAAGTATCCCCCCTCCCTAACTCAGCTCCTCCCAGCGGTGTAAGTAGCAGAGAGGTAGGAGAGCAGGCGTGGAGTGGCTTTAACACAGTCAAGTCCTTTTTTCACAAATCACATCAGCTTCTCTCCTCACCTTTAAATTCGCCACTGGCGAGGCGTAATACAGGGCCACATAATGGAGACAGAAGGCAGCCCCTCAACAAGTGTCACTGTAAGCGCTGCAGAGGGCATCCTGCACACTCTCTCATATAAGCACAGATGGATTGGGTGTGTGTTAGATTGTACCCACTGGTAAGACAAACACCCGTTTCCCCAAATAAAGACACTCACATAAAGTTGCATATATTTAAACCTCACATGACAAAGGTGGGTTGAGTGCACAGATCACAACATAAATTCTGATAATGGCATTAAAATTGGAACCACCTGTGTGTAAAGGACGCAACGCGCTCCGTAGCCTGGCTCTTTCTTTCATAGATGTTGGTATATAAAATGAATTTGCCTCACACAACTGAATATTATTTTATTCATATGTGGGCCTAACTCCGGATTTGATATTCACAGAATTATAAGGATGTGAGAACATCAGATAACAGGTCATTTTGAATGAAAGTTTCTTTTATTTTTTGTTGAAATTTTCGACTTCTAGAAACTTCAACAACTAGGATAAAGTAACATATTCCGGAACCTGAGGTTAACAGTTTAGCGGGGCTACAACACACAGCAGGTCCCATTTGACAAGAAACACTTCTGATACAGACACTTGGCTTATTTTGTTAAAGCGGTTTAATATTGTCTAATACAACCCGGCTTTTTAGCTCTTGTCCACTCTACCTCCTTTTTAAGCAGCCATTATTCTCCCAGAGTCTGCAGTATTTACTTCGTTTTCTTGCTTGTGGTGGCAGTCGTGGCCAAAGGAGGATTCAGACAATTTTCTGTACTTTCTGGTTGGTTTCTACTGTCCGATATTGTAGCACACTAACTTTGTTTGGTCTCGTGAACGTTATTGGAGGACATGGAGTGTGCCTCACAACACGAGGGTGCAGCATCTGCCTCACAACCAATCAGGTTGGGGGAGAGAGAGAATGGCTTTGATTACAGTCAGAAACAGCAGGCCACTCAAACATTTTTGCAGATATTAAAAGCTTTTTTGTATATACACCACAAAAAAGATGCTTCTCTGACAGATTCCTGCCTGCCCCACTTTTAAAGTCCTTTAGTTTCCAGGAAGAAAGGTTCAGAGTTTGTATCATGTTCTTTTGTTCATGTTGCTTGCTGGCAGCAGCAACTTTTCCACCGTCAATAGTTGTTTGCAGAACTTGTATGCCAGTTACCATGAAGTACAGAAAAATATTTCTATATGAAGCACAGTCTGATTTTGAGGGAGTCAAACTGTTTTCCAGCAGGAATGCTTCCTTTGCACACAGCAATGTGATGGGCAGCTGTGGCTCAGTCTTAGGCATGTGGACAGCCTTAGGATTGAACCCATGACCTTTTGATTGGAAAATGACTAAGTGTCCTCGGGCAAGACACTTGACCCCATCAGCTCCCACTGACTGAGCCCAGTGGTGTCCAAATGGGATTCGTCTAAAACTGTTGGGCTCTGTACAGAGCAGCCTCTGCTATCAGTGAGTGAATGTCACGGGATGTAAAAGAGCTGTAAGGGTCAGAAGACCAGAGACAGAGGGATAGAAACATAGTCCATTTACAAAACGGCATTTAAAATGTCAAGTTTCTATGCTGTCATGTAGCATCTCTAGGTAGAACTGAGCAATTAAACGGATTTAATTGCAATAACAATTTAGGCATTCCACAATAATCAGGGCAGGGGGGAGAGAGGAGAGCTGGGAGAGGAGCAGGAAGAGGAGAAAGGAGACAGGAGAGCGGGGAGTGGAGCAGGAGGAGGCAGCCTGTGATGAAATACTGGCTGTAAAAGAGCTCAAAACTTTAATTTAATGAAGTAGTGTAAAAGAAAACTTAATTGCAGATACATCAGGTATTTTATTTAGAAAAAAAAAATAACCAAAATGAAACCAAAGTTCTTCAAGTGAAGTAAAGAAGTGGTGCATGGTCCCTTTCAACTGTGACTGTGTGAACATTGAACTGAATAGGTAGACAAACCGTTCATTTGACCACTTATTTTGTTTTTCAAAGAATTAAGAGTCTTTGTTTTAGAGGTATTAAATTGCTCTAATACCAAACCATGGATATTTTCCTTTAATAATTGGGATATCAATATCAGTCAAAATGATGGTGAATGTGATTTTTGCCATAATCAAGAAGGCGTTCCTCTCAGCATCAGCTGTTTTCACCATCCTGCTAATGATCTGTGCTGTAGTTCAGCTCAGTATACAGTAGTGATGGTGACTGTAAATGAGAGATTGATGCACAACCTTCTTCCACACCATCCCTCCCTGCTGGTCACTTCTTGTCTTAAATTATAAGTGTATTTTAGTGGAAATATACTAGAGATAAGGAAATATGGTGTTAAATAGTGGCACTATATAGTTACTAGAAGCTGTAGGAAATAAAGTTACCGTTGAAAGACTTGACCATAGCTTTCAAGACAGACCATTGAAACTTTAGGGAAAAAGGATTTAAATGCTCCTGTAAAATGATATTTAAGTTAGTGAAAATGCCACAAAATACCACTAACCTCTTTGACCTTGTCTAGTGGAGTGGTGTCTACCCGGTATTTATACCCATGTCAGGTAGTTGCTCCCTCACCTGTTGGTCTGGCAACTGTATTTCACTTTGGTGTTGACCATCCTTTATTTCATGGAGGGGTATTTGTTTCCTTTTCAATTTGTTTTCTCCTCCTCCCGATTAGTATTATGTTTCCTTTAGATTCTTCCTGACACAAATTGACCCCATGTAGCTCATAGATGTTCCCAAAATCTGATCTTGTACCATTGTTTGTCAAATTGCCCCTTCAGTACTGTTAAAGAAGTAGCCTTTGTTCTGTATTTGATGTTTTGTGCTCTCTTTACCTGGGGAGCTTCAGTGGGGACACCTGAGAGACAGGCTCTGTGTCCATCCTATAAAAAAACTTCCAGAATATGGGAATATGGGAGGATTACCAGCAGAGTGTTTTAGTTGCTGCTTGTAAAGGCACAAAAACAAAATGCTAATTATTAACATTATATTTAACATTATACAGGACTGTCTCAGAAAATTAGAATATTGTGATGAAGTCCTTTATTTTCTGTAATGCAACTAAAAACATGAAAATGTCATACATTCTGGATTCATTACACATCAACTGAAATATTGCAAGCCTTTTATTTTTTTAATATTGCTGATTTTGGCATACAGCTTAAGAAAACTCAAATATCCTATCTCAAAAAATTAAAATATCATGAAAAAGTATACTAGTAGGCTATTTAACTAATCACTTGAGTCGTCTAATTAACTCGAAACACCTGCAAGGGTTTCCTGAGCCTTTAAAAACACTCAGCTTGGTTCAGTAAACTAAATCACAAGTATGGGGAAGACTGCTGACCTGACTGCTATCCAGAGGACCATCATTGACACCCTCCATCAGGAGGGTAAGACACAAAAAGAAATTTCTAAAAGAGCAGGCTGTTCACAGAGTGCAGTTTCAAAGCACATTCACAAAAAGTCTGTTGGAAGGGGGAAATGTGGCAGGAAACGCTGCACAACCAAGAGGAGCTGCTTCCAGAATTTGGGGGAGCTTCAAAGACAGTGGACTGAAGCTGGAGTCCAGGTATCAAAAGCCACTGGTCACAGACCTATTCGGGAAATGGGCTACAATAGCCGTATACCCATGGTCACACCACTCCTGAACTCAAGACAATGGAAGAAGCGTCTGACTTGGGCTATGGAAAAGAAGCACTGGACAGTTGCAGAGTGGTCCAAAGTCCTCTTTTCAGACGAAAGCAAGTTTTGTATTTCATTTGGAAGTAAAGGCGCCAGAGTCTGGAGGAAGGCTGGAGAGGAGCAAAATCCAAGTTGCTTGAAATCCAGTGTGAAGTTCCCACAGTCAGTGATGGCTTGGGGAGCCATGTCAGCTGCTGGTGTTGGTCCACTGTGTTTCATCGAGTCCAGAGTCAATGCAGCTGTGTACCAAGAGATTTTAGAGCACTACATGCTTCCGTCTGCTGAAAAGCTCTATGGAGATGATGATTTCATTTTCCAGCATGATCTGGCACCTGCCCACAGTGCCAAAACCACCAGTAACTGGTATACTGACCATGGCATTACTGTCCTCGATTGGCCTGCCAATTCCCCTGACCTGAACCCCACAGAGAATTTGTGGGGTATTGTGAAGAAGAAGCTCAAAGAAACCAGTCCCAACAATGCAAATGAGCTAAAGGCCACTATTGAAGCATCCTGGGCATCCATAACACCTCAGCAATGCCACAGGCTGATTGCCTCCATGCCACGCCGCATTGATGCAGTAATCCGTGCAAAAGGATTCCCAACCAAGTACTGAGTGTATTAATTGACATTTTCAAATGTTTGATTTTGTTTTGCTGTTATAAGTCTTTTTTTTTACTTGGTCTGAGGAAATATTCAAATTTTTTGAGATAGGATTTTTCAGTTTTCTTAAGCTGTATGCCATAATCAGCAATATTAAAATAATAAAAGGCTTGGAATATTTCAGTTGATGTGTAATGAATCCAGAATGTATGACATTTTTGTTTTTTTAATTGCATTACAGAAAATAAAGGACTTTATCACAATATTCTAATTTTCTGAGACAGTCCTGTACATGTAATGTATGACTCTTGTAGTCCACCAGGGTCAGTACTGGACTATGATAGGCATTGAAAACTGTGATAAACTGTTCTGCTTTCTGTTTTTCTCGGAAACCCCCCAAAAGATCTTCAAATGTGTCACACTGGTAAATAGATGGCGGAAGACCCAGCACACCAAACCTCTTTCAATATGTAGACGAGCTTTAGTCGCCTCTATCAGTATAAATATGTGTTCAAACTGAGAACACCTTTGCCTTTTCATGCAAGAGCGTGACAGGGTGCCTCGACTACATCTCTGCACAGATGCCAGTCTGATTTTGAAGAGTGCAGTTTAAACAGTTTAAACAGGGGATAGAGTCAAATCTGCAGCAGCAGTTTCTGGGGGCCAACATACGCTCAAATCTTAAGTTAATATTTGGCAAAAGGGCTTGTAGTTCACTCCAAATTGTTTCTAATTTGATTTGACTTTTTCATGCAAAGCTTTGATGGCTCTGTCCTTTTAAATGGTTCTGTTCAACATCAAAATTGTTTTGTTTTTCCCCAGATTGTGTTTGGTTGTTACCTTCATGAACACTGCCAACTTAGCCCCTTTTTTTCAGTTATTTACTGCCACAAAGAGTTATCACTTTACCACAGGAAGGAACGCCTTTTTAAACCTTATCGAAACAGATGAAGAATTGAGATTATTGACGGTTTAGAGTTATGGGCTGTAGTTGGTGTCAACTCAGCTGTCAGCACCTCAGGCTGTGCCTCGAAATGTCAGTGATACATTCATTTTTGAAGGGGTTACACCTCTTTGCCATAAGGTGTCACTGAAGCATTGTCACCTCTCTTCAAAACTATATCATTCAAATAGATAAAGGATTTGGTAAAGTGTTGATGTCTCAGAGGAAATAATTAAAAGATGGTTAAAGTAATGTTTTACAGCCAAAAACAGCATTTCTGTGATGGTGTGTTTCTTTATTTAGATGAATTATCACCTTTACCAGAGTGACTGCTGAGTCTATCTGTGATCTCATACAATCAGAGTATTGCCTAAAGTATTGTTTTTGTTTAACCTCTTTACTGTGTGTTTTAAATATATTCTTGTAAAATTTCCTTTTGAGTTTATAGCCTTGTATTTTTGACACACTCCCTGACCTTACACTAACTCATGTCACAGCCCTGGATCACCAGAGATTGTGAAATTGTTCTCATGGACTCTATAGAGACACTTCTATTTGCAGCAAAGACCAAATTTACACATTTAAAAAAAACGCTTGAGTATTTATTTCAAATAAATGGCTCGGATTTTGATCTGTTATCTGTTCAGTGTTTATATTTGACTTTCTCCTGATCACTTAGACACAGACCAACCCATTTAGAGAACTTAACGCCGTAGTAAATGGTGTTGTATGTCTTATTTTAGCATATATTTGAGAGATTTAACTTGTATTTTTCTGCTGTGTTTACAGAGGATTAAGGCCAGAGCTAAAGCTGGTGGCAGCTCAACCAGCAGCCCCTTGGGGCCTCATAGTGTGAACATAAAGTAACCCCTATGTTGAAATGATGTTATTTAAGCAGATAAAGGGTCAGTTATCAAAAGTCTATAAATAGAGTCATGAGTTAAGTGGCTCAGCTCACAGCCCCTCAGGCCCTGCTTTGCCAGTATTTTAAAGAGATAATAATGATAATAAATAATAATAATGCATCAGATTTCATATAGCGCTTTACCTCAAAGCACTTTACATTGGATACATCATTCATTCGCTCACACAGTCACACTTTTATGGTGGTAAACTACCTAGTAGTCACAGCTGCCCTGGGGCAGACTGACTGAAACATGGCTGCCAATTCGTTACTATGGCCTCTTCAACCACCACCACACAACACTCACAAACATACAGCAGTGGAGGACACACACTGGGAACAAGGTGGGTTAAATATCTTTCCCAAGGACACAACGGACAGACTAGGGCTAGGAGGGACTCGAACCGCCAACCTTCCAGTTATTGGATGACTGCTTGACCTCTGAGGATGGATGATTAGTCTTTCATGGTGACAATAATCAATAAAGAAATCTTTACCTTAAATTCAGTTCAGCACCAAGAAACAGCCCAGCAGTAGCTCAGCTCCCAGCTCCTCCTGACCTGAGGTCCTCCTAATTAGGGCCACGAGGCAAATGCCCCGATACACCATTATCATACTGTGGATTTTTTCCTCTTCCTCTTTTGGACAAATTTCAATTCGCTACAACTCCTACAGCTTGAAAAGTTGTGGGACAAATTGATATATCAAACCATGGGGTTTAATCTGGATCAGTGTGCTATTACTTATCTCTATTGTATACAATTTTTTTTTGCAATGGAAGTCACAAAAAACTATGGTAAAATGTTGCATTAAAGTCATTGATACAAGCAGAAATAAAAAAAGCAATTTTAAAGGTCTACTGTTCTCTAGACCTTTTTTTGTAAGAAATAAATACTTCAAAAAGAAATGTTTGTTGCAGGCCTGCTCCTTGTCTATAATATCACAGTAGTATCAATCGTATAAATTATTAAAAATCTCAGAAGAATCTCATCTTCATGTATAGACCCTGGCAATAGCCCTCATGGCCCTTTCCAAATTTTCCAGAGGGAATTGTTTAGTTTCAAGTCTTGTTATGACTTACAGAACCCGAATAGTTGAGGGTTATTTGGAGGCTTTAAAAAGTTTGCGAAGCATGACCAATGAATCCCTTTGAGTAGAAAACCTTGTAATGGACCATGTACATGGATCCAGCCAAATAAATCCTCAAACTCAAGGTTTGAGACCTCAGAGCACAGATAGTGAAATATTCACATTTTAGTGTTTGATTGTGGAGTGTCTTTGATCCAGACATTGGAAATGGTGTGGTTGTTACAAAAAGGTTTGGCTAATGGTTAAAAAAAAAAACATTTTCTAGTGAAGAGGAAACAGCTGTCAGCTTGTTGTATGTTTAGATGTTCTGCTGTTTTACAAACTCAGGGTGAAGTTCCCATGTTGCTCTTTCCTCTTATGTGCTTAGCTTCTTGTTTCTTTCCCTCCCTCTGTCTTGACCCACCCACCCACCCCACCCCACCCCACTTCTCCAGTTAAGTCGAGGGGAGAGCGTTGGCAGTGCCAGAGATTCCTCCTCCTCCACCTCCTCCCTCCTCCAGGCCAGTCAGCAGCCTGGTTTCCGCTCCCAGCCCAGCCTGGACCGGAGGGACACTTCATCCGACCGAGTTGGAGCGGGAGGAGGTGGGGAGAGGAGGGAGGGAGGAAGAGAGGGAGCTGGAGGGGGCATCCCTGGCTACACCCTGGGCGGACGCTCATACCCCTCTTTCTCCGACCCCACCGTCCTATCAGGAGTGGCTTCAAGGTCTTCCAGCTCCACTCACACCTCAGCAGGTGCAGCACACGTCTCTGAGGCAACAACCACCTCGACTAGCTTCAAGAGCTTAGCCAATCAGACGCCTCCGCCTCATCACCCATCACGTAATGGGAGCCTTTCATATGACAGCTTACTGGCAGGTGGAGAGGACTTGGCCAAAGGGGTGGTGACGAGTTCAGCAGCTCAGGAGGAGGCCTCTGGGAGACCCTGTACGCCGGCAGGAGGCGGCTATACCTCCCCCTTCCTGTCGTCTCAGCAGAGAGGAGCTGAGATGCACTCCCAGACCTCCCAGTCACCCCATCACCACCACCGCTCTTCCCACCAACACCACCACCCCTTCCTCTCACGCTCCTCCTCCACCTCCTCTTCACCGCCTCCTCCTCCAGAGAGGGACCGGCTGCTGGGCGAGCCTCATCCTCCACCAGCTACTCAAACTCCCTTGCCTCCCTCCTCCTCTGCACCCACTCCCCCACACCATCATCACCACCACCATCACCACCACCACCACTCCCACCATCACCACCACTCCTCGTCCTCTTCCTCTACTTCTCGCCCTCCACGCTTCGCTCCTCCTCATGCACCACCCCACCACGCTTACCCTTACCGCACGCGCTCTACCGACACCCCTTTTGCCCCCTCATCCACCTCCACCACCCACCCGCCCCGCTCCCCGCACCCTCCTCCTCTGGGCAAATCGCTTTCTTACTCAAGTGCTGCCGCTGCCGAGATGCAGTACAGGCTGGTTCGAAAGGCCTCTGCGTCAGCTGGAGCCAATGCAGCAGGAGTAGGAGGAGGTGGAGGGATGGGAGGAGTAGGAGGAGGAGGAGGAGGAATACAAGCGCCGAAGTGAGTATGAGTCTCGCCTTTTGTCAGGACGATTGGTTTGCTGCTAACCCTGAAAAAAACCACCTGCCCACCTGAAAAACCTGACTACCTGACTGATTGCTCCTCCTGCTCCTCTTCCTTTCTCTCCTCCTCCTCTTCCTCCTGCCAGATTTCCTGTGAGTTCCTCCTTTTCCCTTTTCTTGTCTTTCAGTTGTTTGTCATTGTGCTACGTATGTTATCTGCATGCTCGTGTTGTCCCTCCTTTGTAGAAGGCTAAACAAATGAGTATAAACTAATACGCTGGTCTGTCTAAAATCTGAGAAACAGAGTTTGATGGTTGACCTATCATGGCATGTTTACAACATGTTGCACCTCCTCTCCTGTTACCAACCCTCTGTAAACCTCAATGAACCCTGGAGACACACAAACCCAGCAGACCAGGTTCTGGAGTCTAAAAGTGAAAAGTTGTCCCATTCTTGCCTGATAGAGGATTTCAGCTGCTCAACAGTTCAGGGTCTCCTTTGTCCTATTTTTATTGTCATGATGCTCCAAATGTTTTGAGATAAAGGTTTTTGAAGTGAATTTGAGTTCATGCAGTGATTTCCACTGCAGAGTCCTGTCTGTTTTGACTGCAGTGCTGCCTGAGGGCCAGAAGATCAGGACCATCCAGTCTTGGTTTTGGTCCTCATCTCTTAAGTACAGAGATTTCTCCAGATCCTCTGAATCTTTAAATGGTATTATGTACTGTAGATGATGAAATCCACTCATTCTTTTTATTTGACTCTCAGGAACATCATTCTGAAACTGTTGAACTATCAACTCACACAGTCTCTCACAGAGTGGTGAACCTCTTCTCATCTCAGCCTCTCTGAATGTCCTTTTTAGACCCAGTCATGTGACTCACCTGTTGTCATTGATTTAGAGATACTCCTCCAGCTTTTTACACACTTAACAACATTTTTCAGTGTCAACACTGGATCTGTTGCCTCTGCATGGTTTCAATGAAGGATAAGATTGAAATCATTTTCAAACCATCAGAATCTGTTTTTGCCAATATTTTACAAAGCATTAAAACTTGTGCACATTCGATGTGGACAGAGTCATAGTAGAAAAATGAACAAAACAGACATATGGCCAATGAGAGGCCACTCCAGAAATGGTGTCAGTCACATAGAAAATGCTGATTCTGACAGGAAGTGGAGGACAGTCTGAAGCTTCATGACAAACGGCTTCAAATTGCCCACCTCACAGCTGTAACCCCTCATTTATACGCTGCTCACAACCAGCTTTACCTCCTCTTCAAATGTTGTCAATCAAACTAAATTTAACAAAACTGTGTTCCTTGAAAAAGAGTCCTCCATGATGATTCTTCTTTCTATCCAAAACATGACTTCAGTCTAGTTTAGCTGATATCAGGGAAGCTTTTTTTCTCCGACTTGGTGTTTGTTCTTGGAGTTCAGCAACATTTCAAGAAATCATCTTTTTAATGGAGACGCTCAGCCCTTTTGCATGGCTATAACTCTTCTGTGTGTTTGTCCTCCTTAGTTCATCATCACTGATGCTTTTTCAGTCTGCTTGCTTTTTGTAACTGTCAGAGATTTGATGGCTTTACTTCATGCTCTCCTTTCACCACATCAGTGTCTTATTGTGTATCTCTACTGTGATCAAATGCATTGAGGAAATGTGAATGTGATAAAACTGAAACTAAACCAACTATGGAGGTGAAACTAAAACTTTTCAACCACTATTCCACCACTTGGTTCTGGTATTCTATGTGAACTAGTACTGTACCAGTCTTCTTTTTGGCCTTTGCTGTCTGCTCTTTGAATGACATTACGAGCACTTTTGAAATCTTTTTCCTGCTCACAGGTTTTAAGAACCTGTTGAATCAATCTGGTGAATTTGTATCCGGTACAGATGTTTTAGACACATTTTTATGGCACAGAACTTCAGCAGTGACACTCTGATGAACTGCTGAGGAGTGAGTGTGGAAACATGACTGAGAAGTTCCTGGTAGGTTTCAGAAACCCTCTTCCCTCCTGGTCTCTTACACTCTCTCTTTGTGTGTTCTTTAATCAGGGATGAGCTGATCCAGATGAACCCTTTGAGTCGGCCCAACGGCAGCCAGCCCTTCTCCCCCACCTCCTCCTGCTCCACCCCTTCCTCTCCTTCCCACCCAGTCAGTGTGTCTAGTCGGCCCCCACTGACCTACCCTGGCTCAACGTTGATGCAAAGTCCGGCACACAAACCCCAGGGCGGAGGGGTGAAGAAGGTGACTGGCGTCGGGGGCACAACTTATGAGATATCTGTGTGAGTAGCAAAAAGCCGCCAGCTCAAGGACCAATGAAAGGAGGCCGAGATCCAGCCTCACCACGCAGGAAGTGGTTTAAGTAAACCAACAAGCAGGATGCTTTGAACCATTTGGTCTGGATGGCACTCCTCACTGGCTTATGGACTGTAGAGCTAACCTGGACTGAACTGCCTCCACTTTAGTAACTCTGCTGGAAAGATGTCAGCCAGTCCTCTCTGGCTATGGGCTGTAACATACTTCTTTTTTAGGACCAAACCAGAAAGACCATTTGGCTCTTTTGGGGGGCTTTTCTCCTCTCTGTAGCTCAGCAGGTAGCACAGGTAGGTAGGTCCGACCTTACTTTACACAAGTACAGCAGCGCAATGCCTAACCACTGCCAGGGCAAGGAGCTCCATCCCCCATCCACTGGATCCACAGAGAGGTCTTGGTTTAAGAAGGTTCACATCAGCACTTTTGGACTGAAGCTGCACGAAGTGAAAGAAAAGGTGCAGATGTTGATATTTAATAATGAAAATTGAAGTACAATGATAATGTGAAGCCAGATCAGGATGATCAAAATAGAGTGCATTTAGAGTCCAGGGTTTCCCACAGACAAGGAGTACATGACAAGTGTCATCAGTCAGTCAGGTCACATTGGCAGATTCTTTCTTTTGGGGAGAATGATCTGACGGGAACAAAACGATTCTGAAGTTGCTCCTGCAGATGGCCTCAGCCAACAGCTGTGACACAGGCTGATGTGACTGTATGAGGACAATGCAACTACAACGCTCAAATTCTGGTGTCTGTCACTGACAGGCTCAGATGTTTATTTGACACCATAACTCAACCTATTCCTCAGAGAAAGACCATTCTGTTGCAGAGAAGGAAGGACACTCTTGTTCTTTAGAAGGATAAACTCTGTCATATTTTCTGGCCAAACAGAGGAGTCTCTTTCCTCCATAGATACATGTTTGTGTTTAAAATTGTTTCAGATCTTTCTGGGTCTCTGATCCAGCAGGTTTCTGAATGAAGTGACAGTATTCCAGCTAGGACTTTCACATCTGTCCTTAAATGCTGTTTAGTTCCTGAGGAGTGGGACTCGAAAGAGTTCCAAGAACCTAAAAACACTGATTTCTGTTTGTAAAGTTTAAAACATATTACCCAAGACACACAGAGAGTAGTAACTGCTGTGTTAAAAGGATATTCCGGCGTAAAATTAATTTAGGGTCAAACCCACTGCAAGACCGAGGTAGACACCCCCTCGATAGATGAATGTTGCCGACCGCTTGCTTCTCTAGTTATACCAACTTTAATAACGACCTCAACCAAAAAGTCACTCTATAGTAAGGCTGCACGATATTGGAAAAAACTAACATTGCGATGGTTTTCAACCCTGCGATATATATTGCGATATTAAAAATACAGAAATTTTCACCAGATGACCTGAATAACATTTAATGTTATGCTGCACCCCTGAGGTCTTGAGAACAGTTAACCTGCTCTGATCTTACCTCTTTTTGTGAATGTTAGAATGGCTTCTGTCTGTCTCAGAGATATTTTTAGCTTTTATTGTGCTGGGACGTTATTGTGGCGACAGATGAACACAGAAGACGTGTTTTGGTCGACATCATCCTTCTTTTAACCGAAATAATTCCAGATAACTGACTTTCCTTTTCTTTTTGGCAACAAATCTTCATTTTCGGTGGTTTTCTCTTGTTCGTTGCTCATTTTGCAATCGTTGTTGTTGTTGTTGTTGTTAGCGGTGTTGTGCCGAGAAACGCATGTCCTCTGAGAATTGCATGCACCTCGCAAAACGCGCACCGCTTATAGTAGAGTGGTCCACGGAAATATACATTTTAAACCCATACAGTTCTTATTTGTTGGGTTTAACAGTCATGAGTAAAGTTCTGAAAGTAATTCTCAGCGGACACGCGTTTCTCGGCTCAACACCAGCAGCCAGCGTCTCACTCCATGTGCAGTACATGTGCAGGGGTGGGTTTCCTCCGCTCTGATTTTGATTGACAGCTGGCAGGGTAGTCTGATTGGCAACTGAGAACTGAGTCTGATTGGCAACTGAGTAAAGGACGAAGGTGATTGGTGGATCGCTGCAAAGCACATGCAGAGTCACATGCAGTATATCTCAGTCAGCCACCCTTGAAATTAAATGAGTTAATTCACCTCCGATATCGCAGGCTCTGCGATGTGACTATCGCACACACGTACATCGCGATGAAGATGCTCAAACGATATATCGTGCATGCCTACTCTATAGCCACAAATAATGCTCAGAACAGCACCTAACTTCATCAACAGTACATATAGGGTCCCAGCCGTAGCACTAGCAACTAAACATCTTTTTAGCTTTGCCTGGTTTCTTTAGCAAAGAAACGAAACACAACTCACCTACTCTCTTCCAGCAGCCGATCAGGCCAGCACACCTCGGGCCAGTCCATTACGGACTGCAGTGGGGTGAAGCAGCTCAAGAAAGAACATGTATGATCATTTCTTCATGGAAATGCAATCAGACCAAGATGCTGAGGCAGAAGAACTACCACATCTGCAGTGCAAAATGATTAATATGGTGATTATTACTTCAAGGAAATGATAAAGAAATGATCACAAATGTTCTTCCTTGAGCTTCGTCACCCCGCAGCATTCTGTAATTGACTAACTCGGTTTTACGGTGTGTTTGACCCTAAATTAATTCTAAGCCTGAATATCCCTTTAAATCGAAAGAACATTGTCATCTGTGCTGAAAGAACACCCACAGGGATAGACCTGTTATCAAGTCCTAATCCTTTGAACAGAGGGGACAGTGCAGTCCTGACAGCTTTTATTCCTGCTGTATTCAAGAACACTAACTAACGAACTAATCAAAGCCGTTGTAGACTGTTAGGATGACTCTAGTCTGAGTAATAATCATCACCATGAGTTTACATTGGTCAACTTTGCAATATTACAAACGTAGAGAGGACCCCATTCTGCTTCAGTGCTTAGTTGCATTGAAAGCCAAACTTCCCCTAACCCTCCCTATGGGCTCTAACGACCATGTCTGAGTAAATTCCCCACAAGCTCAGTGTCTCAACTGTCCACAAATGGAAGACAGCTCAGTTGAGATTGGCTGTGCAGTGCTGGCTGTTCACATTACATGAGCATTATCAAGTTTGATGTTTGACCCTTTCGCTGCAACTCCTGTGTAGCAGATTTGAAGAGAGGTGATCCGTTGTCTTGAGTTCACCTCTGCATTGCAACCTTCAACAGTTTCTTTACCATACAGGACTTTGCTTTATGGTCCCCCTGCCATTCGTCATCTAGTGTAGCATATCCTTCATTTCTCTTTATTATCTCTTGATTAACTTTGTCCCACAAGGCAGGGAAATTTGTCTCGGCCCATTCACCCAACTCTGTATCTCATGTTTAGCAGAGTGACAGACCAGTTTTTGTAAATGTTGGCTGGTGGACTTGAGGGGGCGATGGAACAGATGTATCAGGTAAAGGAAAGCCTCTGAACCATCAGGTAAAATGTCCTCTACTGAAAGGATCCAGTCTGTTAAATCAGATGTTTTTAAAAATGATTAAGCTCTTTTAGTTAACTTTATTGCATTGGCCAAGTTCGTCGTCACGCTGCAGCCATCTGCTGAGGCAGTTCCAAAACATTTTGTTCCTGAAAATCATCAAACTCTGAAATGTGTCAAATTACAGCCCCGCTTCAAACACACAGATCTGGACCTGGTTGTTTGGGCACTGGTCTTTGGTTCTTTTTAACAGCATCCTCATACAGACAGAGCGGGGTAAGGTTGTGTTGATAGTTTGTGTTTCAGATGTCATTTGTGGAGACACTAAAGCAGCTGCGGCTGAGCCTCTGCAACCTGTCGGCTCCTTCACAACCTTCCCTCTCGTGGAAATGCACAACGCGACCGACAGGAGGTCAATAATCAGGCGGTGAGCAGGATCCACTCTGGACTCATGACAATCTGATGGCGGCTGGAGGGGAAGGTCACCTGTGAACTTCCGCGCCAATCGATGTGGCTGCGTGACGTGACTTTTGCCTTTTTGATGGGGGGATGAAAATGTAATATTGGGGGAGATAAAGACATGAACATGCAGATTCCCTGTTTCTTTCGTTCATCTGTTGATAAATTCCTGGATGTGAATATGATTCCATGTTTGTACAGGATGATGTGGTTTTAATGTGGATTTCTTTTTTGAAAAAGTGGCTGCAGCATGCACTACTAATACTACGAGCCACTGTAGGCCTCTGTGTTCTGCTGTGTGTCTGTTTGAACAAACTGGAAGTGAACAAGGAAATCATGTTTGGCCTTCTGCCGTCAATAAGGCAGATTTTTTGAAAACCAACTCCTTGAGCGAATGCCTTGAGAATTCATGTTTTTTTATGCCACTTATTTAATTTGAAATTGTTTTATATGAATTTGTATGGAAATATAGCTATTGATAAATGAAGAGTTTTTAATGTTGATTCAAAGAGAGTTTGTGTCCACAGAGTCAGGATGAAATGAGCCCTTGTGATTGGTCGAAGCTCTCAACAGGTTAACTGTCTGCTCTGAGAGTCCAGTCATTTTGATTATAAGGACATGTAGAAAACTGGGATTGTTTCCCTCAGATCTGATTGCCGCTCATGACTTCAGTAATGTGTAAAAACCTCATATGGGAACATTCTGTAATCTACGGCAGAGTGTTAGGGCCACTGTGATGGGGCTCTTCCCCTATTCACAGTGAAGGTAAACCACTCCCAAGCCCCCTGAGAACAGTCATCCTAATATCTAGGATTATCTAAATGCGTAATCAAGGGAGCTGAGCTGCCACCTGCTCACTGGCAGGTCTTTTACGGTTTGTAGTACTTCAGTAGAAGTTGTTTTGAAGTTTCTGTAGGTGGCCAAGTTGTCCAACAAGGTCACCTCATAAAAACAGATCTGGAGATGAAAACCTCTGAGAAACATGAACAAAGCAGTGGCTTTTAGGGTCTGTGAGCTGAGCTGCCATGAGCTGAAGCTTCCTCTTGAAGCAATTCCTTCCTCTGTTTTAAAGATACAGTTACAAATGCTGAAACTGTAACTCCAAAAAACTAGTTGGCCGGAAAAGTTTCACATCCATCTGCCAGTGTGATAAACATTTACCTCTTGCAGGTAAAATATCAGGCTTACAATGGCTGATAGAAAAAATTGAACACACTGCCAGATCCTGTGAAATGGCTCATTTAAGAGTCAGTTACAAACTTTCTTACAAAAAGTATTGTACTATTTTGTGATGAGTGGCTGAAGAAAACAAAATTGACATGTCCCTTTAAAAGAAAGTTTAAAAAAAATTATGTTTGTAAGCATGTATTATTACATGAATTTCAAAGATTTGAGAAATTGGTCATTCTTGATTCTTTTAGTTGAATGTCTGTTAATGCAGTACCACGCTGCACAGTTCTTCAACATCTCTGACTGTCTTTTATTCCACAATGGCCCTAATCCTCTGTTGCACTGCTGAAACTGTAAATTAGATGTAAAAATCCTTCTGGTCTCCATGGAAATGTACATTTGAAGGTGCTGAAGATTAAAGTAAAAGGAGCTTTCACAAACTCTGTACTCAAAAATTCCTTTGTTTGTCGTGTCCCACTGTATGGTTTTTGATTTGACCTCTGGAGGGCACTAAAGGCAAGACTGAGGAGCCTTGAAGAAGAAGCTTGTGGAGAAGTCAAGTCTGAGTTCATGTTTCTGACCGGACAGAATCACAAACTGAAGCACCAGTTTTGTCTGGTGCTGTGTCTAATATGTAATTTTTCGCTCAGCAGCCTCTTTATTAGGTACACCTTTCTGGTACTGGGTTGGACCCATGGACTGTATATAAGATGGACAACCTGGTTCCGCCTTCCGCCTGTATACGGATTTGAAGCCAAAAAGCTCTCGGTTATTCCGGGTTTTTCTCCACTTCCTTGAAACCAGAGCTGCGCAGTAGCAATGCGCGCATTCGGCCGCGCAGTCACCGAGAGTCCCTGTGATGACGCTCGGCTCAAACAGCGTATCCCCCCCGTAAGAGCTACGCAATCCCTGAACACCCATAGGCTGTACCAGGTGTCAATCATAGAAAACATGAACCCCCAATAACTTTTAAAAACGGAGCTGTACAGAAAGAAAAGGACTTGGGCACAAACCAGTCTTACAATAACTACATGTCAACATCACGACCAGGGGGGAGAAAAATGTATGTTCTGTGTAATAAATTTCTAAAGTTTGTCCACAGTCCCATAAGCTTTGCTGGCGCAGGCAGGATTTATGACCTGTACTGCAGCCCACCATCAGAGGGTGCTGTTCTCGGAGTGGCTTCACCCAGCGAGGAGGCAGACTCTGTCCATCGTATATACAGTCTATGGTTGGACCCTCTTTTTTTTCAGAACTGCCGTACTTCTTGGTGTCTGACTTTTAACAAGGTGTTAAAACATCCCTCAGAGATTTTTGTCCACACAATAGTCCTCAGTTGCTCAAACACTAAACCTTATTGTCTGGACCAAAGGTTCGGTGGCCTGAACCCACTGATTGAATTTGTCATTCTCTTGGTGAAGCCATAAGCACTTTTCTCCTGGTTAGACACGACTTGCAAACACATTCTCACTCACTAAAACACAGTGCACAGTGATACACTTGTGTTACATAATGGTAAGCACAGGTAAGAAAAGTGAAACACAGTTGAAGTTCAAGTGTCACAAAGTGTCTTAAACACAACAACTAAAGTTGATCACACTTTTGGCTAATGATGTGAGGAAACCAAGATGAGCCACTTCAGTGGGTTTTACCCTGTGACCTGGCCAGAGAGAAGGTGGCCTGTGATGTGGATGGACTCCTGTGGCCTGATCCAGGAGAAAGACTTGATGCTGTGGCTGAATGATTGTACAAAATCCAATTCCATTGAAGTTGGGAAATTGTGATAAACATAAATAAAAACGGAATACAATGATTTGCTAATCCTTTTCAACCTATATTCATTTAAATACACTACAAAGACAAGATATTTAATCTTCAAACTCATAAACTTTTTTTTTTTTTTGCAAATAATAATTAACTCAGAATATCATGACTGCAACACGTGACAAAGTAGTTGGGACAGGGGCATGTTTACCACTGTGTTACATCACCTTTCCTTTTAACAACACTCAATAAACATTTGGGAACTGAGGAGACTAATTGTTGAAGCTTTGAAGGTAGAATTCTTTCCCATTCTTGCCTGATGTACAGCTTCAGTTGTTCAACAGTCCAGCATATGTTGCTCCAAAACCTGTATGTACCTTTCAGCATTAGTGTTGCCTTCACAGATGTGTAAGTTACCCATGCCTTGGGCGCTAATGCATCCCCATACCATCACAGATGCTGGCTTTTGAACTTTGTGTCAATAACAGTCCAGATGGTTCTTTTCCTCTTTGGCCCGGAGGACACGACATCCACTATTTCCAAAAACAGTTTGAAATGTGGACTCGTCAGACCACAGAACACTTTTCCACTTTGCATCAGTCCATCTTAGATGAGCTCGGGCCCAGAGAAGCCGGTGGCGTTTCTGGATGTTGTTGATAAATGGCTTTCGCTTTGCATAGTACAGTTTTAACTTGCACTTACAGATATAGCGACGAATTGTATTTACTGACAGTGGTTCTCTAAAGTGTTCCTGAGCCCACGTGGTGGTATCCTTTACACATTGATGTCAGATTTTGATACAGTGCGGCCTGAGGGATCAAAGGTCACGAGCATTCAATGTTGGTTTCCAGCCGTGCTGCTTACATGCAGTGATTTCTCCAGATTCTCTGAACCTTTTGATGATATTATGGACCGTAGATGTTGAAATCCCTAAATTCCTTGCAATTGTACTTTGTGAACAACTGCGTGAGTAAATAGTCAAACAGTTTAAGAATGTTTCTCAAAGTGGTGAACCTCTCCACATCCTTGCTTGTGAATGACTGAGAATTTTTGGGGAAGCTGGTTTAATACCCAATCATGGCACCCACTCATTCCCATTAGCCTGCTCACCTGTGGGATGTTCCAAATAGGTATTTGATGAGCATTCCTCAAATTTCTCAGTATTTTTTGCCACCTTTCCCAACTTCTTTGTCACGTGTTGCAGCCATGAAATTCTGAGTTAATTATTTGCAAAAGAAAATAAAGTTTAAGAGTTTGAACATTAAAAATCTTGTCTTTGGAGTGTATTCAATTGTATATAGGTTGAAAAGGATAAGCAAATCATTGTATTCTGTTTTTATTTACGTTTATCACAATTTCCCAACTTCAATCGAATTGGATTTTGTAGATGCTGTAAACATCCAAGTTTGATCATGTGGTTTACACTGTAATTGTGCTTCTCAATTGTTTTTCTCCATTTACTGAATTCACAGAGGATAATTATTTTTTTTCAAAATTCCTTTAGCCTACTGTGAACAATCATATCTACACCTTCATGTCCTGAGCATTGTGTTTTTTATGTCCTGTGTAATGACTGCTCAGTAGTGTTTTTAATTTTGATTGACTTGGGGTATGATCTGTAGAAAGAGTTAGAGGTCTGGTGAATGTAGTTTGATAAACCAGTTTTTTGCTCATAGTGTTGAGAAAAGCATGGTGGATGTCAAGAAATGTGTTTGAGCTATTGAGAAAAACAGTAACATGAGAGCATCACGCAGGTGCTGCAGATTCGTCCCTGCACATCTTTGATGCAAATCTCCTTTTTCACCACATCCTTAAGTGGTTTTACAGGGCTGAGATCTGGGACTGTGGAGACCACTAGAGTCCAGGGAATTTAATGATATGTTGAAGAAACTAGTTTGAGATCATCTGGGCTTAGTGACATGGTACATTATCCTGCTGCAAGTATCTATCAGAAGCTGGTACACTGTGATTCTAAGGGGATGGACATGATCAGCAACAAAACGCAGGTAGGCTGTGGGGTTTAAACAATGCTCAGTTGGTACCAAGAGGCCCAAAGTGGGCCAAGAAAATCCCTCCCACACCGCTAGACCACCAGCAACAGCCTGAACCGCTGACACAAGGAAGGATGGATCCATGCTGTCATGTTGTTTAGGCCAAATTGTGACCCACCACCTGAATGTGGCAGCTGAAATCCAAACCCATCAGACCAGGTTTTGTCTTCTTCTGCCTTCTGCAGCCTGTCTGTTTCAAGGTTGTACGTGTTGTGTGTTCAGTGATGCTATTCTGCATACTTTGGATGTAACGAGAGGTTATTTGACTTCTTGTTGCCTTTCTATCATCTCCAACCAGTCCTTCAGACCATCCTCTGTAAACCCCAGAGATGGTTGTGAGTTAAAATCCCAGTTGATCAGCTGTCCCTGAAATACTCAGACCAGCCTGTCTGGCACCAACAACCATGCCATGTTCAAAGTCTCTTAAATCCTCTTTTCTCCCCGTTTTGATGCTCAGTTTGGACTTCAGCATGTCCTCTTGACCACGTTTACATGCCTCAATACACTGAGTTGCTGCCTGGTGATTGGCTGATCAGCTATTTGTGTTAACAAGCAGTAAAACAGGTGTACCTAATAACGTGGCTGGTAAGCGTGTGTCTCCTTTGGGAGCTAGAACAGTCTCTTTGAAGGCCGTATGAAGTTTCTTTGATCATCTGCAGCAACAGAAATCATTTCTGCCACTTCTCTTTGTTACAGATATTGTCAGTCACATTTACAGTCTTCATGTCCATATCTTTATTGCATGAATAACAAAAACAGGCAGACATCTCTGAGGTGTTGTCATCAGATTTTTCTCCAGTCACAGAGAGGAGTAGATTTATAAATGTCCAAACCAGCCAAAAAAGAAATGTAACATGACCAAAGTGTACAATACTGAAGATAAAAACAATTTTAGTAACAAATCCAGGATTTGAGGAATAAACTTACAGCATCTTAAAAAATGTCTACTGCACACAATCTTCATCAGGAATGTTAAAGAAAGAAAGAAATGGAACTAAATCTGGAGAAGTCCATCAAATCTCCCCAAAAGTGGTCAAAAATAAAAAGATAAAACATGTTAAGGACACATGTTCCAAAATAAATACATGGAGAGTATGGACAGTGGAATGTTACTTATATTAGGACCAGAGCTTGAAGATGCAAACATGCTTTGGAATCATCATGCTAATTAAAATTTGTCCTGCAGTTTCTAGTATTCAATTTAGGAGCCCAAAAACATTAAACCTGGTCAGAGTAAAATCTGTTTCTGAATGAAAAATTAAAAATATATTTAAAAAAAAAGGAGTGTTTCACAGTAAACTTCAGTTGTACAGGAGCTGCAGTACTATTACCGCAGGATGCACCAGAGAAAAAAAAGTGTTAATGCCATTTCATTGCAGTTTACAGATCTTAAGTTGGTTTCGTCCCTTGCCAGAGTTCCCATTTCTCTGTTTTCTGCTAAGTCTTAGTTTTACTGTAAATATAAGTTTCATAGGGACTGTTCTCCTGAACACTTCTTAAAGATACACCCAAACAAATCTTACTGTCTTGTCATTTAAATACATTTAAAGGTCTTTTCTTGGAGTGCTCATGCTGCTGGTCTGAATTTCACAGTTAAGTCACACTGACTTAACTATGAGTATGGTGTAGATTAGTAAATAGTTAGATGTCAAACTTCATTGGGACTATCCTCTAGCAACTTTTGAAACGTTTGTTTTTGTTGAGCAGAGGTCTGGTTGATTATTTCTGATGTATTCAGGGAAGTCAGAAAAATCTCAGTGCTGATCAATAAGGGAAACATGAAGCAGATCAGTTTCTTAAGTTTAAATGTGTGATCTAGGACAGATTGTTGGCTGCACCCTAGAGTACAGTCTAACAGTTCCATATGCTTTTAGTCTGAACACTACTGTAAACTAATACGTCTCATCCATTTCCTGATGTTTCAGAATCTGTGGACTGTCTTTTCACTAGTCATTACAAATGTAGCTTCAGTCTGAATTTGGAAAAATACTGTGGCTGGATTCTCTGATCTTTTTGTGTGTGTGTGTGTACATAAACAAAGTAAATCATAGCATAATTATAAAAACTACTCTCCATTAAATTAGTTTTATAAAATAATCTCAATCAAGGTTTTTAAAGTAGCATCACATTTACGTTACAGTTTCATTAGTAAAATCTGTGCTCACTCAGACTTCACAGCTGTCATCAGCGGTCACGTTCAGTGTTTACAGTGTTTGACAAACCCAGGCTTAGTTTGAGGGAGCTGGTTAATAAAACTAAAACCTGAAGCCACAGTCAGAGGAAATCAGGAAAATCACATACCAATGAGCTCTCTGTTAACCCAGGCTTTCTGCTTCAGGGTCTGAGTGCTCTCAAAGATAACAGAAGCCTCATTTAATGCTCCTTACGGACAAAAGGAGAATGATATAGTATAATTAAACTAAAGAAATCAAATCTACTTGGTCTTTTTTTTTTACATACTCCATAGACTGTATATGAAGATGGACAATAGGCCAGCTCCCCAAAGGTGAAACCAAGACATTTGAAGCTCTCTCTAGTGGCTGACATCTTTATGAAAAAGATGGGACATACATCAGACCTAAAATCGGGTTGAAAGAATATATCTTTCAAGCGTCTTATTACGCAGATGTTTTTCTTTAGCTGTTTTTTTTTTCCCCCCAACACATGCACATAGCTACAGGAAACTTTCTGAATAATCATGGAAAGCTGCAGGTGTGAACACAACAGCCTACATGCTAACACAGACTTTGACTTTGCTTGGAAATCTTACTCTGGGCCTAGCAGGTCAGTGTGATTTGATGTGGAAACACAGCAGCTCATATTCAGTGAAACTTACCAAAGTGAACTGGAGAGGCTGATGACAAGTATATTATGGAAAACATGCATGCCTGAGAGTGCAACATGTAACAGGTGACTTAATGGTAAGTGAAAAGGTCTTTCAATGATAAAACATCAGCTCTACTGACCAACCCCTCCTGCATGGGGCTAAAAACATGTCAACACCAGATATTTACACCAGCTGTGTGGGTGGTTTTGGCTTAATTTTTTAAATACAGGAGCCGGTACACTGTCGCTCATCTTCATATACAGATACTTGTTCGGCATTTCACATTGTCAGGCCTTAAACTGATGGATGGAAGGATTTAAACAACCTACCCTCCTTGTGTTGCTCTTCAGCTAAAGTTTTAATAATAAAGAAAAAATAGGAAAGGTCTCTGCAGCTGCACCGGAGGTGAGTTTAAAATGAACTTGAATGATGCAGATGAAAGATACTGAGACACAAGCAACAGTTGGAGAAGTCCAGGACTCTGAAGGGTCAAAAAACACGTAAATAAGATTTCTTCCTCTGTTGCTTCCAGAGTGAGGAAGAGGAGAAGGTCTTATTCTCAATCAGACAAACTGAACACTTTGAAGAACAGCCTCATCCTCCAACCAGAAGAAGTCCACACTGAGAGCTACAAACCATCTTTATTTGTCCTTCTTGGACTCAGGCTCCTCCCCTTGGGCGTCACCTCCCTGCTGCTCTGGCTCTTCCTCCTCTGGGACAGGGGGGAACTGTGATTGGCTGATTTTGTCTCCTTTGGTCTTGTTGAGCTTCTTGGATTTCTGGTAGAGTTCGTTCAGGTTGAACTCTCTGATAATGTTCTCCTATTAAAGAGAAAACAGACTTTTAATGCTGTGAGTAACTTTACCATGCAGCAGAAGTCCTGATGAAATTTTTCAAATGAAAAGCAGGTTGGTTATAACAGCAGGGAATAGAGTATGACAACACAAGACAAGACAAGAACTTAATTTATCCCAGAGGGAAAATTTGATAAAGATAAATAAAATAAAATAAAAGATCAAAACATCTTTTCTAAAAAAAAAAAAAACCTGTACAGCAAGCAGCATGTTCTTTGTTACTCGTTTGGGTTGACTAGAAGGGGTATTTTGAAGTTTAAACTAACTTCACAATGCTATAAAATAACATGCTACACTATACAACTATTTTTTTATCGAAGCAATACAGAAAAGGGCCTATTGACGTGGCTCCATTAACAAGCATTAAATATAAAACTAAATGAATCAATCATTACATGTTGAAATTCTGAGATTTTATTGTTTTGTAAAGATGTCATTAAATGTTTGTAAAACTCAAACTAAAACAAAGAAACCATCAAGAATCACACAAACTTTTGAATTTTACACTGACCTTGAAACTAATATAAAGTGCAGATGAGTGTTGATAGCCATGTATTTTCTAATTAGAAGTGGATTAACTGCCTGGTCTAACCTCAGTGAAGCTCCACGACACTGCTCTGCCCTTCTTGTCCACCTGAGGGCGCCGCATCACCTCCTTCCCTCCCTGAAATAACACTAGAGAAGGGAGCTGTTTGGACAGCGGGGATGTGGAAACCTTGTACCTGCAGAGTAGAAATAAATCCATGAAGACATTTATCATATTAGTTCACTTGATTACTTTAGTTAATTTTTCAACTATTTCACAACTACAACCCCATATAACTTGGAACACTGTGTAAAATGTTGACATCAAAAAGATTTGGAAGTTTTAAGAGAAAGGTTGGGAGATGAATTAGAATTGATTTTGAATAGTTGAGTCAGAAGAACAACCACACAGGTAAAAAATTATTAAAGAACAAACAAACAGATAAAAGATTGTGTATTACTAAAAAAAAAAAAAAAAAACAGCTGGGGAACATCTCCAACTAATATTAAGTTAGTTTCAAACAGGTGAGCCACATGACTCCAAATAAAAAGGACATTGAGAGGCTGAGTCTGTCAGAAGGAAAGATGAGAAGAGGTTCACCACTCTGTGAGAGACTGCGTGAGCAAATAGTTCAACAGTCTCAGAATAATGTTCCTGAGTGTCAAATGTAAAAGAATGAGTGGATTTCATAATCTACAGTTCATACTATCATTAAAAGATTCAGAGGATCTGGAGAACTCTCTGTATTTAAGAGATGAGGACCAAAACCAAGACTGGATGGTCCTGATCTTCAGATGGAACTCTGGAGTGGAAATCACTGCATGGGCTCAAAATCACCTCAAAAAGCCTTATCTGAACAGTCTATCACTGCATGCATCCACAAATGGTGTTAAAAATTTAACCATGAAAAGAGGAGACCAGATAGAAATAGGATCCAGGAACACTAGAGACTTCTCTGGCCCTGGAAGAAAGGATCCATTAATGCTGAACAATATCTACAGGTTTAGGAGCAACATCTGCAGCCATCCAGACAAAGACTTTTTTAGGGAAGAAGAGTCCTACTAATGAACTAGCCTGATGCAGTCCTGTCTTGTCCCCCATTGAAAACATTTGGAGGAGTCCTAGACAAAAAAATACAAAAAAAGGGGACTGGACCCAGGCGACACAACAGTAAACACGACCCTAGCCCAACTGTTATGAGGAAGTTGCTGGCAAAAAAATATAAACTGAACAGATACACACTACATAAATGCACACCGTAATACAGATTTGTTTTGTTTCAACTTCTGATATTTTGTCTTTTCTCTATTTCCAATTAAATATGAATCTCAAAACTTCTTATTCTGTCTTATCAACAGTGTGCACATCATCCCAGCTTTTGTGGAACTTGGGTCATATTACATCAATTAATAATAAAACAGAAATTACTTCTTTGAAACCTCTCCATAACGTCCAACATCCACTTTGCCAAACTTCAGACCAGCACAGTTGTACCTGAAACACAGAATAAAAAAACTCATTCTTGGTTCCTATTAATGCCACATCTTAAACTGTTTTAAGTTTAGGGGATCTTACTTCAGAGATAGATCAGCATAGACTGAAGCAAAGGACTGACACTCTGGAGACCAGTTGGCGAAAAATTCAACGATCCACGTCATGCGACTGTCTCTGTCGAGCTCATCCTGCACAAGCACACACACACTAGTGATTTAAGATTTAAAAATCTAAAATCATGTGGTGCTTAAATCATCTAATTAAACTCACATCGATGGTTTTGTCACTGAAGTACTTGATGTATTCTGGTCCCATGTAAAGAGGAGGCTTACAGGTCATCAGAAACACTAACACACAGACACACAAAAGGTTAAATCCAGATTATAAAAGCAAACATTTTCTTAAATGGATGGCCTCATTCTCAAAAAAAATTTAACCTAAAATAAGACTTCACACACAAATGTCAATATTTACAAAAAAGTCTTAGAATCTTATATGTAATAAAAACCACTTACTATACTAAACAGTGATTGGATGTTTACTGAGGACTAAAGGGAAGGGGTATGTAAGTCAGCCCGAGACGATTTTTCGGTGGATTTTTCCACGACTGCAGTTACTTTTATTATTGTGTAACACATTAATTCTGTGGGTAAATTAAAATGTGCTCTCTTAACTTATAAAATTTTGATTTGAAAGGGGAAGAAATGTATGTAGACATATTAGGGATACAATGCACACTACAGACAGTTCTATGATCTCTGCTTTGGCAGATTGTCGTCACTTTTTAATCCTTCACGATCTAAGATTGTCAGATCGCACACCCCTAAGTGAAACTACCTGAAGGCTGGACTCACCAATGCAGAGTGTCAGGTAGAGGAGTCCCATCCTGATGTCCAGTCTGAAGAACAAGATGACATTGGCCACTTTGCTGAACAGGATGATGTTGCCTACATGTTGCTCCACCGTGACTGACATGAGAGGAAACATAGAGACCTTTAAAACAATTTCCCTGGACCACCCTTAGAGGGTAACATTTAAATAATTGGAGGATAATATCAGGGTTCCTACGCAAGTATGGAAAGTATTGAAAGAGTTTGAGGGGAAGTAGGAGCCCAGAGGTCAGGGAATACATTATTATGGTCCATGTATCAAACTATTAACAAGTAAGTCTTATCATCATACTTCAGTGCATGAAAATTAAAGGGATAGTTCCGTTTTTTTAATTTTAGTTCTTGTTTTGTGTTTTGGTCTCTTTCAGCCCACACAACCAAACAGCTGGTCAGTGCAAACTGCTGGTCAGGGGGAAGGTATGTGTAGCACCCTCTGACAGTGCTGAAGCTCTGAAAATTCTCCCACAAGAGCAAACACTTAAGCCTGCATTAAAGATTGGGTTTGACTTTCTCATACTTTGCTAAATTGGCAAAATTGACCCAGTATGTGATGCTTTACAGTTCTCTCTTCTCGCATAAATTGAAACAGAACAAAAAATAAAAATACAACACTCACTTGCTCGTCTGTTTTTCATCATTACAATGGCACTGAGGAACATGAGGATCTCCACCTCTCTCTGTGAAAACAAACATCACAGTAAACCAGTCTATTTAAACTGCTTTCATCCTGCGTAAAAACCTGTTTTTAATGAAACGTCAACCATGCACGTTTCCATTTCCAAACAGGGGTGAAAAAAAAAAGATTACTGCAACACTGAAACAACTTTTAAGAGCAATTACAACCCAAGATAACTACTTTCAACACTGGAATTAAACATCCAATAGAAAGGGATGGTGCAGAATTTTTTTGGTGATGCTTTCAATCAGTACTAGAAAGTGAACTTGGAATACCAGTCGTGTTAACCATTGCTACATTTTTCTTTTATGTTGGTAGTACTTGGCACAAATTGCATGCACAGATTAATTTGTTCAAACAGGTATTTGAGTTATTAAAGTCCGTGTTAACTTGGTTAGCAAAAACAATGACCATAAATGATCATAAATGATGAACTCCAGATCAATGGTATCTCTTAATTTGTCGTAAAAATATACAAAATAACGAAAGGTGATAACTTAAGACAGTGAATATGCCATAAAAATCCCGACATATCTTCGCCCCATTGCAAAACTGAACACTTGGCTTTTTCACCTGTTACAACTAATCTGTAACTGAGAATATGTGGTCAAAGGGCCGGTAAACTTAAAATAAAGAATAATTAAAGCTACCATAACTTGACGAGCATCTTTTCTGCAACCACCACGGCATCCCTGCTGGTCTACGCTCACTCAAACTGCTCATGCTTACACCAAACCCTATGATAAATCTAACATATAAAGTTAAATGGCTGGTCGGAGTAAGACTTTACTAGTAGCTAGTGTTTTAAACCTTTTCGGAGTTAAGAAGGGATTTAATGTGAAATTCGGCAAAGTATCTAACCCTGCTTGAGCATACCCTCAACTGGAATAGTTCTGCTAACCTTGACTAACATTGGCTAGCTACCATTCCACCATTCATGACTGGCCTATTGACACTACAGTTATTTCTATGTTTTCATAACCGCCTTTTACTCCGTTTCAATCCGCCGATTATAAAGTAATCCTTCGTTTTGAATACCGAGACAAAACCGCAGATTTAGCATGCGAGGTTATCTCCCTGTGAGAGGTGCAGCCTGAATCTTCAGTTTTTTTAATAGAGTTTGGCCTGTCAGCCTCTCACTGACACTCTTAGCACGTCCAACTCTCAATGGCCGCCTCCAACTGCTTACACGCTACGGTTGGCAAGCTAGTCTGAACCGAATATTTATTAATTTGACAATTGAGGATTTTCTACAGACCCAGTCAAAGTCACAGGAGTTGCCGTCCTCTCGCTGTGTGGACAGATGGTCGCAGATGCCAGGCGTCTTGCGGACGGCTAGGAAGGCTACCGACATGAAGAGAGAGGCTACGTAGTAAGGCTTCAGCAGCCACTTGTACACCTGCGGCAGGTGATACAGAAAAGCAAATATCGGCGTTAGTAAAGCCATTTTGTGTGGAACTGACACAACAACAAGAAAAAGGCCCCCGAAAAGGCCGAGGTAGCCGCTGAAGCTGATAGCCTACAATGACTACACAATGGAGGATGGACAGAGTATATGGCTCTACAAATAATTTCAAAATAAAAGCTTTTAAAAAATCGTCCTGCATCATGAGACCTTCAACTGCTTTTTACTGCATCAGTAATTGTACCTTCGAATAACACTATACGTCTGCTCACAAATTAAAACGGGATTTGCTTTATAAAACCCACAAGACCAAAATTAACAAATCGCTTGTTTTTAACCTGAAGGCCAAACATTATACTTCCTGTTTAACTGGTATTCTCCTGGTTGGGCATTGCTGTTTGTTGTAGACAGAATTGTAAAGAAGTCCTTATTTTGCATGGGCAGAGGTCAATCAGGACAAAAGTGTTAAGAGCTGAGTAACAGTGCAAATAGTATTCGTTGGTTCACCGTAATATGAAAAAACATTTGGAAGGTACCATTGAATTAAAATCAAGGACTCTTAATTAACTTGGTTTAAATAAGTAGTTTATCATCTAGCCTATAGTTGGAGCCAATAAAGTTCGGAGTTTTGTCTGCCAATATGATTTGGTTTTCTGGAGCCTGGGATAATTAAATCCAGGGAGTGTAACTGAAGAGTTAAGTTTACTCTCTGAACTAAACCAGTCAGATTTATACTTATTAAACCTGGTAAGTTAAGACTAATTTAGTTGGGACTTCTGGTCTTCTGAAGTGTATGGAAATATGTGAATCTGCCTAAACTCGCACTAAACTAAATTTCTCAAAGCTGGTCTGACATACCTAGATAACTTCATACATGTACTAGGGCTGCTCAGTTATGACAAAAATCATAATCACAATAATCTTTACTGATATTGATACTGCGAATATCCATGATTTCATATCTGCATCACATGCATTTAAACAACTTAAAAACCTCCTCATGACTTAAAAGCTCTGACTTCTTTGAGGCAAACTATCCATCCATCCATCCATCTTCAACTGCATATCTGGAGTCAGGTCACAGGGGCAGCAGCCTAGGCACAGAAGCCCAGACTTCCCTCTCTCACTTAGTCCAGCTCTTCCCCGGGCACCCGGGACACACTGAGAAACATAGTCCCTCCAGCAGGGGCGAGCGGTCATAATAAGCTATAAATGCAGTGCATGCCCAAGCCCTTCAATAAAAATCATTGGAAATATTCACCTGTCATTGTGTTCAATTATATATTAACTTAGTTTTACTGTTTTGTTCTTAAATCCCTGCCTAATCTGTCCCGTTTTGCTTGCGAAAAGCTGAAAGCTTGTTTCACACATGCGCACAGTGATACCAATTAACCTTAGTTCTACTGTTTTAGTCTTAAATCCCTTCCTAATCGGTCCTGTTAAATACCAAAAATTTTTTGAGCTTGCGTCCTTGTTAGAACTTACATGGGGTTGACACTTCAGCATGACCACAGTAAAAGGTCCCCGCTCACCACTGCTCTCCAGCGCATCCTAGGTCTTCCCTTTGGTCTCCTCCAGTGGTGGGATGTGCCCTGAACACCTCACCAGAAAGGTATCCAGAATCCTGATTGGATGCCCGAGCCACCTCATTTGATTCCTCACAACACAGAGGAGCAGCAGCTCAACTCCGAGCCCCTCCTTGATGACCAAAGTAGGTAGCCAAACTAGATCATATAAAAACTCATTGGAGTTTTTAAAAAAACTCAAGGAACCATGCACCACTTCTTCACTTCACTGTAATGAATTCATTTTGGTGATAGTGGGTGTGACTAGAACATGAGAGTGAATTTAGTTCACGCGCTGAAGTTTCCAACACAAAATCCTCACCATCTCTTAGACCAGACATTGTCCTCTGGTCCACCACAGCACCATACAGTGATCATTGCAGGGCTTACTGTTCCAAGGAAAGGAGGTATAGAGGTGGGCTTCAAAAGAAACGACAAATACACAGAGCTAATAGCTACGCCTGACTTTAGCAGGGAGGTCGGTTGTCAACTTCTCTGTGGAGGTTGGCATCACACTCAGAAAAATGAATCATGGCATAGTTTATTTTCAAGTATTTATATCTGTTTCTTTTTTTTCAAATGATTACATTTTTAGAATTTATTTATTCAAATTTTTGAAAATCATCATAAATCTGTGAGTTTTGGAAACAATTCAATTTAATCAGTTAAAACGTATGAACATAATTTAAATATGACGAGCTGTGGATCAGCCTAGTTTCATTTAGTTAAAATTTATTGGGTTGTTTTACAACAGGCGTACATAAATATTTTAGTTCCTCCATGCTCCACAGTCCAGTCCTGTAGGTGGCGGTACTGCAGCTGCCTGTTACTGGCAAATTCAACATCAGTAGAGAATAAGAAGAATTTTCTCTGCCATCTCTCCGTCTCTGTCGATTTGTAGTTTGAATATTATCTGTCAATTAGATTTCTTTACTTCCTTGACTTCATCAGAATGAAAGATCTAACTGGTATTCAACAAACATTTTAAAAGTTGTTTTCATCTCCTCTGGAGACCTGACAAAGCTTGACTTTTTTACCTCTCTGTATTGTGATGTTATTTCAGCAAAGGTTGATCACAAGAATATCATTTGGGTTCATAAAGCCGAAGTAAGCTAGACAGCCCAACTGTCTGCCAAGCCAAGCATCCCCTAGTTAGGCTTTAATCTTCAAAACTGATGAGTGATCAAAAATAAAAATCTGCCCCGGTTTTTAGTGTGTGAGAATGGAGAAAGGAGCTACCTAGATCTAAAGGTCTCTTTGTACTGAACAGTTAACATCTTTTTTTTTGCTTGAAAACAGGCCTTTTGATAGTCTATACTAGTGAAATTTTAGATTTAGTCATTGGACTAAGATGCCTTTAATGTTAGTCATATTTTTTGTTCTGAATAATTTTGGTCAAAGTTAAAACATCTCTGTTAAGCTGTGGTCAATAAAAGTCATTTAGTGGTAAAACAGTTATTTGTAGTAACAGTTGTTAGTAGTAAAAACAGATTTTCTTTGTGGGGTGGGGGTTTTGGAGTCCAGGCTCTGCCCCGAATCTCCTTAAACCCAAGAAACGCCTCTGAACAGTCACAGTCTCTGATCTTTGTTTCCTGCTCTCTCAGCCAGATCTTCTCCTTCAGTGACATACAATTTCCACTTTTTTATAAAACAACTCATTGAAATTTTTCTCTAACATGGCTCCTGGCTAATAACACAGAGCTGTTAAAGCAGTGAAAGTGAAAGCAGAAAAAATAACAAACTACAATCATTAGGAGTAGCTTATAGATAGATAGATAGATAGATAGATGTACTTTATTAATCCCGAAGGAAATTCAAGAGTGGTCAACTGCTCACAAGAATCAGTCACACACACATATGATATGATAAAAACAGATTATGAATAAATATCTAAAAATAAATAAAGAAATAAAGAAAAACTAATGGCAGGAGGGAGAACCAACTTGGGGACAAAGGCAGGGACAGGTAAAACAACACACCACAGCAGAAACAGCGACAATGAGGACAGAAGTGTTCCAGCACTTCTGCCTTTGAGATATTCCCCCCACACCCGCTTGACTCCAGCTACTCCTGCTTATTATGTCTTAATCATCACACACCTGGAAAGTCCATGAATATGGGACAGAAGCATGAAGGCAGAGAGGATATAAATGAACTCGTTGCAGAACAGTAAAAAATTAACACTGTGCCCCTCAACATCTTCTGCGTTTTCCAAACTTCTCAGTTGACTCTTGAGTTGAAAAACTTGAAACTCCATGTCCTCCAGGTCCATTAGGTTCTGCCCCCAAGGGAAACACAAGTGCCACTTGGAAAATTAGAATGTCCCGAAAAAGTTTATTTTTTTTCCAGGATTTAGTTGAAAAGGGAAATTTCCATATATTCTATAGGAGCCCAGGTGTCTTTGATAGCAATGTAGTTGGCTCTGGTGTCTCTTATCTTTCTCTTGATGGTCCTCCATGGATCCTCTCTGGGGTTCAGGTCAGACCAGTTGGCTGGGCTATCAAGCACAGTAACATCACAGTCAGCAGACCAGTTCTTGGTGGTCTTGGTGCTGTGGGTATGCCCCAGGTCGTGCTGGAAATCAGTATCTCCATAAAGCTTCTCAGAAGGTGAAGCACAGAGGTCTCTAAAACCTCCTGGTAGACTTTAGGCTGTGTTGACACTGGACTTAATAAAACACAGTAGACCTGCAGCAGCAGATGACATGGCACCCCAAACCATCACAGACTGTGGAAACTTCCCACCGGACTTCAAGCACTTCGGATTCTGAGCCTCTCTGATCTTCCTCTAGACTCTGGGACCTTAATTTCCAAATGAGACACTAAAGTGACTTTTGCCTGAATCAGGACTTTGGACCACACAGCAACAGTCCAGTTCTTTTTCTTCTTAGTCCAGATGAGACTCTGATTACGTTGTCTCTGGTTCAGGAGGGTCTTAGCAGCAGGAACACTTGTAGTCCATATCCTGGACTCGTCTGTGTGTAGTGGCTCTTGATGCTCTGACTCCAGACTCAGTCCAGTCCTGTGGAGCTCCTTTAAGTTCCTGACTCTGCTTTGTTTGTCAGTCCTCTTCAGGCTGTTCTCATCCCTGTCTCTTGGTCTCCTTTTCCTCCCTCACTTTCCTCTTCAGTCAACTTTCGTGAATCTGCTTCATACAGACTCTGTGAACAGCCAGACTTTTCAACAGGACCCTCTGAGGCTGACCCTCCTTATGGAGGGGTCAGGGATGGTCTTCTGGATGACTGTCAGGTCAGCAGTCTGAACCCTGATTGTGGTTGAGTGGACTGAACCGGAGTGATAGAATAGGTTCAGGTGTTCAGAGTTGATCAGCTAATCAGAGGTCTTTTCAGGACTGACAGGAAACTGGACTTCTCTCTCATATTCTGGTGTTTGAGATCATGATTTTTTTCCCCCTGAGCTGTCAGTCCTAATCAAGATTCAGTCAACAACCCTTACCAAAAAGAAGTATCAAGTACATTTTATGACATATCCTTTAGATCATTTTGGTTAACTTCCCAAAGTTTACTGTCTACACTGATACAAATATATTACAAGTGTACTAATAAGGAAATTTCTTGGGACTAATTTGGCACAATTTCAGTTTATAAAAGTACACTTGAAGCATACTTGAAAGTAAACTGCTTAGTAGCCTATGAATTTACAAAAAAAATAAACTTCGAGTCCCCTGTGTTTTCATCTGTCATCATAGACCTTTGTCTAACTTGACTTGTCAGGAGTGAACCTGAAGTACCTGTTGGAGAATTGTCAGGGGAAAAATTAAGATGAAATTTATGGGACAGATGGAACAAAATGAGTCAAATTCAATGTAAATTTTTTTACATGGGCATGTGTGATGCACCAGGGTAGTATAAAGATTCAGTCATTGTTTCAGATGGAACAGATACCAAGACAAAGTTTGAAATCAGTTTTAATTTTGATTGGTATACCACACTACAAAGCAGTTCGCTGAATTATTACTTTTTTAAAAGTATATTGAAATATTTTTAATGGTTGATATTTTTCTCACATCCAGAATTTTATTTTGACAAGTCAAAACTGATACAACTGATATATTAGATTTAAAGCTCTTGTGAAGGTTTTTTTTTCCCTAAACACAATTAATACTGAATTCTTTTTAGGATATCAATGTGGCCATTTCTATATTGAAAGCAGTTTAACTTTTTTTTCAACTTTTACCTCAGCAAAGATTTTCAATGACTTGAAATAAGGGAGGAGGTACAGTATTTTAATAAAAAAGACAAAAAACAAACACCCCACAAGAAGAGATTTAGATCAGAGCGAGGAGACACAAGGTCCCCTTAGTCCTCAGAGGGCACCAACATCAAAACTAATCACATATTTCTTAATAAATGAAGAGCAGCATTAAAATATCATGTTGTCAAGCAATGGTCTTAGAAAGTTAGGTTTTTGTCAGATTGTTGACAGGATGAAAACGTTTGTGTCTTGCAATGCTCTTGCAATCAAAATTTAAAAAAAAAAAAACATTGTCATGTTTTCTTGACCGATCAGATCAGTACAGTAATATGATAGTATGTTAGATGACTGGTCATAAAGCCAGATAATACGCTGTTGAGATATGATCCTTTTCCTATTTCCATTTCACAGTTATGAGTGAATTAGTCTCCATAGAAAACATGTGTAAATTTGAATTTATCCTTCAAAGTCAAAGTGGCTTCTGGAAAAATGAACCTGGTGTCTTCTAACATCATTTGAAGTTTTTGATCAAGATTGTAGCATTTCTCCTTTCTGATTAACTATGAACATAGAGGTGCGTTTCTGCATGAATGATCCAATCATGACTCAATATTATGATGTAATGTAAAAAAGGATGTATTGCACCTCCAGGTGAAACCAAACCATTACATCATTGTTCAAAAAAGTAGAAAAGGATTGATCATAATGTGGAGTTGTCCTCTGATATCACTGCTCCTTGTGAAATGTGTATTAATCAGGAGGGCATGTGCTTTTCGCTCTTCTGCAATATCAACTGAGAGCTGTGGTAAAATAAATAAACAAATAAAGCAAGTTCCATCATCACTTCCTCCAACGTGAGCAGGAAAATCATGTCAGTAGCACACAGGAGGAGGAGGAGGAGGAGGAGGAGGAGGAGGAGATCGGCTGAGATAGACTATATTTTAATTTTTGTTATGAAAAAGGTCGCTAAGATTATCCCTCGTTTGTCAAAGTCGCTGTTGAAAAAGTCAGTGGCCGTTAAAATAACAGTTTACAATCTTTTTTAATGCAATTATCGGCTTATTTATTTATTTTAGGGCTGAAATGTGTGTCATTGTCGGCGCTCCACTTCCGGATCAGCTGCCAGTCCTGGATCAGTTGACAGGCGGAGTAGTGTTATGATAATCCGGGTGAACTGATTCCAGATCAGCCGTGTTGCCTTCCCCAACGCTCCAATCAGAGCTACTCTGTCAGTCCTGCTTTAAGTGTGTAAGCTGTCAAGTTAGGCGAAGTTAGACAGAAACCTACAGCAAGCGTGACCGGATCTAATACATTTAAGTCTTCGAGGAATAAGAGAGAGAAATATTTCACTATAAAAATTACCATAAACATGCTTACTAGGACTTCATTCATAACATTTTACAGGCCCACAGACTTGTTTAACTTAACATTTCTCGAAATTTCTTTTTTAAGGGGTTTATTGACATTACAAAACTGCGTTTTAGTGTAATTACCAAAACTATGGATCAGGACTTATCTACCTATTGATTTTGTTTTTTTTTTTCCATGTAAATGAAACCACGTATAGAAAGGTTAATTCTTCTGAAATTCTTCTTATAAGGATAAGAAAAAATAAAGCATAAACTTTCATTGTCTTAGTGAGAATAATTTAAAAGCTAACAACACTCCTTTAGAGTCTGTAATTGAAGCTGCATCCAAAGGGACGTCTGTTCTACATGTCAGTGGTCTGCTATTGAGAAATAACAGACTGTTGCTTTGTTATGAACAACCAGGCAGTTAACACAGCTGTGCAGTTGACTTTTTCCTTTTTTAAATGGTCTTTAGCAGTTTTTGTGGTACATTGGTTTACTTTGTGTAACAAATCTATCTATCTATCTATCTATCTATCTATCTATCTATCTATCTATCTATCTATCTATCTATCTACATATATATATATATATATATATATATATATATATATATATATATATATATATATATATATTTATATATATACACATATGAAAAGTTTGGAAGCAAGACCCAAACAGGCCAAACATTTGAAAACTACTTCAAGTTTCTGTTCACAATGCCTTTCATAAAAAAGGATAAGTTAAATGTATTTTGGGATGTATTTATTGCATGACTAGACTTTGCTTTCATTGATATGCATCATTTTCCTCAATTTACCTTTAGGTATACATTGATGTTACAAGACCATTGCTGAATAAATGTCAACAAAAGAAAGGGAGGGCTTAGTTTTAGGTTCAAGAAGATTAGCAAGAGTCACAAATTCAGTGTAAAAGTAAAAAAACAAATCACTTTGAATTATTCACTGTTACTTATTGGCTTTTGAGTGTCTGCATACAAAAATCTCAATAAATGTCACCCGTGTTCAAAACTCTGACAAACTATCGTAGAAAAGGCTAGAAAGAAGCAACTGAGTAAAGAAACAAGAGTACAGATTTGTACATTGAGGAAAGAAGAATACACTGAAAGGGAAATTGCAAAATGCCTAAAGGTGTTTAACAAAGGAGTCCACTACACTCTGAAGAGACTTGAAGAAACTGGAAGTTATGATGATAGAAAAAGGCCTGGAAGAAAGAGAGTTACAACAAAAGCAGAGGATAAACATAACACTGTCACCAGTAAGAGAGATTGGTGAAAAAAAGCACCACAAATAAAGGAGGAAATCAACATGACAAGGTCAAAACCCATATCTCTGATAACTGTGAAAAGATGTTTGAGAAAGGCTGGTCTGAAGGGTTGTGTATCTGCAAAAAAACACTACTTCGGCCACAGAACAAGAAAAAGAGATATGAGTGGGCAAAAGCTCACAAAAATTGGACCTATGATGACTGGAAACAACTCCTCTGGACGGATGAAAGCAAGTTTAAACTGTTTGGTTCCAAACGCAGAGTCAATGTCCGCAGAAAAACTGGTGAATGTCTCAAAGCACCATGTGTTACACCGACAATTAAGCAAGGAGGTGGTAGTTCCATGGTCTGGGGATGTTTTGCAGGTGATAGAGTAGGAGATTTGTTTGAAGTAAAGGGTATCATGAAGAAGGAACAATACCACTCCATCCTCCAGCACCATGCAGTTCCATCTGGACTAAGACTTGTAGGTCCAAAGTTTGTTTTGCAACAAGATAATGATCCTAAGCATTCTTCCAAGCTCTGTCGGGGTTACCTAGACAAAAAAGAAGAGGAAGGTGTTCTTCAAAAACTGGGTTGGCCCCCTCAGTATCCAGACCTCTCTCCAATTGAGCTTGTGCGGGATGAATTGGATCCATCGGTCAGAAAGGCGCGTCCCACGAATCAGCAGTATCTTTTTAATGAAATTAAGAAAGCTTGGAATGCAATCCCAGGAACATACCTTAGAAAACTTGTGGAACGAATGCATGGTATATGCCAAGCTGTTGTTAAAGCCAGAGGAGGTTACTTTAAAGAAAGCAAAGTCTAAGCAACAATAACTCAAATACCTAATAATTATAGTCAAAATGTCTTCTGATAATAATTATCAGTTTTTTTTTGTTGCAAAGTATTATGATCTTTTTTTGTACAAATTTGATCTTGCTTCTAAACTTTTGGCCGGTAATGTATATATATGTATATATATATATATAAACATGTATTTTTTTTATATATTTTTTTAATTACATTCGTGTTTCTTCTAAAACTGCGCCAAACTTAAATGTCTTCTGCAGTAAAATATGCGGACATTCTGGTTGAACCTCTTTTATTGTGAAGTTTGTTAAAGGAAGTACTGGGTACTGGAGTAGCTAGCTTGACTCCGGGCTGTTTCATTATGGTAGCTGTCCCATGTAGCGGCTCGTAAAGCAGGAATCCAGACGGGGTTATCAGCAGCAGACACTGCAGAGTTACAGGGTGATATCTCCGGCCATATATCACCTCCAGCACTCGGAGCGCCATCCACACCTCCATCCAGACCGTCGAGAGGAGTCAGGTAAACCGACCCCTATGCCTAAGTGCCCGCCTGTCATATTCAGCTCCCCTTATAAACGATTGTGAGAGAATTTATCCTCGAAATGAGAATTAAGAACTCGAACGCTGCATTCTCCGGTTTCTTCACCTCTCACCGTTCACAGCAATCTTCAATATGCTGCTGAAAAAATTTAAGTGAAATTTAGAAGTGTTTTATTGAGGCCTGTAATCAATTCTTAGCCTAACAGTCTGGTTGAGCTCAGCAGGTCGATTTTATTAGAGGGTAGTGATGGGCTGTATGTGAACGAGTCTGTTCTAAAAAATGACTCCTTCTCGCATGCTGAGAATTTGGATTGTTTCTTCTTTAATTGATGTTACCTTTTTTGAAAAGGCTTTAAATGGCTTCCCAGTTTAATTTTTTTGATGGAATAGCACATAAAAACATATAATGACAATATATGATTCAGTTAACATATTATGTGTTTGTTTTTCTCCTTGGCATCCTGATTATTCATTTTTATATACCCTACTTCTAAATCATCAATATGACCAGAGTTTATAGTGTCTCAAAGATGAAGTCATTTTTTTTCTTGTTGCTAATCAAATTCATATTCGCTATAATGACTTAAGGGCTATAGTGTCAAACAGAATGTTAAACATGGTAGATTAATATAGCTTTGGACAATTTCAATGTGTGAATCAAAAGGTACACACTCAGGAAAACATACTGTGTATTGCCTTCTAACCAGAGCAGTAGATTAAAACAGAGTGGCGACACTCCCATAGACATACGCTGTACAGCCCGGCGGACCCCACTTCCGGGTTATGGAACTCGTAATAGTTCCAACATGACCGCCTGTCACGTCGGATGCCGTTAGCTTCTATGGCCACAAGGCAAGCACTCACCGAGGTTAAATGATAAAATATCAACAAGTTTAATGCCAATACGTGTGTTATTGATATCGAGGGGACCCCTTTATATGTAAAAATGTATATCCCAAATGTAATTACGTTATTTTAGTCAGGAATTGGGATCGATTTTTTAGCCACGGTTTGCTCCCACACTCCCCGAGGTAAAATATTGTATCAACGAATGTAATGCCAATACGTGTGTAAATGGTATCGAGGGACCCCTTTATATGTAAAATGATTTTAATTTTAGTATGCTCAAATTGTAATTACAAATGTAATTACGTTTTTTTAGTAAGGAATTGGGATCGATTTTTTAGCCACGGCCTGCTAGCTGGACGTCGTCAGCTGTAGAGGCCTGCCAAAATTTATTGTGTGACTGAGTTATGAATCACAGATAAATCATCATCATCAATCATATGTTGAGATGGTTACTTATGGGCTTTATTCTAGATTTCAGCCTTTATCAGTTCCCGATGTTATATGCAGTTTATTATTTTTTGACTAACATAAGTGCTATGTAATTTGATTTCTGCTTATGATGATAGAGTTAAGGGGCCGCTACTTTTTAAATCCTGTCAGCATTTAAGGCGTATGTTTAACATGGAAAAATGTTATGCAGGCCATGCTGCAAGACCAAAACCATTGCACAATTGTTTAAACAGCTTGTAACACCTGTTACTTACCACTTTATTGTATTATTTTCTCTTATTAAAAAGTAACACGTGTTACCAAACTTGTCTTATTTCACTTTTATTTGTCATCCAGCCGCTAAATATACGTACGTGACTTTGACGTGCACACAGTAATCCAATAAGAGTTGCAAATGTTGACTTTTTACGGTTAATTTTAATATTTACCTCTTAAATGCGCGCTCACTGCAGTCTGCCCCGTTGAAGAGCATGGACAGTGCAGGCTGCGTTTGGAACTATGGAGGGGTACATGAACCACGTGACCGCTCCGGCGGCGAGATCTGAAGTTGTCGCCACTCTGTTTTAATCTACTGCTCTGCTTCTAACAACACATCTGCACTCTGTTGAAATGGACTTGAACTCCCAGATGTACATGGTTTCTGCCAAATGAAATTTAAGCACACTAACAACTGCATCTTTTAACTGAATAATGATTACCAAAAGTAATAGATAATGGAATGCAATAAATAAGTCCTAACAAATGAATCTTATTATTAAGCTCAGCCAAATGGTCCTACTCACTGAACGGGGCTGAAATCCCCCTAAACCAAGCGGTGATTACCAGCGGCTACCAGCCGTCATGGCTACTGTACACATCCCACAAAGCCAGCAGGTAGGCCTAGAGCTGACTTTAGAGGGGGCTGAAAAAAGGTAGTATTGTTCCACATAGATGCTTTTCTTTCTTTGTGACATTACATAGCTGTTGTAGTACTTTTGTATGGTGCAGTGTATTTAAAATGTTTCTTTAAAGGTCATATAATACCTCCACAGGGACTGTTCATACTGCTGCTGCTCCCCTACCCTCCTCTGATGTCGTGTATCTGCAGCATCCATCATCTCAACGTCCCCACTAAGACCGTGATGGAGGGATTCAAGCCCCCTAATGTGCTGGTACCATGCTAAGGAGATGTTCAAGGGCTTCAGGATTCCTGATGACCTTCGCTGAAAACAATATTCAAAGTGACTCCATGCTCCATTCATGAGACTCTTATACTTTCCTGGAAACCTGAATCCAATTTAAGGCAAACCTGGAGCTGGTCTGAACTTGAAGTCCTGTTCAGGGGCACTTTTACTGAGGGAAATGCTGGACTGTTTTCTTCATCTTTACCTCAAATTTTCAAGAGGAGGCTGAACTGATCAGAGTTTTGGCCCATTAAAGTGAATAATAAATATTTTCCTCCCCCATGTCTCATTTTTAGGCCTCTGTTAGCCTTAACAGACCTGTTCAGCAGGTGTGGTCAGAGTATTTCGTAGAATCATAAAATTGTTTGTTCAGAAGTCATCCGTGTAACGAACAGGACCAGTTTGGATTTTTCTGACACAATGGTGGCGGTGACCACTGTCACCTTGTGCTTCAGGATTGCTGGGGTCTAACAGACTTTCTGGTTCCCTGTGGGAAAGAACAGTGGTGGTCCACTTGCACCATGGATTACCACAATGAGTGCTGCCTCTGTGATCCAGAGGAGGGTCATAGTGACCCTGATGAGCCACCGCTCCACAGTATTCACGCGCCCAACCGGATCCGCCCATCATCATATCGAGCCCTGAGGAGTGCTGTGTCCAGCCTGGCTCGCATTGACGACTTCTTCTGTGAGAAGATTGGATCAGGCTTCTTCTCAGAGGTCTTCAAGGTATGTAGAGGCTCTCTGTTGTTTAAAGGAACCTCCCAGGCTCCATTTAGTGGCAGTGTAACCTGCAGGATTTTTGACCCCCATTATGCTGATATTTTCATACTTATTTGAAACAGCTGCTGAGTAGTCTTACATCAACTTTAAAGTTTAAGTTTTATATCAATTTAAAAATCAGGAATGAAAATTATTTAAATGTGTTTTTGTTGTTTTGCACTCAGATATTATTCATTACTTTGCTTATTGAGTCCTGACATAGAGTGACATGGGGAATTTTAACAACTTTTTTACTTTTCTCAATGAACTGACAACCTCCAGTATCAAAAAAGGTGGGTCATATCAGTGATATCAAATCTCTTTTACCCTCCCTATAGTGGAAATGGTACAAAGCTATGATACCAAAAGTTGAAACTATGATAGTTTCACTGTGGCAAAAAAGAGTAATGATAACAATGTTATTGGGATGTTTGTGGAAAACTTCAGAAATTGTCAAAGTAAGGGAAGATAAGGCAAAAGTGGAGCAACAAGTGACTTGATGAAAGGTAACCAATTATCGCAGAGTTGACGTACTGTCTCATCCATGTCATCCACCCTATGACATATGTCTACTCTTGCATTTTATTCTATGGTACAGATGCTACACAAACAAAATCCTAAAACTCCATATCTGATGACTAAACTGTTTGGGTGCAGGTAGAGCACCTCCCTTTCAAAGCACCTCCTTTTCAGCATCTCCTCTGGTATGACTTGCCCTGCAGCAGGTTACTGATTCCTCCACTACTGTCTCCTCTTCAGACGGATGACTATCCTCAGTACTTGGAAAATGCAACAGTGATGCGGTTTCATTTAGGTGAGGAGTGTCATCGAGGTTTAGGGGGAATCCTCCTTATTGTTTTATTTTCTTTTGGTTTGATATCACAGTTAGATGTATGGTTTGTATCTGTTGTTTGCATGCAAGGGTGGAAACCAAAGGCAAGTCAAAATGAGTATGGAGCAACTGAACCTTATGCAAGGTGGAGCGTTGTATGGAAAAGGGAAGATTAAGAAGGTGAAGACCTGTTCCTTCAGAAGTTACCGGAGTTACTTTGTGTGAATGGCCTTGTTTTCATATGAAGCTCTCCCCAATAATGTAACAAAAGGTTATTTTGTTGAGTGCAGTGTATATCAAGTCTGAACCTCTCCTTTTACACAAGTCGCACAAAGCTACTAATCAGTTAGTGCTCCACATCTTCTCTGCTAGTGGAAATCTTTAGTTTGTTTGTGTGGATAGATAATGCAGAGAAGGAGCTTATGTCACTATTACCATATTTTTCGGGCAGTAAGGCACACCAGATTATACGGTGCACTGTGAATTAATGTGCCTATTAATTAATGTTCACACATAAGGTGCACCGGAAGGTAAGGTGGATTAAACACTGGTGCATTGTTGCTAGTGTGTACTCGGGGCCTGGGCTGCCTTACATGAATGCACTTCTACTTTAGACATTACAGTCAGAGTCTTGTAGAGTTCTCAGGGGTCCTGTTACAGGCCAATCAGGTAGTGACAGAGCGTACCGTAACGCTCAGAATATCCATTGAGCGGCTTTATTGTTTACCAAAGTCGTACTTACACATCTTAACAGATTTTTGAGTGCATTGTACCGCATAAAATCAGTCAGTAAGCACAACAAGAATTCATACGTAAGGCACCCTGGATTACAAGGGGCACTGTCAATTTTTGTGAAAATTTAAGGATTTTAAGTGCGCCTTATAGTCCGAAAAATACGGTACTTTAACACAATAACCTGTTATGTTCACTCATTAATTCTGAAGACATCTTTAAAAAGGAAAACTTTACCAACTATAAGAAATCAGAGAAGGAGTTCAAGCTCATTTCTAAACTATGGCATTGTTTCTGTTGTCTGGACGGGCAAATGCCAACTTAGAGGTAATTGTGAGGTCTATGTCTGGACTTCATTGACCCTCTGCAGGACCCTCTCTCTTTCCTTTCCAGGGGTCTTGTGAATTTGTTAGTAGATATCATGGCTCTAAAGGTTGTGGGAATTGTCAGATTCTGTCAAATCTTCCCCTCACACTTCCTTATCCGATCTGCCCATGTTTCTGTAAAGTCCTTTCTCCTGGCATATACATTTTCAACATCATGTTCTGGCAGCTGATGAACCCTCAGAATATTTCACCAAAACTGCTGGGCTGCTTTAAATGAAGGCCTTTGAAAAATGAATTTCTGTAAGCTGTTGCACCAGCTTTGTGAAAGTTCTGTCTGTTGTACCTTTGAGATGTATAGTTCATTTTCAGAATGTAATGTCTGTAACTGACCAAGATATAGTCACAGACAGGATTTAAAGACTTCCAGTAGCTAATCAGAGTTTTTTTTTCATTTCGTATTTAACTGCCCAGTTTCCCTCCCTGTCTGTCAGACTCACCTTCACAGGATGAAATATTTCACTCTGTTTGAATCTAATTTTGTATTGAGGTCATTCTGGCATGTATGAAGATGTTTGCACAACACAAAATCAATAATGTAAAACATGAGAAGGAAGCCTGAGGTGAGCAGTAAAAAAGACAAAGCAAAGAACCCCCCCCCCCCGACAATGATGTCATCAATCCGCTCACCTGCTGTGAATGACCCAGACTAATACCTGCTGCATTCACATCAGCAGACTTTTACCAAGAAAAAGTCTGCATAAAGTCTAGGTAAACAGATTTGGCTGTTAATGTTCACATTGATGCAGCCCACCTGGGCCATGTTAGGACATTTTCTGTTGTGCAGTCCTCATGTAAAAGAAAGAATGCACTGAAAAAAGCACTTCTGTGCCAGTGCATCCACCTGCATTTTCATGCAGAATTGTTGAAAGCAAGTAGCTGGTTGTGTCAATGACACAAGTTATTGGCCCCCCCACATGCATTACCTTCCTTGCAGAGGAGTGGCTCAATCCCATTAAGAAAAGCTGCTGTTTGACCACACTACTGAGCTTTGTGTTTCTCTGCTGCTCCTTGTCTGTAACAATATCTGGAAAAGCAGATGATACAGTGAAAGCAGCTAAAAGACAAGTGTTTGTTGTTTACCGTTGTTGTTGGAAGACCTGGACCCCCTTTACTCAGTTACACAAGTGAAGTGATTGTTAGAAGTAGACTGGGACCTACAGACCAGAAGACAATATCAAAACAACTTTGACAAAAATGATCCACTCAACCAAACAATGAAAAATTTAGATCAAGTACCTTCTTTTAGCATGCTTTAGTTTTTTTTAAGAAAACCATGTTTGTATAATTCCAGAGCTCACTTAGACAAACAGAGAGGCAACCTCTAGAGAAATGAAGCCAGCATCCCTTCAGCAGCAATCTCACAACAGAATATTTCCATCTGTTTTGATGTAATCAAGGATAAGAGTAATGCATAAATCTGTATAATCAGGGGTGTGGCTGATTTGACTGACAGATGGGGGCGTTGTAGCTGTTATTGCTACTCCTACCCCTGACTTATTTCTACATTAGAAGGAAGCAAGTTGGGCCCAGCATTTTAAACATCTTTGAGCCTCTTCAGGAAGCAGTGGGTAACATGACCGAGACTACATTTGTATTTGATAGAGTCTGAAGCATAAACACTCATGGAAAATACAGATACAAATAACATCACTGAGGCCCAGGAGTAACAACCAAAGAGAGGACAACACAACATCAAATCACAGGATTGCATTATATCGTATGATTTTGTTGTGTTAACATGATTTTAAGTTTATCTCAAACAGAAAATATCACTTAAAAGAACATTGTATCTAATTAATGGATGCATTCATTTGTGTAAATTGTATTATTATTATTATTATTATTATTATTATTATTATTATTAGTGGTAGTAGTAGTAGTAGTAATAGTAGTAGTAGTATTATATTATAACTTTTATTTAAGCAGGTTAATCCCATTAAGATCCAAGACCTCTTTTGCAAGAGAGACCTGGCCAAGAATGGCAGCACATAAAATTTGCAGATAGTGAACAGTTTGGTTTTAAAATTTGAGCTTTTAAGGTAGTAGTTGTGATGTGAACTCTTCATCAGTGAAATTCCCAAATTAAGAGTTAATTAATCACATTGAGACCAGGGATGTGATCAATGACAGCAATTTAACGTCTTTTTCCTCTTGGATTGGCTGCAGAAGTACTAGGTAGTTATTTTTAAGTTATTTATAACCCCCAATTACCCCCAATATCTGGGGTTGTTGGGTTATAATCAGGGACTTAATTACGCCAGTGAATTGGTCTGGAACTGTTCAATACAGAGCACCCAGAGTCACTGGGTCACCCACACCATCACTTGAATCACTTCACCACAAACAGATACTGCGCAGAGCTGAAAAACTCACCCTGCTCACTATTTGTCAGAACTTTGGTTTAAAAAAAGAGGATAAAGTAGTATGTAGGCTGTATTGGTTAAACTGGCATATAGCCACCAAAAATGGAGCAATGTTTAACCAGCAGGGGCATGTTAACCTGTTAACCTGCAAGGAGCAACAAAGGCTGGTGGTGCTGGCACTGCTGGCTGTAGCCACACTCAGCAAACTGTGGGTCACTGTGTAATATACTGAGAAATATGGTAAACGGTTCCAGACTTTGTGACTGGTCAGATCACATACTTCTGATTAAACTCCTGGAAACTGAGTGGCTCTAGGACCTCCTTTATTGTGAAATTAGAATTTAAAGCCCTGTGGGGAACTTTCACTTTCATTTGTTTCCGCTGCTCTGTTATCAGCTAAAGCATGATGCACAGGTCAGGCTGAGTGTCACATGTGTCCTCATGAACCATGTGTGCAGCTTTTAAAGAATTACCATGATGGGTTTTGTATTAGCTGACTACATAATGTGTACAGATATGATATGTGTCACACATCTGTTCCATCTGGGCCATAGGCTTTATATGTGTGGTTAATGTACATATATGTTCACTGCTGCATATGAGACAGTGTGTATGTCTGCGTGTGTGTTCAAGTTCTCTTTGTTGAGACAGTCTGGAAAGTAGGACCTGCCCTCCAATCAGCCTAAGTAGATTACTCACACACCTCCGTCCAGACGAGTGCTTTAGCACCGATTCAGGACTAATCCCTCCGTCCATTCTAACAGACTTGAAAACAGATGTCACATGACTGTTCGTGTAGACTGAGCATGTGCGTGCCTGTGTAAACAGCCACATATAGAGCTGATAACACAAGAATTGCTCTTATAATAGCTATCTTCTTATGCATGCAGGCTGCAGGAGAATTAAAAAAAATAGAGTATTTACTACTTAACTACTAAGGACAACAAGGTCAGCAAGGCCTGTTTCAATATATACAGAGTCGACCCCTTCAAGTTGTAGCTATCGTTAATTACTGCTAAGAGAAATAGGAACATATAGAATCAGGGGACACCAAGCCATGGCCAAAAAGGCCAATACAGTTTCTAAAATGTCACAGTAGAGAGTCCATTTGGGCTTTCTTATATTCTGAGCCGGCAGTGACTTTATTCACGTAGATATGTATAGTTATGTTCGTGACCAAGAGGCAAACACAGACGGAATAAAACAGACTTGGTATCAGCCACGTTAGCATGCACAGTTTTGGGGATTAAATTGGACTACTGACCTTGGCCCAGTTTACAAGCACCGGGAAGGAATTATTTTGAGGATTATTGTCCAAAGTAGGTCTGCCTTTGCTTCAGTATAGGGCTCAAAAGGGCACATAATCTTGCAATGCATTGTGGGCTGCGGTCGCCATTTTTGTGGGCAACAGTGTTTGTTTGGTGTTTTCCAGCCTGTTACTACTTGGCCATTACCTGATTTTCCTGTTTGGTCATGTTCCAAAACAATTACCCAATGTGTTGCAAGGGATCAACAGGTACTACGTAAAACAACAAAAACTCAGACAACTCCACAGCTCTGTACCTTTCCAGTACAAGACCACAGCTTCGTCAATTTTTAACGTCCCTACATATTCTGGTTCGCTTAGACCAGTCTCAGTCCAGTTGTTAAGTATATACTGTATGGAAGAGAAAACCGATCCCCAACCACATTATCTCAATATGTTTGTTTGACCATGAGAAATTTGATTCAGTGCAATCTCAGTTGAACTCCCGTGTTCACATGCATTTTATAAGTCCAGTTTCAGTCTGACTACTGCAGTAATTCGATCTTTTGAACAACATGTAAAGAAATCGAGAGACAACAAGGCATTGTGTGTCTAAATTTACTGATCGATCACATGTTTTCAGCCCCCTCAGGACTTCATTGACTCCCGTTATAAAGTTGCACATGTGCATTCCCTCCTCTCAATAAAAGCGGAAGGAGCTAGATAGGACCTGAGAACGTGCCCAATCAGCTGTTCTGTGACCACCAGTCCACTACTGTTTATGGTAATAAGTACTGTGACCAGTTACTTTTGAAAAATTAATAACGTTATTAACATAGCTCAAATTTAAAGGACTTGTTAATCACTACTTTTGGTCAAATAGATGCCAACAACACCATATTAAACAGTAATTTACTGTTGTCAACACTCAACACACTGGACTCAGGAGCTTCGAGAAAGTATATCAAAGGAAAGCTAGATTTGTCACATGAATTGGAAAAACAACAGCGAAGCTGCAGATGTTAATGTGCATGGAAGATGTCAGCTGAGGATCAGGGTTGCGCTCAGGAAGACGGTGAGTCCTCATCTTTTGCAGCCTGCTGGTTAGATGGAGAAGCAGGTGGGTGACTGAAATGACAGCCAGTTTGGAAGTTCAGTTTATTAGAAACAAAGAGCTGCTACTCCCCAGGACCAGAACCGATAAAGACCTAGCAGAAGAATGGACCAATGATGAAGTTTCTGGTTATGATGCATAAAGCCTACAGAAAAAGGTCTACAGACTCAGGACAGCTAAGCCCAGCAACAGGTTTCAGGAAGAGAGCCTGCCTTCACTTCTCTTTGTGGACCGAAATGGACCCCCTGAGGGCACATTTGATCCAGGACTGTTCTTGAGATCCAGCAGAAGTTACAATTTCAGGTGACTGAATGACTTTTCTGATGCAGTGACTCAGTATTAATTAAGTCACATTTGAAAGGTCACAGAGTTAGTCTCCGAAAAAAATGCTGTCTGAGAGGAGGTCTTTGCAGGTTGTGGGTGAAATGTTTGGACCCGGTCAGCTGCACATTAAAGTCAATCAAAGGGAAGGATGAGACTGAAAAATTTAAGAAACTTCCCAGAAAAAGATTAAAAAACAAACAAGGGTTTATGTGGAAAATGATCAGTCAACTTGGCAAATATACGTAAGAGCCTTTAGTTCACATTATTTTGAACATAGCTGTAATATCTTGTTGCCCCTTAGATAGAATATATCTATTTGGATTTATATATAGCACCCCCTGAAGAAAACCTCACCAGCCCCAACTGAATGACACCATATAACTCCAGCTGATATAGAAACTTGCACATATATGGAGTTCAGACCACAAGCCATCCACCAAGAAAACAGCTACCACCTGTCAGTAAAATCAGCCATACACCTGACTATACTGATCATGCACAACTAAGCTGTGGCATAATCAGTTTATCAATACAATCAGACCTTATTTTTTTAAACTAATCAATTGTCCATGAATTTAAACTTGAATCAGACTCGTGAAACAGTTGTATTCATATCAACTTTGAGGTGCACAGAAACATATTTTGTTCACTGATGGTTACAGAGGGCCCCACAGGAACTCTGATTTATTTATAGATTTGAACTATCCATCTACATTCCTTTCTTTTTCTTAAATCACACATGAATTATGAATGTTACTATTTATTGCTTTTGTGGCTTGTAGAGTAAATCACCTGAATTCCCATATATGCAAAATGTTTACAGAACATCTACACTCACCGGCCACTTTATTAGGTACACCATGCTAGTAACGGGTTGGACCCCCTTTTGCCTTCAGAACTGCCTCAATTCTTCGTGGCATAGATTCAACAAGGTGCTGGAAGCATTCCTCAGAGAGCTTGGTCCATATTGACATGATGGCATCACACAGTTGCTGCAGATTTGTCGGCTGCACATCCATGATGCGAATCTCCCGTTCCACCACATCCCAAAGATGCTCTATTGGATTGAGATCTGGTGACTGTGGAGGCCATTTGAGTACAGTGAACTCATTGTCATGTTCAAGAAACCAGTCTGAGATGATTCCAGCTTTATGACATTGCGCATTATCCTGCTGAAAGTAGCCATCAGAAGTTGGGTACATTGTGGTCATAAAGGGATGGACATGGTCAGCAACAATACTCAGGTAGGCTGTGGCGTTGCAACGATGCTCAATTGGTACCAAGGGGCCCAAAGAGTGCCAAGAAAATATTCCCCACATCATGACACCACCACCACCAGCCTGAACCGTTGATACAAGGCAGGATGGATCCATGCTTTCATGTTGTTGACGCCAAATTCTGACCCTACCATCCGAATGTCGCAGCAGAAATCGAGACTCATCAGACCAGGCAACGTTTTTCCAATCTTCTATTGTCCAATTTCGATGAGCTTGTGCAAATTGTAGCCTCAGTTTCCTGTTCTTAGCTGAAAGGAGTGGCACCCGGTGTGGTCTTCTGCTGCTGTAGCCCATCTGCCTCAAAGTTCGACGTACTGTGCGTTCAGAGATGCTCTTCTGCCTACCTTGGTTGTAACGGGTGGTTATTTGAGTCACTGTTGCCTTTCTATCAGCTCGAACCAGTCTGGCCATTCTCCTCTGACCTCTGGCATCAACAAGGCATTTCCGCCCACAGAACTGCCGCTCACTGGATATTTTTTCTTTTTCGGACCATTCTCTGTAAACCCTAGAGATGGTTGTGCGTGAAAATCCCAGTAGATCAGCAGTTTCTGAAATACTCAGAACCAGCCCTTCTGGCACCAACAACCATGCCACGTTCAAAGTCACTCAAATCACCTTTCTTCCCCATACTGATGCTCGGTTTGAACTGCAGGAGATTGTCTTGACCATGTCTACATGCCTAAATGCACTAAGTTGCCGCCATGTGATTGGCTGATTAGAAATTAAGTGTTAACGAGCAGTTGGACAGGTGTACCTAATAAAGTGGCCGGTGAGTGTATACACAAGTGAAGAAGCCTGTCAGCCTGACCTCATGAGGTTCCTACATGCAGAGGAGCATGACACAGGTTGTAGGTACACAACACAGTGACAAGACCTTTTTATATCTGTTTTTGTGATTCAAATGTTGGCCAGCCACATACCCACCAAAAGAAAAATCGATCCCAATTTGGCAGTAAAAAGCAGGTGTAAATTTGGGATCCTGACTGGTGGGCTTCAGTATTTGAAACTGATGCGTCAAATGTTTTTGTCACAATGCTCACATGGCTCTCAGCTGAGATTACTCAAACCTTGGACTCACCAGTGTCTCTTCTTGACACTGTTTTCAGTGGGAACTCTGATATTTCCTTTGACAACAACAATAGCAGAGGCACTTACACAAGAGAAACTAACCACATTATGTCTGTGGTTATTTGGTGGTTTGCTGTGATTCACACGCTCTAAAATTGAGCTCTGCCACCTCATGTAAGGTGGCCACCCATGGACATCAGTCTTATCAGCTGCCCTTGTATGCTTAGCTTATAGGTGATTCTTCAAACTCTGTGTAACAAACAGTGCATACAACTGTGGACGAAATAACATGGGGTGAAAAAAAAGGAAAACATAATTTCAAACCTTAATCATGTTTTGACAAACTTGTTAGCACTGACATCCCTAGTAATAAGGCATTAAACCCTCTAACTTCTACCCTGAGCTACAAAAAAGAAGCATCACTATTTTAAACCCACTTTTCCTTTATTTACATAAAATATAACCCCTCACATCAGATAAAATCTGAAAAATAGGAAATCATGCCTGTCCTGGTACTTGCTCATAGTCTCTGCAGGAGTGACCACATGTAAAAAGGTAAGAGCAAATTCGGTCACAACCCAAAAACTGGATTACAGAATCAAAACTTGTCCCTTGACCAGTTCTGCTTTCAGGGTTCTCACACAGCATGGAATAGTGTTGGAATTGGTTTGAATACCCTCCAGGTCTAGATTAGTACTTGATGAATACATGGCATCATACATCATCAAATACTGGCACTGGGAATCTCGGAGCTCTGCATCCTGTCATTTCAGCAAGGAGAAACTGTTTTCTTAGTGGCTTAATTCTTCAGTTTCCCCACTGAATAAATGTGGCTCTTTGCAACATTTTCTTTTGTAAGTTAAGTTTATACATAACCCAAAAATGACTCAATAAACTGTGCAAGTTGGGTTCCCAGCTTTCCCCACCAACTTCCCTCTGTGATGGTTTCATTTTTCATCTGTTGTACCGGGAAGTCTTACTGAGATTTAATGTCTTTTTGAAGAGAGATCTAGATAAAAAGCTCCTATAATGAGATACAAACCCATTTAAAACATCACAAACAAAAAACTAACATGAGAAAATTGAAAACAGCATTCAGATACACGTCAGGCTGTCAAGAAAAGCATCCACATTCTTCTTTTAGCACATATGGTACTTTTATTTATTTTTTGACTGATACTAGTGTGTTAGGAAACTCTATTTGCTTGTAGTAGCTCAAAACTTAAAATGTTCTGGTTATTTAGACACCACATATACAGAGAGAAAAATATTCCAAAACTGAGGGGTTCCCAAATGCACTTTTTTGTCCATAATTTGACTCAGATGTTGTTGTGCACTCACTTTATAGAAGTCATTCCTGCTATCCTGTTTCTTGTTAACTATGCCAGGTGTCTGTGTGCACCTCCTCTCTGCTGCTGGACCAGGATTCAGTAATGGGCCTGCGGATTTGTGCAGATCAGGAGGGGTGATGGGAAATCCAGAAAGCCTATTAGTCCTATGCTATTAATACACACACTCATGAGCGCTCTCTCTCTCTCTCTCCCTCCCTCTCTCTCTCTCTTTCTCTCACTCACTCTCTCTTTCTCTCTCTCTTTCTCCTTCTCTCTCTCTCTCTCTCTCTCTCTCACACACACACACACACACACACACACACACACACACACACACACACACACACACACACACACACACACACACACACACAAACAAACACACACACAAGCACATACTTATGAACCTGCAGGTTCAGACTCTGAATGGATTCTATTGTCCACCTTGGCTGGATGCCGATCTCTATACTAAAAACAAAGAACCACAGACTGACATGATATCTACTTGACAGGTTAAAATGAAAGTCTGTGACGTGGTTAAAGACATGTTAACATCCTTTATCCTTCAGAGGCAAAGAGCAGAGTAGAAAGACATCAAGGTTGATGCTATTACGATTACTGGCAGCAGCGGAAATAAGCTTATTAACGATAATTTGTGAGTATTGATCAAGTTGTAAATGAAACTTGGCAGCTGCGAAGTTGTTTGCTCTCTGAAAGCAGAGTTTGCACTCAGGCAAAGCTTGTTTACAGATAGTGGCATCTGTACCACCTCCACGCAACTGAGTGTACTGTTAGTCCAAGCGACACATCTTCCTTTGACCTGGGCCTCAGTTCCTCAGTTCTTACACTCTACTTGGGACCAACTGTTCAAACCAGGTCAATACTTTAAAGGGTTACACCATGTGTATGTATATATATATATATATATATATATATATATATATATATATATATATATATATACACTCACCGGCCACTTTATTAGGTACACCTGTCCAACTGCTCGTTAACACTTAATTTCTAATCAGCCAATCACATGGCGGCAACTTAGTGCATTTAGGCATGTAGACATGGTCAAGACAATCTCCTGCAGTTCAAACCGAGCATCAGTATGGGGAAGAAAGGTGATTTGAGTGACTTTGAACGTGGCATGGTTGTTGGTGCCAGAAGGGCTGGTCTGAGTATTTCAGAAACTGCTGATCTACTGGGATTTTCACGCACAACCATCTCTAGGGTTTACAGAGAATGGTCCGAAAAAGAAAAAATATCCAGTGAGTGGCAGTTCTGTGGGCGGAAATGCCTTGTTGATGCCAGAGGTCAGAGGAGAATGGCCAGACTGGTTCGAGCTGATAGAAAGGCAACAGTGACTCAAATAACCACCCGTTACAACCAAGGTAGGCAGAAGAGCATCTCTGAACGCACAGTACGTCGAACTTTGAGGCAGATGGGCTACAGCAGCAGAAGACCACGCCGGGTGCCACTCCTTTCAGCTAAGAACAGGAAACTGAGGCTACAATTTGCACAAGCTCATCGAAATTGGACAATAGAAGATTGGAAAAACGTTGCCTGGTCTGATGAGTCTCGATTTCTGCTGCGACATTCGGATGGTAGGGTCAGAATTTGGCGTCAACAACATGAAAGCATGGATCCATCCTGCCTTGTATCAACGGTTCAGGCTGGTGGTGGTGGTGTCATGGTGTGGGGAATATTTTCTTGGCACTCTTTGGGCCCCTTGGTACCAATTGAGCATCGTTGCAACGCCACAGCCTACCTGAGTATTGTTGCTGACCATGTCCATCCCTTTATGACCACAATGTACCCAACTTCTGATGGCTACTTTCAGCAGGATAATGCGCCATGTCATAAAGCTGGAATCATCTCAGACTGGTTTCTTGAACATGACAATGAGTTCACTGTACTCAAATGGCCTCCACAGTCACCAGATCTCAATCCAATAGAGCATCTTTGGGATGTGGTGGAACGGGAGATTCGCATCATGGATGTGCAGCCGACAAATCTGCGGCAACTGTGTGATGCCATCATGTCAATATGGACCAAGCTCTCTGAGGAATGCTTCCAGCACCTTGTTGAATCTATGCCACGAAGAATTGAGGCAGTTCTGAAGGCAAAAGGGGGTCCAACCCGTTACTAGCATGGTGTACCTAATAAAGTGGCCGGTGAGTGTATATATATATATATATATATTATTTCGGACAGGAATTTTTATTTCTTTTAAACTCAGATGGTTATTGTAGTGTCTGACAACATTACATAGAGAATGCATTCAGAGGAAGACTTTTTAATAAAGGGCTAAGATCTTTTTTATACGAAGTACAACTAAAAAATAATTCTCCCCACCAGTTTCTATTCAGACAGTAGATGCTGAGTTGCTTATAATCACTGATCAGTGCTCCATGAGCAGTTTTTATTGATGCATTTTAAGTATTTGAAGAGGGTGATCCCATAGCTCAGTTCAGAAATCAACAAAAAAGTATGTTTTCATGTGGAACGTTGTCTTTTGTTAGGCATATGAAATCCTGTTCTGTTTGTGACAAACAGCAGCACTTTTAGTGGACACACTTTGATTAGGATCATTGCTCTGAAAGGATAAGTTTTAGCCGTTAAGCCTATTTTAACTGCCTCCGGCTGAAGCAATCACCCGGTGTCAGTCCAAAACTTATGTGTTTCTATTTGTTTGGAACCATTAAATGTAACTGTTAACTGTTAACTGTAACTTAACTGTTACCATATTTTCCTAATAATATACATTCCTAATAATATACTTCACTGATAATGAACTTTCCTGATAATATACTTTTCAAATAATAAACCTTACTGATAATTAAACCCTAAAAAAAGTATACCTCAGGTACATTCAAGGAAGTATACTGAAGTTAATTTTAGTATTAGTATTCTTTGTGTACCTACATGTAAACTTCTTGGGGCTAAAATGGCCCAATTAAGTTTATTTAAGTACACAAGAATCAAACCCGTGACCATAGCGGGGACCACAGTCCCAGACATGGGGCACGCCTCAATCCACTTGGCTATCTGGGCACTGACTTTGAAGCAAAATTAAAATTACCTTTGGTATGCTATTATTTCAATAGTAGTACATATTTGTATACTTGGCTTGTACTGCCTACCTTTTTAAGAGTATACTCTTGGTATTTCCGGGATTTTCTCCACTTCCTGGAACCACTGCTTGCGCAGTAGCATTGTACACATTTCACCACTTGCGTAGTGGCATTGTACGCATTCGACAGGAGAGTCACTATGATGACGCTTGGCTGAAACAGCAACTCTCCTAGGTGAGCTACACAATCTTTGTACAGCCATAGGCTATATCAAGCACAAACCAGTCTTACACTAACTTTTAACTGATTTTCCATAAACTTTACACATTGCAATAATCAGCCCGTTTTGCTCTTCTTAGAGATCTGGCTTAATCTCTTTCGTAAAGCAATCTCTGATCCGTAGATCCATTGAAAAATGTATCTACAAATTCATACTTTCTTCTTAGTTTTAAATAGCTTTTGATTTCTCCCTTTTTAGTTATTGTATTAATTATCATTATTCCTCTCTTTTCCCATTGTTTGAACCTCTGGTTTATAGCCCCTGGTTTAAAATCTTTATTGTATGCCAGCCATCTTCATGTTATATCTCAACTATTTTAAACCAGATTTCCAAAGTGAACCTAGAGACTGCATCCAGCATTTTCTCTTTTTCTTTAAACATTCTTCTGTTTGCTATCATACTCTGCACATGACATCCTTCCACGTTCAACTTTATCTCTTCCATCTTGTGAGGTAATTTGTATTACACCAACAAATCAAGTGTCGGCGCTGCGCAGCATAAAAATATTCTCTAAGAGTTGGCAGTACCAACCATCTTTCCATGTCCTTATATATTTCTTGATTTAGAGGTACAGTTACTTATAAACTGTTTTTTGTTTTTTTGTTTTTGTGTGTGTGTGTGTGTGTGTGTGTGTGTGTGTGTGATGTTTATCCCTACATAAAAAGCCTTTAATTGTTCCACTTGAAGTTATATCTTTCTTAAATTTCTTAAGATGGTGAATAACTAAATGATAGCACTTGTGTTTTCTGGACATTTAGTTTGTAACCTGTTAGGTACCCATAGTTTTATAATAATGTCTTTAGTTTTGGCTGTTTTTGGCAGGAGTCTGTTTTTTTGTTTTTTTTTAAATATATCAAAACATCATCAGCAAAAAGACCAATATTGTGCTCACTGTCTCTCATGGTGATCCCCATAATTTCTTCATTTTGCCTTACAGCTTGAGCCAATGGCTCAATAAAGCAAATGTTTCTGAGGTCAAATATGTCAGAAGAAACACAGACTCAAACATCTCTCTGAATTCCTGTCAGTGTCCTCCTTCCTCTCATTAAACATCCTCTGGTTGTTTCTCAGGTGCAGCATCGGATCACAGGGCAGGTGATGGCTCTGAAAATGAACACCCTGGCCAGCAACAAAGCTAACATGCTACGAGAAGTGCAGCTAATGAACAGGCTTTGTCACCCCAACATCCTCAGGTGGGTTATAATCTTGGTCTCTGTCAGTAAAAAAAAACATCTTTCTCTGTGATCAGTCTCCAATAATGAAGTCAGTGATGGAGTTTATCTTTCTCACTTAAACAAACACTACTGATAGAAGGTGTGAGAAACAGTCACACTGTTGTCCCTAAAAGATAAAAGTTTCAACTCTTTCTGGTGCCTCTGTCTTCTGGAAGATACAATAGCTGTGACTTTCCTCCACAACAAAAGAACACAAGAAATTTTTTGAGACATGCTCCACCAGCAAAGTTCAGAGGTGAAAGGGTTAGGGTAAAATTGCTCCTTCAAGTCCTTCAACACTGTCCCAATGAGATGGCAGGTCCATGCTCGGTCTCAAGAAATTCTGGAAGTGATCTATTCAGAGACAAGCAAGAAAATATTTCCAGGAATTACACCAACAACCATGAATCTCATGTTTCAAAACTCTCTGTGATCCGACTTAACCAACAACGTAACTTTAAATATATTCAAATAAGAATAAGAACAGGTTATCTGCAGAAACAGTGCCTCATCACAGGGTTAATGCTGTTGCTGGAGGGATGCTTGCACATTAAGTGTCCTGTGAATAGAGGCTACAGCCTTTGTGGCAGCAGTTGCTGGTTCCATTCCTGGCCGCGATCCTTTACTGCATATACCCCCTCCACTCCCTGCTCACCTCACATCCTGTCTCTTCAGCTGTACTGTCCAAAAATGCCCCCATAATCGTTGTAAATATGATCTAGACTTACATGTCTGAATCATGTGAAGTGGATAAAGGTTTCAGGTGGGCTTGGTGTGAAACAGCACAACATGGTGTGCACACTTTAACTCTGCCCGGCAGAGGGTGCTTTTGAACACACAAAATATCAGTCCTAGTGCTGTGCAAAAATAGCACGATATTCACACAACCAAAACACAATATTACTGGCAAATCATGTGAATCTATGGCAAGTGGAATCATTACCTTAAGTGCATTTGTAGGTTAATACATTATGTGGTATTATTACTATCCGATAAAAAAAACAACTAGAGGTAATGTTTGAAGACAAATAAGACATCAGTCACTCACAGCTGAGTCTTAATTTACACTTGGAAAACAAACATTTATAAAAGACTGCCTGGATATCAGGTGGTTTAACCCAGAACAACATAAAAGTCTACAAAAAACAATAATTCAGGTTGTCTAATCATTTAATATAAATTTGATTACAGACTCCTGGTGAGATTGTTGTAACACCAAGCCTTTAGGGAGAGTATCTCATAATCCATTTAATCAGGTTTCAGGTAAGAGCCAGAAATCAGCCCTTGACCTCCTCAGTCTTCAGTATAAATTAGCAAGAGTGAGATTTTGTGTTATTTTTGGACGTCTCCGAAATCGCTGCTAATCACTGTCATCCTGTCTTTTAGTAAGTTGTCATCAGTTCCTCAGCCACTGACCGTTTTATAAGTTTCAGAGGTAAATAGAAAATGCTGATCAGCGGTCATTTTATCCACCTTTTTTGTCTTTAATGAACACAAATTAAAGATGTTAAGCTTATCTGAAAAGAGTCTGAGTCCAGCTGTTCTCATCAACAGAAGACAAAAAAGAAATATTTGGACATCATTTCAGCCAGTGGGCTCTATTTTCGTGTGCGCCGGTGAGGCGGTGGAGGGTGGCAGACCCTGCGCAGTTGTATTTTCGTCTGGCGGAGCCCAGCGTACAGCCAGTTTGGTATTTTCATGGACTGAGGCGCACGGAGGCGAACTAAGATCTGCCAAGCTTGGGGTGGTGGCGTGGCAGGGGGAGGTGTCGACAGAATCAGCGGGCACAGTGACATTTTCATGCTCGCCAGTGGCGTGTAAAGTGTGCTGAAAGCTCGCCAATTCAAACCTGGTCAGCTGGTCTAGTGGTATTTAGGTAGACCTCCGGCGTATAGGCATACGTCACCGATGCCTCACAGGCCGGTTTCCACAGTGTCAGGCACATTTCAGTGCAATAAATAATTATCAACAACTAATAATCTGAGTCAGCACATACATTTAGATCTATATAGATATATTCTGATCTATATCTGATCTGATGAGCGCGTTTGGCACGCGTTTGGACACACAACCTGACCGAATCAACACAGCTGAAACCCGTTAAATTAAATTAAATATCTAGTAAATAAACACACATGATGAAGTTAACAAGATATTTAATTTGTTTCCCTCCTTTTCTTTTTTCCTCTTCCTCTTATTTCTTGCGCAGCTCGAACTGGACATGTCTCTGTGTCCTCTCTCTGTCCTATTGCAGCTGCTGTCGCAGCGGCTGAACAGATGATTTGTTTCAGTGATCAGATTAGTTATTTACTTTAAGCCTACATACGAATATTACAATATTCAATTTTGTGAGCCAAATTTATTTTATATACCAACATCTATGAAAGAAAGAGCCAGGCCACGGAGCGCGATGCGTCATTTACGCACAGATGGTTCCGATTTGAATGCCATTTTTGGAGTTTATGTTGTGATCTGTGCGCACAACCCACCTTTGTCACGTTAGGTTTGAATATATGCAACTTTATGTGAGTGTCTTAATTAGTGGAAAAGGGTGTTTGTCTTACCAGTGGGTCCAACATTACACACACCAAATCCATCTGTGCTCATATGAGAGAGTGTGGAGGACGCCAAATGCAGCGCTTACAGTGACACTTGTTGTGGGGCTGCCTTCTGTCGCCATCATGTGGCATTACTGTCTTCAGACATCTCTTGATCTCTTTGACTACTTCATGAAAATAGTAATACGCCTCGCCGGTGGCGGATTAAAAGGCAAGGAGAGGAGCTTCTGTGATTGGTGAAAACAGGTCTCGGCTGTGTTAAACCCTCTCTACGCCCTCTCTCCTCCCTCGTAACGACTTATGCCGCTGGGAGGAACTGAGTTAGGGAGGGGGGATACTTATGCCGGGCTGCGCCACTCACCAAAATACCAAATTGTGCTTGGGAACGCCTTGTCGGCGCGGCGGACCTGACTTACGCCGCGCCTGCGGCACATCTCCGGCGAGGCACGAAAATAGAGCCCAGTATCTTCCCCCAGGCATTTACCAATATACAGACAGTTCAGTATCCCCACACTGGTGTGACTGGCACAACAAGTGGTCAAAATTTGTCCACTGTAAATTTTGGCTAACGTAATTCTTGTAACGTCCTTCGTTGATGTGCTATAAAGAGTTACTTGGACTGAAGATACTCAGGCCTCCTGCTCAGTCATTTACAGGGGGATTTGAAGAAAAACCAAACCACATTGTTCTGATTTTTCAAACACTGGCATTAACATTAAGGTCATTTTCACAGGCTTGAGCTAAATATTTGTTAAACTTAAATTCCTTAGGTACCTTTCTCTCAGCCTTCTCTCTCTTCTTTTACTACTCCGCTCTGTTGTCTCTTCGCCGCCACTCTTGAGCAAGTCACAGTAGAGCCAGACGGGAAGTTGGGACTCTAGAGTTTGTTTTTTAGAATTAAGTTTTTTTGCAGAGCAGTGTCACATTTCATGAGTAGCTACAATGCCACACTCTTAATATGGTCCATAAATGTGTGCAAGTATAGACTTTATGTTTATATGGATCCATTCATGCAATATAATTTACATTTGAAACATCTACCAGAAAAGATCAACATCCTGAAGACATGGCAGATTAAATTCTTGCATAGCGGTGGGCTACGATCATGATAAATGTACATCATAACTTCACCAGCTGCCTCAGCTAAATAATCTGAACTACAGTGTGTGTCTGCATGAAGTACTGGTGCAGTGACGTCCCAAACAACAACCCAAAGAAATTAGGCAAATAAAGCAGTGACGAAAGTTAAGATAGGAAGAATTTATTTCAGTAGACAGATTTCAGTATGGAGGACTGTTCCCAGACCAGGTTTAAATATCTGCTGTCAGAGAACCTTATAATAAACAAACAGTAGACTGAAAAACGGACAAATTCGCCTTTGGTCAGGGAGGTCTTTTGCTAGGTCAGCAGTTAGACCTGTGTACTCTTTCTTGCACTGGAATCAGTTTTAATTTCAATCAATTATTATTTTATTACTTATTGCTGGTCTGAAATGACAGTCATATGTTTTTATATGCAGTCCACTGCCAGCTGTAGCTCGGGTTATCTGTGACCATTTTGCTGTGTAGCATAGCGCGGTTTGTCAATATTTTGAGCTAGTAAAGGGAGATTAATGTCGCGAGCCACAGTTAAAACAAAAGGGAAAGAATCCAAATGCAGACAAAAAAGGTTTTATTTAAAAATAACTAAATGAAAAAAAAAAACTTCCTTCAAAAAACACAAGAAACAAAATCCAAACAATCAAAATCACTGGGGAAAAATCACATGGCGACTCACTGGGGATGCGCCATCAACAAGGACAAACACACACAATGAACCAACAAAGAAACAGGGGAAGACAGGGGCTGTGTCCGAAATGAATCACTCAATCCCTAACCCCTAACCCCCATATGGAGTTTCACTATATAGTTGACTATGTAGTGGGCTCAATTACTGGAGGTTTCGGACACCACAAGACGCAATGCATGACGGGACGCCCACAACCGGTGAGTGACCATTGTATGGTCACTACATTTTGCAATGCTCTATGGGAAAATTTGAGTCGCCTATATGGGGCACTGGAATTGATCACTCAGGTTTCGGACACCCCTCAAAATGGCGCTAACCTCAATATAGTCGCCTATATAGGGGTTAGGGATCCATTTCGGACACAGCCAGGGACTGTATACACACAGGGAAACAAGCAACAAGAGGCAGGTGAGACACTGAGACACAGGTGCAGACAATCACAGAGGAGGGAAAACCGAGGAAGTAAAACAAGACTAGAAACACAGGGAATAAACTACTACAAAATAAAACAGGAAATACTGATCTAAAGAATAAAACACTGAGAACATAAGGGAAACGGGGTTAGACACAAACTAAAAACTCACAAGACAGGACTACAAGGGAACAGAAACACTAGGGAAAATACACAGAAAATACACCCATATCACAAAGCCGGAACATATCTGAACAGAACATATCATGACAATTAAGTTACATAAGTCTGGCTAAACTGACCAGCAACTGTTGACTTGAGCAGAGTGCAGCCAGCACTGGTATGTGATATTAACATGCAAGGAGGACCATAGACTGGTGGTGTTAGCTTTGCTAATGTTTCTCAAACTCCTGCAAATCAATGGATGTGGCTCATTTGACCACCCTGGGGGCCAAATGTCCTGGCTGATGGACTCTGTACATATACATTTACAGCATATACAGCCTCTGGCATCAGTGAGTCAATGTGGTGTGAATGAGTAAATGTGAGATGTGATGTCAGAAGTCCAGAGACAGAAACACAGTTACATAGAGGACCCGCCAATTCTGTGATCATGTGTTCAGCTATGTTCAATAAGTTTCACTTTTATTTAAGTGATTTCTTAACTTACTCTAGAATTCAATTTTTAGTTTAAATGACCAAAAAAAAGTCTGTCTGATTTGTTTTTGTCGATGTTGTGGTAATGGAGTAATGAATTAATAGAGTAATGGGTTGACTAATTTCACTACCTTTTTTTTTGTCTGAAAATGTGCCACAAAATCTGAAAAAAGCTCATTATGGCCATAAGCAACTTTGTCAGCCAACCAAACCCTTAGAACAAACATTTTGATAATGAAAAATGGAAAAGAGAATCAAAAGATATCACACTTCATTTCCTCAGATGCTGGAAACAGAATAAATTTTGACTCTTACTGAATGTACGACTTAATTTCCAACTCATTAGGCAAATAATATACTGTACCTTTTACACCCATATCTTTGAAGTCCTAACAGTAGACAAAGTGTTGTATTTTTAATATATTTATTCACTGTCTTCAGGTTTCTCGGGGTTTGTGTGCATGAAGGTCAACTCCACGCTTTGACTGAGGTAAAACCATCATTGGTGCTTTACTCCTTTTGATACTGTCCAGCCTCAGTTCCTCTCTTAACCTCTTCTCTCTGTTTTGACTCTTACATTTTCATATCTGTGCCACAAAGCTGAGAATACAGACAGTGCAGACTGTAGTGATAACTTAATCTCAAAACATGGTGTTTGATGTGTTAATGATAAGTATGATTGGGCTGAAAGGGGTTGTATGAACTACACTGTACATGTGTGTGGTTATTACAAACATCCATCCAACACCCCCCCCCCCCCCCCCTTTTTTTTTTTTTTTCTTTTTCACTGTAGTATATAAACGGAGGAAACCTGGAGCAGCTGTTGGACAGTGACCTGTACCTGTCGTGGGGTGTCAGGATTGGTCTATCTCTGGACATCGCCAGAGGTCTGCAGTACCTGCACAGCAAGGGCATCTTTCACAGAGACCTAACCTCTAAGGTAGGGTTCACAGGAAGGAGATAGAGGCTATGGAATAGTCCCGGTCTGATTGCAGTAAAGTGTCTGTGTCATTGATTCTAAATGTGTTGAATAGAAAGGAGGCCCTATGCTCCACTGCTGATGAATGTCCTTTCTTATCTGGGCCGTGTTAAAGGAGGGCTCCAGTCAAGGCCAAACTTTATGTCTTTATCTATATCTCTATATCTATATCTGTATTCACAGATGAGATAGACAGTGATGGATAGGTGAAGTTTTCTGATCTCAAAATACAGCACAGATGAATAAATACACACTGAATAAGCATAAACACACACAGACACACACACACACACACACACACACACAAATGTAACCATGAGTAAGATGTAGTCAGCAGAAATGAGCAAACCTAAAAACAGTCAAACTAAAATGCACACAGAGAATATATCAAACTATTATTTCATATTGGTTCTTTGGAAAATGAGAGAAAATATCACTTAATTCAATCCAGATATCCCTTAGACTAAAAGACCTCAAATGTGTCCTGGGGCCTGTTCTACCAAGCAGGTTTAACCTGGCGAGGTAGCCTTGGAGTTACCTCGCTCAACTTAGCGCGGTAGCCAGTGGTCTCGCTAAACAGTCTTACGATGCTGGTTATCAACCTCGTAAGTGGATCCAGCTTTGCTATGAGCGCGTGCACACATGTAAGGCGGAGCCCTGCGAATCTGACCAATCGTGGACATGGACCAGTCTGGAGCGTCAGAGCAGGCCAGAGAGCAAAGGACCGCGTACTTTACAAACGAGGAGCAGGAGACGATCATGAGAAAGTATGAAGAATTCAAATCTATCATAAACCTCAAAAGCAACACCGTCGCCGCTGCAAAAGCGCAGAAGGAATGCTGGCAGAAAATTGCTGTCAGTCTCAATGCGTAAGTATAGTGCCCAAAAAATCTTTGATGCCATTATCACCCTGAAATAGCACTGTTCAACATGTGCTTTTAACATGCACCAGACATGTCTAATTCATTTCCAAGATGAATTCATTCATTTGTTCATTCCTATCATGTTTACATTTTTTGTGTGATATGTCGGCCATATGAGCCTTTCATAAAGGTGGTCATCCGGAAAAGTAAGTGGGTCTGTGCGGTCCCTGAAAACTCTTGTGCGCCGGAATGCTCCTCGGACAATGCGAGCACCGAGGTCTATAGGATCCTCCAAGAACGGACAAGCCATTTCTCGAGAGAGCTCATTGGTCAGTGGGCGGGGTTTTTATACTCTGTGAGTTCAATCTGGAACCTAACCTGCCCCGGAGACTCGCCTCGCTAAGAAGTGAACCCATGTCGTAGAACACGAACTTACCCTCGAAGTTACTTCACTAAGCAGTAATCCTGCTTCGTAGAACAGGCCCCTGATGTCAACAGAGATAAACAAACAAAGATGAAAACAGTGGAATATCTTGAATTGTACAGTCCTTGGGCTTTATTTATTCCCTTATTAATGTCTTCATATTTCCACATTCATTTACAGATTATTTTTTATTTTTTCTGGCTTTCCCAGAAATGCAGTGGGAAAAAAAAATCACGGTACATGAGCAGTTCAGACATTCTTTGTGCTTATATGGCCATGTAAATGGGTCCAGGTGTATAAGTTTAAATGTGGTTAAAGTTGTTTTAAACTGTAGTGTGAACGAGAATGCTGAGTTGAGGACGGATGAAAGAGTGAGCGATGATATGATGATAACCTCTGAAATGGTCCTTCGTGCAGAACTGTCTGGTTCGCTGTGATAACGGCACATTCACTGCTGTGGTGGGAGACTTTGGGCTGGCAGAGAAGATCCCTGATTACAGGTCAGTTAAGAGGGAATTCATGATCTTAGTAAAACAGAGCATTAAACACAGTGATTCAACTCATCATGTTCACAGCTCAATAGAAGAGGAGATGGAGGGCTTTTGCAGTGATTTCCATTCAATTATACAGTAAGGTATATTGGATACACAAAATATAAAAATGACAGTGTTATTTGACAGCACAACCAGCTGAGTATTAAAGGGGTAGCTCTGTTTTTTCAAGCTGATTTGTTCGCAGTTAGGCCACCCCCTACATTACAAACATGTTGAAGTGAAAAGTATTTTTCAATTTATCAATACTTTTGCCATAAAGTTTCAAATAGAAACTAAGTGGAAGTAAGCTTGAAAAGGGTTAATATGTAAATTTCAACAAATGCACTGATTTGTTATTTATTCCATGTTTTAAGGGTTTTTGTTTTTCACTTAGACTTAAAAGGGATGTACTGTGGCTGTTGATAATGGTAAAGATCATAATCACCATTACTTAACTGACATTGATATCACCATAAAATTACCCACATCTGCATCACATGCATTTATGCAACTTAAAACCTCCTCAGACCTTAAAATCTCTGTAGTCTTAGAAAAACACAGTTAGTGGAAAAACTGTTCACCCTACTATTTAAAAAAAACACGTCTGTCTGTCTAACTTGAGGATATAGTTTTCCTAGAAAATCATATGTGCTACTACTGAAAGTTACCATGCATCAATTTTTCAATTAAAGAGCTTTCAATTAATTTTGGTGATGTAATTAAATTAAATGCCTGATTTCACATTAAGTTTTTTTCACCCTGTGTCGTAATAAATTTAAGATTTATGCTATATTACCAATTACATTTGATCATTGGCTGCAGATCAAACAAATCATTAAGTCTTAAAGAGCTTTTACAAAACCTCATTTAAATTCTCAAGACTTGAATCTAACTATGATACTCCCCTCTCTCCTCTCTCCTCCTCCTGCTCCCCTCCCTGCCCCCCCCCCCCTTCTGCTCCTCTCCTTGCTCTCCTCCTCCTGCTCATCTCTCTTCTTCTCTTCCTGCTCCTCTACCTGCTCTCCTCTCTTCTTCCTCCTGCTCATCTCTCTTCTCCTCCTCCTGCTCCTCCACCTGCTCTCCCCTCTCATCTTCCTGCTCTTTCCCTGCTCTCCTCTGTCCTCATCTTGCCCTTTTCCCTGCTCTGCATTATATTGTTCAGCCTCGATTACTGTAATCTCATAATTTAGAGGAGCTAATTATCATTGAAATCTAAACCGTTGAATGGCCCTGCTTCAGGATGTACCTTTATCTTTGGTTTGTTTGTTCAAATGTATAATGAATGGTGCTGTACTGTCTGACACATAAATCCAACTTGGGATATGCACTTTTTCTGTTATTTATTAATAGATGGGGAATAATTTGATGCCATAAATGTGTGACCCACTCCTAATTTGTGTACCTTTCTAGCCCCATGCCCCATGAACTGCAGGCCTCATCGTGCCTAAAATCTTTGGGTATGTGCAGGTTGAGGGTGGTGTTTGTGAAGGGTGTGTCTGACTTCAACGTTTTTCTCTCTTTGCAGTGACTGTGTGGGGAAGCAGCCTTTGGCCATCGTTGGCTCCCCTTACTGGATGGCTCCTGAGGTTCTTCGAGGAGAGCTTTACAATGAGAAGGTAAAACTGATTGGCAAGTGTTAAACAAACTGGGGCAGTCTCATCTCACTCGAAACAGCTATGTCTCCAAAATATTCTGCTATATTCCTGCTATATATTACTGCTATATAACTCCACTATGGGCCCATGAACTTCAAAAGACAACGTTTCTTCAGGAAAAACACAGGCGTAAATATCGGTGCAACCGGTGCAGCTGCGGTGCATCTGAGCTCTCCCCGTGTAAAAGGGCCAAGGGTGTGTGGACCCAAAAGCAGAGAACGTGAGGCAAATGTTCTGTTTACAAAAGCGAGCTCTTTAATCCAGAAAAAAACCGGCAGGGTCAAAAGCAAAAGGGCAGCAATAATCAGGCGACAAAACCAATGGGGCAGGCAAGAATCAGAAGTCCGGCGAGATCAAAACAGGTCGAACACGGAGGGCAGAGAAATATCAAGAATGCAAGAGAGCTTGTACAAAAGTGACAAAGACAATCTGGCAGGGAAGAGCTAGTGAGGAGGAGTTAAATAGAAAAGGGGACAAGACACAGGTGAAACCAACGGAGTAATTAACTAAAGAACAAAGACAGGAAGTAAAAGTAACAGTAACACAGGGAAAACAGGATCTTCAAAATAAAACAGGAAGTGGATTCAACAAAACACAGATCATGACACCCTGGTGCTGATTGCCCGCGGTGGATGCATTTCCTCCATGATGATGCCTCTTTCTTTTCTTTTTTGCCACCAGCTTTCCTGATTGTGTACATTTTTGTCCTCCGGTTTATGACACATGCTGCCCCCTGCAGATTGGCAGCTGACTTGAGAACTTCCATCATGTGGTTTACTATTGGGCATTTCCTTTTGCTGCTATAATAAACATTTGCTTATTGATTGTGATACGAATAAGATAGAAACTGGTGAAAACATATGTGCATCAAAATTACAGAAAGAAGTGGCAGGCAGGGAAGTGAAATTTTTCTCGTTGGCACAGGGAGAGAGAGATTGAGAGCAGCATGAGCAGAGTAGAGCAGCAGAGATATTTAGCCTTACTGCTTCACAAAATGACACAAACAGGGAAGCCAGTGGCAAAAAGAAAGAAAGAAAGAAAGAAAGAAAGAAAGAAAGAGTGCAGTGTGTTCAGGCTGTCAGCCTACATGGCAACAATAGCAGTTCTCTATAGTGGATGCGTGTGCGTGCGTGCATGCGCGTACATGTGCTTGCAGTGTGCGCTTTTGTTTAGGGCAGGAGTGGGGGCACAAAAAAAATTTTTGCACCGAGGCCTATCACCATGATATTACGCCACTGAGGAAAAACGTATACTTTTGCCATGTTTAATAAATTTGATTAATCAATCAAACAATCAATCAATCTATATTTATAACAAGTATTATGACAGGAAAGCTGGTCTGAACCAGACTCTATTTACAAAGACCCAATGTAAAGATGGGATCAGACTGAGCCCCATCCTGTAAGATCAGATCCACTCCCATCTTCAGCCACATGAATGAAACACTTTGAGGTCTTCACATCTTTTAGGACTAAGTGTTGACTGACAGTTTGGCAGGTTGATCTGAGAACAGTTTTGATTGTGGCCTGTGTCAAGCAGCACAGTGCAAAAGTCTTCAAAACAGATCTGACTTGCTCTCCTGCACCTCTGCACAGGTGGATGTGTTTGCATACGGCATCATCCTCTGTGAGATCATCGCCCGAATTGAAGCAGATCCAGACTTCCTACCCAGGACAGAGGTAAGTTCACTTGAGACTTGAGATTACAGAGCCATGGCCCCTTGGTTTAGTCTGACATCTGTGTTTGTAAAGCTGATACCTGTGAGATGCAATTCTTCTGTTTTTGACTCATTCTGGATCATTTGCCAGTATTGACATTTAATAAAGGGATTTTTAATGCCACATTAGTAAAAAGGCAACAAAAGTCTCAGAAACATCTCTGTGTATGTTAACCATATCGATAATAAATCAACTATTTCTTCAGCATCTTTATTAGGACCAAAGTTTACAACAATGAAAAATCATATTGGCAGCTAGAAGACAAGATAAAACAATGAAAGGAATAAACCCCATTTATAAAATCAAAACCAATGTAAAGCAAGAAAAGAGGTGCAGCAGTTGAAGGGTATCTTTAATAACGTGATCGAAGGCAGGAAGAACAACAGAAGATTTGCTCATTTTTGGATAGATGACTGTCAAAAGCTGTTTCTTTTCTGTGCAGGATTTTGGCCTGGACGTGGATGCGTTTGAGAACATGGTTGGTGATTGTCCACCTGTGTTCTTTAGCCTTGCTGTCACCTGCTGTAATGTGAGTGCACATATACACAAAGGCTTACACAGGCTGGAGGGTTGTTTTAAAGGTTGTCGCTGTGACTTTCACAATTGTCTGACACCATCATTAGCTGACAGACTTTTCAGTGCCAATTTCTTCTAAATTGTCATCACAGAATTTTCCTTAAAGGATAAGGAATCTGTTGTCAGCGTGGGACATTATTTTGGCTTACAAGAAGTCTTCACCTCAATCATAGTACTTCCTGAAAGTATGGTTACCTCATAATCTTTTGAAGCTCTCGTCTTTCACCTCATCATTTTCAGCCTTCACTGATTGCTGTTGTGACTTTACATTAAGTGACAAGTACATCATGTGTTAAGTAAAGGTGTTTTTCCATGAGGTTAGTAGTCTGAGGTTTAAAAGCAAATAACAGAGCTAATCTCAGCATATCTTAATACCCCACAAAACAACACAGACAACAGGCCAGAGGAAACATTTAGCTATTTTAAAGTAGTTTCTGGGGTTTGAAGTTTGGGTTACTCTGTGTAAAATCAGCACTTGCATTTGTCAGGATCATAGAAGCCAGTGGTTGGTGGATATAAAGATACTCATTTCTCAACATCAGTAGTATCTACCCTGTCAGTGAGTTTGTTTTATTTTGCTTTCAGATGAGTGCAGAGAGGCGTCCCTCGTTCCACGACATTGTCTTCACACTGGAAGGCGTAGAGCGAGAAGAGGAGGGAGAAAAGCCTATCGCACTGGGTAAAAATGTCTCTGTAGGAAGCATCTTTCTCAAAGCAGTGTTGGTGTGCATGAAAAAGTGACCCCTCTCTGTTATACTGAGGGCGGGAATCACTGAGAACAAAATGTGGCCACCAAAAGAGCCAAACATTATGCATTATTTGCCTCTGCTGTCTGCTTTGTCTTGTCTCTGCTTTGAGGTAGCCCGCATTTCTGAAATGCTTTCTCCTGATGCTATTCGAGATATTTAAGCAAAAAAACACAGACCAAGTTATGCAGGTATTTGCAATTCGCTCTTGTGTTGCATCTGACTAGGGAGATAAACTGTCAGCTTCCCCAACTCTCTGCTGCACAGAGCCGTGCTGTTGTCTTGTTGCCACTCAGTCTTCATACCCCTTGAACTTTTTCACATTTTGTCACTTTACAACCACAAACTGAAAATTATTTTATTGAGATTTTTTTTTCATAGACCAACACAAAGTAGCACATAATTGTGAAGTGGAATGAAAATGATTCATGGTTTTCAAAAATTTAAACAAATAAAAATCTGAAAAGTGTGGTGTACATTTGTATTCAGCCCCCCTGTGTCAATACTTTGTAGAGCCACCTTTCGCTGCAATTACAGCTGCAAGTCTTTTGGGGTATATCTCTACAAGCTTTGCACATATAGAGACTAAAGTTTTTGCCCATTGTTCTTTGCAAAATAGCTCAAGCTCAGCCAGATTGGATGAAGAGCTTCTGTAAACAGCAATTTTCAAGTCTTGTCACAGATGCTCAATGGGATTTAGGTCTGGACTTTGACTTGGCCATTCTAACACATGAATATTCTTTGATCTAAACCATTCCATTGTAGCTCTGGCTGTATGTTTAGGGTCATTGTCTTGCTGGAAGGTGAATCTCTTTCCCAGTCTCAAGTCTTTTGCAGCCTCCAACAGGTTTTCTTCCAGGATTTCCCTGTATTTAGCTCCATCCATCCTCCCATCAACTCTGACCAGCTTCCCTGTCCCTGCTGAAGAAAAGCATCCCCACAGCATGAGGCTGCCACCACCATGTTTCACAGTGGGGATGGTGTGTTCAGGGTGATGAGCAGTGTTACTTTTCCACCACACATAGTGCTTTGCATTTAGGCCAGAAAGTTCAACTTTGGTCTCATCTGACCAGAGCACCTTCTTCCACATGTTTGCTGTGTCCCCTACATGGCTTGTGGCAAACTGCAAACGGGACTTTTTATGTCTTTCTGTCAACAATGGCTTTCTTCTTGACACTCTTCCATAAAGGCCAGATTTGTGGAGTACACAACTTATAGTTGTCCTGTGGACAGATTCTCCCACCTGAGCTGTGGATTTGTGCAGATCCTCTAGAGTGACCATGGGCCTCTTGGCTGCTTCTCTCATCAGTGCTCTCCTTGGTCTCGGTCTGTTAGTTTAGGTGGACGGCCATGTCTTGGTAGGTTAGCAGTTGTGGCATATTTCTTCCATTTTTGGACGATGGATTGAACAGTGCTCCTTGAGATGTTCAAAGCTTTGGATATATATTTTTTATAACCTAACCCTGCTTTAAACTTCTCCACAACTTTTCCCCCTGACCTGTCTGGTGGGTTCCTTGGTCTTCATGATGCTCTTTGTTGACTAGTGTTCTCTAACAAAGCACTGAGGCCTTCATAGAACAGTTGTATTTATGCTGATACTAAATTACACACAGGTGGACTCTATTAACTAATTAGGTGACTTCTGAAGGCAGTTGATAGCACTGCATTTTATTTAGGGGTATCAGAGTACAGGGGGGCTGAATACAAATGCACACCACACTTTTCAGATTTTCGTTTGCTTACATTTTTGAAAACCATGTATCATTTTCATTCCACTTTACAATTATGAGCTACTTTGTGTTGGTCTATGACAAAAAATCTCAATAAAATACTTTTAAGTTTGTGGTTGTAGAGTGACAAAATGTGAAAAAGTTCAAGGGGTATGAATACTTTTTCAGTGCACTGTATAAACATACAGACAATGAGCTGAAAGGAAAGGGGAAATGTCATATTATTTAAAGCAATTACTTTTTTTCAGTTTATGCCCAGCTTACTCTCTGGAGTCAACCAGTAGAGAAGAGCATCTTTATAAATAAAAGATAACTAGTTTAAGGCTATCATGAATCAGCTGATATTGTGCTATAGTAGTGCTAATAGAGATAAATAAACAAATCTTTACATGTTCCTTGTTCTTCTCTTTTCCCCTCAGAACTCATAGCAGTAGATGTCAGTCCATACCGGCGCCTCAGCTCTCCTTGTCATCCCGGTGATCGTGGCCAACAACGGCAAGGCTTGGCAAGAAGCCAGTCAGACATGCTGCCGCCAACAACCCTGACCCCTCCTCTCCTTGGGACCCCAGCGAGAGTCAACCCCTTCTCTCTCCGACAGGACTTAAACGGGGGAAGGTGTAAACTGTTAGACACACCTAGCAAGTCTGTCATCTCTCTGACTTTCACCCTTCCAGCACCCCGGGACCCGTGTGCCTCCCCCCACCTCCTGAGAGGGATGCCAGGGACAAGAGCACCGCCAAGGAGATGTCAATCTCTTCCATGTACTCCTGAGCTCAGCCGGACTGTAGCCTTGCCCAAAGACAAGGTAGAAAATGAGGAAGACACAGGGGAGAATCCCAGCACTAAGACAATTACAAATGGGACTGGGGAGGATGAGGAAGACAACATGAGGAAGAAAGTTCCAGAGCCATTAGAAGACATGGAAAACGAAAAGAAAGAATTGTCAAAGGAGAATGGTGGGATGGGACAGGACTCTAGCCCTTCTGTTGGACTGGACATGGTGTCTCTGGAGCGGTTGGAGGAGGAAGAAGAGGATGAGGAAGTGGAGGAGAGTGTCTGTCTAACAGAGCCCATGGACTGTTCCAAGTCTCCAGAGCCAGCAGACAGAGCCTTGGACTCCACACCTGGAAAAACCCTGCTCACCTCCACATCCTGTTCCTCCTCCTTACAGACCAATGGCTGGAGACTCCCCATCTCCAATGGGCCGCCCTCTTTGCCTCCTCTTCCACGACTGGACAACAACAATGGAACAGCTGCTGTGATTGGCCAGCCAGTGCAGTGGGGTATTGGAGGATGTGCGAATGGTTACAACAAAGCCCAGGTCCTGTCCTCTGACCCTATTGGTTCCTCTGAGCAGGATGAGGTCATTTCCTGTCCTGGCTGTTGTCTGGTTGGTCTGAGTTTCCCCTCGGTGTGCCTCCGTGGTTCAGCTGCCGTGCCTCCCCCTCGTCGAAGGGCATCATTACAACGACAGCGCCCCTTTCGGAACCTCAACGGTACTGTAACAGGTGGTGGCACTTCATCAACAACAGCAGCCGCCACAGCAGCCAAAACTGTACTTTGTCACAGCACTAAAGGACTAGTGGTTGCTGGGCCCTCAGTGACATGTGAGCCAGGACGGTCCCTGCCAGAGGCCCAGACATAAGGCTGCTCGGAGTGTGCATTGTTTATCAGCCCTACATGTTGTCGGACAACAATGCTACTCAAAATGTTGCTTTGTTAATACTGAGATCTTCATCATACCAACCCCTGCATACGAGTACGTTCTCTCTGTGCATTTACAGCACACAGTAGTTGTTGGTGATTGAGTGCCACCTGGTGGACAGGAGGATTAAACACAACAAATCACTGTGACAGCAAAGAAGTGGTAAGAGGGTGAAGGCAGACAGAGATCACCTAAACCAGAGAGGTTCAAACTGGAGCAGGAACCGACTCAGTACTTGTCAGATGAATCAGTTTGTCACGTCACTTGAGAAAGTGTGGCCATCAGTTCATTTGTTCCTGTCATTCAGCTTGGACACTGAAACATTCCCAGCTACCGTCTTTCTGTTAAAAGTTAAGCGGCCATCATTTCTAAATAGCAGTTAAGCAGATAAGAATTTCAGAGCAATAGAGAGTTCAAGTTTGCTGCAGCTCTGGTCCCCAATCTGAGCAACAACACGGGAGACACACTGGTTTTTAAAATGAAACTGCTAAAAACCATTGGGTCTCTGCTGAAAACAATACTGGAGGTTCATTTGAAGGTCTATAAAGTTCATGGCCTGCTATGCTATTGCATCTGTGTTGGTCTTTGTACAAAAATGCAGCCAAAGCACAAAGTATAATGATGCAACTGACAAAATGTGAGTCGGTTCAGGGTCTTTTTGGGCTGATAGTTGAAATCAACAGATGTTGAAGTTCAACACAGCTAGGGCCAGTATCCCTGAGCCGGTCTGGATCTCAATGGAGCAGCTTGTCTGACTTCAAGTGCTGCACCCCTCATCTGTACTGAACCAAATCAAACTGAACTCAGTTTGCACTCAGTGGTGCTAAATCCTGTTCCGGAGGCTGTCACAGGGGACAAGTGTTTGGGGCCAACTAAATAAGCTCATTTATAGTCTATTTGCAGTTTATTACAACTCAGGTTGTATGTGAGTTTTTTCTTTTTTTCTTGGGGCAATGAGAACTTTATTTTCATAGAGTGAACTGCTGAGGTCCATGAATATGTTGGTCTGGTTAGGGATGGGCTGCTTTGATAAAGGTGGACAGCATAGTGACCATCTATTTCTTGCTAACATCTATGATAGTTCAAACACAGACAGCCTGCTGTAACTTTGGCATAATTCCTTCACTTTGAAGGGCAGTGTTGTTCAGCCGGGCCCTGCACTGTCTAGATGTGTTTATTTGTGTGTGTTAAACACAGTCCATAAATATTTGCTCGTACAGTATATCAGAAAGTAGAAGTAAAATAGTGTTCATTCCTGGTTAGTTTCCTAACTTGTTTGGATGAATTTTTCTGCCCAGTTTGGCCTAGCTCAAGATTCGGACAGAACAAAGAGATATAAAAGATTTGGCACTTACAAACGAAAGGTTATAGAAAGATGTGCTCTAAATGAATATGAAATATATTCAGTAGAGTGTGTTTGTTCGTGCCAGAGATTATGTGCTGGGAGGAGGAAAGAAACCTGTCATGATTTAAAGTTGTAGCTGGGGTGCTGCCAGAGCCCAAGAGTCAGAGAGAGCACAAACAAATCCTCAAAGTCTATCACCTGAATTGCACCAGACAGCGGTGCAGCTCATACAGCTGATCACCTCCAGCTAGGGCATGCCCCCAAGACTGGGACGACCCAAAGGCCAGGGAGAGGGGTTATCACCACAGTTAGCTAGAATCAGTACCAGGATTTTGATGATAGATGCCCATTACTGTAGAGACCTTTCTGATGCTGGTTTTGCTGGGGTAAGCTTGCTAAAATAACTGTTATTGTTGTGCTCTTTTGTTAAAGTTGAAATAATCTGCAAAACCAGTCTGCAAGACAAGACAACCAAAGTATGCTTAAGTTTGAATTTTTTTTTTTAATGCAAGTTGAAAATGCCACATGGATCTTAATGCTGTGAGACTTAAGAACACAGTGATGGACCAAATATGCACCTTTGTACTAAAATTCACTTGTCTCTGTTGTTTGGCATTTTCCTCTTGACATTGACTAAGAATGTAGAAATATTCTTTCCCTCTGTCTGAACACTGGCCCAGGTTCTGTATGACATTAACAGAAGATGATGCTTTTGAATAGGGTTGATTTCAGGCTGCACTGTGAGGCTGCAGGTTCATGGACATATGTGATTAAAGACACTTTTTGACTATTTAACTGATTCACTGGAGCTAAGTCTGGGATATTTATACAATAATTGAAGATGACCTACTTCTTACATTTTTATAGCATTTGACAGGTTACGTGTGTGTATGTGCGTGCATGCGTGCGTAAGTGTGTGTTTGTGAAAGAGGCAGAAGAGAGCGAGAGACTGGTTTCTGTTGCTGGAAGAAACTCCCCCCTGAGCTCCTCATTTAAACGTTTCATTTTTGCACTTTTGTTTGGAGCACTTTGCAGCGTGACACCAGGCTTTTACTGGATGGTGCTTTATTCCAACCTGTGCTGCTGGTGATTTATGCGTGTGTGCTTCTGGACCAATAGTAACACAGCTTTCATTCTTTGACTTCCCTCACTTGTATCTGCTGTATGTTCATGTACATTCTGATTACTCTGTTGTAAGTTAAAAACGTGGCATGTGAAGCAGCTATGAATATTTATTGTACAGATCATTCCACACACTGTGTGTGTACAGTATGTGCTTTTAATTGACAGATAGAGATGGATACTCGCAGGATAACCGTTATCTCATTGTTTCTGATGTTTAACCATGGATCTTGCTTCATTTCTAGTTTTGTTCTGTTCTCACAGCTAGAAACCTGTGTGCAATAATCTGTAATAAAAATGGTTGTGCATAAACTGTTTGCTGTAGATTATTGGTCAATATTTATTGAAAGTAAGGAAACCCAGCCTTTGACATTTTAAACCATTTCAGCTGCGTTAATAATTAATCAGGCAAAAATGTACAATATTAAACATCACAATCTAGTTTCGACTATAATAAAACATTGTTGCACATTTGTCATGTGTGCCAATGACACAGTGAGGTGAAGTAAAAGCATGGACAAAACACAGTAAACAGGTGAAAAGGGCTTTTTGACACAAACTAACAGACGGTTTTCATGATTCATGTTTAATGTTGTTAACATAAGGAAAAATTGACATCAAATCAAACATCAACTTATTGCTCACTTCTATCCTGTTAATGCATTTTCATTTCTTTTATTGTAAACAGGGAATCTATTCAGGAACCTTATAAATGTATAAATAATAAATAATACCCAGTAATGGCCAGGCTGGTTCTGATTGGTCAGTGTTAGGACTGGGTCTTGTTTAAAATGCTAACAGAAAAACTCTAATGTCATGACCTTACAATGAATGGAAACATTAAGTTCAATGTGGTTTTGAACCGTACAGCAGGACAATTACTAGACTTGAATATGAATATTGATATTGAATGAAAATTATTGGTTTGAATGTTGATCAGGCCCACAAGTTGGCCACTAAGAATTTGGAAGCACAACCAGCTGCTGAATCTACTATTGACTATTTCTTTTGCTGTTGCAGCTCCTAGGCTGTGGAACAGACTGCCGCTAGATGTACGCACCACCACTGACCTCAGTTTATTTAAATCAAAGTTAAAGACGCACCTTTTTAGACTTGCTTTTAACTCTGACTAGGTAGTCCTGTACTTATAGGTTTTTAGCACTTCTACATACTATTTTATTGTATTATTTGTTTCTCATATTCATTTTTATTATTTCATCGTTCTTGTATTATTCTATTCTATTGTATTATTTTATAATGGTATTTTTTTTTCTTGTGTTATTTTATTGCTTTTATGTAAAGCACTTTGGGTACCATTTGGGATATTGTAAAGTGCTATATAAATAAAATTTGATTGATTGATTTGATTATTTATAACCTGCATAAACCAATCCTCTCTAAATGTCTGAATCTCTAGCTGGGAGCCTAGTAACAAAAGGTTGGTGAACACTTTATGAACCCTTTGAGTGACCTTTCAGCTTTTGACTGAACAGATTGGAACATACAGAGGACGTAATATCATGTCTTTATTTCTGCTTTAGTTCAGTGAAAACATGCTTGGTTTTCATTATAATCGACCCTGACATTAATGATATAAACATACTAAAGCCAACAGAAATGGAAAACAAATGTAAGCACAAATAAACGTTCAGGTGTTATGAGAAAATCTGATGGGGAAAAAAAAAAGAAATTAGAAACAGGTGTTACAGATGTTTAATGAAAATCTAATCTCCCGGTGACACCACCTGTTCACAAAGACACAAATCCTCTGAAGGACTGGGAGTCTGTATAAAAACAAAATAATGTTTTTCCATGAAAAACATTATTTTCATGAATGGAAATAATGATCACAAAATGTAACGCTTTATGTTACTGATTGAGTTTGGCCTGAGCTAGGACAATCATACTCAGACATTTTAAAATATCCTTTCAGGCCTTTTACAAAAATCACACAGAAAAAACACTAAAAAGAAAAAAAAGGAAGGAGATGTGTATGAGTTGAACCTTTTCACAACTTAAACAAAAGCTCCATTAACAAATGAAATCTGAATATTCTCACTCATGTTATTTTCCCAAAGTGAGAGGACACCATTGCACATCTCTTTTAAGGCAATAACTGAATCCATCAGAAATTGAAAGCAAACTCCTGCACACTATTTGAGATTTGCAGGCTGTAGTTGAACTGCCTGAATTTGGGACGACCCAATTATAAAATCACACATGATTTAAGAAAATTTGCAAAAGGATTTGAATCCTCAGCAAGCTGCCGGGCCCTTCTTTCATGGCTATTTATCAGCTTTTCTTTCTCCTCTTTTAGCTCCCTGTCATGCTCTTCCTTTACTTTTGCCATCATGTTTTTCAGCTCCATTTCTTTCTCCTCTCTCTCTTTCTTTCTCTCTGCTTCTGTCTCTGCCCTCATCCTCTTCATGTTTTCATCCATCGCCACCTTCATTTGCTTTGTCTCCTCCTCTCTCTGTTTCTTCTCCCTCTCTCTCTCAGCCTGCAGTTGCTCACTGATTCTTTTCATCTCTTTATCATACTTTTGCTGTATGTCCTTCTCAAGTTTCTCTCTTTCTTTGCGTATTTGCTCCTCTTTCTCCTTCAATATGCGTTGTTTCTTCTCTTCGATTGCCTTCTCAGCTTGTTGGAACATCTCATTGGTGTAGTGGCTTCCTCCGTTCTTCAGCACTATGTTTCTGATCTTCTGGAGCAGCTCAGTGACCTGAGAGCGATCTTTTTTTTTTCTGTTATTGAAGACATGGTACTGACCATTACACCTGGAGACAAGCTCCTGCAGGTCTGCGCTTTTAGCCAAGAAATCTTCAATAGTTTTTTCTTCCGCCTCTAACTCGTCTCCTCCAGTAAAGAGAACCATGCTGTATCTGTCTGCTGCCTGACCAAAGATCTCTTGAATCTTTTGCACCGTCTGCTTTTCTTCTTCAGTGAATCTACCCAGCCGGATGACCACCAGGAACACATGGGGACCAGGAGAAGCATAAGTGATGCACTGGCTGACGTCTTTGGCTGTCTTGTCCATCCCAAACCTGGTATCAAACAGGCCTGGGGTGTCAATCACAGCCACCTTTTGTCCGTCCACTGTGCCTTCACCCTTGGCACAGTTTACAGTCATGGACTCTGCACCAAACTGTGATTCAAAGCAGTGTGTTCCCAGGATGGTGTTTCCAGTGGCACTTTTCCCAATTCCAGTCTTCCCCACCATCACCATCCTCACAGCCTCATTCTTTTGGTCTGCAATAAATATGAATCACATCAGGTATAAATAAATGCTACAGATTTTGGTTAATAACATTTGGGTCAGATCAAGAGTTAAGGGAATTAGTGTCAGGTGAATACAACACTCAAGCTTCCCAGTGTGGTTAAGTGACTTTTTTCTTGGCTACCTGTGTGTAATGCCATTGCCATGAATAATCAAGACGATCTTTACCTGTTCTCTCTCTGCCCCTCATGTCTGATAACAGGCAAAAAAGTGTAGCAACTCACAATGTAATAACAGTTGATAATTTAATAATGGCCTAAATTGTGAGAAAAGTGTTGCATTATCACTATTTACCTCTCAAATAAAGGTTTAAATAAAGCAAAAGGCATGGGTTTCAACACATTAAGAAACAAAATTAGTGAAACTTTGTCGCTGCATGACAGAAGTGCTCCATCTTGCCATGCACATAAAACAAAATAACATTGGAATTCAGTTAACTTACCAAACAATACAACGAAATCTCATGGCAGTTTGTGAAATACTCTTAAGATTTAATCTTTTAATTTGTGTACTTGAACATTAAAATTCACTTTTTTTTTCCTGTCCCAGAGGCACAAATATCTGCAAGTAGGCTTCAAAACTGCTAAGCTATGCACTGGCACCACTGATTAACATGTTAAAAGTGGCTTACCGGTTTAGTTTAGGGGAAAGATTACTGAGAAAGCATGTCCGAAAAGTTCATAGAAAATCCTGAGACACAGACGACAAAGAACACAGAATAGTGGCCTGCTTAAACATAAGAAATAGCAGCTAGGCCCTGTTTACATTTTCCAGAGGGAATTTTCTAGTAGAACTTTAGAGGTCACAAAAAGTGCTGCTGACCTGCATTAGTCAGACAATTGTAGTGAGTACAATGTTCTCAAAGGCCCAAAACAACTCTCATGGATGCCACCTATTTGCTTAACTTTATACATCAACAAAATGTAAGAATACAGTTACTATTAAATAAAAGGCTATGAAGTTTCCCAAATTTGTTTATTAATGTGCTGAAACCCATGCCTTTTGCTTTATTTACACCTTTATTTGACAGGTAAATAGTGATAATGCAACACTTTTCTCACAGTTTAGGCCATTATTACACTATGAGCTGTTATTACATTATCAGCAGAATAAGTTAGGCTAATAACGTAAAAAGTTATTACATTATTACATTATGCATAAAGACCTCATTACGTTATAAGCTGATGATTTTATTACATTATGAGCTGATTATTACATTATGACCTTTTATTAAATAGAAGTTATTACATTATGAGCTGTTATAACATTATAAGTTACTACACAGTAGTGACGTTAATTCAACAGGTAGTCAGAGAGGGACAGAGTGATCCTTTCTCCTGATAAAATGTTGACTGGTGTGCAGCATGTGAAATATGAATCTCCTCCAGCTGATGATGAGAAACTACCTGCTGCCAATGTTATTCTTAATATTGTTCATCTTCATAGTCACTGTTCCCACTTTAGATGCAGTAGCTGCAGAGGTGCATTGTTAATTGTTTTTAAGTGCTTAATAAAGGTTTATTAACCATTACATGGCATTGATCTTTTACTGTCTCAGTCATAATAATAACATCTATTTAAGGTTCATCTGTGGTCTTTCAATTGTTAACAAGACTCCAGTGAATGCATATAGGGGGCTTATGAGAAGTAATAAATATTAATTTTGATCAAGGTTCACATAGCTGTAATCACTCAATAAACATTAATTAAACTTTAGAAGCTGTATATACTGTTATTAGTGATAAGTGTTTTGTAACTGTATTTACAATAATATTAACATTTAAGATGAAGTTGAACAGAGGGGAAGTCAGACTGGAACAGTCTGAGGTGTCCTCCTCCTGTGGATTTCTGCAGGAGGAGGACACCTCAGACTGTTCCAGTGAACATCCAGGGTCTGGACATCAAGATGGTGGAGTCCTATAGATTCCTGGGTGTCCACCTCAACAACAAACTGGACTGGTCAACCAACACAGACGTCCTGTACAAGAAGGGCCAAAGTCGTCTCCACCTGCTGAGGAGACTGAGGTCCTTTGGAGTGTGCAGGACTCTGCTCAGGACTTTCTATGACTCTGTGGTAGCATCTGCACCTTTCTATGCAGTGGTCTGCTGGGGGGCAGGGAGCACCGAGAGGGACAGGAAGAGACTGAACAGACTGGTCAGGAGGGCCAGTTCTGTCCTGGACTGCTCTTTGGACTCCCAGGAGGAGGTGGGTGAGAGGAGGATGTTAGCAAAGCTTGTATCCATCATGGATACTGTGGGGGCCTGAAGCAGCTCCTTCAGCAGCAGACTGAGACTCCGGCCTTGCAAGACGGAGCACTTCCGCAGGTCATTCCTCCCTTCTGCGATAATACTTTACAAAGAACTGTAATAAAACTGGACTCACACCACCACTTTTTTTCTGGCATTTAGATTGTGTATATTGCATTTAGTTTTATTTTTCTTCTCCCTTTTTCCTAATTTTTTTTCGTAATTATTACATTTATTTAAGTTCTTGACATTACAATCTTTATTTTTATAACTGCATTTTTGCACTCTTTGTCTGTGATGCTGCTGTGAGAAAAATTTCCCCTATGGGGAATCAATAAAGGAATATTCTATTCTATTCTAAGTCTAAAATATGCCACTGGAGTATTTAAAGACTACTTTAAATGTAATGTATCTAAAAGGGTAACCTATTTGTACAAGTCCACTACTCCACTAGGAGTAAAACAAAGTTATTTCCCATTTGACGACCATGGACTCCAGAGCTTTTAGTTGCACCCCAAAATATTAACTCTCTATTTTTCAAATCCCATTTGAAAACTCATCTCTTCAAACTGGCATATTCATTCTGACTGATTTCTTTCAGTCGACCTACACTCTTTCATTTATTGTTTAACTTACTTCATGGACTCATTTATTCGTCTTTTTTTAACCTCCTCTTGTAAGGTGACCTTGAGTGCTTTAAAGGCACCGATAAATAAGACGCATTATTACCATTATCATTAAAATGCTGCCATGAACAGAAAGCTGTTGTTGTAACAGAGAATTTAAATCCCTGACTTTTACGGCAAAGTGTATCTAATAGTTGTATAAGATGAGCTGAAGCTCTGAGAAGAAGTGTTCAAGCACAAGAAATCAATCAGTCAATAAAAACAGGTATGATGACTTACCAAACTTACTGGCCATGTTTCGTCTTGAGATTTCAGAGTGATGCAGCAGCTAATGTGATGCAACTGTTCTCAGACCATCTGCTGCAGCTCCTTATAAACTGGCCTGCCCCCGAACACAGTAACCAATGGTTGCTCCATGTCAAATTGAAAGTGAGAGTTAAGTTCACATGATAACAGTTTGATCCCCACCATTTACAAGAAGTGAGCGCTCTCACCACTTACAAGAAGTAAGAGGTGAGAGCTCAACCTCAAACTGACAGACACAGCAACACAGAGCAGGATTCCCCTCTTCAACAGATGGTGTTGAGAAAAAGATATAATACCCCACATAGCGCCTGTGCTGTGGATTTAGACTTTTTAGTTAGCTAAAAAAATCTTCTTTCTCTAAATGTTTCTGTTTACAGAAGCTACAATGTTGGAGAAACAGCAGGATTCAGTTGTTGGAGAAACTGCATAATCAGCACTTTTGGTATAGTTTAGCTCACAGAAGAGAAAAAAGTGGCTCTGGCAGTCAAACAGGTGACGGAATGTTCATTTCTGTCCAGAGGTCTGTTATAAATGTCTTTCACTTTGCTAATGTTAGATTTGTACTTTTTCACTTAACTCATAGAACTCACTGTCTGTTGTCTGTTCACTTAAAATTCAGAGTTATACTTTTCCACTGAACTCATGCAACTTAATGAGTGTTTTCATTTAACTTACCGATTGTTTTCATTTAATCAGAACAGTGCAGTGTCGAAATTGATAAGGAGGAACCTGATAAACCTCAAAGACCTCTTTATTCTGCCAGACAGGTTTGCTTCATTAGACACAAGCCTCAAGATCAACACACACACATATTTCATAGCACATTTTAGTAAGACCACGTGAACAGTAGTTGGCCTGTTCACACTGGAAATAACTGGTCAATGATACTCGGTTGCATATTAAGTCCAACCTCTGTACAAAAGGACTGCCCTTGCCTGGAAGATAAATGTGAGTTAAACTTGGAAATGGGCACTCGTTGTGATGGAGATCCTAGGAGCTTTGTCATTGCGAGTCCAGCACTGTACTATTTTTCATGTGAGCTAAATAAATGTTATATCCAAGAAATGAAAATTTCTCTGGTTGTCTTTCAGCAGTCAACTCAAGAACCGATTCTTACACTCTGAACTGCAACAGTTACAGACTAATATCACTTATTACAAAAGAACTGAAGCTTTTTGCCAAATTGTTAGTCAGAGGACTGGAGAGATGTGTAGGTAAATTAATTCATTGTGATTAAACTGTTTGTTAAAGAGGAGACACACATCAGATACTGTCAGATGCATTTTTCATATAATACATGTGACAGAATTGGATATATACCTATACAGCTATATATGACTTGTATGTGCTGAGAGCCTTCGATCAATAAGTTGGATGTATCTGTGGCAGGTTTTAGTAAGTTTTGGATTTGGAAAAAATGTTACATCCATGAATAAAACACTATACACAAACCCTTGTGCAGTCAGTCAAACAAACAATATTCTGTCGAAAACTTTCCCTCTGTAGCCTGGAACTTAGCAAGGCTGCTCACTGTCCCCACTCCTTTTTACCTTGTCACTCAATCCACTAGCCCAGACGATTAGCCTACACCACACATCTCACCCATCAGTATACAAAGTACACAACATAAAATTTCGCTTGATGCAGACAATGTATAACTCTTTTTTACTAACATTTGAGTCTCTAACTCAGTCTTCATGCAGTTCAGTCTATTTCCTGGTTAAAACATTTAATGGGATAAATCCTTCCTCATTCCTTTAAACGTCCCTGCAAAACATCTCACCTTACCAGTCACTCAACATATTCAGTGGCATAACTACGCATTTACATATCCAAAACTGAAAATGAGGAACCTTTATCATGAGGAACTTGTATCTTTTTCATATGTTGTACTGTAACAAAAAGCTGATAGCCTGCTCTGATAAGTCTAACTTTGTACTCATCCACTATCATTGCATAGTTTATGTCCCAGTTAGTCCTGAACAGAGAAGTTAAAGACACCACAAAAGCTTGTTGTTGATCTGGAGCTTTCTTTCAAATTGTCTGAACTTTCCTTTCAAAGTTCCCCTGCTGTTTCTTTCACTTTCTGTCTGAGTAAAGCTCAAATGTAATACATTTTATACTTGTACATACTCATGACTCGACTCTGTGTCCACATTGACACCTTTTTTTTTTAAGAAACTCCAAGTGCTGTCTGTTCACCTCACAGCTTCTCCCCCTCCCCATCACCCTTTCCAAGAACAGGAAGCTCTTCCTCGCAAGCAGCCCAATTCACTGTGCACTGCTCCCCCTACTGACAACAAAGACAAGAGCATGAAAAGGAAGTTCCCATTCTTCCATTCAATATCATTTATGCACTTAAAACTTACTTTTTCCATATCACAAACTTTTAAATACTTGTTTTCAAGCACCTGTACATTTTACTTGGATGAAACTCCTCATGCCATTTTTAAAATGTGATGCAAAAAAGATTTAAAGAAAACACTGAAATCTAGCTTATAGGAAATGATGAAACGGGTGGAGGGTATGAGAAAATAACACTTGGTTTAGGTAATCTGCTCCTTTGTCCTAGTTTTGTTGTCTAATGTAATATTTTACTGCATATTTATTTTGTCCATTATCTTTTTATTTGCCAACAAATCAATCAACAAATAACACATCAGAAGAATGTGAGCACACTAACAGATACTAAAATAAGACATAATAGCATGCAGACATATACAATATACTATATATTATATGGACATGCAGAACTCTCCCATCACACCCACAGCAGCTTACGATTACCTCATTTATCCTTTATCATGTTTGTGATGTTTCTTTACAGTGTTGGAAAAAAGTTTGGAATATTTTCTTCAGTGTTTCGTGTAAAGTGAATGATCCTCCAACAAACGTGGCTGAACTGACTCAGGCTGTGATCCAATGCTGGCGAGAAATCCCGGTTGAAACTCTTACCAACCTTGTGACCAGCATGCCCAGACGTGTACGCGCATTGTACAATGCTAGAGGCGGTCACACAAAGTACTGACTGTATTGTTGTTATCGTCTTGTTATGTTTGATGTTGCTTTCAAAGATGGACCACGTATTTTGTGGCAATTTAAAATTACAGCCGTTTATTTATTAAATACCGACTCATGATTTTATGCGTTATTTCTATGGCTTTTTGTGAATCATGAGGTGTCCGCCCTACAATTTTTTGAGAAACAAAATAGTTTGATGTGAATTTCAAAAACATATCACAGAGACCAGGGAACATTAAAAAGTCTTTGAATAATTCTCCAGAAAGCAGCAGACCGCGTTAAACACGAGGCTGGGGTTGAATTGACAAATATTCCAAACTTTTTTCCAACACTGTATGTTTTTGTTGTAATAAACTTTGTTTTTCTACTTCATCTTTCAGTTAAATGTTTGCACAAAAGTAGGAAAATACTAAGTAGGAGTAAAACAGTAGGTGTGAGCACTCAGCTATTTAAGATTGCTTTAGTCCCAAATTGTCCCAAATATGATACAGCGATGAATCTGACAGAATAAAGTCATACATTTGCGACAGTGAAGTGATAACTTAAAGAGAGTAATGGTGTACATATGATTGGTATAGGTTGTACACTGAAAAAAAGTGTATTAGAGAGAGGAAATGACCAAAGTTGAAGGGGAAAAAAAAGCTTCATTTAGGAGAAAGGTGTCAGGTATTAAGTAGGAAAAAAGTCAAAGATAAAAGAAAAAGCAATTGGTTAAGCTGGGTAAAAAGTCATCAAGAATTCAGGTGTTTTTTTTTTAAGAAATGTGCTGTACATACACAAGAAAAGACTCACAATTTTATGAGGTCAAAGGTTCAATTAGGAGGAACATGTGGGGTAAAATGTTCTACTGTAAATGTAAGAAAAAAAGGCATTAACTCACTTTGGGGAGAAAGGCGAGAATTTTTGAGAAAAGCAGAAAAATTTTACTGAAAAAATATGAAGAGAAAGTTTTTCATTTTAGCAAAAACAACAACAAAAAAGTCATACATCTGTGAGATGCACCATATATTCTCGGGGCACTCTGTAGTTTCGCGAATCAGGAAGTAGAGCACTGACTGATACCGCAGCAGACATAAACAAATACCCGTGAGCAGTAACTAGGATATAATGGATAAGAACACGATTTTGAACAGAAAGTTCAGCTACGAAGCCTTGCCAGATGGCTCTCTTGACAGGACAAAAGTCATTTGTGTTTCCTGTCGAGCTGAATTTAGTCACCAGAGTACGTCTAGTCTTAAATATCACTTGTCGGCCAAGCACACAGCTGATGCAGAGTGCAGATGCAGTTTGTCTGCAGACATAGACTCTGCATTTTGAACCGAACAGTGCAAACTTGCTTTCATCTGTCCAGAGAACTTGTTTCTAGTCATCATAAGTCCAATTTTTGTGAGCTATGGCCCACTCATATCTCTTTTTCTTATTCTGTGGATGAAGTAGTGTTTTTTTGCAGATACACAACCCTTCAGACCAGCCTTTCTCAAATGTCATTTCACGGTTGTCAGAGATATGGGTTTCGACCGTGACATGTTGATTTCCTCCCTTATTTTTGGTGCTGTCTTTGCTGCTCTCTTATTGGTGACAATGCTATGTTTATCCTCTGCTTTTGTAGTAACTCTCTTTTGTCCAGGTCTTTTTCTATCATCATAACTTCCAGGTTCCTCTAGTCTCTTCAGACTGTAGTGGACTCCTTTGTTCGACACCATTAGGTGTTTTGCAATTTCTCTTTCTGTGTATCCTTCTTTCCTCAATGTACAAATCTGTACTTTTGTTTCTTTACTCAGTTGCTTCTTTCTAGCCATTTCTTTGGTATTTTGAATGCAGTTGAGATTTATCAGGATTTTTGTATGCACACTCTTAAAAGCCAAAAAGTTAAAGTGAATAATCCAACTGTGATTTGTTTTTTTGCTTTTGCACTTGTAACGTAGTTATACAGTAATTAATAATTAATGATTTCACTTGCCATGCCTTACGTTAGGTTCTTTTAAGGATGTTTAGATTCCCTGCAGCCCTCGAATGCATCAACCCCTGGGGATTTGGGGAGTGAACCCCAGTCTAGCAGCACAGTTGTGCTGAGCTGCTCGCTGGGTAAGTCCACATGTCCGATCTCCGGGATTATTTGTTTTAATTATCTTTTAAATTCCTTATTTAAGAGGGTACTTATGTTGTTATTTTATACTTGCAACGAGAGAGAGACCGCATGTCTGATATGAGACCTGACCATGATAATTTTCTACAAGGTATAGAGTTTGAATTTATATTGTTAGCACAGTTGTGCTGAGCTGCTCGCTGGTGAGAGAGAGACCGCATGTCTGATGTGAGACCTGACCATGATAATTTTCTACCAGGTATTGAATAAACATCGATTCTAACACAGAAGTCTGGTCTCTCTACGGAATTAATCACACAACGCAAGTACGACCGCTACAATGGTGCCGTGACCTGTTCGTCTTTATGGCGACGCCGACGCTGGACGAGTGACCCCTCTGCTGCTTCATGCTACTTCTCCACGTGTGGTTTGCCCCTTTGCTGGATATCGTGAGTCTGGTTGTGATCTCAGCCCTGGTTTGTGGACTTTGTTTTCTTTGCGGGATGTAGAGACCTGTGGCTGCCATGTAAAAAAAAAAAAAAAAAAAAAAAAAGAAAAAACATTAATAAAAAAAAAATTAAAAAAAAAAAAATAAAAAAATTTAAAAAAAAAAAAAAAGGGAGTCCACTTGTTTATGCTACATGGTCAGTGTTGTATTTGAATGTGACCTGTTGAGATTTGTTTTTTTCCTTGTGACTCATTTAATGTGTGATTTCAGGCTGATACCTGGTCTTCTCTTTAAAAAGCAGAAACGAGAGCAGAGTGAAGGATAGACAGAACATAAGGGTGTTTCTGTGGATAAGGGATTATAGAGTACTTGATTTTGAGATTTTGTGACTTTTTTTTTTTCTTCTCTCTCTTTCAATGGCAATGGATGAACATAATGTGTCAAGTATTGGTAGGGGTTCAAGGCTATGGTTTAGTCAGTTTCCTACTATGGGTGGGCTTGGTAGAGACGGACACATTACCTCGACTCCTCATACTCGCCCTGGGAGGGTTGGTGCTTGCGCAGCTGCAGATACTGGGGTGGGTGGGGAGTCTACATTTTCTGGGCGGGATGTCCATGTTCTCAGTGACTTGGTGAAAAAGATAGGCACCAGTATAGGTGAGAACATTGTTTCATGTCTTAAGTCCATTCCAGCTGTTGATGCTAATGTTACCCACTCGACCACAGCTGATCTGTCTAGGGTTAACCTGACAATCAACCATGATAGCCATGAGCCACGTCCTTTCAGGGGGGACAATACAGATGGGATATCAGTCTGTGAGTGGGAGGAGGCGATGAGGCTTTATTTGAGTAAGAGGGGCATCGTGTTATGTGACCAGGTGGATGAGGTTCTGGGCAAGCTACGGGGGAGGGCATGTGATGTAGTGACCATTGGGCTTCGCAGCCAACCCTCCTTAGACTTAAAGTCAGGACCTCAACCTGTGTTTGACATACTTAAGCAGCACTTCAGTGACTCTGTGACCTCATTTATGCCTCTGGCTGACTTCTATGACACAAAGCCTCGACCCACTGAAACTGCTGTTGACTATTGGATTCGGCTTAACAAAGCCATTGACATTGCTGTAGATGGACTGAAGAGACAAGGAAAGACCCTTGACAATCCTTCCCGTGAAGTGACAGTCATGTTTATCACTCACTGTCCTGACACTGAGTTGTCTCTAGTCTTCAGCTGCAAACCGCTAGAGGAGTGGACTGCCGCTATTGTCCAGGTGCGGTTGGATGAACACCACAGGAAAAGGCGCCTCCAGCAACGTCAGTCTTCATGTCCGGCTAACCAGCAACCCGACCAACCTGTGAGTGTTGTGCAGTGCCATGCTCAGTCTGCTGGGAGCGCTCCTGCCCCTCAACCAGTTACAACCAGTGGAGTGTCACATGCTGAAGGGCAGTCACTTGAACATGTCATCACTCTCCTTGAGCGGTTACTGCAGCGAGAGACTTTCCAACATTCCAGACCTCCAAGGTCATCAGGTACTGGTAGCCGCAACAAGTCTCGGGGCCCCTGTGCTGTATGTAGGAATGACAATCATGACACTGTGTCTCACTGCAGGAGAGAGCGTCTGTGTTTCCGCTGTTTTTCCACAGGCCACCAAGCTGTATTCTGCCATGTCGCTCCTCCTCCTGACTCATCTGCTGCTCAACCTGATGGTGCCACCCAGCAGGAAAACTAGCTGGCCCGCATGAGCAGGGGAGTAATGTAGGGCCGGAGAGCAATTCCCCACAAGAATCTGATGATGTTGACCTTGAATCAGTGTACTCTCAGTTCTGCTCCTTGACAAGTGCAGGCTCCACTGTGGTCATTCAAAATACACAAAGACTGTCTGCAACTGATAACCTTTTCCGCACGAAAGCGCTCATTCAAGATACTATGACACTCAATGCCATGCTTGACAGTGGTTCAGTGGCCTGCTCCCTGAGTTCTCATGTGCTCAACCTCATGATAGAGAAAAATGTCATTTCCCCTGACTCCATTTCTCCCACATCGGTTGTGCTCATCGGATGCGGTGGTTTAACAACCAGACCTGTTGGTGCGTGTGAGCTGAAGATGAAAGTGTTTGACTGTTGCTTTTCAGTTCCGACACTCATAGTGGAGGGTCAAAGTGATGATCTCATTCTTGGCAGCAATGTCATAAAACACCTCATTCGGGTGCTGAAGCACTCTGGTGACTTTGAGGAGAAGGTGTCTCTCTCAGATCAGCTTCCTGAGGAGGGGAGAAGCAGTTCTTGGCTGCTGTTGAGACATGGAAGGGAGGTGAGTGTCCTGACAAGGTGGGTACTGTTAAGCTCAAACATGCAGTAACCCTCGAGCCCTTAACAGAACACTTGGTTTGGGGCCGTCTACCTGCTCATGTGTGTCTCTCAGCCGGCAGCACAGTGGTCGTGGAGCCAAGTGAGTCACGAACAGTGCCGCGTTCAGTGATGGTGGGCCGTGTTGTAACGCCACTTTGGGGCGACGGATGGGTCCCAGTGAGAGTCATCAACCCCTCTTCCAGACCAGTGACTTTGAGACGCAACTGCAAGCTTGCTGATGTATCACCATGTGTGGCACTGGAAGACTTTGACACTGACTATTTGTATGCTACTGACTCATTTGATGAAGTGAAATGTAACGTGACAAAGACAGCTGACAAGTCTGACACTGACAGTGAGAAGAGTTTGACTGCTGACTCAGACTGCACTGCTTGACCGCCCTTTTGTCCCACTCTTTCTGACTTGGGTCTGCAGGACATTGACATTGACTCAACTCACCTGTCCCCCTTCTGGAAGTCAAAACTGGTCGACTTGCTAGCAAAATATGAGTCCATCTTCTCCCGCCACAGACTAGACTGCGGTAAAGCCAAAGACTTTGTCCACCGCATCCGACTGGGTGACAGCAAACCTTTCAGGCTCCCCTATTGCCGCCTGTCCCCATCACATTATGAGAAACTAAGAGTAGCTTTAAATGAGATGGAAGAGCGTGACATTATAAGGAAGTCTACGAGCAAGTATGCGTCACCTCTTGTCCTTGTCTGGAAAAAGAACGGCGACTTGCAGCTGTGCACTGATTTCCGGTGGCTTAATGCACGCACTGTTCGTGACGCCCACCCCCTGCCTCACCAAGCCGATGCCCTAGCTGCCTTGGGGGGGAATGCATTCACCTCTCCATTCGGGCTGTATGAATACAATCGGCTCCCGCAGGGGCTTTGCAACAGCCCAACCACATTCATGAGAATGATGATGGCTATTTTTGGTGACCAAAACTTCCTGAGCCTCTTGTGCTATCTTGATGACATCCTTGTGTTTGCCCCCAATGAAGCATTGGCGCTGCAGAGACTGGAGATGGTGTTCGGGAGGTTAAAGGCGCACAACCTGAAGCTAGCCCCCAGGAAGTGTCACTTCATGAGGCCTTCAGTGAAGTTTCTGGGGCATGTTGTGTCAAAGGAAGGCATTTCAACTGACCCACAGAAAGTTAGTGCTATAGTTGACTTGCAAGAGAAAGACTTAATGGTGGAGGGTACTGACATCCCATCCCCCACCAAGATCCGATCCTTCCTTGGCATGGTGGGGTTTTATCAACAGTTTTTTGAGGGGTACTCTAGCATTAGCAGGCCTTTGTTTGCATTGACGTCTGGTTTGAAGGGGCCACGACGTACCAAGGGAAAGAAATCCGCTATGTTTCGTAACCTCTCCTCTGCTGATTGGACTCCCACTTGCAGCGAGGCTTTCAGTAAGCTTAAACAAGCCTTACTAGATAACGTCACTCTGGCACACCCTGATTTCAGTAAGTCTTTCTCCTGTCAGTTGATGCCTCCTCCAACGGTCTCGGTGCAGTGCTGTCTCAGCTGGTTGAAGGCGATGATGTTGCAAGGCCCATAGCGTTCGCCAGCAAGTCACTGAATTATGCCCAGTCTCGCTACCCGGCACACAGACTCGAATTTCTCGCACTCAAGTGGGCTGTGTGCGACAAATTCAGCCACTGGTTGAGAGGTAATCGGTTTACTGTCTGGACCGACAATAACCCGCTCACTTACATTCTCAGTAAGCCCAAACTAGATGCCTGTGAGCAGAGATGGGTGTCGAAACTGGCCCCCTACGACATCAGATACATCCCTGGTCCGAGAAATGTGGTGGCAGACGCCCTCAGCCGTGAGCCCTTTGTGCACCCCAGTGTTCTCCATCGGCTCACGACAGTCCCCTACGGTGCACTCCTGGAGGAAGCGAATGCCCTTGATCCTGACTGTGTGCAGGATGCTTTTAGGCTGTCCTGTGATCCTCTCAGCCGCCTGCTGCATCACCCTCTGCCTGTGGCCTTCAACAGTGCAACAGCTGTGCCCCAGCATCCACCTATCTCCTCAGAAATAGTGTCGGCTGTCTTGGAACATTCACTGGTTGAAGACCAGTTTCCCTCTCATGCACTTTGCTTGCCTCAGCTCACTCAGTCCCTCCTGCCATCCGAGCTGTCTGATTATCGGCCCCTGCCCAAGGCCAAGCTCATGTCACAGCAGCGTACTGATCCATGCTTGGGTCGGGTGCTCTACTTTGTGGAGCGTCAGAGGCGGCCATCCAGACGTGAACGCCCACGTGAGTCTGCTGAAACCCTGCGGCTGCTCCGACATTGGGAGCAGCTTACCATCAAAGCTGGCGTTCTCTATCGCTCTTCAAAAGATGCTGTGACAAAGAGGAAGATTTACCGATATTTGGGGCCCACTAACTTGAAAGATAAAGTCCTGAAGGGTATTCATGATGAGGCGGGTCACCAAGGTCAGAGACGGACGCTTTACTTGGCTAGACAACGGTTCTACTGGGTTGGGATGGAGAAAGATGTGAAAGATTATGTGCAGTGTTGTCGGCGCTGTCTGGTCAGTAAGACTCCTGAACCCGAGGCCAGAGCACCACTCGAGAGTGTTAAGACCTCTAGACCTCTTGAGTTGGTATGCATTGATTTTTGGTCGGCTGAAGATTCCTCCAACAAGTCTTTGGATGTGCTGGTCGTGACAGACCATTTCACTAAACTGTCTCAAGCCTACCTTTGTCCCAATCAGTCAGCCAAAGCTGTCGCTCATCAACTCTGGAACAACTTTTTCTGTATCTATGGCTTCCCAGAGCGAGTGCATTCCGATCAGGGTGCAAATTTCGAAAGCAGTCTGATTGCAGAGATGCTCCAAGTTGCCGGTGTTGAAAAATCTCACACGACACCTTACCACCCCATGGGCAATGGAGCAGTCGAAAGGTTCAACCGCACTCTGGGAAACATGATCAGAGCCCTTCCACCCAGAGCCAAGCAAAAATGGCCCCAACTCCTGCGTTCACTAACCTTCTCTTACAATGCAACGGTCCATGAGACCACTGGGTTTGCACCCTTCCTCTTAATGTTCGGCAGAGTTCCCAGGCTGCCTGTGGACATGATGTTTCAGTCTGTGCTCATAGATGAACAAGTGGTGGACTATGATGTCTATGTGCAGTGTCTTCGTCGTGACCTAGCTGAAGCCATCCGTATTGCTCAGATTTCAACCACGAAACAACAAGAAAAGCAGACTGAGCTATATAACCGCAAAGTGAGGGGTGCACCTGTGGAGGTAGGAGATAGAGTGTTGCTGGCGAACAAGGGAGAACGAGGGCGGAGAAAGCTGGCTGATCGCTGGGAGGGACACTTGTACACTGTCGTGGGAAAACAGGATAACACTCACACCTTCAGACTCAGGAACTGTGCGACTGACCAGGAGAAAGTGGTCCACCGGAACTTGATAATGCCTGTGAACTTTCTGCCAGTCCCTACTGACACTGAGGTTGCTGGGTCCATATTCAGTGACCAGTCTGATGGGGCTATGTCTGGGTCTGTGCTGGGTGCTGAACGAGATGGATCAACTCTACTTCCTGGATGTGGAGCGGAGGACAGGACTGTCTGTTGGGTATCTCAGCTCCCTGTCTCCCATGGAAATGAGTCGACAACTATGGATGATGTGGATATGAATGACTGTGCCGGATCTGACGCACCTGATGAGATTATCCCTGCCAGTCATATGGAGAGTGGACCTGACAGGCAAAACGAGGTTCTGTAGAACTGAACCGGTCTGACCCTTCGGACCCTGTTGTTGATACTGACTGTCCTGTTGACTTGCCCGACTCTCGACCTGCTGTCCCTACTCTTCCTGTTGACTTGCTGCCTTCTGATGCTGGTTCAGTTGTTGCATCGGAGGCAGGACCAAACCCTTCCCCTGACGGTTTGCAGAGAAGGCGGACAAGGTATGGGAAGGTAGTGAGGCCAGTAGTCAGACTTATTCAGAATATGCACCAGAGAGTTCTTGCTGGTCGCTAGTTTTTTGTGTACTGCTCTTTAAAATGTTTATGTATGGTTGGTATCTTTATGTCACTTTGGGGAGGATTTGAGTCATTTATGTTTTTTTTCTCTATGATGGTTGATACCTGTGTTGGACTGCTAGCGTGAATATGTATGTGTTTTTTTTTATGACATGATCTCTGAGTGATTTAACATGTATATGGGCATGTGTTTACCTATGGGTGGTGGAAGGCTTTGCAACCCCTCCCCATTCTAATTCTTCAGGAATAGTCTTGTGACTGGTATACTTGGTATCTGTGGTTTTGACGGCACTGTGCACATTTTTTGTCCTTTTCTCGGGTCCTCCTCTTGTTATACTGTGATTGCTACCTGGTATGTTTGTATATTTGTTTTTTGGATGTTTTCATGGCCTGGTCTCACTCTGCTTCTTAGTATTCGTTTTTTTGTATGGGCAAGTGGAAATCAGTAGGGGGGAGTGTAACGTAGTTATAATTAATAATTAATGATTTCACTTGCCATGCCTTACGTTAGGTTCTTTTAAGGATGTTTAGATTCCCTGCAGCCCTCGAATGCATCAACCCCTGGGGATTTGGGGAGTGAACCCCAGTCTAGCAGCACAGTTGTGCTGAGCTGCTCGCTGGGTAAGTCCACATGTCCGATCTCCGGGATTATTTGTTTTAATAATCTTTTAAATTCCTTATTTAAGAGGGTACTTATGTTGTTATTTTATACTTGCAGTGAGAGAGAGACCGCATGTCTGATGTGAGACCTGGCCATGATAATTTTCTACCAGGTACAGACTTTGAATTTATATTGTTAGCACAGTTGTGCTTAGCTGCTCGCTGGTGAGAGAGAGACCGCATGTCTGATGTGAGACCTGACCATGATAATTTTCTACCAGGTATTGAATAAACATCGATTCTAACACAGAAGTCTGGTTTCTCTACGGAATTAATCACACAACGCAAGTACGACCGCTACACACTGAAGTTGTGACTCTTGCAAATGTTTTCAACCCTAAAACTAAGCCCTTATTTTCTTTTGCTAACATATACAGTGCATCCGTAAAGTATTCATACCACTTTACTTTTTCCACATTTTGTTATGTTACAACCTTATTCCAAAATGGATTAAATACCTTTTTTCCCTCAAAAATTCTACACAAACGACCCCATAATGACAAAGCGAAAAACTTTTTTTAAACATTTTGCAAATTTATTAAAAATAAGACACCCAAATGTTGCATATACCTAAGTATTCACATCCTTTGCTATAAAACTCAAAATTGAGCTCAGGTGCATCCTGTTTCCACTGATCAGCCTTGAAATGTTCCTCCAACTTGATTGTAGTCCACCTGTGGCAAATTCAGCTGATTGGACATGATTTAGAAAGCCACACCTGTCTATATAAGATCACGCAGCTGACAGAGCACGTCAGAGCACAAACCAAGCCATGAAGTCGAAAGAATTGTCTGTAGACCTCCGAAACAGGGTTGTATCGGCGCACAGATCTGGGGAAGGTTACAGAAAAATATCTGCTGCATAGAAGATCCCAAAAAGCACAGTAGTCTCCATCATTAAGAAATGGAAGACATTTGGAACCACCAGGACTCTTCCTAGAGCTGGCCACCCAGCAAAAATGAGCAAGCGGGGGAGAAGGGCTTTGGTCAGGGAGGTGACCAAGAACCTGATGGTCACTCTGACAGAGTTCCAGTGTTCCTCTGAGGAGATGGGAGAACCCTACAGAAGGACCACCTCTGCAGCACTCCACCAGTCAGACATTTATGGTAGAGTGGCCAGACAGAAGCCACTCCTCAGTAAAAAGCACATGACAGCCCGCTTGGACTTTGCTAGAAGGCACCTGAAGGACTCACAGACCAGGAGAAACAAAATTCTCTGGTCTGATGAAATGAAGATCAAACTCTTTGGCCTGAATGCCAAGCGTCATGTCTGGAGGACAGTGTTGTTTTTGGCAGGCATTTTAGATTTAGTTTTAGTCTTAGTCATTTTGACGAAATGCTTCTTCGTTTTAGTCCCATTTTAGTCATTTCTATCCTTGATCGTTTTCGTCTAGTTTTAGTCCGACGAAAACTCAAAAGGTTTTAGTCTAGTTTTAGTCGACGAAAAGGTGTCTTTTGAGGTTCGTGGTGTGAAGCCGCAGCATGAGGAAGCTGTGGCTCCACAACTGTCGTCTGTCTCGTCTCCCCGTCCCCGTACAAGACATTGTGTTTTATTGTCACTTGGACTGTATCTGAAGTAGGACCATAAACCATCCCTCTTATTTCAGCCCACCGGGTACCGCTGCTGTGCCTGCCACCACGGTGTGTGTGTGTGTGTGCGCGCCTCGTCCACCTGCCGCTCTGTGTATGTGTATGAGTGTGTGCGCGCAGCTGTGCGCGAGCGAGGCTTTTGGTGCGTGTGTGATGGGGGCGTGACTGTTAGGACAAAAAAAAGCATGTTTTGAAACTTTGTTCGTCCACCTAATAATTTAGTCTCGTCTCGTTCTCGTCTGACGAAAATGAATACAATTTTCGTCACATTTTAGTCTTTACAGAGCTTTGGTGACGTTCGTCTTAGTCTCATTTTCGTCAAGGAAAAAAGGGGTCTGACATCGTCATTTAAGTTTTCGTCCTGCCTGAAGAAAACAACACTGCTGGAGGAAACCAGGCACCGCTCACCACCTCGCCAATACCATCCCTACAGTGAAGCATGGTGGTGGCAGCATCATGCTGTGGGGATGTTTTACAGCAGCAAGAACTGGGAGACTTGTCAGGATCGAGGGAAAAATGAATGCAACCAAGTACATCGAAATCCTTGATGAAAACCTGCTCCAGAGCGCTCGAGACCTTCAACTGGGGCGACGCTTCATCTTCCAGCATGACAATGACCCTAAGCACACGGTCAAGAAGACAAAGGAGTGGCTTCAGGACAAGTCTCTGAATGTCTTTGAGTGGCCCAGCCAGAGCCTAGACTTGAGCCCGATTTAACATCTTTGGAAAGACCTGAAAGTAGCTGTGCACCGACGCTGCCCATCCAACCTCAATGAGCTTGAGAGGATGTGCAAGGAAGAATGGGAAAAACTCCCCAAATCCAGGTGTGCCAAGCTTGCTGCATCATACACAAAAAGACTGGAGGCTGTAATCACTGCCAAAGGTGCTTTGACCAAGTATTGAGTAAAGGGTGTGAATACTTATGTATATGCAACATTTGAGTGTCTTATTTTTGATAAATTTGCAAAATGTTCTAAAAAAAGTCTTTTGCTTTGTCATTATGGGGTATTTTGTGTAGAATTTTTGAGGGAAAAAAGGAATTTAATGCATTAGGGAATAAGGCTGTAACAACAAAATGTGGAAAAAGAGAAGTGGTATGAATACTTTCCGGATGCACTTTATTTAGCAATGGTCTGTTAACATCAATGTATATCTAAATGTAAATGGAGTAAAATGGTGCACTTCCATGAAAGCAACATCTGATCATGGAGTAAATACATCCCAAAATACATACAACTCATGCTGGATTTTAAAAAAAGCATTGTGTACAAAAACCTGAAGTTACTCCCAACTGTTTGGCCTGTAATGGCCTTGCTTCCAAACTTATGGCCTGTATTGGATATACATACATACATACATACATACATACACACATATTTATATATATATATATATATATATATATATATGTATACACATACATATATATATATATATATATATACCAGTGGCGATTGCTGTAAGACTGCAAGGGAAGCTCAGCTTCCCTTAAAATGTCACCCCCCCCCCAAAAAAGAAAAAGTGGTGAAATACGTACTGCTGTGTGTACATTTCATTAACTAAATACGCGCTAGAAAGCCTTCATCTTTTGCTCAGAATCAGCTTCTTATCACAGTGTGATAAGAAGCTGATTCTGCACAACTTCGTTCTCATTCATCCTCGCAGCACCTCAGCGCTTTAAACAGCCGGACGCTGGGCTTCTGCTGACTTCAATGTGGAAGCTCAAAGTGGGTTGTTCCAGCAGCGAAACTAGACGCTCATTGGATAAATGCTGGGCTTTGTACCGACCATCAGACGCTGAGCTTCTCTGGAGTTCTATGGCGAGAGGGCGGTCCCAACTTTCTCCCGGACTCCGAGCTTCTGCATCCATGATTGGATGAGCGGTCTGAGGCGAAATCCTTTTTTGATTGACAGCTAAATAAGCGAATTAGCGATCTTGAAGAATAAAACATCTACCAAAGCATTTTCCAAGTTATTCATTCCGTTGTTCTTAACTGCTCGAGAGACTTTACCGATCGTCAGTGACTTTTTTCTTTGTTAAAAACGACTGCCGTTGTGTTTGGCGACTCTGTTCTGTTACATATAAATAAACAAACACAATTATGATGTAGGCCAGAAAAATGAGCTTCCCCTCCTTGAAAGACCAGCAGCCCCCACTGATATATACATACATACATGTAAAGAAAGAAACAGCCCATTTATCAGAAAGAGTCCTTTAAAAATTCATATTTAATAGTTATAACTACAGCAGAATTCTGTCTTTCATTTATGCCAAAAATAAAAGTACCAAATTAAAATTTGAATTAAGTTGTGCATTTAAGAGAAACACGTTGTACATCTATAACAACACTTCAATGACCCAGAGATACACAAACAAACTGAGCAGCTGAAGGAGTCCACATACCTGTGTCCTGCAGGTTACACTCCTGGTTTTCTCAGTGCAGTTTGGTGAGTTAGTAGAGTGATGTATCACCTGACTATGGTTTCAAAAAAATCATCTTGTTTTGTCACAGAAATCTCTTAATCTGTGGGGATCTTTTCTGTACTGCTGTCAGATTCTTTGAATAACAACTGGAGTCTGTCAGAGACAAAAAAAAGAACTTTTAGAGGACACACTTAATGCAACCACTTTGTACCTAATCAACATGTCTTAAGTGTTTTTTTTTTTAAAGTCACAATATTTTTGTTTAATTTAAATCATATACACATTAGTGGTATTTAGTGTTGTATTGTGCCGTATGCTTTGTCATTATGGGGTAGTACAGTAACTGCTGTAGTTTAATTCACTG